TGTCACTTGCTCTTCATTGTCAATGTGCACACCTTTCTTTCAATTGTGCAACAGCAGGGGCGCTGTAAAGGTTTGAGAAGATCTTTGTGCTGGATGATGGTCGTTGGACTCCTTGGCGGTGGAAATGCTCAGATCTGCTGTACATATCTTAACTGTCATGTACCTCAAGCGTAGAACCTTACGGAGCTGAGCTCCAAACTCATGCTGACGTGCTGATGAGTGGGAAGCTAGCTTGCGGTGCATCAAAACATGGAACTCCCGGGGTTTCTGAAAGGGCGTGGAGTGGTGTACGTGTTGGTGGTCACTCTTTCGCTACTCATTTACATAGGACTAACCGGACTCTATGGTCTGGGTCCTCTCGCGCCCCTCGACGATGAGGACGAGTGGACTGCCTACAGCATTGAGGTGAGGTGGCCGTTCCCACGCCTTCTACGTTTAGATTTTGCTTTACTCCCTGATTTGAGGAACAGTCAAGTTTCACGTCTCACATTCAGACGCATGCACGTGCGGTTTGAAACTGCCTTTTCAGCCTTGACAAAGACTTATGAAGCAATATGCACTTTGTTTACACTGGCAGGAATGATTGCAAGCAGGGCGTGGTCAACGCCTCTGTCACCACCCTGTCACCACCCGTGTCATATGGGAGGTCGAAACAGGCCGACAAGTGTGACGGATGGCAACATGAGAACTTGAGCTCTTCAATGGAAACCCCGAAATGTGGGTCCAGTCTTTGGTGACACTCGCTTATAAGCTGTTCTCCTACTCATGGCTGCCTTGACGTGACCAACATTTCTTGGCCCAAGAGGTATGGGACGAGGTTTCAAACCGGACCGTCTGCTTTGCCTTTGCCCCTTCCGCAAAGTTGTGAGAAAGGGGCACCAGCCATTCTTGACTGAATTTCGAAACTTTGTTGAATGCTGCAACGGTTGGCTTTCGGCTACCTACTTCACCCAGTTTTTAACCTTGTGAGATGTGTCGCCATTTGGAGGACTGCCTTTGACTGCTAGTGCCCCACTCAAAAAGCCTTTCAAAGATGTCCACCATTCCACTGCCATGTCAGAATGCCCTTTCGAGCACCTTATGAGGATCTTCTGAAGCAGCGCTTCAAGTGACTCTTGCACATCGTGCATCACTTGCATTAGTTTGGCTATTGCCGTCGTTTTGTTAGATACAAAACGATTCAAGATGTTCAAAGATTCAAGTAGATTTGTCCAGCTGTTTTCAAACTTGCCCATTTTGAGTAAAAGCAAATCTGCACAACTCCAGGATGCGTCTTTGGGAGTACTGGGGACGAATAGTCAAGCCTATGGCCTTCGGGGCTTGATGGCTTCATTCCTTTCCAAGCAGATGCTGGAGGTGCTATCACTATTTTCTGAAAGCGTTGTCTGATCATCTTCCCCCCACCGTAGATCTCGGCGCTTCTGCCGACCGTCCAACAAACAGCTCGTCGCGCCACTCCCGAGGAACTGGTCGCCAGCGGCCAGGCGACTCTCCCCCAGCGCAGCGAACCCCAAATCCGTGTCAACCCCAGCAGCTCTCAGCCGCAGTCTCGGGGCACTGACACCGGGGGCGCTCAGGAGGGGACCTCTGTCAAGCTGCAAAAGCGATACAAGCTGTCAGTTGGGGGGAAGAGAGCGGAAGTAAAGAGGCGGCCGAGGGGGAATCATGCTGGGGCGGAAATAGGGAGGGGGAAGGAGGAAGAACCGCAGAAGCCGCCCCCGGTGCAGGAGGAAGATCCGCTGACGCCGTCGGACAGGATGCTGTTGGAGGTAGGTCTGGCGCGGAGCTTTTTTCTCTGAAGATGGAACGGGTGCAATTGCTCGACCACCTTTCAACCGCGTCAGGCTTGATTACATCACCATTTTTCTGGTCGCTTCTGGAAGTGTTCCCGTTCTTTGGCAGCGAGAAAAAGCTGAGCAAATGGCACCAGCTGATGCAAGCGTGAGAGTTGGCTGACCTTTGTTCCTTCATTGCAAGTGTTAACTGCTCGCGTGATCATACTGCCACGCATATCCTGTGTGCTTTTCTCACAAACTGGTCATCTTGGCCCCTTCATCGCAGATACTCAACTTCGATTCTTTCCTGGTCTTTCGCGGAGTGTTCCGGACTTTTTGCCCTCAGGGCATCCCTTTTCTCTTTTCTATTTTCTTGACCTTTCCAAAACGTTAACTTAGACAAGGCTCTCTGCGTTGATTTGTTGGCCGCCCATATCAAGCCTGCTCTTCATGTGGTGATCATTGGAAGTGGGGCACGGCAATGAGGCGTTTTCGCACGAGCATAATCTGCTCATGACATCTTCGGGACACATTCTTGATGCCTGGCTGCTTCTGAGGCACTGATAATTGTTGTTCAAGTGATTCATTGGGAGGCTCGATAGAGGCTCCCGTGAGATTTGACACTTTTATTATTCAAAGAGTCAGTCAGTAGTTCAAGGACGCGTACTGTGACAGGGTACCATCTCGGGATAGTGAAAAGATGCTTTCATGGCCCTTTTGCTGAATCAGCTTCCAACCCTGACATCTTATGGATTTTGAAGGCTTTGCTTGGCTTTAAGGCAAGCGCTTGATCTTCTGCATGATTGCTGACGATAGTCCTGAAGCAAAGCCGTTTGCGGGCACGCTACTGATTGATGGGCGGCGCTGCGCGATACGAAGGCCGTTTTTCCATTAGGATGACGCGCGCACAGGCCTAAACATCTCCTCGCTTTCACTGTCGTGAATCTCTTGTCGCTGTGGCGCAGTCCACAAACCGATTCTCAGCGGTTTCTTCTTTGCTCTTTTGTTTCGGAGACTTCAGCCTCGGTTATCTGAAATTCTCTTGTACGCACACGCTCTTCAGCATCGAAAAGGACACTTTCTGAGCTGCAATCACTTACCAAGGTCGCATCCTTTTGTGACCTTCTGAGTGGCAATTCTCAACAGAGCTGGGCTGGCAGTGAATATGCTTCCACATGAGCGTTTGCTCAAAACGGGTTCGGTCAAGTTTTCTGATGCCGCCCAAAGCCAGGGTCTTCGCACATGCAACCAACCAAGGACGAGGTCCTATCCATCCGTTGTACTGTCAGCAATATTAGCTGGTGAAAGAGAGCCTGCGGTTGAACAGCACTCCACGTTCACTCATTTGACCGAGAACTTTCCTCGCGAATTATGCTGAGGTCTTTGCATCGGAGGCAGGGTTTGGGTCGGTTTGAGGCCCAGGTGTTCCAAACGCGTGACAATCTCATTCCTGCCTGATGTTATATGCAACTTGGACAGACTCTGGAGCTTCTTTGGAATGTGCAAGAGAGCTGCTGGATCGATTGCTTCTAAACTTTTTTCTTAAAATCAATTGCCAGGAAAGCTCCGCATTGGTGGGTGTCGCCGCTTGGTTACGGAAGCCTGGATTTCTTTTCGTTGGACCCAGCCCTGTTGTAATTCAGGCAGCGGCAATGATTGCATCTTCGCCTGAGCTTTGAAGCTCAATGGACTGGTCGTACCAGGACTCCGAGCCGCTTGTTGCTTTTGCCCCATGCAATTACCATCATACCGCCGCCAATCTTGATGTCCTTAGTCCCTTAGTCCCTTCTCCCGTAAGGTTGCTGTTCCAGAACCGCTAAGGGCACTAGACGCGCAAGGGTGCTGTTGAGATGTCCAAATCAATCTGAAAGAAGAACGTGAAGGTGGATGCGCTTCTATGTGCAAATGTTCGTTCCCTGTTGTCAAAGTCGCTCGATTGCCCCATCTACTGACCCGAGCCGGCAGTGACGATCCTCGAGACGAGCTGTCACGCTCAAAACGCTTTTGTGCCAGGGCTGAAGCCGGCTCCTCTTTGTTAGCCAATTCGAACCATAGCGTGCCTTGCTCAAAAAGTCGGACAATTACCAGGGATCGTAAGTCGCTACAACCCCGTGTCTCGTACGACTCTTCTTCCGGCAGGCTTTCAGCTCTCGTCTTCTGCGCACTTCGTATCTCCAAATCAGAGACTTTATCCTTGTCACTTTACTGTGTCTGTTGAGCGGCGACGGGAGCCCCGGGGAGGTCTTGACGCTCAACAAGTTTGATGTTGTTTCAGACCAAACGGACTCTCTGCAACGCTGTTTCAAAGCCTCAAAAGCGGAGCACTGATTGGGTGTTTGTGTTCTGCACAGTTTCAACCTCCTGGTCGCCGTTTCCTCTGTCGTGGGGGCTTTTCAGACGGCTGTGACATTGTTCGGACAAGCTCCTTCGCTCAGCGCTATCTGCATCTGAAGCCGTGTTTGTTGCTCGTTTTGCTTTTCAACCGCCAGATCTGCAGGTATCAAATATTTGCTTTTGCGTTCCGAACTGTCTGCCATTTTCAGGGCTTTGAAAGCTTCGCACGACCTTTCTTTCAAGAAGCATTTTCTCTTCCGTCCAGAAACCGTATGATATCTGCCTGCTACAACGCTGCAAGGATTTCCTGTTCATGAACAATGCGTCCATGTGCTGAAACTCGTACTGGGCTTGTTTTAGTTCTTCCTTGCTAAGTCTGACTCCCGGGGATTGCCATCTTGAATCCGGTCTGCAGTAAAGATACTACATCACGAGTTTGTCATCTTTTGACGGCGAGGATCAGCTTACCCGCTCATTGCCGCTTCTTGACTGCAAACCAACTGCCATCACAGAAGCTGTTCATCCTTGCAGTCTGTTCTCTCCGCGAGCAACCGTCGTTGACCGTTGTGCTGGAAGAGCGCCTAATTCTTCGTCCTTGCATAAAGGTCGTAATCGGAAAGGGATAGGACCTTTGCAAAAAGTGTCCCACAGAGAGTTCTGCATTACGCTCCTCGTCTTCTGCACCGCACTTCTCAGGTATCTCGGCAGTTTCGAGCTGGGCACTTGCGCCCAGGCTCGCAGGAGAATACCCCGCTGACCCCATTCAACGTTTCAAACATCCAGCTTCGTTTCAAACTGCATACAGCCCGTCACTGGAATTTGCTGCATAAGCCATGGCCGTCATTTGAACGGCCCAAACATTGACCGTCGCTCTCGTGTGTTTTCACTCGCGTATGTTTCCTGACAGCCTTTCCGCGGTCACAAACGATTCGCATAATGACCACCTTTTTTTGATTGCCTTGCCAAGTCATTGCTGTGCATGACATCGTCTGTTGTGCAAGATTGACATTCTGATCAAGTTTGAGATTTGCTTAGAGCGCTTCGGGTGTAAGCTTGAGCTCTAGCTCTAATCAGTTAGGAGATACCCACTGGACTTTACGTTAGTGTGATGCATTCGGCTGGTCACGTCCGCCAGCGTTTTTTACCATCTGCCTGATTAAGCTTGGCAGTTACCAAGCCACGTCTATGCATCGCAAGTGACAGATTTTCTTCAGCACCCCTTTATATTTTCCGGGACTTTGCCTCCGTTTAGGGCAGAGGCTCTATATACTTCACCGTCTGAGAGTTGGATTCTGACGAGTAAAGGAAAAGTGATATGAAAGTCATTGGATTTTGGGCGCTCTTTGTCACTGTCCTCAGGTCGCCGTCTGATCCTTGAAATATCTCTTCCCCTCTTTCCAAAATACTGACTATGCAACAAAGGCACTGACGAACGTGTACCCAAAGCTTTTATCTGGTCACATACTTCTCTAGATGAGTTCCAAAGTCGTTTCCTTAAATTCCGCTCAATCTTCTCTGATTTCATTAGGAGGCCAAAGAGAATGGTCTGGTGGCGTTGTGTCTTTGCTGCATTATTTGTGAAAGCGATACGTCCGGCCCTCAAACTCCATTGTTCAAGTAAGGATGGACTCGGGCTTTCCCAGGTCGATTCCTCGGAAGCCTCTTCAGCTTCTATAGTGTTGAGCTCGATCGTGTCGTTTGTAAGGACTGGTCGTGAGCTCTCAATCACCATTTTCTGTCGGGACTCAAGTCGTTTCCTTCCAAATGTAGCTCTGATCATTGTCTTAACGGGAAGTGAGCTTGCGAGCCCAGGAGAGCCTGGAGTTTGAAGACGTCGCCTGTCGTGCACAGAAAACTTTCGACTCCGCCCAATTTCATGGGTTTTGTCCGTGCACTCATCTTCATTGGAAGTTTGAAAAATCCACAAAGTCTTCTCTAAAGCGAGTGGAGGCGAGACCCTGCAACGCCAGTCGGACCACTCGAAAGCGATGCATTCGGATTGGATCATATTCTGGAAGCTCCTAGCTGCCTAGCTTCGCCGCTTGTTCAACACTTGGGTCGTCAGACGGCAATGATAAATCACAGATGAGCGTTCACGCTCAAAGCTGTTTTCATGAAGTCTCTAAACCTGAGGCCGTATCTGATGACGCGTCTTGCTTTCAGCCAGGTCTGCAAAGACCAATGACTCTCTCATATGTCCAAGAAAGTCGGACGCTGACCGGGCCTTCAGAGGCTCTCCATACGGTTTTGTATTTAGGAGCCCTCTGCGTGTTTCCGTTCCCTTCGCGTGGTTTCCATTCCCTCTGCTTGTTTCCTTTCTGCATTCCTCCACTGATGTCTGCCCACAACGCTTTCGATTCTGTTCTTTGAAGGATTGCGTCAGAACTGCTTCACGCTCCATCTCAAACCGTGGATGCACACGCTTTGGCCCGCTCTCACCTCGGCCGTTTGTTTTCTTCTCGCCATCAAGCTTCTAACACAGTGTCTTTGGTGTGCAAGTCAAGCCAAAATCGCTACCCGCATTCCCGCAAAGGCCACCAACGACTAGCAAGTTCGTTGGTGTCGATGAAGGAAAGCCCTGCCGCCATGCTCCATGACCTCGCTCCTTTTCCCTGTTCCAACAGTTTGCATTGTTTTCTATTACATCTGGCTGATTCCCTGCGCCTTTCTTCTCCAATTGACCTGGCATTGGGCGAGTTTCGACGGTGGCAGATCTTGAGACAATCTCTGCCCCAAAACCATGCCACTGTTCTCCTTTCTCACTTCTGTCAAAGTGCTGTTCTTGTTATTTTTGAGCTAAGTCGCTGCGCTTCTTTCCTCCAGAAAAACGGGGTCTGGGAGGGCATCCGGTTGGGCGTCTCCATCGGATACGACCCCCCAGTGTGGCAAGGCGAGCCGCCAGAGTTCCCGGTGGTTTCACCCGGGCTTGACGACCCCCGCCAGTTCATCTTTGAGTGCAACCGGAGCAATCCCCGAAGCGACGTCTGCACTGTGCGAGGGAATGTCCAGGTAAGGACGAAGATCTCTTGGCTACAAGAAAATGATTATATCTAAGCAAAGCCAGGGAGACGAGAGGATTTGTCTGTATCTGTAAATGCAACCGGAGCAAACGCCGAAGCGACGTCTGTACCATGCGGGGGAATGTCCAGGTAAAGAAAGATACTTTCTCACGATGAGGAGCAGAAAGGAGTCTCTGTTTGCTTGTGAAGACGCCCTGAAAAGGTCCCCCGGCCTACACGACGCTTGGCAGTTCTTGTTTGAGTGCAACCGGAGCAACAGTTAAGCGCCCCTGGCCTTCCAATTTTTCTGAAAGCTTTGTCACTCTCGGCTCGCAGTCATATGCCGACTCCAGGAACTTCCAGATGTTTGCGACCAAGAGGGGCCCCCCGATCAGCAAAGTGTCCATCTCTTTCCGCTAGCAGCAAATCGCCGACTCCAAGAACTTCCAGATGTTCGCAGTTGATAAGAGTCCCCGGACCGGCAAACTCTTCGTTTCTTGGCGCCAAAGGCCGAGTTCGATCTCAACTGGGCAGAAAGCGCAAATTGGAATCAAGATTACTTTCCCCTTGCAGCTATATGCTGACTCCAAGACCTTCCAGATGTTTGCGTTCGGGACGAACACCCCAACTGGCAAACTTTCCATCTCTTTACGCTGCAGGCCGAATCCAGATCTCATATGGGTTCAAAGCGCACTTAGAAAATGGGTTTTAATCATGATCACCTCGCTTTTGCAGCTATACGCCGACTCCAAGACCTTCCAAATGTTTGCGACCGGGAAGAACCCCCCGACCGGCATTCTCTCCGTCACGCCGTACGCGCGAAAGGCCAAAGGCGAGGTCGCGCCCGGCAGTACGACCACCCTGGAGCTGACGAGTTACGGCCTCAAAACTGATGCTGACGTGGCACGTGAGCTGGCCAACTGCAACCGCAACGTGTCAGTACCGGGAGTCGTGTTCTCGATCGGGGGAAAAGCGGACAACTACTATTACGCTTTGGAAGACACGTGAGCACGTTTCTCCGTTTTGTTCCTCTCGTCTGCTACGTTCTTCTTTCGACGAATGTATGTTTTCGAGTTCCAACTTCTGAGTGCTGATATCTGTTCCCTTTTCGTCGTGTTTTCTCTATCGCGTCATCATGGATTTTTATCCTTTCAGTTGCGTTCCGCTCTTCTTCTCTCTGCGGCGTCCTAAGGAGAAGGGTGGACACTTCTGCTTGAGGCCTTAAGCTTTCCACGGGCTGTTGGTATCTGCTACCCCAATACATACGAGACCTCCTGTTTGATAGCCTATCATTGTGATCCTACGCATCGTTCTTGACTTCGTACTTTGTAACGATCCTCAAAAAGATGCTTCACGCTTGTCGTTGACTCGCTTCAGCTTATGCTATAACGCCAGGACTCTCTGCGTCAGGTTTCCCTCGTTGGTTGCTCTCTATCCCCAATTCGTTCCGCCTTTCTCTGTTGTGATCTGCTTGCAAATCGCCCCGTTCCCCTCTCGATCAGATCCGTTTCCGCCCAGGCTCATCCTCCTTCTCGTTAAGTGCTCCTAGACCAGCCCGTTCCGCTCTAAGGTTGATCCGTTTCCGCCCAGGCTCGTTCCGCTGATCCTGACAAGCTTCAAGTACGACCGCGAGGTGGTCTTCCTCCTGCTGGACTGGCACGAGTGGTGGCTAGAACACTTCCGGGGGGTGCTCAAAACGCTGTCAAAGTACCCCCCCATTCTGATTGGCGGCCCCGGGGTTGAAACCGAGCGCGACCAGGAGCACGCCCGGGTCAAGGACTGGGTTAGGAGTGGCTCAGCGAGCGTTGAGGGCGAAGAAGTTGGTCATATTGGGGTTGAGGAAGGGGTTAAGGGTGCGGAACACGGGGGTGACGATCCGCGGGCGGTGTTTGAGAAACCGGCGGATCTGCTGCCGCTGCTAACCAGGAGACGGAAAGCTCTGGGGTTGGAGGGGTTGCCGGAGGGGTTAGGCGCGGGTTTGGAAAAATCAGGGCAGGGGTTGGAGAAACCAGGGCAGGGTTTAGAAGAGCGAGACAGGGCTCTGAGCGCGGGGTTAGAGCGGGTTAATCTGTGGGAGGATTCGGAACTAGAGGATGAAGAGGACGGGAGGGGAGAAGACAAAACCTTCTTTCGGAAGCTTTTGCAGCTGTGGACATGGCAGAAGAAAGACGTCGCTGCAAACAAGACGGAGAGTGGGTTGGGGGCGGGCCAGAGAACCGTTCCGGTTGACGAGAGCGTGACACGTGGCAGCAAGCGGACACGTGGCAGTTGGGAGTGGGCCCCGATCCCGGGGGCCAAGGAGAGGCGGGCCGCTGTCCAAGCGGAGGTTTGGCCCGAGTTAAACACTCACGACCGCAACATTTACTGCTTCCCCGAGCTGGTGATCGGCTTAACCACGCACGGTAACCTGCGGGTTAATCCAATATTACCGCCGTTCGTCAGTGGCGCCCAGTTTAGTGACCGGTGGAAGGCGCTGGTGCACCCGGGGTATGGGTTCTCCGAGGAGGACGAGGCGCTTCTTCCCGTGGTGAAAAGTGCCCGGTTGAGACCAGAGCCTCGGACTCATAGGAACCGGCCGAAACTGGGGTTGGCTCTGCGGAGCGGCCCGGAGCGGCGGATCATAAACGAAGAGGCGTTCATTTACTACGCAAAAGCGATTGGGTTCGACGTGGTTCTGATCCCCGAGTACGCGTCAATTGAGGAGCTGTTCCAGTGGATGCAGGGGTTGGACGTCTTCGCGGGTGTGCACAACTCGATGCTCGCAAACTTTTTGTTTATGCGAGCGGGGTCGGTTCTGCTTCAAATCGTGCCGTTTAGCATAGACTGGCATGCGGATCATCACTACGGGCAAGGCGCGGTCGCCAAAGGGCTAAAGTATATAGAGTACGAAGGGTCTTGGTGGGAAAGCTCCCTCTCCAAAGCGTACCGATTTGACGATGACGTGAGGAGGGACCCGGATGCGGTGTACCAAAAGCAAGGTTATCTAGCATGGCGGGATATTTACATGGGTCAGAGTCTTTGGCTTGAAAATAGCAAGGCAATTTTGGCATTGCGGTGCGCGAAGCGGTACCTACTGCAAAAAGCAAATGGAACTGCGGAGGATCCACCGGTTCCCGAGTATGTACGAGGAAACTTCTATTTTGAATGGGGTGAAATGGACCCAAATTTAAATTAAGCAAAGCGTGTTGAAAGAAGCCCACAGTCGCCGAGAGCACAGCCTGTTCTAAAGACCTGGAAGTTGGTGACTGCGCAGCGGCATATTGTTAGTGACGGGCGTCTGGCCTGAGCATTTTTTGGATACAGCCTCAGTTTCACATCGTGTCCGTCCTTGCCATGGTCAATATGCTTCATACACGCGTATCGGTCATGGCACAGCTACGGCTTTAAAGTAATTAGAATGTGTGAAATATGGACCTCTAGCCGCTAGATTAAGCGCGAGCGGCCCTAAATTCTTTCAAGCTTGCCCTTCCTATAAGGTATATCTAAGTTGTTGATTTTAGCTTCAAATATACTTATGCGGCAGATTGCTTCTATATGGTATAGTTCTATGCATCAGTGCCACGGACAGAGTCACGTTACATTTGTTCGAATCGCTGAACAGATGCTGTCATGGCTTGGGTACGATCATTCAATCTTGATTGCCACACGACTCAGACATGACTGCACACGCATTGTGACATATTGCAAGTCACACTCGGTAGCATTTCAAATTTCAAATAGCTCTAGTTATATCGCGTTGAAGTAGCGCGCATGCGAAGCTAGAGCGGACAAACCGTCGTAAGGGTTTGCAAGCTTGCAACGGTTATGCCCCGATTCCGGAACAAACTATAGGTGCAGACTAATGTTGCAATTGCAAAGGTCCGACGGGCTTATATGATCGAGCATCATGGCATCGTGACATGTATTGCAAGTCACTACGACAGCATTGCAATATATCTAGTCACAACCTACATATTAGTCATTTTCAACTTTTGACTCTGCAGCTAGGTAGTTTGGCGGAACGGAAACGTGCCGATCCTCATGTTGCAAACTTAAGCACTGCGCTATTAGTATAAATCTCCTATAGATCCTGCCGGAATGCCTTTTCTACGCATGCATTCTCATTGGAAGATTCGAAATACCTGATGAAAGATGGGCTCGGCCTGAGTCTCGCCTGCTAGTGATGATGAAAAACCGGGGGAAAACCCATGAAAGAGTCCTAGGTGAGCCACTGTCTAACACACGTTTGACAACTGTTTGACAAGTAATAACACCGAAGTAGCTTTTGGTAGGCCCGCACTGCATGTTCACAAAAAAATGGCCTCTTCCACCCGTCAACCCGTGACCATTGCCCGTCAACCCGTCAACCCGTGACCACGTACGGAACGCTGCTTGTAACATACGGAACGCTGCTTGTGCGGCGGGTACTGTGACTGGCTGAGGCCTTGGAATTTGGGTCTCGCCGCAGGCTCGCGATTGAATCATGTGGCCACCAAGCCGCCGCAAGCGGCACCAATCCGAATACCGGTGTAGTCCTACATCAGCGGCATTGATGACGGAAGTGCGACCGGACCCCGGTGGACCGTGGCATTAATGATCACCTTGTGCCTGAGCTGAGGGATCTACCGTATCATCTCACAGATGAATTAATTATTGGTTGGTACCGTGGTACGTACCGTTGGACTTAGTTTCCGCCAATTCCGGTGACAAGTACCTACCAGTTTAACCGTCCAATTTATGCAAGGCCGTGAGACGAGAGAGTGGGCGGGCTCGGGGGAGCGTTTGCCCCCCTGATTTTGAGTGTGAAAGCAGGCCCGGTGACTTACACCGAGTGGAACATCCTCTGAAATAGGTATCGTCAAGCGTTTATTCGAAAGCGATCGACAGGAGCGACTCAGGGCGGCGTTACGGTAATTATTACAAATTAATTTGGTGACTCCGTGGAGCTCAAGCCTCAGAGTCAGATGGAAGCTGACGCCATGACAGCCTCAGGAGTCAGGAGTTCCCATGCAGTACCCAGGTCGATTCAAGGCTGGTACCAAGCTAGGGGCTTGTTTCCTAAGGTTTGCAGCGGAGAGGGTTGGTTTGGTGGTTGGGTGGGTAGGGGTGGGGAGCGCCTAAGCTTTTGGGTTAGGGGTTTTGGTTGAGGTGCCCGGGGCGGGGCTGGGAATCTCAAGAGACAAGCCCCTAATTGGGAGACAAGGGAGTTGCCAAAAGGATTCAGGTTAAAGTTCCGATGAGCACGCCCGCGAGGAGTAACTCACAAGGCAGATCGAGTGTCATGCTGAGAATTGACGCGTAGTAAAGCTGCCACAAGCGTTCAGATTCAATGCGTTGTTCTTCTTTGAACGATTCAACCAACAAGCCGGACAACCAACATCGCTTTGGACAGAACAACTGGCAATACCGCTAAGTAAGTTGTGCGGTTGCCCTTACAGGCTCTTCGATATATTGCTGAGCAGCCAAAGCAGACGTGCCGCCAGCTTTAGGACTAGACAGACGAGAGACGGTCAATAGATTGGAGTACTGGAGCTCCATCATCCTGGGATCATGGCGGTGACCCTCGGGATGCGATGCATCTGCTTCAAGCACGGTGCCCTCCTTGTCATGGCTGTTCTTGTGCAGCTCTTTCAAAGTGCACAGGCTCGTGTCTTAGACTATCCTAAAGCGCCTAATGAGACATACACGGTCTGCACGGTCTACAATATTCCCTACTCCACCTGTGACCTAGGCTCCACAGACAGCTCAACCTATGGAGGTAAGACCATTGTGCAGTTTAGGCAGGCTCCAAGTGGCTCCTTGAAGATGTGACTGTTTGCAGACTCATTGCTACCTCAAGTTCAATATTGCTGATAGGTGTCACCTGTGCACTGCAAAGGTGCCAGAGTTCGTCCTCGGGGTTCCGTCCTCTAGAGCTTGCTCGGCGAGCTCATGCCTTGGCACACATGTGTGAGCTCAACAGTAAAGGTGTGGCCTTGATAACAGCCATAACAATGCCCTTACATTGGGCCACTTATACATGCTCGTTGGTTCAGCCCCTTTGCTACCATCTCCACCCGGCTTGCACTTATTCTGCTGAAAGTTGACACCTGCATTCTCGCTCCATGATTCAGGTTATGCAGTCAAGGTATTCGAGGAGGCTGCATCAAAAGCAGGTTGGTCGAAGGACGACTATACATGGGAATGCCTGGACTATGACCCACTGCAAAGCGACATCCTCAACTCCTCGATCTATGCCTTGTGTGATGTAACAGCAGCAGATATGCAGGTAAGACATCACCAGAGGCCTGCATAGCACAGGCTGGCATAGATTGTCATGGAAGAGCAAATGCTGCTGCCGAACAAGTCAACATGTAGGGGTCTAGCCTCTTTGTTGACTTTAGGCATTGATGCAGTTGCAGACATTCTAGTTGCATAGAGGTTCAGGTGTGATCAAGCAAAGCATGGGCTTTCAGCTGTCCTAACTGTCCCTTTTCGAACCTGTAGTGTTGACTTGTTGACCCCCTGCTTAGTGTTACAGAACTTCTCCAGAAACCTTAACCAAGTCATGATGTGTTCTGTAGCTGACTCTTAAAGCTCTTACCCTGATCTTCTCAAACGGCTCCCCAAGAGGGCTCTTTGACTAAATGAGACCCCACATTTCAGCAGAGCCATTGGCAGGGCCATTGACAAGAGTGGACATCCATCCTATGTGAAACTTTGCTTGCACGGTTCCTTGTTCCTGAGATTACTAGTGACCTAGCTGCTAAAACAGGGCTGATCGAGGTTGGTAAGAAATGCCAGCCAAGACCCTCTGAGTCTCATGAGGCTCTTCCCGGCACCGCAGATCCGGCCCGACTTCCTGGCCGAAGGCGTTCAGTTTGCATATCCAGACTTCCACAACAACCTGGCGGTGATGGTCTATGCCAAACTACAGCAGCCCGATGGCTGGATCTTCACTAAGCCGTTTGCATGGCAAGTCTGGGGAATGCTCATTGTGGCTGGTAAGTCCCAAATCAACAAAACTCCGTGAGGTGTAATCAAGTGCTGTACTTCCGCACTTTTCTCGAGCGGAGCGCTTGCATGACTCTGGTTTTCGAGGGTTGGTTGCGCAGCTTGAAAGCCACAACAATGTGTGACATGAGAAACTTTTGGTTGGAATCTTTTGAATGACCGAGGTGTTTGGTCAATGGTGTACTTTGCTACATTTCCTTGGCAACAAATATCACTGCCTGGACTCTCCGGCACTCAAACACTCTGTGCCTTGCTTGCAGCCCTTGCAGTAAGTCTCGGGGTCCACTTGGTCGAGGTACTTTCGAAGCAGCACACAAGTCGGGAAGTCAGAGCAGGAGTGTCTTTTACGGGGGAACATGGTCTATTCGAGTCCATGTGGATGGGTAAGTGTCAACTTTCGCTTTTCTACGTTTTGAGAGGGCAGGTTGAGGAGTCCACAACCCAAAAACAGTACGGATGTCTGATCGAACAACTATCACCACGGTTTGCTGCTTGTTTTAGGCGCGAAGAGAGGTGGCGGCTTGCAAAGCCCCCAATCCCTTTGGGCTTTTGGAGTGAGGCACTCAGCTGTTAGCACTCGCTTCACTACTCTGCTCTTTGCACTGCTGCCTCTCGCAGCGGGGGATGTGGACTTTCACCTCTGCAAATGAAAAATGCTAAAACAAAAGCCTCGTCTAATTTGGGAAGGCGTAAGCTAGAGATATGGTCTAATATGAAGTTGACAAGGCTGACAATTGCCTCCGTTTCTTGCAACAGCACTGGGCCAGATTGTTCAAGCTGCTTCCTTGACGGGGATCTCCCTGGCCTCCCGCCTCATCATCCTTGTGTGGTGCTTCATGATTCTACTTCTTCTGACCATGTATACCGGAAACGCAGCGGCCCTGTTGACCATTCAACAATTCAAAACCACCATCAACAGTGAGTCTTCAACCTAGGGTGGGAAAGTCAGCAAGATTCTGCAAAGAAGAATCCGACCAGATACCCAAGTTTGAGGGCTTTATTAGCAGGCTTGCTGCGTTTGTTAACGGCTTGAACTATGCGGCAGCGCTGGTGTAGCTCGGCTACTTAGTGTCTTCGAACACTGGACTGCTACTCTTGAGCGGCGCAATTTCGCTCTTCTAGCAGCACGGTTTAGCTTACATGAAACGATCACAACATAGGTAGAAGCTTCGGATTTGCCCCTCTGTAGAATATGGATGACAGTTTTGCAACGGAGTCTTGGTGCTGAACTTCGGACTCTTTCACCGTTAACTTGCAGCAAGATACGACTTACGCGGTAAAAGTTTTGGCGCCTGGGAAGGGGACGCTGGGACACTGACCAACTTTGGGCTTCTCCCCACACTCTATCCTTGGTGAGCGTCAGATCCCGAATGGCTACGAAAATAAACTTGCTCAAAGGCTCTCAAGGGTCAAGGTTGTCGTCTCCCCTCAAGTCGTTGCTTGCCTGCGCACGCCTGATATGCGCTTGATCAACACGACTGCGCAAACAAGCGGATTCTTGCCTAGCTACGACTGTCGACGAACGCAGTTTCGCACAAAATAAGTCCATTACTCGCATGCGCTCCGGACTGCATACGATTCTCCTTGTCGAGTCAAAAGTTGCCGGCTGAGATTTGGCTACGTTTGCTTTCCAGGAACAACGACGAGGATTTCGAGATTATGTTAGGCGATCTCCAGAGCGGGAAAATCGTTGCGCTCGTCCTTGACATCGCTGTGGTGCAGTACTTATCCTCGACGGACTGCAACTATCATCTTGTAAGTGATTGCCGTCTTCAGAACCTGGATCGATGTGAAAGCAACCGTACCGCTGTGTTCTGTTTGTATGGTATCGAAGGGGGAACGGTGCCTCCGCTTTCATCCACTGGATACTTTTTGACGGCGTTCTTCAAGCATCAACAAGCACCACCGAAATCGACTCCGCTGTGTGTCAATCACAAGTTCTCCCTGATTGCTGCCTGCTAGCTGCGGAAGTTGTCGAACGAAGTTAGCCCACCTTACATTCCCAGCATGATATTGGGCCCTTGAATGTCGGACGAGTGGTTTAGTTGACCTAGAAGCTGTGATGGGGGGCTCGAAGTGTTGGCACTCCGACGGCTGAACCGAACCTTAACGGCTCTACCTTCTTGCCTTGCAGCAAGACCAGTTTGCTTCCATGAACTATGCAACGGCGTTCTGGCCCGGAGCGCATCCTGCACTGGTGGCCAATTTGAGCGCCGCAATTCTGGACATGGAGGTTTCCGGGGAGTTGGACAGGCTGCAAACAGTGCACTTCACGCAAGGCGCGACCTGCTCCGTGTATTCCGCAACCACAAAATCAGTGACGTTCTCTCAGGTAATTCTCAGAGGATGCTTTGCCCATTACAATTCTCCGGGCCTTTATTTACACCGGAAATCAGGGGGGCTGCCGCCCCCCCCGAGCCCCCCGGCTCCTTCCTCTTGCGGTCTTAACGTCGTTGCAAGAGATGTGGACTACAACTTCTGCTTGCCACTCACTTCTGCACCGATGAGTCGCCTGGTTGAGCTGGTGCATGATTGGCTCGAGAAAGCTTTTGTTTGAGAACGCGGGTCGTTTCTTGCAAAACAGTATACTGCTGCAGAGTTGATGGAGTCAATGTCACCACTCCGTTCTTTTGTTTGTAATAAAGCAACCTTGAGAAACTTGCGAATCGTGAAACCTGTTGACGAGCAGATATGATGCTAAAGTTTGGCGGCTACGTTTACTTGCAGGTGTTTGGGCTTTGGGTCGTGCTGGCCGTAGCCATTGTATTTGCCATTGCAATATCCCTTATCAATGGACAGATAGCAAAGCGAAAGTACGTGAATAAGCTGACGAGCAAGGTAATGGAACAATGGAATGCTAAGAGTTTGAGGGGCATCAAGAGAGCCGAAGAAAGTGCTGAAGGTACTGACGTCGAATCCGGGGATGCCTCCGGCAAGGAGATAGCAACGATGAAAGCTTCGGCCAATGATGGACAACATGTTGCTGCTGCCGCAAAGTTCAAGTTCAAGAGCGCAATACAGAAAGCAGTCCGAGGTGAAGCAAGTCAAGTTTGAAAATGTCGTTGGAGTAGTAAATCACGCACTGGAAGTCTACTCTCTACACGGTTGCAGATCATTATAGAATCTTGAAGTAGTAACATTCATAGGTTTACAAGTATAGGTCGTCTTGCCTCGTGAGAGGTCATGTCAAGCAGCGGCTTGCACGATAGGAGAAGTTGCACACGAGAGCAATGCATAGCTATGTAGCCCAGGGTAATGCCACTCGTTTGTAAGCATGCGCAAGCCGCCAGGGTCACTAGGGCAAGGTGCATTTCGGCTACTTTGAAGGTCCGCCTTTGTTTTACCGATCCAATCTCCTACAAATTGGTCACTCAAAATTGTCGCTTATTGTTGTCATAGATCAGTCGCGGATGGCGGCAGTGCATTGAAGCATGGCGCCTCGACTCATGCTCCTTTGTCGAGCTTGAGCCGATTGGAGCGGGCCACGCACTGCATACATGTGTACGTAACACATGGCACTGCATGAGTCACCGCGGATCTCCTGCGGTCCATGCTATGGAACATGCAGGGCGCGACGCCATGATACCAACGTGCCAATGCCAGCCTCCGATATGGTCTTAGTAGCTAGTCGGCTGTCCAATCCCGGCGCGCGGCCTGAGGCAATTGCACATGACAGCCTCATATGAAACTTGAAAGCCGATCGTTGAGTTGGGTTGCATGGCCAACGAAAGTATCGTGTTACATGATAGTTAAATTGTTTTTGTCGATCAGTGTTATTATTATATAAGTCATGCATATTCGGATCAACTTATTGCTCAAAGCACCATATAATAGCTAGTGCACATAATAATTCTACAGCATATATTATTGTGCACTGATACAGTGCATATATAATGATACCGCATACGACAGAATATAGCTTCACCAAATGTGATCGACAGCAACCGTCCGTAATACATGGATCACCGTCATTACAGTGTTAGTCTCATGAGACTACTAGTGACTCCATGCAAACCTGGTAGTATAAGGCAAATCATGAACACCATTGCATGGAATCATGAGCCGCGCGGTCCGTAATGATTCAACCATGCAGGACGAGAGATCCGTCACTTGTAGTCATGTTTGACAAAGAATTACACTGGTTGAACAGTATTGGTCGACAATAGCGCTCCATTGAGATGCATCCGACAAGTAGCCCGAACGCAAAACCTTAAAAAGCTTGTGATCTTATGATCCATGAAGTCTATACGTGGATCCCAGTGTCACCTACGACACTCCCATCCCAAACACACAGTCCAGTCCGTAAGCACTTGATAATTCCCTCCCGCGCCGGTAATCTCAACCTTTTTCGTTCGGCTTTTCCGTCAAAGATCCAGTCTATCCTACAAACGTAACTTTTGTACAGGTATCAGTTTTTGTCAATCCAATAGCTCGGCCCTTGCTAAGATGCCCACCATGAGAAGCGGGACTTCGATCCTGATCCACTAGCGCTGCCTTGCTAGACTGCCCACAAACCACTTAGTAACGGTCCCAAACCCTAGTTAAGTGGTCTAATTAAGGGTCAACCACTTCCACGAAAAGGAAGGCACGCCTCTATGCAAAGGTCTACTGCAGCTGCAAGCGCCATGAACATGGCGGCGTCCCCAACGGTAGCGACCTGGCAAAGTGTCCACGATTTCAGAAATAAGCCACTGTCTAAGTGGACCCAACGGGAAAAGCTTAGCCGAAAAGGATTGGGGAAAGGCGACCAATTAGGAAATCATTGAAGGAATTGGCCAGGCGTGTCACGTAAAAGAAACACCAGCTTCTCCACGATCTGTTTCATGTTCAGAGGTATGTGGAGCTAAGTCGCGCGTTTCAAGGTTTCGTCCCGAATGCAGGATATTGCTTGGCGTTTCAAGAGAGTCTCTACAGGCTCTAAGGTCTCGAGTCCTTCTCTACAGTCTCGATTCCTTCAACAGGGGAGGGGGTGCAAGGGATCGAGCGTACCGTTCCTTTCTCATTTTTGCACAAACGAGCAGACGATTATCGTTTCAAAAGCAGTATCAAATCGAACACAGTGCCCCAGCATCAGGCTGACGAAAACCTTAAGACAGCAGCGCTGCTGTGGACGTACTGGTGTCAGACAGGCAACAATTTGCCAGTTCATGCATACTAGCGCCCAACAGGCAAGAATCGTCAGTCGAAACGCAATGACGTTAGACAAGGCATTACTTTCCGAATTGAGGCCTCCGTGCAGCATTCCAAGACGATGACGATCATATTCTCTGGTAGAAGAGTCGCATATTCAACCCAGCTCAAGGTGGAGAACGCAGCGAGATGCTCAGATCCTAAGGTCACCATATCTGCCCAGCGATTAGCTGAATCTGACCCACACAAAGGCCGTCCCTATGGACCGAGGGAAACTCTGCAGATAGCACAAAGTGACCAAGACCAATCCACCCAACGCGTCCGTTTTAGTGCAGATTCGCTGGAACTGGTCGTCGGACCCAAGTCCGATCGGAACTGACCGCCGAACCTTGCCCAATGCGCAGAACCTGAGCTGTTCGATGACTCGAAGGAAATTCATCAAACGGCCCGAGTTCTGTGCATCAGGCAGATTCTGCGAACGGTTCGGATCAGACATAGGTCAGGCGACCAGGTTTGACCGAACCTGCAGTCCTCTGCCCAACCAGACGAGCGCATCCGTCCAATCAGAGAAGGTCACAAGAAACGCACTCACTGTGCGAACCAAAAACTAATCGCTTATAGATGAACATCGGGTTCACAGTAGATATTAGTACGTTTGACGAGCACACGTCACTTTGTCGCCCCCCACTTTGGAGCGTTGAGTTCAGCCAATATCCCGGAACAACGCACCTGCCGCATGCTGACGTTGACTGTCGGGCAGCTCTTGTTGCGGTCCCCTCGAATGTACGCGCTCATCACGAAACCCGTCTGAGGGCTCAGCCACGCCTGCGACAGCGTCAGCGCAGGGGACGGCTTGCCGCTCGCGTTGGCAGGGTACAGAACGGGCATGCGGAGGGAACCTTTAGGCTTCCCCTGGATGCGGAAGACGCCGCCCTTGCTCGGGTTGATGGTCGCCTCAGCAACGACAACCTGGGAATAATAGAACAGCACGACGATTTTAGTCAAAGAGGAAACGTCTTTTTCGGTTGATGCAATTCTTTTCTTCAAGCTCCAAAGGTTGGAAACAAACATAATCAGACTCGGGACAAGTTTGAGGGCAAGAACCAAAGGAAGACCTGAAGAACTAAACGCTGAACACTAAGTCGGAAGAAGTTCAAGGGGCAAGAACCAACAGCAGACTTGAACGACTCAACCCTCCAGCGCTGAACAACATCACCCAACAAAAGCAGACCGGGAAGGGAAACCTACGAATCTGGTAAGCGACCGAGGTGGTCCCTGCCGACTTCAACCCCAACCCCGACCCAATCGCCAACCCTTTAACCGAGCAGATGCTTGTCTCAACCCCTCAGAAGCTTTGCTCACATGTCCACAGGCCTTCTGAGCAACTGGAACGTACATGGCACTCCCTCAGCTTTACTCACATGCACGGAACTTTGATCCAGATGGAACCTCGTTTGATCCGAGATGCAACCAAAACCCCGAAGCATATATCGCACGACTCTTCTAATCCAAATGGAACCCCATTTCTCAAATGCAACTGAAACCCTGAAGCACAAAGTTTCAAAAAGATCTGCTGACCTGGCTAGCGGGCATGCTGCTCCCGTCCCCATCCACCACCGACAGTCTCAGGATGATGTTACTCCCTTTCTTCTCCTTCCACGCCTCTAGTTTGCCCCAGGCCCGCCAGGTGTCGTTCCCAGATTGGTCGACCTCTGGCCGAAGTAACAACCAGGCCCCCGGGTTGGATTTGCACACCGCATCGCTACCGGCGGAAGGTACAAACGGTGTAATCTGGAGAGAAGAACGACACCATGTTATAAATAGACACAATGGAGGGCGTGACTTGATTCGTGCCTAGAAATGGTCCGTGTGCTGTTACAAAGCAGGAACAGGGTCAGGTGGAAGAAAACATCCTGTTCCCGCAACAGAAAGGTGAGAGGTCCGGGTGGCGCTTTGGAGCCAGCGCCTTAAAAGCAACATACTCGGGCATCCAAAAAGATGCAAGCACTGTAATAGTTCTTCGTGCAGCAGGTGAACAAAAGCAGTGGACACAACAAACCCTTATTGCCTACAACTCTGGAACCGTGACCTAGTCAAGCAGCAGAAAAATGCCACTCGAACGTTTGTTTAGCTGAAGGCTTGTGCTGATAATCGAAATGAGGGATGTCCACCTCCATTGCAGGTTGAGTTTGTTTAATGCAGAATCTCTGACCTGGTCATTTGAGTAACCCACAGAATGCACGGTCAGCAAGCCTTTCTGTACTATGTTAGATCAAACCATCAGTTGCTTTGGCCTTGCTTCGACTTGATAAGGCGCTGCGAGTCGATAAAGCCTCGAAACTACGTCACCGCAGCGACTGCTTCATTATACATTCTGATCATCTCAATCATCTCAGTTTACAGGCACTAGCAATGTTCTTCGACTGTCTTCCGCTTGCATCACTTCGATGATATTGCACAACAACACACTCGCATCACCTCAAGAGCGGAAAGTGGTATACTGCATGGGAAGCCAACAAGTCCTTCCCCTAGAAATTGCTGAGTGTCCAAATAGAATGCGGGTGTGGCAGAACCCTGCAGGGGCTGCGGCAACCCTGAAGGGGGTAGGTACTTTAAAACATCTCCTGAGAAAAAAACACCGCCTAAGAAAAGAAACACCGAAAGTACAACCAAACCCTAGATGTGTAATCTCACCATGGACGCTGCAGCCACGGGCGTTCCGTTCAGATCGTGAATCATGGCCAGCCACCCTTTCCGCTCTCGGCCCTGGCTGCCCCCCATTACAAACGGCACCGACGCTCGCAGTGCATCCCAGCCGGTCCTATTGAGTGTGTCGTTTGTCCCCATACTGCATTAGAACGTGTCATGATGATTTGAGAGCAGTGTAACAGCCGACTAGACATGGCAGCAAGTTGTCTAGAAGTTTGAAGTGCGGAAGAGGTGTTGAATGTGTGGGAGGGAGGCAAAGAGCTTGTCTGCCGGTTGAATCAATCATTGCCCCAACTCCCGAATGCAGCGGGTGAGGAGATGCTGTCACCTCATCAGCAGCTAGGAAGAAGCTGCAACTAAACCATAAGCACTTGAGAGGGTTTTGCACTTCACCAGAATTGAAATGTTTCTACTGGCCACATTTGCGAGCCAGATGAGGAATGAGGAAATGAGGATGACTTTCTTGCAAAGTTTTTAGTTCCAACAAAATGCAGCTTGCGAAAGAATCGTAGCTGCCATGACAGCTGCAAAAAGTATCCTGGAGACATGGTAGGCCAAATGAGGAGAATTGAGGCGCCTACAATGCATCGCTTGAATCTCCAATCGCTCCCAGGTGAAGATTCTACCACAATGTCAATGAGTTCCTCGCTGGCATGCATTTGTGGCCTCTTGAGATCAAGGATCTGTTGGGACAAAAATGAGAAAGGCAAATATCGGTTGGGATCCAGCAGTCTGAAAGTGAAGTTTGTCGCCGCAGGCAACATCAGAAGAGCTTAACCCTAGCTCCGACACTGAACGTTGCTGGTGGCAAAGGTGCTCGCAAAATTTGCAGCGCGATATTGGAGGGGAAATTCCTCAAATGAACGCTACAAAAGACATGCTTACATCAAGGCATTTTGGTGGATTGCTACAGGCTGAGCTCTGAGTGCACTGTTGATGGTCAAGCGAAAGAAAAACTCAACAAACTTGTAATTATGATACATGTCACAAGATAGTAATCGACCATGTAGTGAAAGTGACAAGGAAGATGCTGAAGCTGCACAGAGTCTTTGGAAGTGACAAAATGCAACCAGCTCCTGAAGCAAAGAATTGAGTGGCCAGAATACAGTTAACAGATCAGCCTCAGAAATGCCTCAAACTACTCGACACTCACCTTGGTCTAGAGCCTCTGTCTGTGCAAAACTTTATGGAGAAGAGGGGCTGCTGGCTGTCCCCATTGACCTGGAGGATCTGCGGGCTTCGCGTCGTGGCCCCATCAAACTCAAACATCAACCTCGGGTCCGGTTCTATCCGCACAACCGCATGCAACTCCATCTCATCGTCAGCAGAGCCCTTCTTGGCCCTCTTTCCTATGGATGCCCAACCCCCATGTGCAATGAACGGCTCGTTCGCCTCCCAATCCCTATCCACAGGGAGCTCAAAACGTCCCAACACAACCCCACTCCCCCTCCCACAACAAGACGGTTGTGAGGCCATCTTTAGGGTGATAACTAGAGCGGATGACTTTGAGCTAAAGAGCGAGGTGAGGCTCCGCTCATCCAGATAGAATGTAGCAGCAATTGCAGAGGAGTTGACATCCGGGCCCGCTAAGCCAGGCGGCACAAGGGGGACAGGTGCAGTGTGAATAGGCAGCTTCCCGAGGCAGAGCTCTGCATAAGCGGGAATGGAGGCTGAATGGACCTGTCCTCCACCCCCTATGCGGGCGTGAAGAGGGACCCGAAGCGCGAGAGCCGCTACACAAACTCGGACATACGAGTGCGGTTCCATTCTGAGGCTCCCGAGTCCCAACGTCTGAGCGGCTCTACGAAGCTGTCCTGCAAGGATTGCTTCACAAGAGGGACGTTCTATTAATACTATTACTAGCTCGAACCACCCTTCCTGAAGAGAACCTTCATAATAATGTCAGTGTCAGATGCAGGAGGGAAAAGCTTCCGCTGCTTCGCAAGTTCGCAACTCTGCATGGGGAGGACAGGCCATGGCGCCAATTCTTCCAAGAGAGGCGAATAGAGCACCCAATTGAACAATTCTAGCTTGCTCAATTCTAGATACCTGATTTCTTTAGCCAGGCTGGCAGTTGAGGGACAGCTGGCAAGGGAATATGCCCAGATTGAAGTATCTGCGTATAGGCCAGGGATGAGCGTGGCTATATGCGCACACTGACCGAATTTGGGAGTAGCCTACCAATATTATGTTTGCCAGGGCGCAGCGAATAGGATTTGGAACGGTCTTTGTGCACCTACTTCTCCCAATTTGGCCACAGACTATCCTGGTCCACCTACGAAACCTTTCTTCACCTGAATATAGGTACCTAGATCGCCGTAGTCTAGGTACTCAGGAGTCAGGACCGTACTGGTAGGTGCTGGTAGGTACGGTACCGTGTTCTGTATTCCCATGAGAATTTCTACCGACGCGCAGGACTCGAGAACCGTGGAAGAACCCAGGTACAGGCGGAGGACCATGACTCATGAGCAGGCCAAGACAAAGAGAGAAGCTCCTCTCATGGGCGAGAAAACCACCACCAGTCCAGCTAGAAAGCGATGAAGCTTACGGGTAGTGTCCTTGATTCAGTTAGGTAGAGAAACATGATGGAAACAGCTTACCAATAAGTAGACTTGAGCTAGATACCATCCGATCATCTCGCATCGCTGATATCTGTTTCTGTTGTGTTGTGCTGACGCCACCGAGTCCTAGGACGAGAGCTCTCATCCGTGTGCTGAGCTACGGTCACGCATGTTGCCCGCGACAGACATCCATATATTATTACAAGGTGACGTTGACGGTTGTGCCTATTGCAGTCAGCCCAACCGTGGTCACTCGCCGGTACAGGGGCCTGCTGAGCTAGAAATGTCCATGCGGCTGCGCGGATATATGTGTGATACGTTATGCTACACACCGTCAAGGGCGCTCCATCCTATCATGCGTGTGAAGAAGTTTCAGTAAATTACTGATACGCCCCGGCGGCCGCGACCCAGGCGCTTGCTAAGATAACATTGTATTCAATGCGAGGCGTGTCAATCAGAGGTAGATTTGTGAATAGCGGCGTAACGCGAGCTAGCGGCCTGCGATCAAACAAAACCGAATCATAGGTCAATCGAAAAACACTTCCATGATCGAATGCACAATGACTCGCTAGTGGTACTCCAAGGCCTGCCGTCCTGGCATACTGCCTAGTCGCTTAATGCCCAAACAGCAACTAACGAAGCAGCCAGACTCGAAATTATGAAGGCCGGAGCCACAATGATCGCACAAAATTCATCGGGCCATAGGCTTCGTTGAATCCCGTTGTGCAAAGCAAGGTGGGTGACTTCAAAAAGAAGGTTGAGTTAAAATTTGCTTTCACGAATTTAAAAAGAAAATTACTATCCACACCAACTATTAGTAACCCGAAACGAAGTCAAGTCACTGCATCAGGAGCAGCTACGCACAAGAATGTGTGTGCGCACAACAGATGCGTACCACAGAAACTCATCGCAGCAAAACCGGCTCCTACAAACAGCCCCGCCAGCGTTCTTCTTCCATCTAACCTCCAAGCCCTTGGCAGCAGGTGCTTCCACGCGCCCAGAATGATTGCTCCGCTCGCAAGCATCATCACATCATCCAACGGCTGTAACCGCCTGATCCCAAGTGCTAACGCCACAACGGCTCCAACCGGTCCCGCGAACCCTGACAACGCCGAACTCAGTAACGCGCCCCGAGGACTCTTGCTAAGAGCGCCGATTATGGCGGCCACTGCCGCCCCCCGGGGCAAGCTATGCAGCACGACTGGGGCTAGCATGTGCAAACCGATGTTGCCCTCCGCTAACCGAGCCGCAACCCCAAGCACCAAACCCTCAACCCATGCGTGGATCAAAATCGCCGTCACCGCTAACATGGCCGCTTTAGAAACCGGCGTGTCCAACAATTTCCCGTCACTCTTGAGCACCGCCTCTTCCTCGTCCGTCTTCTTATGCACGCCCCGCCCGACGGCCCAGTGACCCACTAACCCGAACGTAACCGCGCCTAACCCTAGAAACAAAACCATGTTTAGCCACGGCGGATGATCCCCCAAAAGCAATTGTACTGGTCGAGCCGCGCCGAGCGCGAGCATGAGCCCCGCCGCTCCTCCCATCATCCCGGCTTGCGAAAACTTTGCGACGCGCTGCGCAAAAACGGCCAAAAGACCTCCGAAAGCGGGACCGAGACCAAAGAGAAGAGACCAGAGGAGGGGGGTGGAAGGGGAGCGCTTCTGAGAACCAGGGCCTTGCTCCAACGTCTTCATGAAACAGCTGAGAGCCTCCATGAAAGCGATGGAGAGGGTGGCAGATGCGGCGATTGCCGTGGGACTGGCTTCCTGCAGGAGAATAAGCACTGGTCAGGGCGACCATAAGCGATGGTCGAGTTGCTCCACGAAGCGTCCTATGATAAGGAGGCGGATTTGGCGATGGGGTTGGCTTCCCACGAAGCGACGAATAAAGGTGTAATTGGCTGAACGATCCACGAATCAGTAAGGCGCTGAGGACGTCTTACCTATGTTAGATATGCACAAGCTCCAACAAGAGAACAACTTTTTAAGCAGGAATCAGCAGCAGATCCTGGAGTTGGCTCGAACGATCCTGTACACGTGATTAACAGCTCGACCCAGCAATCTTGCTGTCAAACCCCTCGAAGCAAGGGCGACCAAAACCTTTGCTCAATATGAGCATCTTTTCAATCAAGAGAATTTCAGGCTTTGACATCGAGATTTACGCTGGTGTCAATTGCGGTTGTCGAGCCCTTGAGAACGAGCACTTGCACCGTTCATGAAACATATGCAACACAAACCATCCACGTGGATCAGCCGCCACGCACCTCTGTGCTACAACACAACGGCGAAAGACCCCAGCACAAACGAAGGGAACCCGTCAGAGCCTTCTCCCAACAGATATACTTCCCCGGCTCAGTGATGCCAGATGTTGACGTCAAAGCCAGCGCAAGCAGCAACACGCGATAGAGGCGACGAGCGTAAGCACGCAGAACGTAAACGAAGGGATCCCGTCACAGAAGACAATGGAACCCGTCGCAGAAAAAGCCGAACAGGGGAACTAGGGGGTGAAGCAAGCGCCCCCTGCTCTATTCTTTCAGAAAACGCCAGTACATAAACAAAAGAAACCGATTGTTGCTTGGGCTGGATCAATTTACCAATGTATGATATTATCCTATGATATCGGTCACTCGGAACATGCGTTCCTTGGTGGGTTACGCTGCACAACTGAAGTTTCGAAAGGGTTAAGAAAACGGCGCCCCACCTCCAGGCTGTCTGGCAGCAGCTCCGCAAAGACCATCCATATCATGCACCCCGCGGCAAAGCCCATGCACAGCGGCAAGAACTTGGTGAACGTCTCGGCAAACATGTAGGCGGGAACCGCAACCAGCGGCTGCGGTAAGCTAGTGATGATGCTCCAGAGCATGGCGCGACGTGCGCTGACGCCCTTCGAGGAGAGGACCATGCTGACCGCCAGACCCTCGGGGATGTTGTGCACCTGCGACGGATTTGTTGGGAGTGGTAAAGGTTTGGGTTCGGGAGGAAGACACGCTGCTTGAGGGTTGATAATTTGGATTCCAGTGGTCAACCTGCTGAAGGGTCTAGTGGGGTCATAAACCAATGAATTGGGTTTGCTAAAGCCATTCGAGGAGAGGACCATGCTGACCGTCAGGCACCCCAAGATCTTGTGTACCTGGACGTGTTTGTTGAGACTTACTACATGCGGGTGGACTTTTTGGGCAAAATATTTTGGCTCCACTGAATAGTTCAAGTTGGCGTCTGAAGAGAAGGACCATGCTGGCCGGCAGACTCGTGCACCTACGGATTTGTTGACAGTGGTTGAGGTCCGGCTTCAGAACGACAACTTTCTGGAAGATCTATCAGGAACGACGTCACTGGTTTCAAGTTCGCTGACGTCCTATGTAGATAGAATCACGCGCAAACCAGACGTGTACTTTCGGAAAAACCAGGAAGAGGTCTTCTCCAAAGATTGCGCTGTGATGAGCGTGGTTAAGGTAGGCTCGTGAGGACAGGGAGGGTGCACTACAGGTCCACAGAACAGAAGTATTTACGTTGGCCAAGAGGTCTTTTGTGAGAGTTCTGCATCTGCCAGGGAGCTGACCTAGGCTCTCTCTGTGTTGGAAGTTGCAGGAACTAGGAAGGGAAACGAGTCGCCCCCACACCAGGGCTGCTGGACAGACCTAACAATAGAAATAACCGAGGGGCCGAGGAAAAAGAGTCACAGTACAGGTCGAAGTCTGTTGAGGCACATCAAAACTCAAATAGCTGAACAGCAATTTACTTTGGTGATCTTTGAAGGTCGGATCTGAGAGCCGCGGTGAGATAAATGAAGAATGACAAATGATCCTGATGCAGTTCAAAGTTTGAGAGAGTGGTGAAACTCAAAAAGTGTTTACTGTAAGAGCACCACCTTGAAAGCTGGGAAGTTATATGCATGGGCCAAGGAATTGATGGAAGAAGATCAAAGATTGTAAGCTAGTTGGGACAAAAACCGCTACATTTGATCTGACATGCCGACTGCAATGCGCTGGAGAGACTTGCCTACCAAAAGGAAAAGAGGAGCCAGAAAGGACGGTATTTGGACTAAGTCAAACTAACCACGTGTTTTACCTCAGCTTTTCCGTGCTGGAATCTGGACCTCAGCCATTTCAAGATAGAGGAATTGTTCCACAAGGAACTTTTGGAAATACATGACCATGTGGAGAACGTCAAGAGCGCACCGGAAAAAGCTCCCCAAACCCGTTTTAGCGAACATCCACTGCCACACAGACAGACGTCCGCTGGTCGGCAAAGGGTCTTCGACTCACCGCAATGGCGATCGTCACCAGCAGCCCTTGCGGAAGCCCTCGAGGCCCCGCAAATGAAACCCCCACTCCAGCCCCCTCGCCAAAAGCATGTAGTGTCATGATGGCTACAATGAGGGCGGCCTTGTGCGCATTGACACCCTCCAGTGACATCAGTTTAACCTCACCAAATTGGGCCATATACTGCAAGGAACGGACATGTGTCAGGTGCTTGACGAAGGTCAGCCAGAGAGTATCGCCCTGCCTAGGGAAAGCAGGCTTTGAACACAAGCAATGATAGAGACGCATTTGAAAAACTGGCTCCAAAGACGATGTGGGACTAAATGTGATCGCTTCCACAAACATCGAATTTAAGAGGGTCCGGGGCCAAGACTCCATTACCCTCTACAAGAGAGAGCTGCAAGCCGAATGCAAGTTCCTGCTGCGGGGTGCCTGCTGCCGACGTTCAAAAAATGATCCGACACTGAACACTTGCTGAATGTGGTTGAATGCGGAAACAGTCAAATCTGACGTGAGCTGATTTTGACGTTCAGCTGCATGCAATGCAGCTGCAAGTAACTTGCAATTGGGTCAAACTCAACGCGGTTGGAAAGGGATCCCCTAGCTCACTTCGGCCTTTCTTTCTCATACCAAGTAAGAAAGCCCCCTCACTCCCTGGCATGAGCTGCGTCTGCCATTGACCCCAGCCATCAACCGAGCCAGCAACAGCATTCACCATTTCGGCCCCTTAAGGCAGAGAACGACCGTGTGCCCTCTACATGCATGACGCACATCAATGACACCTCTGACACGACGGAACAATGTCGCTGAGCAGAATAAGAAACTGAGGAAAAGGGTGTTTCCCCCACCTTCTGGCTTGCAAGGATGAACAGTCCCCCCAAGAGCACACCAAGGACCACGCACTCCGCCCCCCCATAAGCCTCCCCCTCGTGCAATAGCCCAAAGCTAGCCGCCAGCATCACTCCGCAGGCCATCCCATTGCATATGCCAGCGTAACCCTTCCCCTTCATGTCTAGAAAGAAGAAGGGGACAGACCCCAGGCCAGTTGCAAGAGCCATGAGAACCGTCAGAAAGGCTACCGTCACGGGCGCTACTCGGGGTTTCAGGGGGGGCGCCTTCGCAGTGTTGATGCTTGGGACCCTAGAGGCAGCCTCCGCAGACAGCGCCTCTGTGAGGAACTCTGGAGAATTTCCCTGTTGTCCTAGTTGCTCTGGTTTATGGCCGTGGTCCTTTTCTAGGGTTAGGCTGCTCGCCCCTCGAAGACTGACTTTTTCGCTCGCCGCCCCATCATCAATCTGACCAGATACTGCAGCGGTTAGACAACATACTGCCAAAAGAAGGACGGCAAGACCAGAGCCTCGGTAGCGAGGCATCTTCCTATCAGAACTGTTCCTCAAAGCAGCTCCCCGGCCCATTCTTGTTCTCACTAGCACTGTAGCAGAGACACGCCTAGTTGCGGTCAGCTACATGGTGTTTGCAGCATTACTGCAAGGGAGCTGGCGAGACTTTCAGGCTAACTTGAATGAATTAACTTTTCAGCTGAAGTCAGCTTTCTGCAGAGTAACCTGTTCAGCAGCCCCTTCAATGGGAAGCCCCCTTGTCAGGCTGACCAGGATCCTGTCCGCGACAGACAGACAAGAGCGTCTGGTGTTCCTTGCCAATGACATGCTAGAAACACCCCAATGAGAGCAAGTGCTGTACAAAGCTGGCAAAACCCCCGCTCGCCGGTCGTAGATGCTATTTAAGGGACCCCTAAGAATCGGGTTTAAAGCCTAAGGACGCTGCCCCTTTTTAGAAGCCGTGAAATTGAGTGGAGCTGAGTGACGCGCAGCTCAAGAGAGAAGGGCGCCCCAAAACAGGGTCAGAGCTCTGTTTGTGGAGCTGCGAGCATCCTCAGCCTATTGACGCCCATGCAGGCGAGCAGTCTCTTCCTATCCAGATTCCAGGGTACCGTATCCTATACCGCGGTAGTACCTAGACTCAGAGTTGCAGGACTCAGAGCTCAATCTCCCCAATGGCAACTGCAACTTGCAAGGCTCAAACGCGCTTTCTATAAAATTCTTCTTGTGCCAAATTCTGAACACACCGTTTCTAAGCCGGACACTCTACCACTCCAGTCCGGGGATCGAGCTAGCTAATCTAGCTGATAAGTACCTAGTATATAGCAGTAGAGATTGGTCACCGGTACCTCTGGTGCATGGTGGTCACCGGCCACCAGTTGCCTCATCGGTGCGAACAGAATATTCCTTGCCCCCTGATATTTCGTACATAATACATATGCCTACGGACAGCTGTTGCTTTTTGCTGATGTCACGGACTGCACCAGCGCGCGCGCTAAGCTTGAGGCCAGACGTATTCAATCGATTGCAGTGGCTCCGGCGGATGCAAATGCAAGACTCAGGCCGGAACAAGGCCGGAACAAGGCCGGAACTTGCTCGCCCTTCGGAATCAGGCTTGTGCAAGGAAACGGGTCGGCCGCTTCCCATATGGAGGTCGTTGCACGAATGGCTGTCACACATCGAAGCTGAAGGGTAGTTATAGACGTATAATAAACAAAATCAAGATCAATCAAAACGACCGCCATCATACTGTATCCCAGCGGGATCCAGGCGTTCAATGGCCGATAACGAGCAGCTGGCCAGCCGATTCAAACGAGTGTTTCATGTACTTCTTGGTCCAAGTGTTTTTGACACCTGATTGCCGCCGCTCCCGATAAAAGAATGCCATCTATGCACACAAATCACAAGTGGTCGATCGGGGGTCATAAATGTGTCATAAATGAATGGGGAATGAATGATTCAGCCCGATTCAGCACATCCAAAAATATATCAATTTTGGCGCTTCCGAGGCATCTGAAAGACACCGCCCTGCTTATACAATCAATACAGGGCCTGCTAGTCGACACGGCGATCCGATAGTACGTACTCCGCTCATCAGCCATTTGTTTTGGGACTGCCCGGCCGGGGCCCGGCGCTCATCTGACTTGATCACAAGGCCTCTAGCGTGATTAGTGCAGGGCCCTCTTGCGCCTGAATCGTCCTTCCTGCAAGCTACTAGATGCTTTTGAAATCGAACGTGCGTGTTAAGATTCTCAAATTGAGTTCAGGAAGCCGACATGTACACAGGGTGAGATAACTGAGCCCATAGACGCTCGTTACTTTCAAACACCAATCATTGCTTTTATAATATCGAACGAAAACGACAGATGATCTTGAGTCATGACAGTCGGCAGCCATAAATGGTCCGAATCAAAGCCGTTACGCAGCTGTTTGGATGGGATGTACAAGCTTGTTTTGGTAACCCCACTGGACCAGCGAAAGGTCTGGAAAGTCAGAAGCCGGAATGAGAAGCCAGCATATTGACGCAAATACGCTTAAAGTAACCAGTCAATTTGTCGTCCTGTATTGGAAACGAACACTTCTCAATTTTCCACCGGCGAGACGTTGCTCAGAATACACCCCAATATACCTCACTGTTTCACCTTTCTAGACGTTGTAAGGTGGGCAAACAACGCCCTTGATTTTGCAATCCATCGTGCACTAGAAGACGACAAGAGCACCAACGTCTTTGCAACAGTTATACTCGGTATAGAGCGAACAAGATTGCCTGGAGTTTTGTAGAATCAACGTTGTTCCAAACAGGGACTGAATGTCAAATTTGCGAGTAGCAAGTGTTACGATTCATGCGCGTTGTACTCTATTCTAGCTGCGATCGGAGGTGTTGCACCGAGGCCACCATCTCGGGCAGATCAAAGAGCAGGCAGTCGACCATTTCCACGTCCGCCCGGTCGGGGGTCCATCCCCCCGCCTCTAGTTCCTCCGCCAGCTTCTCCCGCGCGCGCAGCACATCCCCGCCGCCTCTGGTTAACTTCCCTGTTTGCCACGTGTCACTTGGTCGCGCTCTGCCGCTCTCCCCGGATTTCGCGCCCACCTTTTCGGATGCCTTGTCGTCCCGAAACGTTGCGCGAGTGGGTTGGGGGCCCCGCGCAATTGTCTCGTTCCTGCCTTCAGAAACTTGCGCGACGTGCGCGGCTTTGGAAGGGGAAGCGTCCCACCGAGGGGGCCTCTTTCCGAAGAGCAGGCTCTCTTTCTCCCAATAGTCCTGGTTGCTCGCGAGCGGACTCCGTTCCGCCTGAACGTACCGGCCTATTCCGTTTCCGTTTCGGACCTCCCTCCTGTCCGAATGTCCTCTCCTCTCCGATCGTCCGCTCTCGAAAGCCACCTGCCGCTTCGAACGGCTTTCCTCTTCTTTGATTCGGGTCCCCGCCTCCATTTTCTCCCGTTGCGTTCCGTCGCGCTCTAGACCAGTCCGTTCCGCACCGTTCCGTTCCGCTCCAAAACATTCCGCCGCGGTAAACGCGCCGCCCGGATTGCTCTCACCGTGGTCCCCCCTGCTGAACCACTCGCGCACCTTGTCGAAGGATTCCGCTTTCACCGGGTCCGGAGAAGCGTACACGACTCCGCGGAAACGCTCCCCGCTCAGCGCAACGGAATTCCGCCGTCCGCTCCTTTCCTCAGCACTGGACTGCAGACCTGACGTTCTTTCTAAACCCGGATTCCTGACGTCATCCACGCGATAGCCCTCTCGGGTGGCCGCGGTCGCCTCCGCAAACCCGGAAACCCCTTCCGCTTGACCCAGATTATTTTCTCCATCACGGGCTTCTTTCTCCAGTCGTGATCCGACGCCGAAAGCCTTCTCGTTTTCTCGAAAACGCTGCGTTTCGAAAAGTAAACCCTCACCCTTGGTTTGGGGAGCCCCATCTCCGGTCTCTTGCTTCGCGACAGCCCAATCCTTATCCAGCAACGTGGCGCCCTTTTCGCCGCCCACGTGTCTTCCGATGTCAGACACGCGTTTGGTCACCGTGGATCCCAAACTCTGCGAGTCGACGCTTTTCCTCCTATCCGGCACCCCACGTTTCTCCCATCTATTCGGGGTTTTCCCTGGTCCAAGAACTGCGCTTCTCAAACCAGATTCTTCAATCGGTCCCAATCCTCGTATGACGACTCCCTGTCTTCCTTCGTCCAGATCTCCCAATGGCTCCTCTTCCATCTCCGCATCGCTGACTCTTCCGTCCCTCCGTTCCGGCTCCCTTCTGTTCGCTCTTCCGAGCGTGTCTTGGTTGGCAAGCGGAACCCCCGACTTCGGCCGGAACAGCCCTCGCCCAGCAACCATTCCGCTCGCTCCGCCCAGGGCAGCGGAAGTCCGTTCCATCCCTTGATTAGCATACGTCGGCCTTTCTCTCCCAAGGGGGGGCAGATGCGCTCCTCCGATCAGCCCCCCGCCATGATGCTCGCCCAAAGGCCCCTCTTCCAAGTCGCTCAAACTGTGGCGCGCTGCTTCCAGATCGTTCTCTTGCGCGCGCGCTCCCATAACGTCAGCGCTGGGAGCCGCGGCCGCGGCCGCGGTGTCGCCGGCTGAGGTTCGGGGTTTGGTTCGCTGACCCCAGGAGGGTTGACTGGGGACGTACACGTGTCCGACTCTGAGTGGGTCTCTTGCTTTTGGGAGGAGCGGCGCTGTGCTTCTTTCGGGAGCATCGGCGGGTTTGGTGCGTGCCCAACTGAAGAGCTTCGAGATGGCTGCAAGGGAAGTGAGGATTGTAAAAACGACGACAATTTGAATCGGATTGAGACACTCTGGTTTTCGCTGTCCTAGCGTGTAAAGCGATACGACAACTTCTTGACAGAAGCGCGCAGAGGATGATATCAATCTCTTTGAGTAGACCATCTTCAATAAAAGGCCAATTTCGGAGTACTTCAGCGTGGGTCTTTGAAAGCCCTCTAAACTTGTGTAGAGTCATCATCGTAGAGCATACACTTCGTCAAACCATCTTTCACCGTTTGAACCAGAAAGGTGAACGGATCGAAGTCGAAGGTCAGCCCTCAAGTCGGTCAGACCGTTCGAAGGAACATGACGCACCAAAACATTACACGGGAACCCTCGGACGGGGACCGTTCAGCCTTGAGGCGATAATATAGTGGTTTGAACCAATCTGCGCAATCGCCACTTACTTGGAAACTCTTCAAAGAGAGGATCTTAAGCCGGAGAATCATTCGAGGCCCAGAAAGAGGGAAGGAGGATTGATAGAGATCGATATGGGAACGAACACAGTCAGATCGACTCAATCGGAGCGGTTGCGCAGCTTCGATACCTATGGATGCTTGACTTGCAGCTCGGACTTCCGCCTAGCACGTTTCGAACCCTCCTAAGCCTTTTCTGCCGTTACAAATGTTCGAAGTGAGGAGAAGCTTTTGCCTTTTGAAAGTTCGAGATGATAAGAAGCTTCGAAATACCTTCCAACAAGAAAAATCTTCAAAAACTTTGGCATTTACAAATGAATACACCAGGGTTGATTGAAGGAAGCTGACAAGAAGGAAGCGAACGAGCAAAGAACACGTGCCTTCTTCTGCGGCGGGAAACGTCAGCGTCCTCTTCATTTCCGCGCTACCCTCTCTGAGACGCCCCCTGCTTTCCCCCGTCCTAACCTGACCGTCCCCGTTAGGGTCTAACCTCACGGTTCTGGCCGACCCTTGACCATGTAAGCCCCGCGAGTCTGCCACGTGTCCCGCTCCCGCAACTCCCGGCAACTGGCTAGGGTTCCGTTCCAGCCTCCGATGCTGACCGGTTTCTCTGTCCGTTTGGAAAGCCGTTTCTTGATTGGGGGGTCGAACCCCTCTTCTGGGCGGGACTAAGGACGATCCGTTCTGTCTTAACCCGCTCTCATCTCGACCGAACCCGGAGTGGTCGGGACCAAACCCAGACTGGTTCCGACTTAACCCAGATCTGGTTCGGCCCAGTTCAGGGTTTGCCACGTCAGCAGCGCCCCAACGTAGATCGTCGTATTCGCCGCTGAAGTTTTGGGGGGGATCCCTCTCACGGCCCCGGGTTAAGTTTTCTGAACGAGAGCTGACGCCGTTAACCCTTCCCTGGTTTGCTGCAACCGCGAACTGGCGGTAGTCCCTCGGACTGCCGCTTCGGCTGCGGCCGATCAGAGCGTTCCGCAGTTCCGCCATTTGCTCCGTAACCGTCCTCCGCACATTCCGTAACCCGAAAAAAAAGACCAGCCCGCCGACTACGCTCGTTAGCACGCAGATAACTAGCATCGGAACCACGATCGCGACCCATTTCCTGCTCTCCTTTGAGTCGCTAACGCTTTGCGGACCAGAACTTCCCTCGGGAACCGGGTTTGGTGAACTGCCCGTAACCCTGCTTGGGTTACCGCCCGGGTTAGTGCCAACAGGGATCGGTCCGCCCGGGGTCACTAGTCCTGTTCTGGGATCGACGACCGGGGGAAACGTCCCGGGCGTGCTTTGGTATATGACCGGGTTAGTGGGCGGGTTAGCGGTGTTTGCAGTCGGTTCACCGGGCAAATTTGGGGACGTAGTTTGATTCTGGGTTTGGATTGGCCGGGTTATCGTAAACCCCGGACCCGTAAACGTCCCCGAGGGGCCTAGATTGACCGCGCTAGCGGACGGGTTTGGAGGCGGGTTAAAGGAGGGTTTGACGACGCTTGCTTGACCGGGGACGAGGGATATCGGAATATCGGGGGTCGTGTCGAAGATTAAGCCCGTGCAAACGGTGGGTGTCAGGAACGCTTGGACAAAGATTGATCCGGGAAGAGGGGCATCTGGAGAAATTTCGGGAATTTGTCAGCTTTACGGCAATGTATAGCTTAGGCTTGGTGTGCACTTGAATTAGATGAAATGTTCTGAGGGTTTCTTTGGAAGACCTAGAGTAGGGTGGGCTTTCGCCGTACCCACCAAAGATTTCGGAGTTGCCTTCGTGGATGCGGTTTATCATTAAACGGTCGCTCGAAACACGGATCCTGAGAGCACAGCAATACTAAGAGTTTTATTTTTCTCCAAACCTGCCGGTCATGAACCCCTTAACGACTGCTCTTTTCCTCGACTGCATTCGCACAGCTTTTCTCTCAATTTTGTTGGTGTGAACGTGGAAACCGCTTTGTTGCTTTGTTTCATGAGCTGCGGCTGCGCTGCGCTCACTTTCATCGGGTACACTTTCCGTTTTTCTCATTTGAAGCCAGCCTTTCGATTCTGGCTACAACGAAGGGGGCGTGGAAGCGAAGCGAAGGAGTCAGGGGGCCTGGCAGCTCGATGAGACAGGCGAGCACTGAGCCGAATTCGCCTAGGAAAATACTCCACGTTCGAGGGATCGTGGGTAGCTCGGCATTCAGTGAATCTCGACAAGCAGAAAACTGTTTCTTCATCCAGTTCAGGTACTACATGAACAGAAACGGAAAGTGGACAAACAAGACCAGATAACCCAACTCCCTCACCTGCGCCACTCAGAAGCAATTGGTACTGGTTGCTCGAGCCAAGACACGTGGCTACCGCGGTGCGGCCGCCGTCGCCCGTGAGCGCGCTCTGCTTGAGCAAACCCCCGGAGGGTCTCTTCAGAACCAGCGCGGCCGCGGCGCCCGCCAGCGGCGCCGTTTCGGAGCGCGCGTAGATCCCCAAACCCTGGCACGTGCTGGCGAGCCCGTTGGGCTGGCCCACCGTTAGGGTTGTGATCTGGCTGTTCAGATTACCTTGCAGAAGAGATTTCAGTGGTACCAGTGTATGGCGACAGTTTCGGTTGGCAGCTTGTTATTGTCCTTCATTTGTTTCGGTCAAGTATGCGAAGGCACCGGTCAAAGTCTCGACGATAATCATTTTTTAAAAGCAAGAAGATCCCAGACGGTGCGACCGATGAAACCACACTCTCGATGCTGCAACCGTGTGCCCACCGCTCGCTCATGCTATACGCACTGGTGACATTCGTGAAGACGACTTGTTCTGAGCGCATTCGAGAACAAAATCTTCGCGTACAAGACCTGACGCTCCTGGCTACGAAAGTCAGACGAGGACTAGCGGAAGAGTTTCGATGGATCAAAGTACTCTAGTAAGATCGGCAACACTTTTTCCGCGTGCGGGGCAAGACAGTTACGTGAACCTGCAACCTTCATGACGCGCTTGCGGGTCGGAAAGCAGAGCAACATAAAGCCACGTGTTCCATTTGGAATTATTTCACTGCGTTGGCAGGGGTACGATTTAGCTGCTCTCAGTAATAAGAGGCCCCTAAGACTAAAGGAAAGATTTTCGTCCAGCGAAGGCCTAACCAGCTTTACCTGTAATAGAGACGGTCTGTCCGGTGGGGCTTTGAATTGTGACGACCACGGTGTGGGAAGAGACGCCGTCAGCAAACTTGAGCGAATAAGATCCGTTCAGGCACGTGGAAAGGTACGGCACCGCCAGGCCTGCGGAACCGGAACGGGATGGCTGATTGATTTGGAATAACCTCTGGCACATTTATGGTGCATATACTTTGCTTTCACTAGAAGGAAGGTCAATCTTGCGAGAAGTGGAACTGAAAAGTTCACAGACAGACCGACTTTCACTTTCGCGGGCAGAAACCCCTGTGCGCTTTTGAATTCCGTTAGGCAAAAGAAGAGATCTGGTGGCCCTTTCACGGGCTCAGGTAAGCGGGAACGAGTGAGCAAAAATCGCCGTAAAACGAGCCCCCCATCAACAGGAATGTCCTTCTATCATTTTCTACTTTCTTTCCCACCAAGGTTTGAGAATTTGAAAGCAGACCTGTTTCTTACGCACATCATGTTTTCTTAAGCAACTATTGCATCTCAGAAGGCGAAGGAATGACACACCTCTTACCTGGGACCTTCGCCTCAACCGTGGTGGGAATGCACTGCGCAGCCCCCCTTTCCACCAGCCAAGAGCCCACCAGAAGGCAGAGTGTGAACACCCGAAAACTCACAGATCCTCCGTGTGATGGAGGACCCATCTTACAAAAGCTCAGACGCCCAGAAAAGTTGGGTATTGCCTTGCTTTACCGCGGGCGGGGTTGGGGCTCATTTCTCATGCTTGACCACGTACAGCCGGATCTCGCAGGCCTGAGGCTCAGGTTTTCAACTGCATTCTGTCCTCGACGAAATTGGGGCTGTTTGGGCTGGACTTTTTCTTAAGGGCAGCAAAGGCCATCTGATTCCTCTAAGGGACTGCCCCTCGCCAGGCCAAAGTTTCAATCAACCACCTGTGCAAAGCTCCAGACCAAAGCGACGTTTTACTTATCATATGCTACGCTTCGCTCCTTTTAGCTGGAGAAGAAAACGGTGCTATGGGCTGTTCGCCTGCCTCATCTATCGCTTCTCCTTCTTGGGTTCTTTGCACCCCCTCAGAGAAAAGAGCGCCAGGGCGGACTGCTTCTCCGCGTAGAGCTCTGGACCTTTGTTCTTCATCGCGACAAGAGACTTCGTACATATCTGCCACTTCTTGCTCACACGGATTTTCAAAGTTTCAGCCGGATAAAGCCAGCAAGAAAGCGGTAAATTAGACAACTGCAAGACTTGCTACCTTAGCTGCCGCGTCTCTAGGGAACTCTCCTCCAAGCATGATTGAAGCTTCGCAAGATGATCTCATTTCAAGATGCTCTTGCCTGCGTTCCGTCTGACCATTTTAAACGACACTTTGGTTTGGAACTTATGTAACCCCAAGGCCTTCAATGATGTCCCCTGTCCTTAACGGAAGCTTTGGTCGCAGACGGAGTTCAAGTTGGAAGATTGTATCTAGGAATCTAGAATCGTTTATCTTCCTACGGAAAAGATGCATCAGAGCAAGATATGCTCAAGATTGTCGGCTAACTGCCCAGCTAGTCTCAACACTTCGCTCAATTCACTTAGCACAGGGAACAGCTTAAGTTCTGTAGTCTCACACACTAATTGCCTCAGACCTTTCTCAGACGGTAAGAGGAAGGTAAAATTCACCCAATGAGCTTCTTGGCAACCAAAAGTCTAGAAGTCCCTTGTTGAGGTGAGTGATCGTCAGACAACCAGTGGGTCTTTGCCCACATTCCAGGTTACTTCTCGACGAAAGAGGTCCGTTCGAGGATTCCGCAGACGCCCAGGGGAATCCGTGCCGTCTTTGAAAGCAGAGATATATTGTCGTGCTGACTTTTGTTCGCAATCTACTAGAGAAATGTTTCAAAGTATCAGGGAATACTCGTTTACTAGGTCATCTTCCTTCTTTGGCTGCCCTGTGCATGGGTTTTAATCAGGCCAGCTGTCGAGAGTAATCCCCTTCCTTCTTCTCGAATATCACGACTACAAGTTAGGTCCTAATTGCCTGGACTCGATACAAACGGTTCTTCAAGATCTTGATCCTCGAACCCCGCAACTTGCTTGCCACGTGCATCCTCGATCCGAACGCCGCTCGCTCCGAAGCCCGACGGTGGGCTGAAAACTCTGGCGAGTCCGACAGTCGCTGAGAATCCTGGCGTGATCACTCTGCTGTCGAAATACCAATAGAAATGGAGAGACATCGCTGTAATTACATCCTCAAAATGATTTGACTTTCAGCCAGTTGCTATTCAAGGAACGCACTCATTCGACAATCAATGTTGCGCTTTTTTGACCAGATTGCTTCTGTACGCGGTAAAGAACCAGATGCCCTTTCGACATCGACTGCGATTCACTTAGAAACTATTTTTCCTTTCGGATACGGCCTCCTTAAGAACAGAAGTCAGAGGCGGAAGTAGTTCGGAAGAAATACAGCTTGGGTCCTCAGGACACGTGGCTGAAAAAGAAAGAGCCACGCTTTCATACAAGAGTTGAACTTTTGTAGAGGAGACTCGACATATTGGGGCCTGGGTTACATAGGCCATTCTTTGCTTTGTAGTCGCAGTCTGAGGACGAGAAAACTGCGGGCGATTGCCATGCGAAAATTAGAAGCTGCAAACTTAGAAAGCTTTACGACAGGGTTAAGAAAAATCAATTCCAAAACGGGCGTTTTGGAGGCCGGAAAGAAGGGCTGCCTGACGGAGAGCCGACTACGATTGAGGCAGGAGAATTTTACTTGCTAGTCCTGAGGAGAAAACCAGACGGCGAAATACCTTGCGCTGACCGGAACCAGATATTTTAGACGAGGTTCGCAAGTGTCGGATCCACAATCTCAAGCGCCACTCGCTACTTGACCGTTCCGTCCCCCGTCTGAGAGGACGGAACGACACGGAAAGGAACGGTGTTCGGCCCTACGCTCTGAGAGGAGAGAACATAGGCAAGGCAAAATGGGAAAACGTGCGGAAACGGAATGGCCAGAAGTCGCCGGAACGTTCATGTGAGCGGACTCCATTGACAACGGCGATCGAGAGAGCGACTACTGGCAAACGGAGTTTCTGCTTTCGTCACAACCACCTTGCCGATTCTTTTTCTCACGCACAAAGTCGAACCTGGAAGTCTCGAAAAGAGGAGTACAGCGAGAACTTTGATATACCAGCATCTTTCACCATCCGCATATGAAGCTCTAAGCTGCCTTTGGCAGCTGTTTGCGTACCACGGAATGACCAAGACAGGGGAGAAGCCCCCCGGACAAGCTCCCAGGGGCAGGGTGACACGTGGCAGGCCGTAAGTGGGCGGAGCGCGCAGCAGGATATTGCAGCGCTTACTAAGCAGATGCCTTAATTAAGGCAGAGGGATCCGCCGGGGGAGAGTTGCTCGGAGACGTCGAAACATCGAGCTGCTTATCTAGTTATTTGCTCCTTTGATCTGACCAAAATCCTGCCTCCGGTCAGGAAAACTGTTCGGAATTCGCAACTCGACGGCGAAGATTCGCGCTGGTGCAGTCGGTCCGTTGCGAAATGGAAAAGAAAGTCAACGGTCGAAGCCCAAAACTTGACGCTTGTTGAGGGCAAGCGTCTCGGAAGAGACAATGGGGGGCAAGAAGATGTTCTACAGATACTACACAACTGCAGAGCGGAAGCATTGGTGAGTCATCCGAGAACGACTCCGTAAAAATTCGATTCTGAGGGTTTCAGCACTTGTGCGACTTAAGAAGGTACATTACAAAGCAGTTTTCTATTGATCAACCGTGGATGATCTTCGCCGGCAGGTGGGCACCTCCCAACGTACCATCGCGCAGGTGCTCATTGTGTTTTGTCCAAGGGCGCCGGGCAAAGCAGATCTGAACGCAATAATTGAAGTCGAATACCGTAGAGACATTGTCCATTCGCACCACCTTGGTGCGAATATCTATTTATGAACGTTTTGTCATTTCGCACCAGCATCGACGATATTATTAGAATTTTCGCTTTTTCCAAATTTGGACCATTTTTAGCCTCATTTTGCAGGTTTTGTAGCTTCTACAGATATTATTTTTGATCCGCATTTTCGCACCTGCGTCGAAAGTAATAAAACTTTTTTCGCAAGCCCTAAAAATAATTAAAGTTAGTGCGAATGGACAATGTCTCTACGGTATATCCAGTTTCTCTTGTTCTTTTTTCTGACACGCAAAATCAAGCGCTATATCCTTCCACTCTTTCTAATGTCGAGACATGACACTCGAGTGTCAGAATACAGATGCGCAAAGAAGGTCGCGATCATCTAGCTGCAGCCGGTGACGTCCGGGAAACTTTGCATGGACGGTGATGTTGGAATGCGCTGCTGTCCGAATCGATCTCGAGACTACTTGACAAGCTGTACGTGAACTTTCCACGACACATATCAGATATCAAGCAAGAACATATCGCCGGCCCGAGACGGCACCGTTTACAGACCATCTTGCGTTTCCATGTCAAATACAAGTCACTTGCGTAAACCTCCTCCAATCCTAAACGGCCAGGCTCGGTGCGTGTTCTTGCCTGAGAGATTGAAGATATCTCGCATGGCAAATCGCATGTAATTAAAGGCTGTCGTCAACTTGAGAGTTAGGAAGTCTTGCATATTAAAAACACATCTGGATTGAGGGGTCACAAACGCAAAGGGCGCTCAAATCAACATTCAATCAAGACATTGCCGCCGAACACTTGTACTTGATTAAAGTGGTCCGGTCGTAGTGAATCGCATGAGCTAGACTTGGCGCTAATAACGTCATTTTTTACGGCCCTGGACGACGAAGGATGAAACACAAAGCCCCTAACTTCGTAACAAACATGGTTGACTGACTGCATGGCGCACACGTGGCAAACCAAGCTTGCACAGTTGACGGCTCTTGTGACGAAATGCTACCAGAAGCGACGTCAACACTCGCTGTATAATAGCCGACACGAACCGGCCGTCTATCATAAGCCGAGCCCGTCAACCCTGATCATCGTCAGCCCTAACTTATTTCTGGAATCAGTCACTTAGGGACACAAACTGTATCCTGCCCTTTGACCTGACACTTCAGCCCGGCGTCGCAAAGACGACCCATGGTCCACTCCCACGGCTTCTTGACCCAGGGGGGCGAGCCGCATTTGCATTGCGCACTGCAAAAATGGCAACGGCCTGTGTTATTTCCTTTCCACGAAGCGCTTTCGGGCAGAATGCTGTTGTTAGTGGCTGTATCTATGGTCAGTATGCCTCACGTCATGTAAGCCGAAGTTTGGCATGGACCGTAAAGTAGCTCATTGGACCTCTTCCGTTCCCGTACACTACTCCTTTACTCGCCTCGGTTTGGGCAAGAGTCGAGATTTTCTGCTTTTTGGTAACCGAAAAAACAACTCCGAGTGACACTCGGAGTCAGACGGAAGCGCGTGACGACAGTACAAGTCGGTTGAACCTTCACGCACAGCTGCAACTCATTCGCAGTTCCTAGCCGAAACCTAGCAAGGACTCCGGTGCGTAGAGCATTGTGGCGCGCTCAGAGAACGTACCCAGGATCTTCCAAAGCCTACAGAAATAAACTGGACTTAGTGACAACTTGTGCGACCGAAGTCTCTGAACCGTTTGGAGCCAGATGTGACCCAAAACTGCACGCACAGGAAGGTTTGGCTGCTAATTAGGTTCAATAACCAAACTTCCCTCCGGTTCTTTAATGACCAATAACCGCGTTATAGCCATGTTTAAAACCTGGTTACCGCTCGAGTCTGGTCATTAGACAGTCAACCAGCTTTGTAACAGCCCGTAACCGACTGTGGTCAACCGCCAAAAAAAACCTGTGACGAGCCGGATAACTCACGTGTCGTTGGGGTTGCAGACACCCGTTCTGCCCTGGCACCAACTGGAAGCAATCTTCGGACAGCCATACATTTGCGAGCGGCCAGGAAGCTCCAAGGCATCCTGCAAAGAACCAACGATTGGATAGTCAACACGCGCTCAAAAGGAGCTGCCGAACGAACATCTTTCCAAATAAGTTTCGTTTTTGCATAGACATGATTTGGGGTCGGGGTGCTGCAAGCTTCAAACAGATGGAAGTCACGCAGATCATCAGACCAGACTAAGCAGCCACACGAATAGGAGGAAGGACTGGTAGGGCCAACTTCAACAAACAGAGAATCTTATGACTACCGCCAGGTTTCGGGCTAGGCTCGTGTACGAAAGAGGGCTTTTTCCTGTTCTTTAAACCAAGAAAGCGTCCATCTAAAACACAAGCTCCTGTTCTTGGCAGAGTCAAAAATTCCTGGAATCGTTGGCTCACCTGCTCGAGGTCAGGGCTGGCCTCCGAGGCAGCAACGTCCTGCAAAAAATCAAGCAAACATGAAATCTTTTTGCATCCACAGAAGTTGCTGTATGCGCAAGTATTAATCCTGCATAGAAGCTTCTTGAATGCTATCCCTTGACACTTTTGACATAAGTTTCTAGGTCAACCAAGGTCGCTGCAAGCTCTCAAGACATTGAGAAGTTAACAAGTCAGTGCATTTGACTAGGTCAACCAAAGGTCGCTGCAAGCTCTCAAGACGTTGAGAAGTTAACAAGTCAGTGCATTTGACTAGCAATGCAAAGCCTGATGAATGTAGTTAGTGGCCAAGTTTAGCAGAACCAAGAGCCCTATGATCTCCAATCCAAACTTGACCAGAGGAGGTTTGGCCTGTAACATCCTTGGTCATCAGACTCTCTGGCAAAGGAACATGCAACTCGGCTCAATTGTACAGCAATCAGACTCATTCCAGAAAGGGGAATGTGGCTACTCGTACGTGTTAGTAGGTAACAAGGGGTCGATGCAGATGTAAGGGCGGGTTGTATAAGTCAATCTGGTCACGAAACGCATTCAGAGAGGAGCTGATTTTGCGCGCCCTCGAATCAAGGAAATGTGTTTGCACTGACAAAACCGATTCAGGCACCGGTCTGCTGCCAATCAAAATCAAAGCATCTGCTCAATGGCCTCCGTTGAAGGCTGACCAGATTCAGTCATGTGGCAAAGGTTCAAACCGCACGCATCGCCGTCAAACTTCACAATCCTCTCAAAGTAGATACTTTTGAAGGTATGCCTTGCTCACCTGAACAGGATCCATCCGTGCAGCGGTTGCGCTCACGACCATCGCGACAAGCGCCAGGAGGAGCACAGCACTGCGCGTGACGCTCGCCATGGCGCAAAGCTGGAGGTACTGGCAATTGCCCGGAATTGCGGCGAGACCGGAGTACCCGAATAGTGGAAACAGGCGGTTTTGAGGATGTGAAGAGAAGGTTTTGCTTTTATCTGTTTTCACGTACTACCTAGTAGGTCGAAACTCGAGCCTGCTCTAGGTTCTAGCTCTTCGTCACAGGTACCTAAAGTCAGCCTGTACTGACTGCAGTAGGTGTGTCAATCTGAGAGTCAGACTCACACTACCGTACGTGCCTAGCTAGTTATTACATTCACAGCAATACCTTGCTAGGTATCCTGGTAGAACCAGGTAATAGGTACTAGGTGCTAGGTAGTATTAGGTACTGTACATACGGTCCGTACGCTGGCACATTATTATCTAGATATACCTTTAACTAGTCATAGATAGGGAGCGCTCAACGCGGTATAAGTACCGTAGCTCAGTACTGGAGCTTGGAGGAGTCAGTGGTACCAGGATTCAGTACTGCAGTACCGCTTGAAGTGCAGTACTACAGTACCGTAAGCTACTGACTCTGGGTACCGCAAAGCGCGTGAGCAAATGATTGCAAAAGTTGTGGAGCCGCAAGCGGCAAAAGGTGCCTGGGCCCTGATCTGGATGTGGGTTGTGCTTATCCATTCCCGCATCAACGGCTGTGGGGCCCCAGAGTGTTGCACTTCTAATCTGGTCCGTCACTTTGCTGCTTGCGTACCGTACCAACACGCCCGTTGAATTAATTGATGACCAACCGGCATGTTAGTACGGTACTACTAAGGTTGGTGCTTACGGTATAAGGAGGCACGGACCACGGTAGGTACTTCAAACTTTCAACTTCCGGGTCGGACCGACTTCGGACTTAGCAGACAATGCCAGAAGTGTAATGATCATTCCCGGCGGCCGGGATTTCGGCCCAAAAATGATGGACCCGGCCGTTGATGATGACGATTGATTCGACCGATTTGAGATCGACTCCTGAAGAGAAGATCGCGGTTTGACAGACCGTTTTTCCGGAAGCACTTCAAAATGCTGCGTGGCCGCTGCATAACCCGCGGGTCTTCGACCTTGCTTCCTCTGTAAGATCCATCAAGAGCAAACGTGTCGAAGCTTGGAACTGAGTTCTACAGAAATTCTTCTCCCCCGCCCATCCCGAATCGAGCGCCTTCGTCCTCGAGCGCGCGTGTCAGCATCTCGGCGGTGAAGGTGTCGTCCGCTTTCAGCCCCAGAGCTTTGTGGTAGTACTCGATCGCAAGAGTCAATTGATCCTGGAAAATAAAGAAGAGGAGCTGTGACTATGGTCGCAAGAAGGGGAGCAACGAACTCAAATTTAGAGCCATAGCAAACCGTTAAAAAGAGATAAAACTAGAACTACGACGCTCCTAGCTCCGCAGCTCTGATGTCAGGATGACGAAAGCAAGAGGCGTCCGCGTTCAACACACACGCTTCTGCGTTCAAAACAAGAGCAGTCAAAAAAGGGAGCTTTCGAACGTTTCCAAACAGCTGGTCAACCATGTCAGCGGAACTCCATTCCAAACTCCCAAAAAGCTTGCCAAACCAGAAGGGGGTCAACGCGTAGAGAAGCGTTTTCAGGTTATGAGAAGATCTTTCAAAAAAAATCCAGCCAGCTCCATCAGGCGGGTATAAACGGCTCTCGAGACGTCAAAGCGTGACGAATAAGGAACTGCAATCGTTCAGCAAATCTGAAGAGGCCGTCAGATGCGAACCAGCGGACAAACCCCTGTTGCTTTGCTCGCCAAGAGTGCAAGCATAGTCCCTGCATCTGCATCGGCTTGAAGCGGACAGCTTTATCAATCGTTTTTTGAAAGCGAATAACGCAACCGCGTGCCATAAAGCGAACAGAAGAAGGCAATAGAGCCTTCTTCTTTTCGCAAATGTGAGACTCGTCATTCAGTCAATCGCCTACCAAACCCCGGTGGTCTTCTCTTGTCGGGCCAAAGAAGACTTTAGCCGAGCCTCCGTTCAGCAGCCATACACTATGGTCTGACCGCCAAAAAGGCGGCGACATGTTCTTGACTTCGTTTGTGTCGCCGAGTGGGGCCGTTCGCCTCACAAATCAGCGGCCGCTGCAGGGGCCAATTCTGAGGTCATGCAAGCACGTGACTGCCTCGTGACGTCATCAAGGTGACGTCACGGCTCACCATGAGGTGGTGCGTGTAGCCGAGCGCGGCATAGGTGCTGGCGGAGCGGGGACACAGGCCCAGAGCCTTATCGTACCAGTCAATTGCTTCGGCGTATTTTCTGCGGAGACGAAGGAACAATGTTTTGTCATCAGAATCACTACCCGGAATATCCGCTCAGAATGCAAGAACAACGGCCCTTTTGAAGGTTTTGTCGCATACCCGTCTACAATATACTTTCTGCAGAAACGAAGGAACGATGTTTTGTTGTAATACAGCCGGTAGGAACTGCCGCCCGAGATATTGGTGGTATGAAATAGATCAGAAAATGTTTGCTCAAAAAACAAATCAACAGCCCTCTAGAGGTTGCGCCGGGAGGGCCATGTCGTATACCAGTCGACTGCTTCGGCGTACTTTCTGCGGAAAGGCAAGGAACGATGTAACGTCATGTTTACGCCCGGTACAAACTACCACCAGATTCTCTGCTGACAAATCAGGCCCGACAGCTCTCTCAAGGTTGCGCGGGAGGGCCTTGTCGTATACCAGTCGATCGCTTCAGCGTAATTTCTGCGAAAAAGTAGGGACGGATTCTTAGACGAGGTTCCGCCCGGTAGAAAGCACCGGGGCGCTCTTCCCGGTGGAGCTGCCTTTTCCACTAGACTGCTGTTCTGGGCGGAGGCCACAGAAGTGGGCCTTGTCGTACTGAGTCGATTGCTTTGGCGAAGAAGGACAAGAGAAAGTGAAAAGGAAAGGCCAAAATCACGAAAGGAGAGCTTGGTCATCATGCTTGCTGGGCTCTCAACGTTTCAATGTGGAACCCGTTTGGAAATAAAATCCGCCGGTACCATCATAACTAAAGGAAAAACGGATCGAGGGAAACAGCGGAACAGAAACGGAACGGAACACAAAGGAACGGAACGAAACGAAACGAAAAGAAAGCAACAAGACCGACTCCGCACCGTTGCTTGCGCAGCGCGTGCCCCAGGTTGACGCACGTGGCCTCCCAGGCGTCGGTCAGCGGTTCCGGCGCGAGCGAGAGCGCTTTCCGCAGCCAGCTTTCCGCTTTCCGGTGGTCCTTGTTCCGGTACGACAGCACGCCGAGCTCGTTGTAGATGAGCGGATCCTGGGGGCACAGCTTTTGGGCGTCCTTCAGAAACTGCTCCGCTAGGTTCAGGTTGTTCGTCTTTTGGTACTCGATGCCGATGCATAGACTCGGTAGGTGGCACCTGGAGGGAGGAGTTCAAAACCAATACTCAGGTTCTCGCATCATAAAAAACTTCGAAATGACAATTTGAATAAGGGCCGGGGTTTGCACATCCTTCAGAGCTCCGCCAAGTTCAGGTTGTTCGTCTTCTGGTACTCGATGCCGATGCATAAACTCGGTATGTGGCACCTAGAGAAGGAGTTTTCATTCAACGTGCTCGACTTTCGAACTACCGGATTTTGCTTTTGCGATTTGAAATATTCCGGATTTGGGCATCTTTCAGCAACTGCTCGGCTGACGTCAGGACGTTCGTCTTCTGGTAATTGTTGCCGTTCCACAAACCCGGCCAGTGGCACCTGGAAGCGACAATAACCTGAAATTGCTTGGGCGATTGACACTCAATGCTTAAAAGATTCTAAAAATGTCGAGATTGTTCTGACGACAAGTACAGGGCGCCTTCAGCTATTGATAGTCGTCGCTCGACAGTCTGGATATGTGACACTCAGCAGACTTGGGAAGCACGATTCGAGGGGTTGACGGGAGTGGAGCAATCTGGTCAAGTGCTCTCTAACCTCTGCCGAGTGCTCGATTCGCCAAACGATAGGGCACACCGACGGGCACACGGGCAGTCTCATGACGGTCACATCTGAGATCATCCCTAATAATGACACGAAACAATGCGGCTCGGTAAAGAACCCAATTCTGCACTAGAATTTGAAAGAACTTTGCCGGTGCTACTCTACAACTCGTTGAAAGTTCCGAAGCATTCAGTTTACGAAACGTGCCCCGCTGAGTTGAGGTGAAAATGCATTCTGGCCAAGGCAACTTGCTTCAAGAGAGCTCGTTCCTCCACATCTTCAGCCCTTGTTCATACTTTTGCCATCCTTCTGCGGCGCTTTGCAGGACTTGGAAGAGCGTTCCGGAATCGAACGAAGAACGCACCTATTAACTACGCTTGTCACCGAGCTTACGCATCCTGGGCCCACGTTGGGGTAAGAGACGAAAGGAAAATGGAAGCCCGGTCTCCCTTACCCCGGAAACAGCCGAGCTGCAGTCCGGTATGCCGCCATTGCCTGGTCGCTTTCGTCCTGAGCGGCGAACGCGTTCCCGAAACCCAGCCACGCCGGCGCGAAGGAGCTGTCCAGACTCGTGGATTTCCTATTTGAGAGAGGAAAGCGGATGGTTAGAAAACACGACTTTCAGCTTCTAGATGTTCAACCACGCAGGCGCAAAAGAACTGTCCAGGCTCGTTGATCCTGTTTGAAAGGGGGGCCAAGCGTCAGGAACAGATAAAAGTGCCGCTTTGTAAAATGAGCGAGTGCGAGAAGCCAATATATCCACGCAGAAAGACGTCCGAAATACCATCAAGTACACCGATTGCCAAGAACGTGACACTAGGGAGGCGGTTTGAAGCGAGCTTCTTATGCCGCCCGATGGCCACGTGGGTCTCGAGTTTCTAAGCGTTGCACCCCAACGGCGTTCACCGGAGCTGAAAAGAAGCCTTCAAAATTTAGTTCGGGAAAAAGCACAAAATTGTGAAATCTACACGACACTTGGACTCCGGTTCCAAAACCTGCAACCTCCACCAATCCAAGGACGTAGTTTCCGTACAGAGATGAAGCGACAGGTGGCACCTTTGAACCTTTCCTCTGCCCGCAACGTTAGACGGGAAGATGGCGCCTTGGTCTTTTTTGACCAGCACATACCTGTCATCACTGTCCAGTGACAAGGCTCTAGAAGCTTGTCCAGTCAAGAGATTCCAAACACGTAACAGCATGACGGAGAAGGGTTGCTCTCTTGAATCCAATCAAAAACAAGTGGCCGAAGTCGAGCAAACGGAGTACAGCGTAGCAAACAAAGGACGAAACTGTAATCAATGGCCAACGACCCTTTCGAAGCGTTTCTACAATGCACAGGTTTATATGTCTAGGGTAATCGTTGAGGGCATCAAACGTCGATCAAGCAAGCACAGAGAACAGGCAGATACTGATTTGGAGGCAACTTGGACCAAAGACAAGGGCACTCACGAACAAGTGGAGCATGACCATTTTCGCCATTTTCGCCGACACTATCTAATTTTATTGCCCTCACACAGATGCTGCCTGCTCATCAACCAGGAAGTCACTCCTTTGGTTCACAAGAGCAAGCACCGCAAGCCTGGCTAGATACAGGTTCTGATACCCTGTGTGGAAGAGCTTTGTCCGTGCCCGAACGCCCTTCCAATTGGCTGATAGGAGGCCAATAATGAAGGACGGCCTTTACAGGTTTACTGTTTCTGAACGTCCCGGAGAATGGCTGTCAGATGAAAGGCCAGTTCAAGCGCTCCAGCCTTTAGTTGGAGCAACTACATCGTCATTGCCCTGGGAAATCGAATTTTGCAGAAATATCGGCGATGCCTAAGATGAATGTTTCCATTCTCGTAAAAGACATCTTGAAGCTAATCAAAATACCGCTGACCAGAATCAGTCAGTAATAATTCACAAAGGATCTCTTTTCATAAGCCAGAGCGAGCAGGACAAAGATTCGCGGTGGTATTACGCGGAGGCGAAAGACCAAGAACGACAATGGAGAGAGTAGTCTCGCATACAGTAAACAAACCACTTTCCTCAGCGAAAAGAGATGGAAGTGAGACTAGCATTTCCGAAAAGGCTTCTGCTGAAGCTGTGGGGCTCCACTCCATGTAGATTGACACAAAGTGCAAGACCGAGCGACGAGCTCGCTTTCAAGAACGTTTCAACAGGTCTTTTTGAATCGGAAAAGCGAGAGAGCGCTTTGTTTTTTGTGGCGTTCCCGATAATACAAGCGTCTCTTGCTCCCAAAGGCTCGGCCACAATGTAGGCAATCTTCGAAAGTTGCCAGCTTTCATTTACACACGCTGCCTGGACACGAACTGACGTGCTTCATCTTCCCTTTCCAGGCCTCGTTCGAGTAATGATTAGCGCTTCGGCTGTGCCCAACAGAATGTGATTTGTGCATCATAGTGTTGAAAATCACAACGTTGTCACAACGGGAATTATCTCCTCGTATGGAGACGAAAGGCCTGTCTGCGGATACTGGCTGACACTTACTATTTCACATCCCAAAGACCGTTTGAAAATGCAATAGTCGCACAAGTGTAAGAGGCTGACCAGAATTTTCGACTCGATTGAGGGGAACAATATCACCTTATCAGGGGAGCCTCTAGTTCGATTTCAAGGCAACAAGAGGCAATCACACTGCCGGAAATGACTCTATGGTCATTCAGGTCATAGATTATGACCTCGAAAAGAAGGGCGATCAATGGGCGGAGCTGGCAATGATTCACGCTAAGCAGCTGGCCATCTTTTGCCTGGCGTCCCGACGGCCTTTCCGCACATGGACTTTCACTGAACGCCTTGCGGAAGAACGAAGCACGTGACAAGCCCCGGCGTTCAGTGCTCCAAAGGCTGTCAAAGCGAGAGCGTGACAAGTCAACCAACTTGGATACGCTTAGCCTCCATGCGTCCCAACAAGCAAATGCAGGACTATCACTGGAGGGCTGTCCAACATAAGTGTGGGGCCTCAGTGCTCGTTGAAAAGGAGGTGCTGGCCAATTATGGCCAGGGTCGATAGAAACTGTGGGCACATCATGCCACCAAAAGATCTGCTTGGAAGCTTGTGAATCCGCTCCTGCTGTAAAGTGATCCAAATTAAAAGAAGGAAACCTATTGGTGGGGACCGCAGTATGCGGCGATGACTCGATGACGGGAATAACTCAGGGCACGACGCCGAGAGCGCAAGAAGCGCTTTAGAGGTCGAAAAGCAGGACTCAAATTGCTTTGTTTGACGTCTCAACCTCAGCAAAGCGGGCCGATCAGTGGGCCAATGAGAGGCGATAGGGACCCGCGTGAACGTACCTCTTACCAAGAACCTCAAGTACGTAACCAGGACCCATAAGGTTGACGATGCCCCGAGTGCCAAGCTCTTGGGCATGACTTTATTTTCCGGCAGCAAACGCACAATCAAAAGAGACCGAGTTTTTTTATCGTGCAAACGACGGGGCTTTACCGGTCGTCTCTTCCTTCGATCAACGCCCCAAGCAGTCTGCTTCCAAGTCGCGTCTTTGGAAGCAGCACTGGTTTTCTAGAAGCGCACCAAAGCCTGCGGGCATCAGGGAGTGCAGCCTCATGCTTGGCTTGTCTCGCCAGCATGCACCATCTTCACTGTCCAATTGACAGAAACTGCTAAAGGAAAGGCAACGGAGCCAAGTCTGTTGCTTTTGAACAGCCAGGCCCTGAGGAGACGCATTGACTGACGGCACACAAAAGACAAGGCATAAGACAGAGTGGCAACAACCCTATCGACCGTGCTAGGTAAAACAGGGGACCGGGACGTTCTGATATTTGCAGGCCTCGAGTATTTCCTTTGAGCGAGCGTACAAATCCAGAATACGGCTTAGTTCTGTTCGTCCCTCAGCGTTCCATCTGAGATTGCTATCTGTAAAGACGGTCAGGCTCGCATTGCTGTTGGTTGAAGACGAGAGTGAACACAGGGACTCGAGGACACGCTGTCTGGCAGTGTCGCCCAGACCATCTTCACGGCCCTCGAAAATTTGCCGCCTTCAGACGCCTTCAAACCTTCAAAATGGCTTGAGACGGGTTACTATATTTACTAGTTGAAGCAACTGACACGTGTCACCTTTTCGACTTCAAGGACTCTTGTTTGGTTGTGATGGCGATACCGCCAGGCGAGTACAATCACCGCAGGTGCTACTAGAGCCGCGAGCGTGACAAGTGATTGGCTCGCACTTCTGCCACTTGTACAATTGCCTGCTTCCGATGCTGCATTCACTCTATGGGGACAATCACAGCGAAACATCCGTCGACTAGAGCAGAGGTTTTTTAAAGAAGGTCATAAGATCGACGCCGTGATTGTTGTTGCGAGATGAATTTCCTGGCCTTGGACGACCAGGGGCACTTGTCGTGATCGTCTTAAGCCCGAAGCTCGACGCACCACAATTATAATAGACGAGCACAGTTCTAAAGAACGGAAGCAAAGTTAGAGGATAGAATCGCATACAATAGGGGCAACTTGAGAACCATTACAAAGACTGCTCCTAATGGCACCACAATGTACCATCAGTGTAAAGGACCCGTCAAAAGCTTTTGGGTTAGATGGAATTGACAGAAGCTATAGATTTTGAACAAATCAAGGTGCACGCACTTATCACTAGGTGCTCAACGAGGCGGCCCGGAGAGTGCCACAAGGATCGAGGGCAACATAAGAAACTCCGATTAGAGAGACCGTTTGATTGGATTCACGAGGATTGGAGGGCAATCAACACAGACACCCGTGTAAGTGTGTGACTGGGTCCATCAAAGTGACCGTCGGTCATTGCCTTCCGGAAATCCTCCTTTGTCATTTAGACTTGTTGCCTAGGTCGCAAGAAACGACATCAGCAATGCCCTTCGAAATGGATTTTTGCCTACACGATTAGACTGACTGCTGAGCACGAAGGACGTGGACAGAAATGAAGTAAGTAGAATCGATTCATCAGATGCAGAAAGATGCAGTAAAAGCATAAAAATAAACCCGTCCAAATAGGTTCGCAGGCACACTCCTATTGCGGCCTACATCCACGTGCACCAGAGCGTGGTTAACAGACACGTCCGCTAGCATCGAAGATAGTCTTACCGGCATCCTTACCAAGATAAAACGGAGTTTGATCTTCAGAAATCTAGGCTTCAGGACTCAGAATTCGTACGTTTGCATGTCGTTGCGGAGTCTCATCGACTGCCTACTTCAACCCACACTTCAGTGCTCGGTTTCCACCAGAGCGAGGGCGTTCAGTGCCAACAACAACACAACTGGCTCATTCGGCCACACGAAGCACATGCACACCATGGCCCCCAAGTGACCCTATTTTGCCAGGCCATCATTGTAAGCTTTTGCAACAAAGGAAGTACGACCGTAAAATGAAGTGAGGAGGACGTATCCCCAGGGTCTCGGAGAGCTGATGAGTGGTTGGAATGTGAATCCCATCAAGCGCAGTGGAGTGAACCCAGAAACGTCCATCAGTGCAGAATGGAGCCCTCAGGAAACAGCCGATAAAGAGGTATTATAAGGAAAGGTGCGGGTATCCATTCAATCAGAAGGCAGGCTTTGCTCACACGGGTATGCACCATCAAAGAGCGGACCACGTTGCAAGAACAGTGAGCTATGAGATCCGTGAGCGGGATTGATAACGACAACAAAGAAGCCTGGACAACAATTCTCGAGAGGACATGGACGACTAGGAAACCAAGCTTGACAAGGGCTTGAAGAGCGACACACACCAAGTTAAGGACGGGACCGGAAAATCAAATTTGAAGCGAGAGCTGTGGTGACGGGCTCAGCCGGCGACATCAGGGGACGTACCAAAGAACCAACCAGTGGCACAGCGGCCAAGGTTGTAACCCCTCATCGTCGATCCGCTTTTGACTATACAATAGCTGCAGATTTGGAAAATGAACCACGCTCTATAAACGAGCACGGCAGCATAGAGCAGTACAATCTCAAAGCCCAAAAGGCTGAAACCTTAACCCCGACTTACGCGAAATATCGCCGCGCGGAGTCGTAGTTCCGTATGCAGCTGTAGTAGGCCCCGACCGCAAACCACGCGACGGCTTTCTGGGGGTACTCCTGCACCAGCTTGTGCGCGAGCAGAAACAGCTCGTTCTTGCGCCGCAGCTCCAGAGCGGCTGCCACGTGGACGGGCATGCACGCCAAGTGATACGGGTCCCGTTCGAGTACGCTGCAGGGTTGAGGGTGACTCGAAATTACGCCTCGCCGTTGGCACAAAGCATCTGATGCACGTCATGAGATCAAAGGTCTTCTGTCCTCGAAGAAACACTTGGAGGGAAATATCCAAAGCGGAAGCGCTCGGTACGAGTCGAACGCCCCAGGAAGAGTCACAGGCGTTGACGACGACGAAGAAGGTCCTGACTGAAGAATCACTTCATGCCGTCGCGGGCCCGGCGCTTCGAGACTTTGTGAGGTGGTGATGTCTATGCTAAGGTCCTGGCCCAGAAAGTCTGTTCCGGCCACTGAATCATCTGGTCAAAGCAATCCAGCGGGCAGAGAGAAGTTCTGTCGAACGAACGAAGAGGATGGCGAAGATGGCACCATCACTCGGAAAAAGGATATCGTTTGGCCGACACTCCGCTTCCAAGACCGAGCCTTCTCAAGCACCTGTAACTAGACCCCTGCTTTTTAGTGGCTTGGTTGCGCTCTTGTATCAGCCCTCAGGCACACTAGAAGTCAGTGCAAATGGTGCTCGTAAGTCAGGCGTCGGACAATCGTCACCTTTTCGTCAGGTCGTAGCACTGCTGGTACTCCGCCCGGTGGTACAGGTTATCAGCGCGGCAGGCCAAAAGGTCCCCGTTGCCCCGCAGCCCCCACCCGTCGCTCCCGCTCGTGCTAGGCGCGTCATCGGCGGACCGCTCCAACTCCACGGCGCGCTCCTCAAACAGCCGCTGGCCAAACTGTCAGAAAGAACGAGAAACATTTCAGATAGTGGCGGGCCGAACTGTTAAGAGGGAACGAAGTAATCAAGGAACGCTTTTCCTGCGGAAAGGTAAAATGAGGGCGACAATGGGGACAGACATGTAAATCGCGAAGTCGTTAAGCGCGAATAGTGTTGAGATCGGGTCGAAAGTGTCGACCGCTGGAGCTCCGCAGCGCGCTCCTCAATGGCCGCTGCGAGCCGCTGAATGGCCGGAGTTTGAGATTGAAAGGAAATTTTCAGAAACCAGAACTTGTTCAAAAAGACGACCAGATGAAGAAAGACAGGTGGGTCCTTTCGAGCGGACACGGTTAAGAGGTTGTACCATCTTGCAGCGCGCTCCTCAAACAGCTGCAGCTGTAGACGGAGTGCGCTTCCAAAGGAAGCGTGCTTATTGAAATATGAAGACCTTGCAGCAAAAGAAAGTATGTACAACTGTGCGCGAAAGAACAATATGATTTCGCAGAACTATACCCTTTGCCTTGCCTGCTCGTTGCCGAATCGATTTGATGCTAGAGGATCCAGGGCGAATGTCCTAAGAAACGCATACATAGCTCTGGGTGAGCACCGCAATCAACCGAGACAGCGGCTCAGCTGCTCTAAGGCCCATCAGATCTAGGTCGAACCGAGGTCGAAGCCAACCGAGAGAGGTTCCGAAGCACACCTTCACGCTCTTGCACTGGTAAAGCAGCGCCAGCCACCGGTCTTCCGCCGGGAACTTCAACGAGTCTAAGAGTTTCGCTTCTGCAATGATCGGACGAGCTTCTCGTCAAAATCCAGCAAACCGAGTGATCATGAAAATCGATACATAAACAAACGCGGTAGAAACGCAGTCTAACTGCTTAGACAAGTCAATTGCTATGCGAACAGCTGAGCTCGTGATGGAAGGCAGACGGTATTTGCACAGCGGAAATCAGCCACACAATGAGAGGGGTCCTGGATGCAAGGTTCCTTGTCTCACCTGCATCCGCCGATAGCATGCGGTTGTCAAACAAATGCTCGAAGGCCTGCGAGAGCGGAGGAACACGAACATTGAGTTCCATCTTTCGAGACTTTCTGACCGTCCTAGCTTTCTACATTCAAGCACTTTCACAGCATGCACGGTTGTCACCCGTTCTAGCTCAGGCCTGACTGGAAACAGGGTCAGCTTCATCAGCTTTCGAGAATCGAAGTTTCGATTTCGACGGCAGCTTCCGAAAGTTGAGCAGCCATTTGACGACTCGACAAGGCACCTATCGAAACACACAGTAAACTCACCTCGTAGCAATACGGATCCGCTCGGAGTGTCGCCTTGTACCTGCACAGTCGGTGAAAACATCCGTCAGTATGACGTCAACAATCTTCCTGTCAAGGTTTGCATCAACGAAGATTGTGAGCTACATTCGCTAAGTGCTCGAATTTAGCATGTGGTCAGGTTTGAAACCAGACCAGTAATGCTCACAGAAGTGGGTACATCTCGCCAAACGTGCGACAATTCAACCGATGTCGACCGTGCCCAGTGAATTGTGGAAGAAGGGGACAACATGGCAGGCTTTCACATGACTCCGTCGCTTGCGTCCTTTGATTTTGTTTGAGGGAAGTTGTTCCAGGGGAGATCAATTACACTTACGAGACATCAGAACCACCATGCGAGTATTCTGTTCGAAGTATCCATCACAAAAGAGTCTTGACGAACACAAGGAAAAGGATTGGGACACTGACCAGAAGAGGGCCTTTGTCCGATTGTCCAGCGCCTCAAACGCCCGCCCTCGAAGGAGACAGTTCGCTGCAACAATCTGCAAGGCGTAAAGATGCATCTTGAAAGACAAGCAACCTCGATCTTCGTGCATTCCTTGCGCAAACTCAAACAGCGCAAGCTCAAACAAAACTGATTTGGCAAGGATTTGGCAGGGCGAGGCCACCGCGTACAAAAGAAGGATTGGGCTTTTGCTCTTGCGTTGGCCCTTGAATGGACAACTGTCAAACGGTTCCCCAATCTCGAAGGCTCGTAACTCAAGCACGTAGGGTACGCCAAAGCAAACTGCACGGCAGCGACTTAAATGATCAAACTTTGGTAGTCCGCACACTGCCATGTTGTCTCAAACAAACCCCACCCGGTTCAACTTTAAAAACTGGGTTGATTGAAGCCCTTACGTTGATCTCCCTGCCTTCCCCATTCAGCTCCATGCTTTCCCCCTCGCTGGCTTGGCCGCTTTGCTCGGCCAGGCTCTCGTCATCCCCCAGCATCACCAGGCACTCGTCCCACTCTTTCAGCTCCGCCTGAGAGATACATACCATGACGTGATGCTGGATTCTCGTGTGTCCCAGGGGGGTTTTTCAGTGTAAAATGAGTGCAAGTGGATAGAGAAAGAAGGCTCTTGAGCCGTGAAACACTTTCGTTGATGACATCAAACAAATCGACAATCAGGCTGGACCTCCCTTCGGTCACCATTGCAGGAGCTGAAAAAGATGAATCCGTCATCACAGAGGACTCAACATCGCAGAAGTGTTCCAGCCAGATGAGAAAATTTTACCTTCTTCCTCCAGCTCAGAAGTTCTTGGTGAAACAAAGCCATCTGAAGCCATCGTCTAAATATGTACCGTCACCACAACCAAAGAGTCTGAACAGGGTGGCCTTCTTCCCGAATCTCAGCTTCACTTTCTTAGGAGGCCAAAAACGAGGCAACACAGGTGCAAGGCCTAATTAGTGCTCGATGCTCTCGCCTGTCCCTGAACTTTACGAAGACAGAGACAAGCAATCTCACCAGGCATCGGGCAGCCAGGTACTTGAAGCGGTCATCAGCCGTCAGCAGGTGCTCTTGCCGCAGCAAGTGTAGCGCCCGCTGGTACTGCTTGCTTAGGTAGTACGCCTGGGCAGGTTGGGAGGATATTGTCTCTTGAAAGTTTTCACTGCCATGTTTGGGAACATGTGTATCCTTTCTAATTTATGGAGCAAAGCTCTTAGACCAAGTAAACTTGCACCACAATGGAGGGCAAAGTGGCATGCAATGGGAGGCAAGCTGCAACTGCGGGGGCTACTGTTCGTAATCTAGTCCCAGGTTTGAAGCTTTTTGGCAACACTCCTGTGATCAGGTTCGCATCTTATTGAGCAACATGTAGGTGGAGGGAATCTAATGCAAAAGGCAGTGGAGCTCAAAGTGCCATCACTCTGATCTACATCAAAGGACTCAACTAGTGAGAAGGTTCATTAGGGCATCCTCCGATAGAAAGGCAGTGATTGATTGCCAAAGCAGACTCTTGAGGAGATGGAACAAGAAGCGCCTCGTAAGGGAGTGAGGGGACCCCATCATTGATCAGAATAAGTGCTTGAGAGACTTATCAATGTGCCGGGTTAAGCAGGAATGCATTCAGCCGTCGGTGCCAACCACCTTTGGCAGCCGGTGCAAGGCGCCACATCAAGAATCAGTCATCAGGCCCCATGCCCACACCCAGGGCAGCTTAGTTACCTCTTGGAATCCTTGCCTCCACTTCAAAGAGGTCTTTCAAACAAAGCTTCAACCAAGATTTGATAAGCGTGGCTCAAAGAGAGCTCCAAAACTACTACTTGTGATCCTGCGGTCCTACAACACACATGCGCTCTCTCAACCACACTGTGTTCACAAAGAACCGGTGCAAGTTCGGTGCACCTGAGCTAAAAGGTAAACGTCCGAGGCAGCGGCCCCAGAGACAGTGACCAGCTTGTCAGCAAAGAAGATTGCCGATGAGTAGAGGTGCTTCCCAAGGGCGTCGCGCACCACCGATCGCAGCTTCTCCAAATTCATGGTGGCACTTTGGTTCAATGGGTGCAGAGTCGCACCGCTGAGAATTCCTACGGAGCGCACTATTCTGAGTGTGCAGCTAATCCTACCGCCCAATGTCACGCGTTGAAAGAACACCCGTTTTGGTGTGAACGATTGATCTAAGCACTGCAATGCAAGGTTCTGCTTCCAGAACCACCAGACACTCCTACAGATTCTAAGACGACTGAATTGCCAGAAGGAGTGCTGTTGACAGTGTTGTAGAAACTTACTGGTCAACTTTTAAATCTCAGGGCTGGTGCACTTTCAGACTGTTGCAAGCGCCTAAAAACATATGCTCAAGGTTTCAAGCTGTCGAGCAGCCTCAGGAACAGAGAATTAGGGTTTGCTAGTGCGAGAGTCTTGCAACTCTTCACAATTTGTCAAAATTTCGAGAATTGCTGGCAATGGCAAGTTCAGCTCTACAGGGGGGAAAGTCGGCTGGAGGAGGCGCTTTCAAGGTCGATCTTCAGCTTGGAAAGAAGCACAATTCCAAGAGTTGGAGCGGCTGACCCTGAGGGCAGAGTCTCGAGTCTGAGTGGGGCAGAAGGCAGAGCCAAGGCGACAAGAAATTTACATTGCAAATTTGCTGGTGGGTTGTGACTCCTTGATCGTTACTCTGTCATGGATTGCCGAGGATGCTGTAAAATACCAGTTCAGCTTGCGGTGGTGCAAATATGAGAGCTGGGATGTGCAGCTTCGACCAATCAAGAACGCCGGAAGTTTTCTCATTCTGCCCAATCTTTCCTCTGCTTGTTTGTGGCTTTCAGAGGCTCAGAGCTGAGCAATGGCACTCCATGGAGTCGATATCGATTGGCTCTCAGCAGCGCACCACAACTTTGAAAGTAACTCGACGCCAATGGATGCGAGAATAGCACCATGCAGCTTCATTGTGCACTCCCCCTTGATACCTAGATTATTTTGAAACTCAAATTTTGAAGAATGCTGCTCCTATTTCGTGTATTTGCAATCGCAGCGGTTCGTACGATAACTTGGCCATTTAACAAGTGGGGCCACCCCCTGCCCACAAACATAGACATGATCGTATTTCCCGCTTATGCCCCTTGTTCTGGCCCACTTCTCAATGAATTGGTCGGACTGATGAACAAGGTTAGGCGTGTGCTTGTCAGCCCCGAATGAAGCAGGCGCACCAAGGACATGCAAAGGTTCTTTTAAACAAGGATGCCATGAAAGGGTTTAGTATTGTTGCAGACCGTGCCTTCAGAGATTCCACCTGCTTTCGCCCGCACCACTTTTCAGCAAGAGAGTAACTTGAAGAGAAATCTGCATGACGTCAAATGATAAGCAATGCGAGGTGTATTTTTGTTGGCGTGAAGCACGTTGCCTTAAGTGGTGCTTTGATCGTTCAAGCGGTGCGCCATTTGTGCGTGACTTGAGACGCCCGGAGGAAGTGGGATCTAGAGCAGGGGTTACTGCATCCGTGCAGCTCAAAGGCACCATGTGTCAAAAAGATCTAGTAATGAACGACAGTTGGCAAAAATCCAACATCTGGACCTGAAGTATGACTTTGTGTCTTATTTTGACGTTTTTCAAAGTTCGTAGACTGATCCAGCTGTGGCGATGATGACTTGCAGCTCTGGTATCCCGGGCCAGTGGATTTTGAACAACGTCTGATTGCCACATCCAAGTTCCTGATGAGGACTCGACAAAGGATATCACGAATAGAGCAGCTTTTGTGGGTTCGAAAGTTTTGAGTGAGCCTTGCGAAGGGCTTTTTCATCATTGCTAATCTTGTCAATTCTTTGTGCAGAAGCCGTTAGTGGATCTGCTGGTGGCCAACAAGATGTCATACAGAGGAGGCTACGGGTGAGTCTCACTTGCACCACTTTTCGCAAGAGCCACTCTACGACCCGAAAAATTCTTCTGCTTTCCTTTGCAAAGACACTTGGAGATTCTGCAGGGGGAAGAGGAGAAGCATCCTCCGCTTGGTGCTGATTCCAGAGCAATCACGTGCACGGTCTGCAGAAATTTCAGGGCTGCAGAAGGTGGGACTTACGATTTCAAAGAAACTTTTGCTACGTTCGTAACCTGTTACTGTTTGGTCGGTCGATCTGAACGACTGTTGGCTACCGACTATTCCGTTTCTGCAAAGCTTTGCGGTTTCCGGATCCAAAGGTGACATTGCATCCCGTCAGGGGTCAGGCGGGCTTTACTTTCCAGTCTGCACTGGGTTCAAAGACTCTGCATGAATGCCCTGTCTGGAAGGACCCTTTCGTATCCGTCTTAGCAAGCGGTCATCGACGCGTGTGCATGTTGCCGCCTTCAAAGGCCAATAGGTGCCCGTCACACTTTTCGACATTTTTTACCCGTTTCTGTGACCATGTTTTCCAGGAATACCGGGTATAGTGGTTCGGGGGGGTACTCTCGAGCTGGCAATAGCCCAATCGGCAGCCCCCCTGGGTCAGCAGGGAGCAGCGGCCGGAGCACGTCGCCCATGCCTGGGATACCGACAACTTTTCCGTCGTTGAGAGACAAGAGGTGAGCGGATCATTCCTGAGAAGTAGGAAAACTTTCTGCCCTTTCGATTCCAAGGAATCCGGATCCAGAGTTCTTGAGGGTGCGTTGTTGCACGAGACTCTGCGTGTGGAAAACTTTCAGGTGACATAATGGACTCGCTTGATGACGGCTCCGACCCGGATCTTTGAAAGTACGTATCTTACAGAACGGGCCAGGAGATGATTTGCAGAAGGGTTGTTTGTTCACGTAACGGCCCAAAATCCTTGACGAGATGCGGCTTCTTGTACAAACCCGTCTCGACAGGTTCTTCCAATCTTTCATACGCTGCGCAGTTGATTGGATTCAAAGAGTCGGCGGACGTCCGCTCAGGAGACGCAACGCTGTGAGCACCGCTATCAATCTGCGGTGAGAATGGGCTGGTATTAACGCCCACTTTTCCGGTTTCTTCGTTGCAGTGCGGAGGAGTTGCAACGGCTGCTGACGGACCCAAGCGCGTACAAGGCATTCCTCAGCAGCATCGAGAGCGTCAAACATGCAGAAAAGGTGGGTAGTCATGTGCTCTTTACCTCCGCAATTCGTCAAACTGAAGATCGTCAAATTCCTCACTTGCCACTGATGGGATATTTGCCGCCCTAGCAACACGGAGCTACTACACAGCATCTGACCGACTATTCACCCTTTGTAGATATGTGCGGAAGCCTCCACTTGCCCTGTTTATTTCCAGTCGCACGGCGGCCTACGCGCTAGTATTGGGACGTTGCTGCCGCACTTCGACGCGCTATTCCTTGCCAATCAAACCCTGCTTCACGTCTGCTCGGTTTACTAAAGATCTTGACGCGCCTTCTCCTGGTTTCTCAGTTGCGCGACGATTTGCGCTCGAGCAACCTCGACCTCGCGCACCGCAACCTGGCGCGCGAGAACGAGGTGAGCGAGCTGCGCAACCAGTGCAACATCATCCGCACCACGGAGGTCGCCGCCGCGCGGCAACAGCTCGACGAGGCGCAGCGCCGCGAGAAGGCCATCTCGTCGCGCTTCTCGCCGCAGTCCCTGCTCGACCGATTACATCGTAAGTTGTGAGACGTTTATGGAATTCTATGATCTCTGGCGCTGTCCTTCTCGGTTGATTCTTACAACTTCGATCGAAGCACAGCGCTGCGAGGAGGGCATCTCGTCGCGCTTCCCGCCGCTGTCCCTGCTGGATCGCCTACATCGATGAATGACAAATCTAAATAGAGGATTCGATCACTTGTAGCAAAAGCCTGTTTTGCTTTTCTTTCATTTTCTCCCTCTATTATGTTTGCTTTGAGCGTGAGACACAGCAAGACAAACGATCATTGTACTCTCGACGGTTGTTGCAGGAAAGCTCTGGGCCACTGTGATTCTTCTTCTCTTTGTTCTCACGAAAGCGGGCCAACAAACAAAGCTTGCCAGCCACCGTTTGACCGGCTGCACCGGTCATTCGAAGTGGCTCGCTGTTGGGCGCTCGAGCTACATCAGCTTTACGGATCCATTTATGTTCTGAGAGGCATTTACGGGTTGCTTATGTGAACTGGATTGGCCTCTAGACGAATTTATTAAGTACGTCATTTACTGTGGCAGCTGACTCCATGCGGAAGCAAGGCCGGGAATAGAAACTGCTTTTCGTTCTGCGTGAGAACGCAGAGGCCTTTTGCTGAGTAGTTCCGTGCGTTCGCTTCTTCTTTGTTTCTCTCCGCTGTCTTTTTGAGGCTTGGAGTGTTAGAGGGCAAGTAAGGACCGGATTATGCTGTTGGAGATGCGTGAAAAATATACAGACGTTTTTGCCAAACTTGTCCGCGCTGGAGCAGCACGAATTTGGGTGGTGACCTTGGTGTGGATTCATACACTGCGAGAATGCCCAGGGGTTCGACACGGCCAAAATTGTGCACCCACATCGAATTTGCGTCACGCCCAGTTTTCCAAAGTGCCGACCAAGGACACATTTGACGAACTCTGTAGTAACAAGTGCTTTTCTGGAGCCTACAGGTGCCGCAAAGGAGATAGACGAGGAGTCTGATAACCTGCACGACGACTTTCTCAGGGGGAGGATCGAGTTGTCGGAGTTCATGCCCAAGTATAAGCAGTTGCGCATCCTGTACCATAAACGGCAACTAATGCGGCTCGCTGCAATGACCAGTCCCACGTGAAGATTCGTCTTGAATTCCAGAAATAAGCGGGGTTTGGAAACTCAAGCTGGAGGCTCGTTCACCCTATCCGTTTGTCCCGCTGTTGAACAAGCTTGCTTACCATTTGTGTATAAAGTCCTGAAACAGGAACATTCCGATCTCTATATTGCCGTTTAAAATTCGTCGTTGCTTGGTGAAGAATTCTGGTGTATAACATTGTAGCGTTGAACTGTCTGTACTTGTTTGCGCCACCACACTAATGCAGTGACAAAGACGAGATGTCAGTCAGGCAGGCCAATAGGGCTTGCAGCCTATGGCCCTTTGCGTGCAATCATAAGCTATGACGATGCCAAGCAAACTAGCTAGCCCGCCGATGTGCTTATGAAGCCGCCTAGGTCCGAAGAACCATTGACCCCAATCAGCTAGGGAAGAACTATGACATGTGTGCCGTGGAGGCGAGATCGTACAATTTGGCAATTCAAAGCGTTCGATCGCGCGCATATAACATACCAACGTGTGCCATTTCAAAGTACAACGCACACTTGTTTTGAATTTCAACCACCGACGTCTCTCAATATTGATGGGCTTAGTGCATGCTGTACTGTCACGGCAATGTGGACAAAGTACACGAGCGGCCATGATGTGCCCATGGCTGCATGTGCAGCAGATTTAATCTGGAAGCAGCTAGGCTGTCTTCAGCCTTGCAGGCTCATGGGCTGTCTTCCTATTATTAGGACCCTAGTGGCAGCACCAGCGCGCACCCTAGCTGCTCCGGGTTTGTATGCCGGGCCTGGGAATGCGGCGTACTGATTCTACCTTGCGTGATCAAGAAAACACGTCACGGCAGCTCGAACGTTGGAATTGTCGCAACACGCGGACCCGTTTTGGCTGCTGCCCCTGCCCACCGTGCCAGTGCTGGGTCCTTGGAGCGTCAGGAAACGGCACACGGAGGGTGGGTAGTAGGTGGACCGGTAGAATCAGTACCTGCTCTCCGATGGTCCCTCTCTCTTGTCAAATGGTGCCATGCATGCAAAGGAAGGCGGTTTTATAACAACCACTACCATCAAGGCACTAGCATTTGGGGGAAGCCATCAATCATACTCGTAGCAATGGCACCAAAGCGGACGGCCCAAAGCGCACCTGGTCATTCTCCAGCCACCAGACAGGGCATCACCACTCTTGGGCCTGACTTGCTGGGCGCTATCTTCTACAAGCTGGGACCTAGCCCTATGCACGTGGCAGTCATTGCGTGTGTCTGCAAAGACTGGCGCAATGTGATGCAGGAGAGCACATGGAAGCTGCTATGCTTAGATGCGGCGCCTGCTTTGTGCAAGCAGATGGGGTATGACGACCCCAGCAGTCCGCCTTTGGGCGGTTGGTTGGCAGCTTATAAGGTCATAACCTATTGCGCGGGTTTGGTTCCTTCCGACTATGAGAATCTAAAGGACTTTACTAAGGGGTCTGAGCCATGGCCGGGAGCATTTTACACGAATACTTGGTGGGATCTGGTGGGGCACGTTGAAGAAAAGACTAGCGGCTTTCAGACAGGGCCGGCTGTCATGCGAGACCTCCGATTGCGGAAACCATTTCGGGACGATGTTGTCTTTGTGACTTCCCCTTGCGCGCACGAGTATCCCGACTCGGCTGGGCACGAGCCGTGCACCTTTGCGTTTCGAGGTGTTGTTCAGGATTTTGCTGCATCCGCAATTGCAGCAAAGTCAGGCGCTGAGGCCTATCTGGAGGCTTCTTCCAAGGAGCAGGAACTGATGCAACAGGGAGCGGATGATTGCTGCGCTTATTGCCAGGCGCCGTTATTCAAACTGCTAGAAGACGTTTTCTTTGAGAACAATTACATTTACAATCATCCGTACTATCCATCAAGTGATGATTCGGACGACTCGGAGGTCGACGAATCAGCGTTTGGCCCAAGAGGCTTTCGTGTTGAGGGCTCTGTTTGTGGAAACGGCCATCTCATGATGGGAGGCTATGGCAGTCGATCACAAGAGTCCTTTCTTGAGGTCATGGCGCTTGAGGGGTCTGGGGAGGACCTCCAGATTGAGAAGAGCGACCTCATGAACTTGTTGTGCGAGACTTTCTTTTTGAAAGTAGAAAACGACAGAGCAGAACTTGCATTTAGGAGGAGTATAGATCCTTTCTCTGCCAGCGCAAAGCTCACGTGGTTGGCGGTTTACTTGGGCCCCAATGCACTGGCTGTCGGTCCTGGGGACGAGAATGACACGTGTTGTCTACGTAAGATTGGGGAAAAGACGCAAGAATTAGCAAAGTCTTTGCAGAAGTGTGAAGTGCTGGTAGAACTGGACCTCGTGAAAAAGCGCATTAGCACTTTGATAGAGAGATTCGAGGTTGGAACAGTGTCCGGGTTGGAGACAACTTCAGAGTCGGAGTACTCGTCAGAGTCGGACCCGGAATTGGAGGCGGAGATGGAGGCATGTGATGATCCGGCCCCGTTCTGGGCTTTGATCCCAGAAGTTCTTGACAGGGTGGAGCGGCTGCCGGAGATCAGTCTCCCTCTTGTCCGCTTGTTTCTTGGGTTTTGCACACACAGCCCGAGCTACACTCTAAACAGAATCGAAGCTCTAGAAAGTCTGGACAAGAGGCGCTCTCTCCTGCAAAAGAAAGCAGTCGGAGTTCGCAAGGAAAGGAGGGGAGAGATCGAGGCTGCGTTGAAGGCAGCAGGGGTGTCGGCCAGGTATGGGCGGAGGCGCAATCAATGGCCAGACTATCGGGCGGTTTACCATTTTATCCGGGTGAGTAATAAACTTTTTACAAAACTGAGATTGTCGACCAGTGGAAATTTTGCTCATGAGAGGCGCCTCAGGGGTGTGTGACTCCAGCATTTGAAAGCCCTTCGTAATCTAGTGCAACAAATTCTGGACAAATATGGTTGTTAGACTTCAGAGGTTTGAAAGAGGTATTCTATCGTCTATGCACACAAGTGTAAGATTGAGCTCTCTCATGGTTGTCTTCTGTAAGGGCTTATCTGGGCCCCGCGCTTGTTTACTGCCTGTTCAGATTACACGAGGGCAGTTCATAGGCATAGTTAAGCATCATCTTATACGCCGAGACCGACTTGAGAAAGCCACAGTACAAAGAGTTGCTAGGTCTTGGAATGAGCGGGTTGAAGCAGATCAAAGAGCATTGTTCGTGAGCCAAGAAGGATTGCTTCGAGTGCAGTCCTCTGTAAGACTTGTGGAATCAAAACTGACCTATTGTTTTCTGTGGGGTGTGCCAGACTCGGGAGCTGTCAGTGCAGGAAGTCATAGAATGTCAGAGAAGATAAGCGCTTGCAGCTCCTTCAAGGCATCAGCAACCTTCAAGAATAGGTTCAACATGGAATCTATAACAGTTTGAGTTGCCAATAAAGATGTCTCGGTTTCGACATGGTGCACATTGCAAAACTCAGCATCATTTGTCGTTGAATTGAAAGGTGCCAGTTCTAAGACGGTTGACATCTCAACGAGAATCAGGCCCCGAGAGTTAGTAATTTATCGTCGGTCCCGCTTGTACACATATATGATGGCGTCTGGTGTGCACTTAGTGTAACAGATTCTGAAACCCCTTACGTTCTGTACTGAACTATGCACCATCAATATCACATTGCGCAACAACGTCTGGCATGCAGACAGGTGCACTACGCCGGGCCCTGAATAGCGCATGTAGTACGTGCGGCAATTTCAAAAAGTTATTTAGTATCAAGAGTTGCCGCCACTAGGCCATGCTTGCATGATTGACTAGCTCATGCCGCCATGTGTTCGACCAGACCGGACACATGCAACTCTACAGATGCCACGGCCGGCCGCGGTACTATAGTTGCTGCAAGGAAACCGCCCGGCCGCGCTTATTCTGTAATCAAGATGCTATCCGAGTCAAATTTGCGCCATGGCGGCAAATTGGAGCCCAAAATTTGATGAATTGCGGCAGAATGATAAAAATGGTGTATAAAGTGACCTGCACCGTCAGACACTGAGAGTGAACCGATCGCTCCACCCACGCTCCATGCAACTGCATGTTGCTTTGACCGCCTGGCCGCATGCAGTCCAACCATGCATCTCAAAATGTTCTATTTGGACGGTCCAACGACTCAAGACCAACAAAGTGGGCCATGTTCGATCAGGGTTTTGGAACATATGACCGCTGCAGAGTGATGTCGTACCTTCCTATAATTAGTGGCGGCACTCTCCCACTGTCGAGTCTGGCCGCGCAGCGGCAAGAGCTCTAGTGGGGTGCCAGCACCATATAACAGCCAGAGCACCCTGCCCGACTTGTGAACGTGCGGACCATCTCTCCTGAGGTCCGTGCATGGACTATTAGTTGCACCAACCTTGACATATGGAGTTGTCAAACAGATTCCAATGAAATTGAGAGTCAGATTGGCTGGCACGTGGCATGCGGGCCACACACTCTAGCTGCAAAGACATGTACGCCCTAGACTTGTTAGGTTCCACTCCGGGAGATCGTCCACATACACACTGGACTCCGTCTATTCCACTCGCTTTCACCATTACCCGCATGTCCAACGGCTATCTCTCGGAGAGCCTTGCTGACACTGCCCTCAGCTTCGAGTACACTTTCCCGGGTGGCGAACCGAGAATCAGACTACATAGCGCATCCCTAGCCACCCGAATGTTCGCAAACGACCCCAGTATGTGTATTCTAGTGTCGGCCAGAACGACCCTCGTCTTAGTCGAGTTCTCGATCGCAAACTTGGTCCTGCCGTTCTTCCCCGAGAGGCGCCCGATGGCCCGGGATAAGTGCTCCCCCCGCAGCGTTTTCACGTCCTTGATCTGCAATATGAGATCACCCAAGATGCCATAAGCAAACCTGATCAACTCGTGACGATGCGTAGGCCTTTGTCAAACAGACTCGTGGAGGAGCACACCTTCAAAGACAGCAATGAAACCTCCGTAACAGACCAAACCTCTCAGCATCGATGACCGGAATGGCCGTCAAGTGAGCGGAGAACAGCCTGACTGTCAACTCGTGCTTTTACATGAATTGGAGGTCTGCCGGCTTTAACAACATGTTTTCAAATGACATCTCAGATGTCCGAAGAAGGGGTCTGGAATTACAGAACAGCTAAGACTGCAGTCCATTTGAACATGCCGCAGTGGAAGAATAAAAGTTCGAAACCTAACCACAGGCCGACAACGAAGTGGAACGCAAGCGACAACAACACGCCCGCACAGAAGTACGAGACTCAGCATACGCCGCAAGAGCTTACAGACAGATATAGAACCCAAAGCAGAACAGTTTAAGCGCCAAGCCTCGAAAGCAGATCTAGTCTGGCATGCTGGCCACCGTTTCATGAATATCTCGTGAGAGCCAACGAGGATTAAACAGAATGCATTTCTACCCCTGAGGCAGAGTTGCTGGCAAGCGTTGCACATACGAACTATATGCGAACCACAGGAAACGGGAGGCCTAAAGGAAGTCCCACCGATCGATAGGGACGTTTAATACTGCAGGACCCGCTCTGAGTTAACTTGGATATTCAAAAAGACCCCACCGACAAGGCCCCCCATAATCCTCACAAGGCCCCCCATAATCCTCACACCGTCTGCCGTGAAACATGATGAGGCCAACGGTGCTGCAGCTCCGAAAGCCTCCACCGACAAATGCATTGCACTCACTTGAGCGTCAGTCTCAATCTGCCACCCAGACAAGAACGTTCATGGCTGCATCGACGCTCAGCTGCGAAGGAAACCGGACAAACTGCGGGAGGTTGGCTGGTCACATAAAAAGGAGGGGGAAAAGGCCAGAATGAAGAAGCGAAGAGAAATGATGCCAGCTCACCTCGAACGACTCCACATACAAATCGTCGAGCCTGAGCAGTGCGATTGCATCGCCGACGTCAAAGCCCAGGATGAACGCCTGGACAAAGTCCGCCGCCCGCTGCAGGGCCGAAATGTCTGCCGTGTCTGCTCGCGTCTTGATCTCCACCTTCCTTGCCTGGATAGAAAGAGGGGGGGAAAAGTTGGTGAAAGGCCATAACTAGAGGCAAAACGACATAGTAAGAACGATTTGAAGGTAAAGACAGTGATAAACAATGAGAGGGCCTGAATCAGAGAAGTCAAAATTACTTGCTTGGAGTTGGTTAATCTGCAAGAAATATCAAGTTACCAGGAAAGAAACCACAAGAACAGGGAACATGTTCCCGGATGTTTCGCAAAATTTCAAACCGCCACCTTCCGCGACTGCCCTTGAAAAGCTTATCGAGGAAAAAAACTCAGTGCAAGTGTTTTGCCGAAGCTAGTCTTGACGACCACACCGGTAGACCGGTAGAGAGCAACCAAAAGAAGGAAAAAGACGGGTTAACCCTTTTTGTTGTTGGTTTCAGCGTTCACAGTTCCCAGGTTCATGTTCATATGGAACTCGCAGTTATAGATCTATCAGAGAAAAACATCCACTCCGGATTGAACGACCAAGTCATCATCTTACCAGCGACATACAAGAACCAATGCTCACGAAGCAAGGGTAAGCCTCAGATTATTGAGGAGATACTGACACGACCAGTCAGATGCCACAAGATCGCAGTCAACGACCATAGCAAACCCTAAAACTCTCACCAACCCTAAAAGCGAATATAGTTGAAGAATCCCAAGAACGTGCAGACCAACAGACCATACGAATGGCTGAAAGAATGCTTGCGCGAAACTCTCAATAGTCAAAATAGGGCAGAACTGGCAGAGCAAAATAGGTGGGTAGGAGCCCAGATATGCTTGTCTGTCGGGGTAGAATGCCGCAACCAACACATCGACAGCAACCAAGGAATCAGGGAGGAAAAGCACTTGACTGAAAAGGGGAGCAGTGGGCGCCTTTGAAGAGCAAGCAGCATGCTTCATAAAATAGACAATACCACCACCATTTATTTCAGACCATTACCAACAGCGCTTCATGAAGAAGAAGCGCCTTTAATTGCTCTCAAGCCCATAAAGGTAAGAAGCACAAAATATTGAAGAACACGGACATGAGAAACATTAGACTGTGACATCTTCTTGCTAGTGACATTCAAGGGCCAGGAGCTCCTCACCTTCAGATTCATCCGAATGTCCAGCTTCATGGTCTCATAGATGGGGTTATATATTGCCAGCCAGTTCTCTTTCAAAGGCGTATACCTATGGGCGGGCACCGGTATTTTTCTAAACTCCACCTTATTTCCGCTCATTTCCTTGGCTGACAGGGGCGCAAACTTCGGCTTGGGGGGGAGGTTTAACTCTGGCCCTGCACCCCCCTCCGCATTTGACGGCCCTGCAGGACCCCCCCTTGCATCCGTTTCCATGCTCACAACGGCGTCCCTTGCTTTCCCCCTAATGGGCGGCATCTTGTTTCTTGTAATTATAGTGCGCGAGATGCTCCCAACAAGTCAATGGACCCAAGAAAATGCTTCTACAGGCAAAGGGGCTGATGGGGCAATATGGTGAAAGGACAGATGTTCTGGTAAGTGGCGTCGTCCTTGCTAAGTTCTCCTGCTCCTTCAAGTTGTTGCTCTGTTTCAAATGAAGCACATGGGCACCTGCACCTGGCAGGCTGCCAATTTAGCTTTAACTAGTACGCAGCATGGTAATGGTCAGAAACTTTTCCTTCACCGCCCGCGGTGCTTTTCGTCTTTTCTTCCCAATACCTAGTTCCGCTTGAAGCATGGCACTCATCGGACGGCCAGCAAATGTATCGCATATCGACAGCCTAGCTGTGTCCACGTCAATGACGGGTTCGTCCCCTGGCTGGGCGCTCTAATCTTCAGACTTCGGACAAAAAAGCCCCGAACTTTCCTCCTCACTTTCTTTCTCCCTTCCTTGTCAGTGCAAACTCTGCTGCACGTTTCTGATCAGATTCCTGGCATGGCTTCCTCTCTCGCGAGCCGCTCTTTCACTCTCGCAACCCTCGCGCCGCGTGCCTGTGCTGCAAGAAGCTGCTATCATTCTGTTTCTCGCTTTGCAGCCCCAATCCAGACATTTTGCAATTCTGCTGATCTGAGCAGCCTGCGCCGGTGCCCCCTTCAAAAATTTGCACCAGCTAACAGGACGTTGAGACGAGCTGACGTCAGCGGGATCCGCGCAATGGCCACCAAGGTAGAGAAGTCGGATCAGGAGTGGCGGGCGGTTCTGAGCCCTGAGCAGTTCCGGGTGCTAAGGCAAAAGGGCACAGAGTGAGTGGTTTCAGCATTTCCTTTTTCCGCCTCTCCAAAAATCGCGAGAGTTGACCAGCATTGTGTGGTTTGCAGCTGATTTAATGCTAGCATCGTTCAGTCGTTCAGCATATCGAATCCGCAAGAGGTTTTGGTTGATTGTGACCGAAGGTCAGGTCTATGGCACTTTGTATGGTGAGGAGTATTTTAATACATGCAGGTTCAGCTTTCTTCATAGATATGGTACCATGGAATATTTGATTTTCAAACAGTGGTTTGTGCGTAAATGCTGCCGCTCAGGGGAAGCCCCTTCATTCTGGCCTACCTTCGATTTTCAGTGGCGTCCTTCGCACCAGTTGATCAGCGCCTGTGATGACCGGTTTTGCCATTATAGGCGCCTTGAGTATGGTGATAAACGATCATTACTAGTGTGTTACATATATCGTACCACTCACCCCATACAAATTTTCTCAAGCCTACCCTGCTAAGTGTTTCCAACCTACTCACAGTTAGCGCGTGTGCTTACTTCAGGTATCCTGGCAGCAGTCCTCTAGACAAGACATACGACGACGGTGTGTATGAGTGCGCTGGCTGCGGCACCCCCCTCTACAAGTCTACCACAAAGTTCAAGTCCGGCTGCGGTTGGCCCGCGTTCTACGAGGGGCTTCCAGGCGCGATCACCAGACACGTGAGCATCAGTTGGACCTTCCTTTTTATTTTCCTTGTTCTGAATCGCTGTTACTTAGTGACGATTGACCTGGGGGTCAGTTTGTTGAGCCCGCAACAGAGTATATTAGATAAAAGGTATATATGGAGGGAAACAACGAGGAAGTCATCCAATCGAGTGTCAGTAGTCGATTGACGCTGTTCATGGGGGACTGTTCTTTCCGGTGATTGTCTTTTCTTGAAAGAAAGCATTGCCCAATACGATTGAGACAGTTATTGTGATACAGATTGTGCTTCAAGTTCGATTCGACTTTCCTTTAGGACAAGAGGTGCTGATCAGGGAGGGTATTTGCTGACCTTGTTTTCGAATACATCTGGAGTACCTTTTACATCAAGCAGTGAGTCTTGACAAAGGTAATTGCGGAGCGGAGGATTTTCTTGGAAGAAACCTGGCCGGTGACCTGAGAAGTGGGGCAGCCAAATGAGGGACAGGGGAAGAGGGGGGAAGGGAAGGGAAGGGGAGGGGAGGGGGAGGGCTCTGCCGCAAAAAAGGGGAGGTAAGGGCAGTAAAAGCTGGTGACTGCGCTTTTTTCGGGCTCTGCTTTATGTTTCTTGTTTACTTCTGACTTTCATTCTTTTCAGCTTAAGGCCATTTCGTTTCTTTAATCTGGACATTGCTTACAGCAAGTTGTCACACATCCTTGACACATCCTTCCAAAAAGCAACCTGGGTCTGCTTCGAACCACGTCGACTTGCAATTGTTGGAGTCCAAATCCAGTTCTTCTAATCTTGGAGGGCTGAAGCTTTCCTTTTTGAGATACTTTCAAGTTTCGTCTTCTGAGAAAACCTGATTTTGGACGGCTGAAGTGTCTTTTTTTGAAACCATTTCAAGTTCCTTTTTTTGAGAAAACCCAATAGGCTGGGTTGTACATCGTTGGACACTTGCAAAAGCTTTTGAAAGACTGCAGGTTTTGAGAATCAGAGTCAAGGCTGACCTGTGAATCCTCCCTATTGCAGCCTGACCCAGACGGCCGGAGAATCGAGATCACTTGCACTGCATGCGGCGGCCATTTGGGGCACGTTTTCAAGGTAGGCGTTTGCTATTTTTTCAGACTGATTTCTTGCTCATTTTGATCGATCGCCCTCTGTTCTCCGGTTTAACGTTGTCCAAGTGCGTTTTTAAGCATACAGACGCTGATGTTCGCATCGCATTCTATGCTATGTGACACATATTTTGTCGTTTCGTTTGTCACTGGTATCCGGTCCTGGTTCTTGAAAATATTGTCATCCGGTTGTGATTCAATGTACCTTTGGTTTCTGAATAAGACTTGCTGCATCCCAGGGTGCTGTTTACTGAACTGCTTTGTCGCTCTTCGTGCTGCAGGGCGAAGGGTTTGACACCCCCACTGATGAGAGGCATTGTGTCAATGGGATTTCCTTGAAGTTTACTTCAGGGGAGTAGGCGTTGGCAACTTCCATCAGTAAAAGGAGTGTGCGAGTGCGTGGTTGATCTCAGATCGAAAATTGTACAGATATAACAATCATAGATGCAAGAGTATTGTAACTAAGTTGGAAAATGAGTTGTTTATCCAGTCGTCGTGCTTTTTGCTCTGTTGTAGCTTGCGCCGGGGTTGCTAGCATGCAGAAATGAGCCGTATTTATTTTAGCATGCAGATTGTGCTGCTATTATGATTGCTTCCAGGCTATTTTGCTGGCAGCAATCGCATCTCTGCTATGGCAACTTCGCCAGGGTGCATATATATGCTTGGACAAACTCTGCAGATGGGCTAGCTTCATGTATACAGTGGACGTCATACCTCGATAATATGCGGTGCAATCAATTATGGGGCCGGCATGGTGATTGCATATGATGACACCGGGTTTAACTCGGACGCTCTGATCGATCGCACGGATCGACCCAGTGTATATAGTGCACATGCTGTATGGGGGCCGCTGCACCCTGAGATATATCAGCGAGCGGATCGAGTTCAAGAGAGATCCTCAAGATGCATGCAAAGAATATTGATGAGGAATTAACCATGTCATCACAAGCAGGGTTGTGGTACGCGATGTACCAAAGTATACGCGGCAATTCTTGTGAGTCCTCATGATTGACTGCAAAAATGGACTCATGTCGGGTAATAATCAAGCGTACCAACATAATGAGATGGACATTGCTGGTCTGCCTTCGCAAGTTGCCCAACCATGTATTGTCAGTTATCGCTTTTCAATTCAACCGTCCTTATTACCGGCACGCTCTTCAATTCAACCGTCCTTATTACCAGCATGCAACCCGCAATCTAATGGACATGGGGACAGAGAGGTTCAAGACGGTGCTTGTTAGTTTCTGGCATGCAATGCACCGCACGTTTTGAAAAGGCTGGTATGCCCAGATAGAGAACCCAGCAGACAGGGTGCGATGGATTCTGAGATATAAGTGCTCGTGACCGGAACAAGGAATCATACCAAAAACTCAGCGCATGTGCCTGTTTTCCCCCCTTTCCCTTCTGCCTTCCCGTTCCTTGTCATACCTTGTCCTGTCCTTTTTATCATCGCGCTCAAACCCTCTCTCCCGCTCTCGTTCTCGGCCATTTTTCGGCTCGGTCACTTTTTTGTCATCTTTACTACTGCCCCTAACATCCCCATCTCGGGCCCTCGCCCGGTCATCTCCTTCCCCCCGGTCCCTTGCTTCCTTTCTCACACTTCTCCCCTCCGATCGATCTTCCATTCGCCCCTGTTGCTCTCGTGAGCGCTCATCTTTAGAGCTCCCGTTTCTTTCCCACCTCTCGTCATTGGCCCGCTCCTTTCTTTCCTTCCTCCGTTCTTCCGCATTGTCGGGCCTCTCCGTCCCACGTCGCCGTTCCTCGTCCGCATCTCTCCGCCCCCCACTATCCGGACCGTCCAACTCCTTTCGTTTTTGGACCGCTTCCCCTTTCTGCCCCCCGTTCCTGATCGACTCCCGAGACACGTCCGCCGACTCATCGTTCCGGTCCATTCCTGTCTGTCCATCCTCCTCCTTCCGTTTGGCAGTCAAACGCTTCCGTTCACGCTCAAACTCCAAAGCCCAAACCCTTCTTTCTATGCCGCCGTTGCCTCTCCCTATCCTCCGACTCCGAACTACCTTCGCTCTCGCTGCTCGTAACATCCCTCTTTCGTCGCCTTCTTTTCCGTCGCTTCTTTCTGTCCTCCGAACTGTCCGAACTGTCCAAACTTTCCTCGCTGCTCTCGCTGGACTCACGGTTTTTGTTTCGGTGCTTCTTCCGCTTCTTCCGCTCCTTCCGTTTGTCTTCCACGCGGACTTTGGAACCGTTGTAAGCGCGCAAGAGCGCCTTTCGCTCGCTCTTAGAAAGCTGCGCCAGAATGCTCTCGTCTATAGGCTGCATCTCAGTCGCGCCAGCATCTGCACGAAGATATTGTTCATGTGACTTGACTGTTTTAAAAGGGCGGCTTGTCCTGAACGCATGAACAGCAGAAAGAAGAGCTGCTTGCCCGTCCGAGGATGTTTCGCTGAGGGCAGGCGGGAATCGACAAGGGGACAGAGTGACCGTGTTTATCCGCAGTCCTAATTCTTTTCCAGCAAGAAGGAGCAAGAGCCGACGTAAGAATCTCAAGCGGACGCCGGACTGCACGTTGATCTCAGCTACCGAACGAGAACAGCAAAGAGACAACATCAGGCAAAGCCAAACGCAGAGCAGAGATGCCAGAACAAATATGACGATCCCCAGTACATCTCACGGAACACGGACTTCCCCGAGACAAGTTGAACGGCGGAACAAGTTAATAAGGGTTAACAAGCTTTCTTAAGTAACATGACGCTACCTGCTTCCGCTGCCATCTGCCACTCCATCTCGTCCGGCGGCAGTATCTGCTGGTTCTCAGCGGTTGGGTCGAAGCCGCCGCGGGGCGGGCTGCGTCCGCCGTCTTTGAGGGTCCACTTGGGCTGCAAAACGGAAGCGTGATCTTGAGTGTCAGTCACCGAGAAAAAGCGGAGAGTGAATGCAAAAGAGCTGTGCTAGGGATGTGCTTGAGGTATATTGTGAAGAGGAGGGGGGAAGCCGAAACTGGTCTACGCACCGATGACGCGCTTCTAAAAGGCCTGCAATTTGTTTGTGCAGCACGAATGGCGCACTCAACAAACGCTACTTGAGAGGGTAGTCTCCTCCATCACTTCTTGTCCACTAAGTGCTCGATCAGATCCCGGCATTTTCAAAAGCACAGTCGATACCGTGCCGGTCTGACGAAAAGAAGCTCCTCAGACGAGGTGCTATGTTAAGTCTGCACTTCATTGCGATTCTATGAAAGGCCTCGCCTAGTTTTGAAAGGAACTTGAAGATGCGAACTGAGCAGACTGCCTCTCCCTTGACCTTTTGGTTCTGGACGCACGACCTCTCAGATCGGCCTTCCCACCTGAGGCGAAACGACCTTAGGCCGAGTCGACACTCTTGAAAATTTCACGCCCCAATCTCGAGAGGTTTCAGTGTGTTCGGCCCTCTTAAAGTGCATACAGATCGTGGCTCTCAGAAAAAATTCTCTGCTCATCCCAAAGCCCCCAGGAACTCAAAAGCGCCGGGCAAGTACCCGCGTGACACTGAAGGCCGTAACAGGATCGCTGGCCACGGTCGTTGGCAACAACCACCTCGGCAGGTCCCAACGTGCTCAAAGCTTGTCCGCTCAAACCGGCACTATCCCGTCAGTCACACACCACCCCGCGGCGACCACACGAACCTGAAAACGACTGCAAATCGATGAGGCTTACCGCTTCCTGTGGTACTGTGTTCAGGATTGCTTGGAGCGGATCCTCCCTCTTCTGCCGCTCGGCCTCTCCCGGCATCAGAACGTCCCGCAGCGGACAGTCGCGTTCGCCGCTCTGGTGTCCGAACGCACCGCAGCGCGCGCACTTGACGTTGCGGATCTCGATGCCGAACGGCTTGGCCTTGCCCACAATGCCAGTTTCGAGCCTGCAAAAAGGTGTCGAGATGTCAGGTGCATCACAATCGTGGAGACGGACAAGGAAAGCGACGTGTTAGAAGCGATAAGCAGATAGAGGAGATGGTTCGGAGCAGAAATATCCGGTTCTACGCGAAGCGTTACTTCCCAAGAGCCTTCCTCGTCGTTGCTTGTAAGTTGGAGATTGATGAAAAACAAGTGGACGACAAAGCTGATCTGAAGATCGTCCAAAGACCTCTGCAAAGCGCAGCCTCCGGAAGAGTAGTATGCAAGCCTGCCGCTACAGCACCCTGCAAGCGAGATCAGACCAAGTAGGCCCCTCTTAGAGATAACACTTGATGTTCGAGAGCGCTAGACTCACTTGGGGGCGTCCTTGAGAGCCTCAAACTCCTCCCCCGTCGCAATGCTCCTGCCAAAGACGTCCTTGGCCCGTGGCTTCTTGGCTTCCTCCGCTTTCTCTTCCGGCTTCTCCTGGCGCTTGATGTCGATGTCGGGATTGTACCCTGGGGGGCGCTGGTACATGAAGCTGACTGCCTGAGCCAGCTCAATCTGAGGGAAAAGCAAAACGACTGTACTATGAGTACTCAGTTGTTGGACTACACAAATGGCGAACATATTCTCATTTCACTTTCATGATGTTTCTTCCGGTCTTATTGGTGCCTGTAACCCTGTTGTAACTGTATAAGCACAAGAAACTGATATCAACAACTTTCTGCATTCTCGTCAGCACTGGGCCACAGGGGTGTCTGACGGGGCTTGACCAAACTTCGTTCAATTACAAGGTGCAGTTACGTGAGCGGTTTGGTCTGCCCCGTTGGTCAAAACTGTAAGAGCACGATTTTGTTGTGACCTTGCATTTTATAAAAGGTTGCAAAAAGGAACCAATCCTCAAAGAATGGACAGAGCGCGGCAGCAAACCCCTCTACCCTCTCCCCTCTATTCAAAATTTAACAATACTCGTTATTCCGCCAGGCAGATTTCATGCATTGTTGGTTAGAAGAATGTCAGCAGGTAAAGGGACTCACCCTTTTGCGCTCACTTTCGCTCAGCAAGGCTGCCTCTTTGAAAAACTCCTGCTCCTCCGCAAACTGCACGCAGCAAAAAAAGGGGTTAAGAGCGCCAAATTGCTCAAAATCGCTGTTCCCAGGTTTAGTTCAGCTTTCTTCACAGGTATATGTGATGCAACTTAAGTTCTACACATCAACAGGACCTTCAGAAAGTGTCCAACCCTTTTGCTACTAGCGGGTCCGGACAAAAGAAGATAATTGAACCCAGGACAAGTTCAGTGAACAGGTGGGCGTCATGGCGAGCCGGCTAAAGATTAGCTATGTAACTCATCGCCCATGCTTTTATCCCACTTCTGCTCAAATCAAGGAGGAGGTGTCCACCAAAGGTCCAATTTGGACTAGATGAGACGGCCCTTGTGAATTCTGCATCCACTCTTCATGTGATGCCGGACTCAACTGCCAGAGCTCTTCAGGGATGTTTGTGAGCTAATAGGACGGGTGACGAAATGCAGGTGAGTAGGCGGAGAACATTGCAGATGCGTTGTGCACAGATGAAGCTGCAGCCCTTTTTGGGTGACCCTCATTTCACACTCTTGTCCCCCTATCTGAGTGCTGGCAGCTAACAGTCCGATCGGGAGAATATGAAGAGAACATTCATGAACTCCTGATCAATTGGTGGCACCACAATTAGGACCTTTGAGCATTGAGTTTTCGAACACTTGGATCCCAAGTCAATCACCTCTTTGGCTGCAACCCCCTTCTGCTGCTCCCGCACGGCATGCTCCTGCTCCGCAATCCACTTGCGGCGCTGGTTGGGGTAACTCATAGGGTGCCATGGCTTCTGATTCAGGTAGTTGTGGCTCCAGGCCACCCCTGCCTTAGTCTTGTAATCGACCTCCGTGAACTCTGGGATCTTTCGGGGTGGACGCGGCGCCATTGTTGTCAGCCACTCGAGTTACAGAGCCCTACAGTCCGGTCAAACTTTTGATAGGATGCTTGCAGATAGTGAATTGCAAGGCCGCTCGAGTCACTTGTGACTTATTGAACCAACCCGCATTGGCAGCAAGCTTTCTTGACCTGTTCAACAATAAGAGGCCATTCCTTCTCGGAGGCCTACAACAGGCCCTGCCAGCGCAAACCTTCGTCTTCTGTCTTCTGATTGACGTCCTGTCTTGACACCGATCATCAGTTCAACAGCTTTTGCTCATGCAACTTCTGGAGTGCTTTTCTGCTTTCCAGCTGCAACTGGCTACAATTTCAAATGGCCCCCACATAAAAGGACCGTATATAAGCAGAGCCATCTGCCTCCCCCGACCAGCATAGTGCCATCGACGAGTCCCCGTTGGCCCGCTTACATTGACGGGTGGACCGTTCGCAGTCCTGGTTACGGGGCCTTTCAAAATCCCTTCGTTCTCTCGGAGTCTGACCATCTGTCGCCGGAATATGCACCAATAGATACCAGTTTTCACTTTGGAAAATCCAGCTGGGGCTATTCTACACAACACTTCTGCCAAGTTCTGGAATTTATGTAGGCCCAGGGCATCATGGAGAGGAAGCACTGGTGCCAGCAGGAACGAAAGGGCGACACTGAAATGGGAACGAAAGGCTCTTGAAGGACACTGCTTGCTCAAGCAGGGGAAGGGGAACTCCCATGCGGATCCGTTAGGTGCTAGCAGGTGGTTTGCTGAGCTGAAAGCCAGCCCTTTCAGCTGAGCGCAGATCAGAATAGCGCCACAACTCTTTACTGAATGTGCAAACAAGTTTCTGCAGCGATGGCAAAATGCTCACGTCATTCACAAGCATGTCACTTCTCTGCGCCTCGCTTTAGCAGGATGCAACCTATGGTGGTGCGCATTTTGCCTGTTGTGCTTTTGCATAGCTTAGCAATGCAGGGAATCTGTGCAAAGATCTCAAAGGCAGGTGCGCTTGAGTCTGAACACAGGGTGCACGCATTCTTCTACCTCTGGTGAGTATCTTGCTGGACATATTGTCAGGGATACAATCTGTCTTCTCTGGTACCACTCATCGATGGAATTGACACCTTGTCTTCTTGATAGAAGAGAGTTGAGTCCACCTTCAGAAAACCTTCCCCAGACGATTCGCTGATGGTGGTGAATTTTCGTTTTGTTGATCTTGCCACCACATCATGAAGAGAGCAACTCTATGGTGTGCGCATATTCATCAGCTGTTGAAGATTTTGCTAGAAAGCATGTTCACCAATTTTGGCTGTTTCCAAAGAGCATGTACACCAAGAGCTATCAGATCATGCCAGAGAATGTACAGTTCAAACGCATTTATGTGGCTTGTACATTTGGTTTCTGGAGATTGAAACGAAATAGATAAATCGGTGAACACAGAAAGGATACTGAGATCAGTCATGGCCCTCCACGCGTGCACACCCAATGTAAACAGCATATCTGCGCAGGTATGGGAACCCCGAGCATGACGGTGCCTACTTGCACTGGAATCACAAAGTCCTACCCCACTGGAGAGAGGAAGTGTCAGCACAATTTCCTGTGGGCAAAGAGGTAAAAAGAACTAAAATTAGCTTTGTCTTTGTTCTGCGGTGAGCTTTGAAATTCTGAGTTGCACAACGTAGATTTCAGCAGTTTGAAAATGCCAATGGCGGGCAAAATCAGACGACTTGAGTGATATCCTCCGTGTTCAGTCGCACGTGTTCTGGTCGAGAATTATCACAGGTTTCGCCAAGACAACCTATGAGTGTGAGCAAGGTTGCGCATGCAATTTTCCTTCCATACAAAGCTGATTGCTTGATATTTCGAATAACTCGGTTATGCTCAATTGCAGAGCCAGCACAGCCTAGGAAAATCCTTCTTTGCTTCACCTTTGGACCAACTAAAAGTTGTGCTTAGTCAAGCTGCTCTACTCAACCACTCTCTCGAAACCTTTCTCCAGTTTCAACCTCCACAAGACGTTCACTCGACCTACTACCCAGCCAGAGGCTGTTACAGCTCGAGGGACCCCGCTGTGATTCTAGCGCAGTTTGACGAGGTAGGCCTTTTAGATTCTTTCTCACGTTTGGCACTACTTGTGGGGCAAACTTCTGCTTGTGAGTGTTTGTAAGGCGAATTCCGGTGAAATCTGGTTCCAAGATGTGCGTATGACTTTAAGATTTGTAACAATGCACAGCTCTGGTCTTCTGGCCTTGCTTCCAGCGTACTTCCAGGTCAAAGATCACGAACAGGCCTCTCTGGTTGACTTTCTGAGATTATCGACCCACATATTGCGACAAGAAAAGTGTCCATTTCTGCTCGAGATTTTCTCAGACAGGGCCCACAAATCAGTGACCTCATATAGTAGCCTCCGTTCAAGTTCCATCTGGAGTCAACTTTACGTGCAGTGTCAAACCTGCCGGACTTTGAAAATGGACGAACGAACCACTGTCGTCTCAGTTGGCTGCTGCAGGTGTAACTGTGGCGGTTCTTTCCTGGTGGGGCCAAAGCGACCGTAAGGAGAGCGCAGATACCCAAGTGAGTGGCCCACTGTTTTCTACTAAGGTAACGTCTTCCCAAGTGGTGACCTTTGCTAATTACTACAGGCATGGTTCTTGTCGATTGCAGTCGATTGTGGCGAGGAGTGTGCATTTAACGTAGCCCACAGGTTAGCTCTCAACCGGCATGCAGGCAAGCTGCACTACTTTTCTGATAACTGCTCTGCAGGATTGGAAAAAGCACGATTACACCAACCGCATTATACTTGTCTCGTTTCCGACGACCATTGCGTCTGTCTGGTGGTTCTCTGAAAATGTTGGAGATGCTGCAGTTTGGTTCGGCTTGTCCCTGCCTATCTTCAATTTGGGTTTTGAGAATCAGACGACACTTTCTCGGACGCAGGCCGTTCCTATCAGAACTTCCTTTCATCTCATCGACAATTTCCAACATTGCGACGTGCTGTGGCCTTGTAATTTGTATTTCATGCCCGAGAACAATCTATTTCTGACTGCTGATTGCAGCTCGAGAATGATTGTCGTCTTCTTTATCAGAAAAAACGCAAAAAAGACGGGCTGTTTCTATTGACGCCCTTCTGTGAATTGTTTTTGCCATCAAGGCGCACGGCAATACGATGCAAGCATCCCTCTTTCCTTTCCCGGTGGTTCGACATTTCTCGCTACTTTCAGCCTCTCAAGAATTTTCTATTCCCCCAATGCAGGGCGTGTCTACAGATGCCCTTCTCCCAATTGTTTTCCAAGTTGCTGAGGCGCAGGGCACCGTCAAGCTGGCATTCCACCTGGAGCCGTACGTCGGACGGTCCGCCAAGAGCGTACGAACGGACGTGGAATACCTCATGGAGAGGTTTGGGGCATCGCCTGCGCTGCTGCGGTGGCAAGGAAAGCCGGTGTACTACGTGTAAGTCCACATTCTCAGCGTTTGGCATCATTGCGCGCTGTAGAGGGTCGGCCTTCGACCTTGAGCCGTGAACGTTGAGGGAAAAGGATGTTTAAAAGACGGGGCGTGATCGAAATCCGTTTCGCACTGCCTTCCGACTTTTTCCGCATTGCACTCATTCGCTCTGCAGCAGCGACACTAGGCCACAAGTGCGAAGTGAATCTCTGTTTGCGATTACCTCGTTTTGTCTCGCTTGCGTTTGACACTTGCAGCCGTCAAGCAAGCGCGTGGCAGTGCTCATTAGTACGACTTTCCATCGTCTGCCCTCTCTTCTGCATGACACTCCGCAATGTCCAACAAACGGCCTGCGACTCACGTAACTTTCCACAATTCTCTGCTGGGGCATACTCGTCGTCAGGCGACTGACGTTATCTTCCATTTGACGTCATTTTTGTCGTCTGGCAGCTACGACTCGTACCTGACGCCGTCGGGGGAGTGGGCCGCGGTGCTCAAAGAAGACGGGGATGACACGCTGCGGGGAACCAGCCTCGACGGCGTTTTCATCGGCCTGTGGCTCGAGTACAACGACGGGGAGAAGCTGGAGACCGCAGGGTTTGACGGGGCGTACAGGTGAGGTTGCCGGATGAGAAGATGGTTGCGAGGCGACCACACCGAAGGTCTCTCGCAAGTCCCTTAACCTCTCAATTCAGTCAAGCCGCTCGAAATTTTCAACCAGCAAACAGATCCCTTCGAGGTTGCAGCCAGTCGCTGAAGCGCCCCGTGGCTTCTACTGAAAAACTACACCCTGAACGGAATTGACTGGGGCAGCACAATCATCCTGGCAAACCTCTAGGAATGCTTTCGTTGGTTTCTGAGGCTGTTTGACATGGTTCGACCTGCTGAGCGGCATCAAGAGGTGTGAAAGTTGCTCGGAACAGCACCCGTGATGCAGGCCGCAGCGATTGAACGAACGATATCGCCGTCGAGCTTTCTTCCAAGTCGTTTCTCTAGTTTCTCTTTGCAAGTGTTCCCCTCAAGATGCTTTCATTCAACTCGATCCTTGGCTTGTGTGTCTCGGACATAGTGGATTCGAGCATCTCTTCGGTAGCGGACCTGACCTTTGGTAAAACAGTCTTTTTCAGAAGTGGTGACTGACATATCTACTGCGTCGTTTCGATCTGTTTGGTATCGGGTCACCATTTTAAAGGGGGGAGACCCTCTTGATGACGAGCTTTCGTCTGCGTTCCCTCCATCGGACAACTCCGCTCAAATCGATGAAAATTGAAAACTGAGAATTCTCAGCTCTAGACCTCCGTGATATCTTTCTCACGCGGGTTCCATTCCGCATTTCTGCAGTTACTTCGCCAGCGAGGGGTCTTCTTATGGATCCACGTGGTCTAGCTGGCCACGTATGGCCCAATGGGCGACGGAAAACAGAAAGGTAAGGCCGCTGCAGCCGAACACGGATGTTTTTGGTTCGGACGGGAGTTCTGAATCCAAATCTCGGACTTTCTGATTCCAATCTGCAGCCGCTCGTGCAAGTTGTTAACGTGTGCAGCGCGCAGGTCGTTCCAGAACGTACTCCGAACGAGACGTTGTGAAAAACGCGCTCGAGCAGCCGCAGACTTGGTATATCGAGTCCGACTTAGGATTCGGGTTTGCACGTCCGAAATGGAAACGTCCGGAGCTGGCCATACCAGTGTCAAGATTGAGCCTCTGATGGCAAACCTACGCTCGACACAAGTCTATCAGAGAAATCTCCTTGTTTCTAAATTTTACTCACCGAGACTTCAAATCAGGCCCCGAAACTCCTGTGCCATGTGAAGGCAGCTCTAACCTACTCTCCTCACCAAAAGTGGTCAATATAGTAAAATACGGTTAAATGTTGCGAATGACCAATATATGCAACCGGTGACAGCTTGCTTCGAAGCTTTCATGGCTTCTATTGATGACGACCGTGGCCAGTGTTGGGGAATGTGTCCCGGGTCCACGTGCTGAACCGAAACGATTATGCTCGGTTAGCATTCGTAATAGTGTGCTGCACCTTGTTGGCAGTTTGCCATGCGTGCGTGTTTCCATCCAGCACATGGGGAAAAGCCGGCTTCTGCAAATCGCATTGTGTATTCTGCGGGTTGCACAGATCATCTTCTCGTTCCGTTTTGCCAGATCAGTTAACTCGTTTTTGACCACGTTGAGCTGCTTATTTGGAACTTTCTTGTATCCAAGCAAACAGATTTGTTTTTGCCGTGCAAGTTTGCATCGATGCTTTTTAAACTCCTATGAGTTGACGATGTACATGTCTTCTTTCTTTTCAATAAAGAATTCACTCTTCGGCCTGAAATTGTCAGTTCGCAAAGCTAGAGGCGTGTAGTTCACCAAAATTAAGATCTCGGTCCAACAACTAACTAACCAAGGTTCAAGAAAGGGTGGTTAAGCAATTCTCCCTCGACTCCACAGTTGTTCATCGCCAGTGTTGGGCCCGGTTACAACGACACCCGCATCCGCCCCTGGAACCCTGGCGCAACTAGGGCGAGGGAAGAAGGGCGGCTATACAAGCGGGCCTGGCGGCACGCTATTGACGGGGGCGCTGACGTCATCTCTATTACGAGTTACAATGAGTGGGGGGAGGGCACGCAGATTGAGCCAGCCAAGCCGTCGGTATGAGACGCGGCTTTTTCATGTTTTTCTTGGCGTCTTTGTCTCATTTGTGAGTGCTTGACTTGGGCTGTCGCTGGATAAAGATAATTCCAGAACGGCCCGCAGGAGGAAAACCTTCTTAAATCCCCTCTTTTTCTTTGTCTTTCATCGAGTTGGTTGATCCTTCGTTCGCTCCGGCGAATTCCGACTCAAAAGCCTTACATCGAAGCGGTCCACTTTGCAAGGACCTCTCGACGAAGCTCCGCTCCGCGAGCGGGGAAGCAGACTCGTCCGAAATGAACGGAAAGCTTGCAAAATTGTTTAAAGCGGTCTTGGAAGTATGCGGCCGAGCAGTGCCGCAACTGATCAGAACGGCATCTTCTGTTCACCACGTAAACCGTGCCTGCCGGTAAACAAGAGTCGCAAGAGTAGGGGAGTCGACTTCGACTCCAAACGAGTTTCATCGCCCTTGGCAGAAAAGAGAGTCTCTGGCGCGTATTGGTGCGTGCTTGAGCTAGCATAATCCTGAGCAAAACCTGGCACCTCGAGCAACAATGTGGCAGAGTCATGAAGTTTTGCGTTAACCGAACGGTCAAGATTCTCCTTTGGGACCGGCTTCGGTTGGTACCTACCACGTGCGGTCAGATACTTGTACACTTTCACAGGAGCGAGTGATCATGTAGGTTTTCTGGTAGGCATTGAAGATTCATTCTCTTGAGAGACTGCCGCACTTCCGTTTGTCGACTGCGCAAAGAGGAACGCCCGAGTTCCAAAAAAACGAGCAGGATCTCGTATGGACCTCAATCAGTGCGTCGCTTGCAGGTGACGTCGGGAGGCGCCCCCTTCGAGGACTACGGCGCTGACGGTCCTAAGATTTATCTGAACCTCACAAAAAAGCTCGTAGGCGACTTCAAAAAGAGGCGACGAGAGAGTCAAGGTTCCCTTCGAGAGGAGCTATGACGATTAGAAGACTATGCATGGTTGTGAGAGCTCGCTTATAATGTTTGACAGAGTCCTTGACTTGATTGATCACTGCATGTTGAGCACTGGCCAAGTTGATTGCAGACAGCTTCAAACATAGCAGTATGGCTTAGTGCGAGTTGCCCACGGTTGCAAGGATCTGTCGTGACTGTAAATCTTATTACGTGGCTTGGCGGGATGACAAGACTCCCAGAGTCCTGTTTGCAGAAAGCAACATGTCAGGACTCGAGTGGCTATAGCAGGATGCAGCCGGTTGGCTTGAGGTGATATCGGCCAATGTTTGTTTGGAATCTGCTTTAGCCACCTGGCGCGCTCAAAGTCGCCATCACTAGTCTGAGCTCCCAGCCTGCTAAGCCTTAGTATAGCTGCACTGGCATGGTCTTCACAGGCTGAGGCTTTGACCCACCCGGAGTTTGTATTAGTATGTTTATAATATCGTGCCAAGCTAGCTAGGGCTCCATCATGCAGTGATTGTTGGTTGCCAGCCCCATAATTTGGTGGGGGCAGACATGTCCGGGCGAATATTGAAGTGTTGCAGATTGCCTTGCCATGACAACGACATTGCAACGGCGACCGCCGCTGCATGGACAAGGTCGACAAACGATCGATACATATAAAGGTGTGCATGCTCGCACCTATAGCTTTCCTGTATGTAATTTATCTTTTTCTGATCATTCCAGTTTTCAAGTTTAGTATATATTGCAAGCGATTATATAGTTAAGTAGTATAAGGTCCTTGTCCAGTCATACGGCTCCGGCCATCATATGAAGCTATAGCGCGACCACGTACATCTCATTCCCCAGAACGCGGGCTAACTTCAATCCAATTAAACGTGCATGCAAAAAATTAAATAATTGCATATACATATACTACTGTAAAAAGTAAGTCAGTGAAGGAGTCATGACTAGTATGAGATTAAGTTTTAGCGCTAACGGCCATGCCTCTTCTTACTAAATTGCGTCGGAAAATTACCTGTCGATGTACTATTAAAAATATGTAACATCTTCTCGTTCATTGGTCATCGGCACGAATATGATCAGTGTATTTCATCAATCATGATGATATTGAAAGCCTAGTATGATAGTTCACCTCATCTCAACTGCAGTGTATATCAAATCGAACATACAATCCACACCATTGTGTGGAAAAGATCTAGCTTGTGCACATACACTTTGGGTTATGATTGTTTTTGTAACAAATCCACTCAGTGTACAAAACTATCCCGCCAGAAGGTTTTTTCCTCCTGACAGTCACAGTTCTCTTATTATTCTCAATCTGCAAAGTTGACTATACAAAAAGTCACACAGTGGCAGTCACTACATGTCGAAATCCGTCCTGTCTGCCAACTCAGCAGTCCCAGTCTGTCCTAAACGGTGATAATCAGAAACTCTTCTCACAGCTTGGTTAACGTAGAGTTGTTTCCTCTACGACCAGCATTTATTCCGGGGGCCGCATTGTCTAAGGAGAATACACGTGATTGATCTTACTAAGCTCTTTCAGGGGTCATAGTAGTTACGCTGCTAATTGTTATAGCCGGGTTTCTTGACCACGACAACCTCCTTCTTGACGGCAGCTGCAGAGCGAAAACGGAAAGAAGGGACGTCAGGTATGCTTTTATTCGGTCAGATCGACTTTCAATCAGATGTTGGCTGCTCAGTTTGTATCTTCGGATGTAGTCAATCGATATCTCATATCGAAGCTCTGGTAAGTATCGGACAAGAAAGTCACAAGAAACAAAGAAGTTGAAGAAAAAGCATTTGGATCTGTTCCCCGCTTTTCAACAAGGAACCCGAAACAATTCTCTGATGCAGGAAGGATCCATAGGTCAAAATCCTAGCTCTGATACGCATCCGTGAATTTGGAAGAGTGAAGACCTGAATTCTCACTATTCTAAAAGCTGCGCCAGAATCAAAGAAGAGCGTATCAACCAGATCATGGGAGCTTTCAGGTCACCTTGCTTCCAGAATAACGTCACTCACCCGCAAAGATGACGAAGTTGGGCGGCGCGATGACGAAGTCGATGGCGTGCACCACCACTTTCTCCTCCACAACGATGACATCAGCCTCCGTCACCTTGGCCAGGACCTTGCCGACGCCAACTAGGACGACGGCCTTCTTGATGGTGATATCAATCTCCGTAATATCGATCTCGAGGATGGATTTGAGGGCGGTCTTGGGGCGGGAAAGAAGCTCCTGCAAAATCAAAGAAAAGGTGCGGTCAGTCTCATGATGTCAATTCGCAGGGGCTGAGCAGAAGATACAAGCGTCTGACACAGGTGCAAAACTAAAGACAGCCCACGCCCCGCGTTGACAAAACAAGGTTGCGAGAGCTAGAATACAAGCGGGCTGAACTTCGAGAAAACAGGGGCTACACCAAAAACATTGGACGGAAAACTTCGATTCTTATTCTGCTGACACCCCTCTAGCCGGAAAGCATGAACGCTCGATAGAATGCCGCTACAAGTGATTTCAAGCTGATATATACAGTGGAAGCGATCACTTCGCGACTCGAACGCAACCGAAATAACCAGAGGATTAAAGATCAGAAGTTCCCTCTACTTTAGTGCAATCCTTGGATCAAAAGGAAACCCCCAAACATCAATCCCGCCCACCTTCGCGGGGAATACGCCCTTGACGAAGTGATACGCGATGAGCTTGATCAGGATCTCGGGGCGCTCCTTGAGTCCCTCCAGGATCTCGTATGGGATCTTGGAGAAGGCCTCGTCGGTGGGCGCGAACAGGGTCGCCGGGCCGGCCTTCTCCACCAAGACGAGAAGAGCCTTGGTGTCGATATACTTCTGCAACGTCCCGGGAAACGAGTCGGGTGAGTGAATGGAGAAACAGAAATGCGAAGAGCCACCCCCCAGGCTCCTTTGAAAAAGAGACTATAGTCTTCAGCGCCTTTGAGATTGCAGTTTATAAGAGCGGACAGACACCTGCTGAAGTTGGTCTTGCGGCCGGGACATTGAACCGGATGCAAAGTTTGTGAATCGGGAGTCTGGTTTTGCATCCGGGTTGCAAAATGGATAGATAAGGAAAATAATCCTTGTTAGATTGGATTCAGGGGACCGAGCAAAAAACGACTCAATTCAAGATTAAAACGGAGGCCGGAGCAGCAAATCGGGGCAGGGCAAGGAGAGGAGCTTTACGGTTTATAAGCAGTCTGTGGCGAGGAGATGTACTACCGAGTGAAAGAAAAAGGCTGGACTTGACAACGTTTTGGATTGGAAGCAGACGAGCAAGCTTACAGCATCAGCCCGGCGTGAAGCAGGACGTCAGCTCTACACGTCTCATGAGCACCAAAAAGACACTCTTTCATATCTCGGAAGAAGCGGTATAATTAATCAAGACAGCTGGGCTGTTTCTCTGATCACAGTCACGAAGCTGTATCTCCAACACTCACAAAGCTTAATTAAGCACATCACCATCTTAGCAAGGGTCAGAAACAAGTGGGCAGACACGACTTTTTGAGAAAGCAATCAGAGCCAAGTTCCTGACGGTCAAAGTAGATCAAAGGAAAGAAAACTCACAGTGATGATCTCGATCAGAATGGTGAATTTCCCTTTTGCCACCAGGGCCTTGACCACCTTCTCAAACAGCTCCTCGAAGGGAGTGGGGACCCCCCCCACTACGTAAGGGGGGTAGGGGATCGGCAGGGGCCTAGCTTCAGCAGCCTTGACGATCACCCCCTGGCCGATGCGACCCCCCCCCTGAACAAGGTAGGGCTTTTTGGGGGGCTCCGAGCGCCCGGCAGAAACGGAGAGAGCGAATAGGAGAACCAGGAAAGCTGGGCGAAGGAAAGCCATTGTTCCGGGAAGGGGGGTAGGTGAGGTAGAGAGAGAGTGCGGGTTGTTTGGCAGAGCTTTTGAGGGTTTGGAGGCGACTTGCGCGAACTGGCGAATGAGAAAATGGAGAAAGCAGCGAGGGTTTTATACTCGTGAGCGAGCAGATCAGATGGAGAGTGAGGGACAGTCACAGAGTTGAGTTGATTGTGCCTGTCTGAAACGGGCCTTGAAGCGCCAGCAAAACCAGGTCTGCAGCACAGTTACGCCACGAATCTTTGGGCAAGGAATCTTGAGGGAAGCATCTTAGACGGACAAGGCTCCATTTGGAAATGCGGGACTAACGTGGCGCAATTCCTGCCCAGTTTGCCGCCCCAACCTCGGCCGTCGTCGCCCGTTCTTCCGAATCATTTGACGTCCCTCTTCCTCCCAAGATCCTCTTTTCCGAGGTTGTTCCTCCTCGAGGTCTTTTCTCGGGTTCGATGGACTCTCAAGAAGCGGTTCCGCTTCTTGCGAGATATGTTTATGCGTCATTTTCCCGTGGTGCCTCGAGCGTGCCCTCGCCTCGGATTTATAGGGCAGGATCTCTGAAACATAAGACGAACCGCGATGTTCAATCATGAGCAGAATCATGTGCTTACTGCGTTCCTCCTGACGCCTCGTTCAATTCCAAAGTAGTGCACTGCTTAATCTGCTGGTGTCGCGCCGCTCAGACACCGTGTCTTGTGAAACTACAACCTACAGAAAGCCTACTGTAGCATCACACGTTTAACACGCCCGCACAACCCAAACGAAACGGTTTGAGCTACTGTTTGTGGGTCTTCGGTGGCCGAATTCGCATCTGACGAGAGACTCTGGAAAGATGAATGGTGCGACAAGAGAACCCGGGAGTCAGGTGAGTCAGTATGTCCAAAGAAAACCCATGCTGCCCAGTACGGGATTTTGAGGGATAACGAGGAAAGTTCATACGATCGTTCAACTGGCAACGTCACCTTGCTGCTTAGAGAGAACCTTGTTGCTTCGTGAGCACCGAGACACGCAGTGGCGGTTGCCGCTTAGTTTGACGAACCCAAATGTACCGAAAGGATGGACCTTTCGTGGGCTGCCATCGAAACTAGATTTCATTTCGGCACAAGTTCTGGTCTATGTGCAAGAGCCCAGGCTAGGGTTGTAAGTGATGACGTTGGCGATTGGAAGTTCGATTTACAGATCGGCTCAATCTGAAGCAAAGGCCAACCCTAGATTCCGGAGCATTCTTGAATGGTAATGGAAAGCCTGGCAAGTTGCAAGTAACCCAACAATGTGGAGGTAGGAGACTCAGCCGGCAGCGAATCCGTCTCTCTGGCATCGTTCTCCGACGTCAGAAGCCGTTCGAGACATGAAGACCCTGAAGAGAACATCTAACAGAGCTCAGTTTGTCTCGACGCCCAGCAACCCTGGTCCTGTGATTATGGAACCTGCTTTCAGACCTGATGGGAGAGGGCGAAACCAACTTCGATCGCTTTGGTTTCGTTATCCTTGGGTTAGGGCTCAGAGCACTGGCGCCTCTTTTCCATCAATTAGTGATCACCCGGGTCTGCATCGAACATCTCATCGTACATATCTATTCACGGTGAGGAACTCGCCACTTGCTGTCAAGCAATCAAGCAAGAGTCTCCTTGCATTGAGGTCTCAAAATTACGAGAAGCCCTCCTACAGAGAGCCTCTTCTAGTGATCGTGCTTTCGAAGCAATCTAATAACACTCGTTCAATGGAGGCCAGCTTTTTGAAGGAGCTGCGTCACTAAATGACAAAAGCGGGATCCTACGCTGCACGTCATCATGTCTCGATTGAATTGTTCGGCAAGGCATCAGAAAGACTCCGTTGAACGCTGTCGCCAACAAGAATCGTGCAAGAATCGGTGGACAGTTTTCTGGGTCAAAACTTGCCGACGTTCTCTGTTAAGCACGTACGGAATCCTTGTAACGCGAGTTGCTGCCGGAAATCCAGCAGAAAGTATAAGACGTGTTGGCTCCTCCAGCTTGCGAGCCAAATGGAAGCAAATTTTGTTCATATATTCAAGTTGCCGCGCGATTACAGTCTCACTCACCCTTTTGCCACAACGAACAGAATTGAGTGAAAACGCAGAGGATGACGTTCTCGACTCAAGCGTAGCCAAATCTGCATAGGTAGTACCGGTAGGTCCTAATGCTGTCACGGAAGCACCCATCTTTTCGAAACGCTTACCGATCGATTGCAACATGATCCTTGCTGTATCCGGCCATCGACGCCCACGAGCGGAAGGGGAGGCGCGCTTCGGAAGGGCTTCTGGACCGCCGATTGAAGAAATCGACGGTTCCCTGCTCTCAGCATGCGTGACGGTGAACTCGAGGCCCAAAATCCCTCCCACGATCTCGCTGCCAGATATGCAAATCCCCGTCATTTGATACTGACCACATGACGTCTACTACCGCTGACGTCGTGGGAGATTTTTCCTGCGTCACAGGGCAGATCGCCAATTGCAAGCCGCCAGATAAGCAGCTCATGCCACTTCTGACGTCACTCAACGTCACCCTTCCCGGCCAACCGGAAGGTTGCGGTAGCATGTTGTAAATCAGGCCACGATTTGGCCAGTCCCGTACTGAGTACAGGTACCAGAATGGTACCGTTACAACCGTAGGTACTACCGGTAATTGGTATGCTACAGTCTAGGTACTAGGTAGGTAGGTAGTAGGTACGGTACTGGCCTACCTACCTAGGTACTTCAAAGAGATGCCAAGCTCGTTCAGATTTTTGCTCAGAGAGGAGGTACCAGGCGATGCGACACTTTGGCGTGCTTCTAAAGGGAGTCCCATGCCGTTGACTGATACAGCAGGCAGACGGCTGCTAGTCCGTTTGTCTGCTCTGCTGTGCTTTCAAAACCAGGCGGCGGAAGAAGCTGTAGATGTACTTTAGAGAGATTACATTTGGTTTGTTGATCGTGCGCCGATGATCAGCTGAATGATGCTTTGAGGGCCTATGAAGTAAGGCAGCTTCCCGCATACACCTATACTCAATGTCTCTCTGGAAGACAGGAGTGAACCTATCTTAGATCTTGGTGGGACGTCCGGCAGGGCTAGTACCGTGACTGGGTGCTGTGGTGTTCTGTTTGAGCACTGCATAAAATTCTTTATTCAAGTAGAGGAATTTGTGCTAGTCAAGTGTCAATAGGGAGTCTCAAGCTTTGAAAGGCACTTCTAGAGGCTCTGCAATCCGGGCTTCACTGGAGGTGGGAGATCAAAAGTAATCAGATTGCGAGCCCGCTGCATACTTGTAAAGCAGCGCGCCTTTTGTGTTTGGCTGGGACGGCCTCACCTTCAGAGTGCAAGAGTCTCACGAGCCAACAAGTTATCACCTAAAGGCAGCTGCGCTTGAAAGTTCTCGAGCCAGCTTTGCTAGGATAGTTGTAGCGAGCGGCACTTGTCGCGGGGTTTCGTCCGGGCCGCAGTCTGTGTTTGAGTGTACAGCCAGGTGAGCTGCAATCTGGGCTCCTTCGAATGCGTAGCTGCTACCCATGAACAGTTTGCAAATCTTTTCTCTGCTTACTGCAGATGACTGCTAATTCATGTACCTTATTGTCTCTACCTGTATCAGGCGCCAATTATTGCATCTATGATGGATTATTTCACCGTCGTATCTGGGCCCCGAGCTCGCTTATGGGAACAACAAAAGTAAACGCTTGCCCTGCTGCTCCATTGCTTTGCGCTCTGTTGTTATCTAAATAGGCTTGCAAGCTCTGACAGCAGCGGTCCCGCCCATTCTGCCAGCAGCCCTCTGATTTCCAAACTGTCCGAAACTAATGCAACTAGAAACTCAATAGTGCTCGATTCCTAAGAGGATTACTTTAAGAAGCAGAAGCATATTTGACTGTTCTTACCAGTCTGGTACTTTCTCAATATGTCTCATGAAGATAAGCCTAATTCAACGCCCCAATCTGACATTGCAGGATACCAAAACATTGTCAGAAGCAGGTTACAAGGACTTTTAGAGCGCACTCCCAGAAAACATGGACGCCGCCAGCAGCTCAGAGCCTTATGCTGCAGTATTTTCAAAGAGCACCCGCACAGGTGAGAGGAGTTGCTCGACTATCTATCGCAGGTTTTCATTTTTTGTGCAAGAGAACTCTTTCGGTGTTCAGGTGTAATCTCGGCAAATACATGGCATGACGAGTTTGGCCCGTTGCTGTTTCCTGCTGGCCAAACAAATCCTGTTTGCAACCAAAGGGCTCACTTTGCCAGAACCTTGTTCAAGGAGGAAGTTTAGTTCGTTCTATTTCCTCAGCGCATCCGTTGGCGTCCGCTTAAGAGCACAGATTGAACTCAGACATGTGATTACGCCAATTTGCCACGAAAATCAGCCAGTGCCTCCAATCTCTCACAGAATCAGTCCTCTTCTAGGACTCTTAACACTGGGTCTGCAACGCAATTGATTCCAGTCCTACATGAGAACTCAAGAAGAATGTATAATCAGAGGTTTTGCTTCTTGTTGGGTAACCCAGTAATGCCAACCACTCAAAGCAGCATGCAGCTGTTAATTCTTGCTCAAGAGGGTGCTTGGCACAGCTTGCTAGATTTTCTCCAGTTAGTTTTAAGAGAGCTTCTCACAGACCAGACTGTCTGATTGAGCCCCTCCTCAACCTGCTCAAAGTAGCTCCATTGCTCATATTGCCTCCCTCTCCTTAAAGTAATCCTCAGAAGATTACCCAGGGTCGAACATTAAAAAAATGTTCCAAACAGAACAATCGGAACACAAGAGACTACACAAGCATGACGACATCGTCAGCAGCTGATGTCAGCGTGTTTGCAGATGGCGCCGTCTCGTCCCCGACTCTCGACCGCGTGGAATTGTTACGGGCGGAGATGCGACGGGTGCTCCAAGTCCTTCCCGCAATCACCGCAGCTCTTGGCCCCAACCCCCCCCCCAAGCTCACGCAATTCGCCGCGTCAAAGCAATTGAAGTTGCAGCTGCCGAACAATCAGCTTGTAGATAAATATCGAGAAAGCGAGGTCGGGATTTTCCCCCACCTCCGGAATCAGATCGAGACGGTCGAGAAAATTCTGTCGACGCCGGACCATAGCGCAGACGCGCGGAGGGTCGCTTCCTTTTCGGGGGGGACTCCCGGCTGGGACGGGGCGGGGGGGGAGGAGAAGCAGAGATTCGCGTCGATGTCGGGGTTTGCATATCCTGTCCGCTCGCCCACTATTCCTGCAGAGACGGACGAAGCGTCACCCATTTCGGACGTCACTCGGATCTTGAAAAAGGACAGCCGGTCAATCGAAGTCGTCCCTTCTAGAAGAGGTTTCGCTGAGGGGGGCTTAGGCAGCTCTCCGGGGGGGTCGCAGCAAGCGGTGGACGAGGGGGGAGAGACGGAGGCGTCGACCAAACTGAGGGGGGGCTGGGCTCAGCTGGCGGTTTTTTTGACAAACCGACGGCAGCAAGTCGTCGTTCTGCTGCTGTGGCTGGCGGCGAACTGCGCACTGTTTGTGTACAAGTATCTGGCGTACATGGACGAGCCAGAGTACAAAATCACGGGGTGAGTATGTGCGTGATCAATTATATACCGGCTGTATAGAGGCTATTACAGGGACCACAAATGTAAATAGGATTACAATGGTCACACATTATGTGCAAACCAGAGTACTATTCCCAAGGGAAGAGAAGCAGGCATGCTTGCATCCATTACCCTTTTCAAGGATCGCTTTTACTGAAGCTCGACGGACAATTCGGGTCCGAGAAGAATGCGAGGAGAACGTACAAGCAGGTCTTACGGTCGATTTGAAGGTGTCTGGAGGCTCTTCGAAGCTGGTCTCGCAAGTGGAGACTGCTGCTGCCTTTGCTTTAAAGACTTTCGTGGCTTTCTAAGTAACAGACTGCGCTGACCTGCACTGTAAGGTGAACTTACAGACCTTGCAGTTGGCAATGAAGAGCAGGGCGGAGAACGCATAGACGAGGAACCAAAGACGAACAGAACAGGAGGCAAAGAATAGAGGCAACTCGAAAAGGGACGGGGAAGTTGCTGTCGTCCGACTTTTAAGCTCACATTAATCCGTCCTGGTCCGAATCTGTGCTACCTGCAGCGCTTGATGGCGAAGGCGATCAATTTGAAATAGCGCTCATAAATCTCTGGGATGCGGCAGGGCTGGACCTTCTGATCCCCACCTTTAAAGCCGTTCTAAATCGTACACCCAATAACCAAATCTAATCTGGGCCAGCTTTCTTGCAGCCCGTGCATTTGCGTGGCCAAAGGCGCAGCGGAGGCGATTAAGCTGAACATGGCGCTCATTCTGCTCCCCGTGTCCCGGTTCTCGAGCACGGTCCTCCGGGACCGCTTCGGCCGCTTCTTCCCCTTCGACTACGCCATCATGTTTCATCAGGTGCGGATCTTTCCCTTTTTTACTTGCGGGTTTTTGGGCCCATAACAGCGGTGTATTCAGCGCTATAGAGTTCGTGAGTTCTGCATGTGGCTCGGTCGTTTCTTCCGTTGGATTATGCCACCACGCTTTACCAGGTGCCAAACTTACCTCTCGCTTCGTTGCAAACGTCGGGCGCCCGAAAAGCGACAATCGCAAAAGGTTCAGGCTTAGGTTGTGCGTATCGCTCTCCTGCTTTTTTTCCTTCAAGTCTGCCATAACTCTTTTTCCGGATCCAGACCTGTTTCTCGCTTTGATCAAATGCGAGGCGTCAAAAAGTGGTTGTACAGCTGTCCGAATGTTGTGGGTCTGAAAATAGCTCGCCGCTTCTTAATCGTCCCCTGATCGTGTTCGCAATGTCTGTACGTACGACGTCTGATCTGAGGGCCGTGATCCACAACTATGAGCAGAGATTGGTCATCCCAAAAAGCGTCCGGAACTCTCGCCCAGGTTCAGATCATCTTCTATTGATATGCCGAGCATCTGTCCTTGAATCAGATGTTTCCCATGGAAGTTCGCGTCTGTCTTCTGAAACTGGGTTTACTTCTGAGGCAACCGACCGTTTCTTCCCGCAGTTCCTAGCGTTCGCCATCCTAGTTTTCACCCTCCTCCACGTGGCGCTCCACCTCACGTGCGACTACCCGCGCATGGCCGCCGCAAACCATCAGGTGTTTCTGGACCTTTTGGGCGACCAGTTTGATGGGAAACAGCCCAACTACTGGGGCTTTTTGGGGACCCGGACCGCCGTACTGGGCTTCATCACTCTGGGGCTGATGTTCATCTCCTTTCCACTGGCGCTGCCCATGTTGAGAAAGGCTTCGTCGCTCCAGTAAGTGATCTCGTCTCGCCAGGCTTTGAAGCATTTTCTCTCGAAACGGCCGCCTACCCTTCCCGATCGACCCTACAATGGGCTTCTCTTTCTCAGTCAATCTTCATAGCGGGGGCCCCTAGATTTAACATGTGCGACGTGTGTTGGAGGGGGATCAGGAAAGTGAAAGGGCGTTGCCTTATAATGCAGAGCTCGAGGGGTACTCGGAGACGTCGTTCAAGCTTTGATTTCCTCTGAAACGTGTTCGGCTTGCTTACGATGCGTTCGGAACGTGTAACGACGCAACGTTTGGCAACGACTTCACCCCAATCAAATCGAGGCGTTGAGCTTATTCAATCCTTTCTCCGTGCTCCGCAGAAGCTCGTTTCTGCGGCACTTGACCGGCTTCAACGCGTTCTGGTACAGCCATATGCTGCTGCTCCTTATGTTCCCTCTCCTCATATTCCACGGGTCGAGGCGGCCCATCGGACACTACCCTACAACCTCGGTGAGCGTCTAGAATGACGATACGATGAAAATAGAGCCTTGCACAGTCTCTGCCAGACACCGCTGCTTGCATCCGCATTGATTCGAAGAAGCTCTAATGATCTCTTGAAGAAAGGTTGAATGATCTCTTCAAAGAAAGCTCTGAATGATCTCTTAGAAGATCCCGCTTGGATATTGGCTTCCGTTTGGAGGCTGGCGTAATTTTCTCGGTCTTACGTCACCAGCCACCGGATTATGCTACTAGTGTTCAGCTTCCGCGAACTGTAACAGCAAACACGTCACCAACGTGACAGCTTCTAGATACAGTCGCTCTGAAAAGAGAGGTCAAAAGTTGGAGTCTCTTGACTCAAGCTGAGGGTGGTTGGAAGTTTACCCGCCAGTATCGTTCATCATTATGGTTTGCTCTGCTTCAAGTTGATCCTGCTTCAAAGGCACGTATTATCGTGAAGGGGTACGTGCCACGATCGAGCTGCATACGGACATAGGGTATAAGAGCCCTAAGCGGCGTCCAAACGGGTTGAATTTTGATAAACAACGCTTAAATTCATGGCCATCCTCACACCCTGCAATCTGATCCTTGGCAGACGTGGTTGTGGATCGTGGCGCCTATGGTCATATACGCGGTCGACCGTGTCATACGAGTTCCCCGCGCGCGGTGTAAAACCAAACAAGTCGACTGCACAAAGGTACGGCAACGACTTCCTCTCTGGTCTCGTTGCTTGCTAATCCTGCTTTCAATCCATTTCAATCGCGTAAACTACGGATCTGGCTAATTCTTGAGATGATCCCAAGTGTTCTGCTGGGTAGATTATGGTTATGTTGATGCTCACCCCAGTTACGATTCTGTATTCATTGATGCTAAGTTCTGTGACGAGTTTGGTTGACTACCTCTTCGTACCTTGTAACTAGAATGTCCTCCCCTTTGGAAACTTTGCGATGAAGGGTTTGGTATGTGGTGAACGATTCAACGTTTTCGAAGCAGGGAACCTTTCTGGATTAGTATGGGGGTTAGTCGCTCAAGTTTTGATCTCGGTCATGCGGTCAATCTGGTAAGGGTTTCGGCCAATAGGATTGCAAACAAAAATGCGTTTTCGATTCGGAACATGTAACGTCAACAAGGGAGGCAAACATATCGCCCGATTGTTTTGCCCCAGGCGGAGATGTTCCCCGGTGGCGTGCTCGGCTTGACCATGACCAAGCCCCCGGGGTTCAACTACCGGGCGGGCCAGTACCTCTTTCTGCAGTGCCCACAGGTGTCGGCCTTCGAGTGGTGAGTTATCAATCCCGGGCCCCTGAACCTCGTACCAAGATGCTTGCTTTCGACGAGGTGTTGGATACTTACCACAAAGGCGGGGAGTATGGTTATCGCGACTTCGGTAATTTCTGCACCTAATGAATTTGAGACTGGCCGTGCAACATCTTGGGTGCGAGTTTATACGGGAACCATTGAAGGAGAATTGTCGTTCTGGGATTGCGAGAGTTTCGAGTCACTTCAGCGGGAAGCAGGGTGACTGCGTCGGAGCACTTTGTGCAATATCTGGATGGGAGACGAAGACCGATGCCACTTGGGGCTTTACGCCTCTTGCAAACCTCTCATGCTGAAAAGCGGGATAGAAAACCCAGCAGTCTTCGGCTGTCTATCTGGTGTCGGCCCGCTTGTCCACGTCTCTAAACGTGTTCGCACACGAAATCAGCAAAGAAACAATCTAATTGCATAGAAAGTCACTTAGTATGTGCAAAGATGACATTCAAGAAAGATCAAGCCAAGATATTGAAAACCTCCGACTAACACGGAAAACCCTAACCCAAAAAGCTGTCTGCTCCGCACCAACACCCAAAGTAAACGTACCCGTCCCAGTGCGCTTACCTTATTAACATCTCGGTTTACTATTTATTATTTTTGAGTTCGATTGTGCATACGACTGCAGGCATCCCTACAGCATCACATCCGCACCGTCCGATGATTTTCTGCGAGTCCACATCAGAGCGGTCGGCGACTGGACCAATCGGCTCCACCAGATCTTCGCAGAGGTACGCCTCCGCTGATGCGCTTCAACAACACAGAAGTTTTTGGCCTTAGGCAAGGACGGTTCTGGGCTGGTTAGAAACGGGTTATATGTCCAGTAACCAGACTTGGGCGTTGACCAGCCGCTAAACGAGGTTAAAGCCCGGTTGATTGTCCAATAACCCGAGCGTCAAGTCTGGTAGTCAGCCTGGTTAGCAGCCAAAACTTCTCGTGCAAAGAGAAGTCGAAGACTTGCAGACTTGCTTCGTGACGCTCACAGGACTCACGGTTGCGCGTGTTTGCAATCATGGTGCTATTCTGGCGGTTGATTCTGGTACTGACTACCGACTCAGGGCCCCGTCCAGCGCTCTTCTCGCTTGCAGATTCATCTTCGGGTGCGGATCGCTGGGAAAAAGAACGTGGCTCCATAAAACATTGGTTTGCAAGCATCGGTGCCATCGTCGTTGCATTTCAACATCACACTCGCGGAGTACACTTTCCCGAAAGCCTTCGAGATTCATCAGCTTGTTATGGTAGCCCTTCCCATATCAATATCCAAAGAGCTCGCCGTTGTAAACCCTCTTTTCCCGCGACCTTTCTACTAGCTCAAGCGATTAATTTTAAAGCGAAGCGGCGCAACAACCCCAGACTTTCCCACCTCTCACTGACTGCAAGCTCCACCTACAGGCTATAGAAAAAGAGCCTTTCGCCGGAAAGGAGGCTTCCGCCGGAAAGGAGTCCGATCTGGAAGCCGGAACGCCCTCTCCAACCGCATATCCTCGACTGCTCATCGACGGTCCATTTGGCGCGCCCGCTCAGGACTTCCACAAGTTCAAAGTGGTGATGCTGATTGGCGCGGGGATCGGGCTGACTCCCTTCGCGAGCGTAATGCGCGAGTGTCACCACCAGATGGAGCGCAATGCGCGGCAGGTGGGTTTACTTTGAACACACTAATGATCTTGAACGGCTGAACTTTTCCGGATTGACGGTCTTTATATTCGCGCCCGAAAATATGAAGCCGTCTGGAACGTTGCAAACGTCTGTACGGGATTCAACAATAGTATCAAGCGCAGGCAGGTGGCGACTCGTTGCCGTTCGTTCTAGTTTAGGTCGCTTGGTCGATCTATCGCAGCTGCGCCAAAGCCGTGCCCTGCCAGTCCAGCAGTCCGGATAACGGCAGCGGTTTGTATGAACATGCCGATCCATTGCAAACGATCAGCATCAGACAATTCGCGAATTATTGGAGCTTTTGCCCGCTAGCATCGACAAACAGCCCAACCCGCACTCCCTTAAATCATCTGAAGGGAACGCTTAACGCTTTGCTTTCATTAAACCTGGTGTCTCACATGGCTTGGTCAAGGTTGCCTTTCCTCCTTGACTTTCTACTCTTCTGAAACCTCCGATACTCTTTTATTGCAGGCACTCATATCGCCAAGCTCCACAGAAAAGACTGTCAGGACCCAGACTCCCCCTGGGCCGTCCGACGACAATCAACGGTCGGCGCGGCTCGCGCGCGTTGAGAAGGTGTATCTCTACTGGGCGACAAAGGATCGCGCGGGGCTGACGTGGTTCCGCCGACACCTCAGCGACTTCTTGGGCCGCACCGGAGTGAGCCCTGCGCAGGTGCGTCTCCGATCTAGTTCCCCGTCCGCTCACACGGTTGTCACAGATCCAGGCCAGCTGTTTGCAGAGCACAATACTCAGTCGCCCATTGAAGTTTGGGCTAATGTAATTTTGAAGGCATCTTGAGCCGGACAGCAGGACTGAAGTTAGCGCAGCAGAAAAGGGTAGCGCTTACTCGTGATTCGGAATGCAAGCTCGAGTTCCTCCGCGCGTCTGAGTCTCGAGCTTCTTGCAAAGACTCCCGGTGGTCGTTAGGTGCTCTAAAATCTTTCTTATCTCCTGCCTGGAGATCTGGGCTCCCACCGTCTCATCTCAGAAGATTTTGGCGTGTGCATTTCCAGCCGACGTTGCATGGTCACAAGTGTCCCTATAAGCCTTGGAGCTCAAATCTGTTTCTCGGAAGGAGGACCAGGCACCCAAACTGACGTGCGCGGACGTCAAGACGACTCTGACGCGGTAGCCTCTCGGTTCTGCGACGAGCCAGGCTTTTGTGACAGCGGATCTCCACTTTAGGACTTCAGCTATCCTTAGTGCCTGACTGACCCTTTCAACCGCTCCTTGTCGCAGTCTATGGTGGAACTCAACAGTTACTTGACGCAGCAAGGCAAGGTCGACGAGACCAGGATCACGCCGGCTGGCTCGATGGAGAGCACGATACAGGAAGTGCACGACGATGATGTAGATGTACAGGTGGGTTAAATATTCCTAAACCCTAAAACCTTCAAATCCAAACCTTGGCTTCAGCCTTTCGTTTCACGGTTGCGGAGCACGTTTGCAAACTGGGTAAAGTGTGGGTCTCCCACTGATACCTCATGAAAGAACGCCTCTATTTGCGATGGAAACGTTTTCTCGAAGCACGGTCACAGTTCGACAGAAACGTCAGTGCTTTCAATTTGGTGACGCATTCAGCGTCCCAGCGGGCGTTGCCCGTCGAGGCTCATCAGTTTCTAAAGGATTGGCCGACTCTCTGCCGCAGATGGGTACTAATCTGGGTCGGCCAGACTGGGACAAGGTATTTGCACGCGCTCGAAGACGGCACCCTAACACGAGGATCGGTAAGAGAATGGATTCATACTCTTTTGCATTCCCGTATCGTAAACGTGGGTCCTGGGGCGGAACAAATGATCAGGAGAATCCTCCGCTCACGCTGACAGATAACAGCATTTCTCGGGGGCTGTGAGTTGATTGATGTACAATGAAGTTCGAATTCCTCGTCAGCGGCTGTGTAAAAGCGCTGCCGAAAAAAAGCCCCGAAAAAAAGCCCCTGGAAATTTTCTTGTAGCAGGAATTTTCCCTCTTCAAAGATGCCGATCCAAAGCTGTACTCGATTACTGGACAATAGCATGCACATGGTTTTTGCGGTCAACCACAGTCGGTTACGGGCTGGTTCGAAGCTGGTTAAGTAACCAGGTTTTGAACATGACTATAACGCGGTTATTGGTCAAAGAACCAGACTGAAGTGTGGTCATCGAACGTGGTTAGCAGCCAAACCTTCCTGTGTATATGCCCTCAATTGCTTCAATCGCGGAAATTACCAGCACGAACCGCTTGAAGTAAGCGAGTATTTTGCATGTGCTGACAAAGGAGGGCAACAGAAAGAAGGCCGTTTTACAAACACGTTCCCTCTGATCAGAAGGCTTCTCGTAACTTGCAGGCGTCTTCTTTTGCGGCCCCCGAACGCTGAGCAACAAGCTCTGCCAGCTGTGTTGCAAGTACACGGGAGAGAGTACGCACTTTGAATACTTTAAGGAAAACTTCTGAGCGGCAGCAAGCTTTCGCTCTCATGCGGACCACAAGACCCGGAAGACGAAGCAACTAATCGCGACGTGTTGACCATCCCTTGTGCCTCTCAGCGCCATGGTCATTGGTTCGCTTTGCCGAGACAAGATTGTCTTGTGAGTTGTTCTGGCTTTGAGCTAGCAAGGTTACATGTAGTTTGTAGATGAACCTTATTGATTGATCATTGCACTGCGCCAGTCGTAGGTTGACACTTTAATGTAGCTAGGTTTAGGATAGATTTAACCCGCTGAACTCGACACAACGTCACTTCCAGCGGAAGCGAAAATTGCATCCGGACAAGGGCACCACTAATCTCATTCAAGAAGGTAATAGCTAGCAAAAACGAAAACACGAGTAGGGCTGCAGTTCTGCATTCCCTCCGATCGACATTACGCAAGGCCCAACAATCCCCGATCACTGCTGTTCCGCTATAACATTCTTGGAACGGAACTTTTGTCATGAATGTAGTGTGATGCATCAAGTGATATATTACGCAACTAGGTTCTGGTCGCAAGAATCTTCCAATTTTTTGCGAAGTCACATACGGTGGATTTTATAACTGGCCCGGGCAAATCGGATTGCAGTGCGGCCGGCCGCCATATGTTCTCAACGGTTGTCAAAGCATGGCTCATGCATGTTTGGGGGGAGTTTGGGGGCGGCCTATTGATATATATTGCCGCAAAGCTCTGGTGCGTGTTCGGAGCTTATTTAAGGAGGTAGCGGAGATGTGAAGGCTCCTACAGCTTTAGTTTACAATATAAGAGCTGTGGGCTCTCAAGGACCCAGTCTGGACCTTGCCGTCTAACGAGACGGTCCGCTCGCTAAGACAGGCGTCGGATCGCCATGGCAGGCGAAAGTTGCCTGCAGGCCGCGGGGAGTCGTGCGCACGGCCGCCGCGCGTGTTCATTACGAACGCGGCCGCGCGTCGATCATGCCAGGCTGCCGCGCGGAGGGTTAGGGGTTTCCTGATTACTTTTCAAACTCAAAATGTTCCAACTTTGCAGAGGTGGGCAGCCGTGGGCTGGCAGCTGGCACCTGTGCAGCTTTCTGTGAGGATTTTTAAAAGAAGCTTGATGCAACCTACTTGCTGCTCAACTTCAATGAGGTTCACGTGTGAGACGGTGTGACAGAGCCCCAAATTTAGAAAAACCAGGTTGATGCTGCACCAATGCAAGCTCTTACGTTGAGAGCGGAGCGCAGTCCAAAAGTCCTATCGTAAGAAAGCGTTTTCATGCGGTGATCCCGTATCCTGTCTCCTTACGTAGGTGTCTCCTTTTAGTCGGAGCCGTGCAAAGGTTACAGGCGGCCGGTAGCCATTGAGTCAAGATGCTCGCGAACTGTACTGGTAAACTGTAAAAGGAAAATTGGAACGACTGTGCTCTCTGCAAGGGATGATGAAAATACAATTGAGCATCCGTGAAGCAGAGAGAGCAAGGTGATTCAGTATACTCTTCACAATGCTAACCTGCTGACAGACTAAGGCATCCATCAAACACACCTACAACAAGAAAAGCCTTTGAGCACATAGTGAGGATTGAGAACTTGCTAGTCAGCAAATGGCCCCGTAAACTAGAGGGGCATGGGAAGATAGGTGTGCGTGACCAACGTTTGGAATTGCACTTTAGCTGATAAGAGCAGAGACCTGAAGCAGATCATCATGGGTAAGAATCCGGTTTCAATTGAGGTGGATCATCAGCGAGAGAACGCTGCACCAAGAGACGCCGGGCGGGCAGACTTCGAAGATGTGAGCTTCGCCAAATCTTCTTTCAGCATCTCTCCAGACATCCTAAGGGCACTGATCACTGCTGGTCTTCACTGTGAACGCAAACTCAGCTTGCTGCTCCAAAAGGAGTCTTATCAAACATTTCTGGAGCCAGCAAGGAGGGACTACCTAAAAGGAAGTACATTATCCTATTTTAGTTACCATGGGTAGGAAGGCAGGACGGCGTTTGAACCATTCTTATCCCTAATTACCATAGGCAGGCAGGCTGTTGTACCAACTACTCTTTTTCACTGTACTTTCATCGCTGCGCTTGATCCAGGTACCCGAGTGGATGGGCCAATCAGAAGCTAGCACGTCTGGGCAAGGCACGCAGGTCTACCAGAGGCGACGGAGGATGGTCGCCACCCAAGCAGAAAAGAGCCGCGAAGGACTGCGGCCAAAGTGAGGGAACTTGGTTGCTCATACAGCAGATTGAGGAAAGGTGTACAGCATGGCCCGGAATGCTTGGTGTGACAGTCAGGCATGACAAACTACTGCAGGAAACATAGTAGGTATTCCTTTGGCTGCCCGCTCAAGATCTGTAAACCTCTGCCCCTGACTGTGAGAAACATTCGTCATTCGGGCCTCCAGACAGCATAGGTACTGTGGAAAAACAGTCTATCTGTAAATTGTGCACCTTTCTGTGCTTTACCAGGATTCAGTTGGCGGCTGGTCCAGCGGCAGGGGTGCGGGTCAGCCGACCGAGCTGGGTACACCGTGCGCTGTCAGCCAGGTATGGTTACTTCTCGATCAAACATTCAGCAGATGTACCTCAGATATGCGCGGTTGATTGTTTACATTCTTATTGATCTTCCCCCAACAAGCCCACGGTCTAGCGACCTGATCTGATTTGCCAGCTTCAAAATCGTGTCCACATGATAAGACCCTGTGGAAGCTTCACCTTCAGAATCAAGTTGCTCGGTTGCAGAACATCGCTAATCAGGTTATCCAATCAGATTCGCGCCACCGCTTGATGAGTTTAGCATTGATCTAAGTCCTGCTTAGTCTGCCCGCTTCGCTTCCTATGTGTGTTCTGATCTTCTTGAACCTCAGAAAATTTCTCTCCAACACCTTCAATGAGAAGGTTTTATGCAAGAGGCAGGACTGAACCAAGTTAGCATTCAGCGCTTCCGCCATTAACAAGAGCTTCACCTATCTGTCATAGAATACTAGCACACTACTTTACTAGTTACAATTGAGTATGTCCGAAACACATCATTGGCAAGGCTTAACCACTTGTTTGCTTCTTTGCTTCCTGCTTGCTTGATACAGGCGGCACAGCATTATGCTGGAACAGCCCATCCTCCCGAGCAGTGAGAGCGAGAGCGAAAGCTCAGACGAGGACTCTGAGGATGACGACGCCTCTGCACCACCAACTCCTGATCCGGCGGAGCGCCCATTAGTACTCGTAAGGACACACTTTGCCAATAGCTTCTCAGAACTGGAGCCAAGGAAGTCTATCAGTGAAGAGGCAGAGGGCCATGGTATTATCTCAGCGATCACGGGTCTCGGCTCACTTTGTCTCTCAGATGTGCAGCTCTGCTAGTATGTTAGCAAACTGGCTTTTCCTACACTGAAGCAAGATTTGCTTGAAGAGCCTGGTGAAAACACTTAAAAGAGTAGCATCGCACCTTTGGTCACGGAAGTCACCACCAGCCCGTTTGAAGTGTTCTGATGTTGTGGGAGAAGGGGCTCTCCTTCAGGTCTTCAGCTTGCCTATCTACGTCATTCAGCATAAATGGAACGCTCCTTTTCAGAGAGATTTCCCGCTTTTCCATCCTTACATCCCTGTTAAATTTAGCACATCATTCTTATGCAGAGAACAATGTACAAGCCCCTTCCGTCCCTCCCTCAAGACTTCGTCCAGGAACGCCTGGCTTACTTCGCTGGCGTCGAGGCATACGAGCTGGAAGAAGAAAGCCCGCAGCCGGACGCCGATCAGCGGTCCCCTCGTTTCGTCACTGAGGCTGACGAAGAAGACTTCAGTGTAGAGCACCCGGAGTTTGAGGCGCAGAGGAGATGGCGACCACTTGAGGCAGTGGCAGAGGAGGATGTCGCCGACGAGGACTTGCGCGAAGGAGAGGCGGGGGAGCACCGGGAAAGTCCAGAGCTTGCAGAAGCAGGGGCTGGGGATGGCGCTTCAGCATTGCGGGAAGAAAGGGACTTGGAAGGGGCACCGGAGAGTGTTGCAAGCATCACAGATCAAGAGAATCTTAGCTCGAGAGAAGAGAACGTGCGTGGAGCCTCGATTGCTAACGCTACTGGGCTGGGGTTGGAGCCGATTCTGGAAATTTCTGAAGCTTCGGCAGGGGAGGGGAACGATTTGCAAGAAGGGGCACTTTTGGACGCCAAGGCAGCGGCAGTTTCAGACGGCAAGGCGACGACCAAAACCGACGGCGCAGCAGATAGGAGCGTCCGGCGGCTGGTCTTCGACGAGGTCCCGCCCAACGTGCCCCGCAGCCGTCGCACCAGCCCGAGCGAACTAGCGCGAGCGAGGGGCAAGAAGCTGGCTCCAGCGGCTGACCAAACCGTGGCTGACGTCAGCAGTGTAGCCGTTGCTGACGTCAGCAGAGGGCTGGGCCAGCTGTCCCTAGACGCTGCCCCAGTCAACGATGACGTTTTCGGAGGGAGGGATGTCCGGAGGAGCGTGAATGGGGCGCGGAGGCTAAGCAGGCGACGGAGCAGCCTGGCGAAGCCTGGGAAGGTCGCCAGAGAACCGGAGACGCCACTGCAGGCGATCTTAAGGGCGTGCGGGCAGGACACGATGCTGGGGCTCAACGAGTACATCTCCAGGTTCTAGTGAGAGTTCATGTCTGCTTGCTTCCTTGCTGTTGCGTTTCGGTTTATTGCGGCTCAATGGCACCTCGTTAATCAGGTCATCTGATTCCAATCAACCTGCTCGCTTGTCTCTGCGTGTTAATCTGGCTCGTTATTCATTCGCTCGTTAAAAAATTGCCGTTCACTAGCAATTCGCCCCTGCCCTTTTCGCATTCGATCATTTTCTCAGGCCCTCAGCAGCCAGTCGTTTGAATAAGGGAACCCCCATTTCAAATCTGGTTAGGCTTTCTGCTGCTTGTTGCCAGGAGGGTCAGAACTTTTCTCTGGCCATCTTAAGTTAGACTAGACTGCGAGAAGAGTACGTTAGCCTGCAACCGTAAGCGGCGAGACACAAGATCCATGCAGCAGATATCAGTAAGCAATAGACCTCACTTGCAGAGGGTGACGCCGCTTCTTTCGTGTGGTCGTCTCCACAACGAGAAGCAGCTTCGGTGTATAGCACGAATTTTCTCAGAGGACACATATAAGGCACGTTTTGATTGATAATGCTTTTACTTCCACCTCTAGCCCCGTCGACAAGCTGAGCAAGCTGGGCGAAGGTACCTTTGGTGAGGCGTTAAGGGCGGGCGACATGTGCTTCAAGATCGTCCCGATGGGCTGTGACGTCAAGGTCAACGGCGAGGCGCAAAAGGTGACATCACTGCTCTCGCCTGCTCCTACTTGAGCAATCGCTGCGACTCGGGGCTGCATGCTGACCCTGCTAAACCTGCTGACGTCACCCTCAGGTTCACGACCCGTATTTAGGAGTCAAGCCCAAACAACCTTCTTGCAGAGTGCGAACTTCTGCTCGATTGCCCGCTCGAGATCGAAACTTGTACTAACCGGCTGAAACCTGGGTGCAAAGACGCCACTGACATTCACACCTGACGTCATTATTACTTCGCAGACTGTGGAGGAGATGTACAGCGAAGTCCTGCTGACGAACGCAATAACCTCCATCCGCTTCGGATCGGACACGGACGCACTTCCCGACAACGCGTCCGACAACTTCATCCAGACATTCGGGTGAGAGCGCGCCCCGTGTCACGTTTCTGTTGCGCTCTGGTAATCAGCCAAGCAAGGAGACCTTCGGATTGACAAGTGCATCTTTACGTACCACGAAGAGATGTCTATGATCAGAAAGGGGTTCTGGCCCCAACTGGCAATCTGCAAATGCTGTTTTTGGATAGGTGACCTAAAGAGCAATCCTCTACTTCAACGTATCAATGCTAAGTACCACTTACGAAAACATGCTTGGTTGTGCAAGCTGTGCTCGACTGCCTGTGCTTAGATCCGAACCATCGAGAATCCTGACAAGAGACTGATTTCCCGACTGCTGGCTCAGACTTTTAAAAAAGTAGATACATCCGGCGTGAGTGCTGGTTTTAATACTTCACTTGCTCCTTGTGCGCAGGGTTGGTATCTGCCGCGGCGCATACTCGGAGGAGCTCACGGCAGCGTGGGAGGCGTGGGATCAAGAAAACGGGTCGGAAAACGACCACCCTCGCATCTTCCAGGAAGACCAGGTGAGACACTTCCTGAATTCGATACGAGGCACTCTGAAGCGAAGACGTCGCGATCGAGCCTGGAATATTGAGTAATCGCACGACCTTCAAACTCGTGCATCGTGACTATCTCCTCGAGAAGTGGCAGAGTGAAAGAACGAGTGAGTAATGAAGAGTGACGCCCCATATTGACCTTGAGAGGGGCATGTTCCCTGGCAAAAGGAAACGCAGACATCTCCAAGGCGTACATTAGCTTGCTATACAGCAGGTCAACTCAATCTCTTTAGCACGAGCTCGGACGTCCAACCTGGTGTACGTTGTCTATGCGGACGGCGGCAATCTCTTCCGACGGATGATTCGCTGCCCACCAGCGAATCCTTCTAGCGTTAATGCGGAAGTCCGTACAATGATATGGTGTTCGCTTCTGCGGACGGCGCCACATCTCAACCACGGGTCGATTTACTTCCCAGAAACGAAATCTATCTAGTATCACATGCGGACGTCTGTACAGTTGTCGTTGTCGTCAGGTTTGCGGACGGCCGTATATCTTGGCAACAAGTTGCTTTATGCCCAGAAGCGAACTCGTTTTAGTATCAGATTCGGGCGTCCGTAAGGTTGTAGTTTGTCTGTGCCTGTGCGGTCGGCGGCAATCCTTTCACCAACTCCATTCATTGCTTAAAGAGGCGAACTCTTCTTGGTATACATTACGAAAGTTCGTACAGGTGTACGTGGTGTTTGCGTTTGCGGACGGCGGCAGCGACTTAGAGCACTTCACTTTGCGCACCTACGCCGAGGCGGTCAGCCTGCTCCTGCAAGTCGTGGCGTCGCTCGCGGTCGCGGAGCAAGCCTGCAAATTTGAGCATCGGGACATGCACTGGTGAGGGGTTCGCTGCTCGGCGATAGCTCTATTCAATTGCATTACGGTTTCTCTTTGCTGGCTTTGGCGGGGCGAGGGTGCAAGATTGGTTAGCAAGAAGTGTAGGTACTTCTTTTTCGAGTGGACAGGGTTGGGATCGCAGTTATGGAATGGAGTCTGAAACGCAAACTGTAGAAGTCGAAGAAAGACGAGCCGGAAACATTTTGGAGTCACGCATTTACAGGTTGCAACTTTAATTTGCGAGACTAAGCCATCCTTCGATGGTGTTTGTCTTGGTCATTGGCTGAGGCTGTAGGATTGACACAACTCGTGTGCATTGGGAACATTAGAGAAGTTTTTTGTGCATTGGGAACATTAGAGAAGAAAAATCAACGGGAGAAAGCTGGGTGACCGATGTGCACTTTAGTAGATATGCTGTTTCCGGTTCGTTCTACTTGGAAAATGTCCGACGTGCCTGAAATGTACCTTGCAGATATGTGAAGAAGGATTTCCTGCTTGAAGATTGCGTCGCAGCTCAGGATGCCCCTTTGTCCTGATTCGCTTGACGGCCACAATGTTGCCTGACGTTGAAAGCAGCTACGCTGAACCGTGGGTGTGGATACAGAAGAAGGTGCTGAGACGCTTTTATTATCGTCTCTTCAACTTTTTCAGGGGCAACATCTTGCTGGTGCGGCGTGGCCAAGACGAGGTTGATCTCGCTTTCCTTCACGGCCGACGATTACACTAGAAGCTGGTTGAATATATATAACGAAAAGAAGGCTTAACAATCCAAGATTTTGATTTCTGCTCAGGGGCAACATCTTGCTGGCGCGGCGCGGCCAAGCGGAGATTTCTTTTACTTCCTTTTATTCCCGATGGTTACATGATATTCGCACTCGTACACAGACAAAATACTTCAAAACTCCAATTTTTGCAAGGCTGTCCAGGGGCAACATCTTGCTGGCGGTGGGGCCAAAATGAGGTTGAATTCACTGTGTTTAAAGGCCGACGATTATAGAAGAAGCTGATTGACCATTCACACGAAAAGAAGGCTTCGAAATCCAAAATTTTGAATTCTGCTCAGGGGCAACATACTGCTGGCGCGGCGGGGCCAAGCCGAGGCGCGCTTCCGGCTGGACGGGAGCGAGCTGCGCGCGCGCTCGTGCGGCGTCTCGGTGGCGCTAATCGACTTCACGCTTTCGCGCCTCAACGCGGGGCCCCGCGTGCTCTTTTGCGACCTGACGGCTGACACGTGGCTCTTCGAGGGGCCCAAGGGAGACGTCCAGGTAAGCTGACACGTGGCATTGCAGACGCCTTTGAATGGACTCTCAGACGAAGGCAATACGTCTCGCAATAACCCCGCTTTATGTTGCTTCCTGAGGGGACCTAAGGGGAGAAGTTCAGATGCGCTTCTGACGAGAAGGCATGTGCACTGAACAGCTGCATGCATGGATTTCTGTCGGCTTAGATGACCCGTTCTGGTTTAGTGGTTTCGGCGCTTCCTGGCTGCGCTGTTCTTTTGACGTGTCATCCTCGGAGTTCGGGGGTGAGAAACGTTTCTGAGGCGCTTGCTCGACTGGACTTCGGCTAGAATACGCCCGCCAGAGCCGCGTCTTGCCCGCCCAGTGTAGAGCTGATTAGAATTCCTTGATCTTTCGAATCACGCCTCCATTGCAACACCGAAAAGAACACCGTCGACTTCCAAGGCGCAGGCCTGACGCATCTTGTCATTTCCTATCGTTCAGGCGGACACCTACCGTAGGATGAAAAAGGCGACCAAGGGCTGCTGGGAGGGAAGGTGAGGGACGTCCTGTTCAGAAAAGGGCTTGGTTGCGACTCCGGCTTGATGCAACTTGACAACATGCGAATAGTTGAAGCTTGTTACTATTTATGCGGTCCCTTTCAAGGCTACTGGTGAAACTGCAAGTCTGGGTTTGGCCCTTGAGGATCGAACCCTGGTGCTTTGGTAGACCCCTTGCATCTATTGAGTAAAAACGCATCAGAAACTCAGCGCTTTGAACTCAAAAGTCTTGAATAAGACGTCGGCAAGTTTCTTGGTACAGACGCAGTCTTCTACCTGCTGCAACAATTCTTGAGCTACTATCAATCACTCACGTAGAACCTTGCCCGTGACACGAAAGGTCGTCTTCTTTTGCAGCTTTCCCGAGACCAACGTCTACTGGATCCATTACCTGGTGGACATATTGCTGAACAAGAAGGCGTTCGTAAGTCCGCAATGCTCTTCGAACCCACCCTTTTCACCATATCTGCTAGCAAGGCCAGCCATCTTGATTTTTTACGGGCCTTTGCTAAGCGAACCTATGCAGGACTCGGTCTGTTCCCGCGCAGTCCTCCAATCTCCTTCGAAACGCAACTCATCGAAGCACGTCGTAGAAGCTCCTGGTTAGGATGGACTGGAACAGGAAAGAGCGGGTTAGTCTCACGTGGTAATCTTTCTAGAGTAAGATTCTGTGGTGCTATCCAGAGCGTCCGACCTGTTCTTTCCCTCGACTCCGGCGGCTGTTCAAATGTCAAAACGTTATGTCGATAAAAAACCCTGCCCACGTGACACCGTTAGCCAATCGCAAGGGTCGCGCTGCGCGCAGCTGCGCGCACTGAGAGTCACCGTCAGGCCAGTGAGTGTGACCGGCGGCCACGCGCGCGTACAACGCCAGCGAGCATTACCTTGGTACTTTTGGTGCATATATTGATCCGAACCTTCTTGCCTCGTTTCGCTCATCCCTATATCAGCTGTTTCTTGCAGGCATGCTCCCCTGCTGAGAAACACTCTCTTCGAGGGTTCCGAAAACGGAGCCTCACGTACAGGTGCGCCAAGAATGTCCTCCAAGATGAACTGTTTGCAGAAAGCTGGATCTAGCATAGGACTCATTGACTTTCTTAAGGCCGGAGGAACCTTAGCTGAAAGGCTTCATTTCGCGATCTCGCCCTCCTGTCTACTGAGACGACCAGAGTAACAGGCGAAGTGACTCTTGTGCTCTGAGTTGGTTTTGACAATGCGACTCATCCTTTCATCGGTATGTAGAGCTGTACGTTGATATAGGAAATTACAGCTCCAGCAAAGCGGCCTGGCCGGTCAATCGAAACAAGGATCGGTGGGCTGTCGCATTGGCCATTTACATGCAGTACGTCCATTTATGTACCGACAGAGATAGGGCGCTGCAGATCAGCATATATTTCAGAGGCCTGGCCGCGATGTCTTGATGTGCCCTCGATCATGGGCTCAACGTTCGGATTGCTAGTAGGCCGCACAAATTAGATCTATGCACATGCGTGTGAAGATGGGCGCATAGCTACGGATTGGATTGGATCGAATGTTGTATTAAGCGGTTGGTACGGTACACGTACCCTATTCATCAAATGACAGTGCCCGGCCTGTTTATGCGAGCCGGCCATCTGTTCAGTGAGCGATTGCATGAAGCGCGCGGCCTGCGCGTTGCAGATCGTTGTGCATGTTCGATGACATGCACATGATCTCAGACTAGTTCGATCGAGGAGATCTGAGATCATGTGCATGTCATCGAATGCACTCGATCATAGTACGACGTCCACGGGAGAGTTACGGTGCGGATTTGACCGCGTGCAAATTCTGAAATATTGCCGCGATATACGTACGCCGGACCTACCCCCGGTAGGTCATCGGTAGGTTGCGGTCGTTGGTTTTCAGCAGGTCGGGACCTACATATACGCAGGCTCTGCGTGGCAAAAAGTACGAATTCGTACCTAAACCCTGCGAATAGTAGGAAACTGTCCCTGACCATGGTGAAGGTTTTAGGCAGACTGCTTGCTTGCTCTTCGAAAGCTCACTCATGGCGTCTTGTCCAGTGGTGGATACCAACGTCCACAACATGACGCAACATCATCTTCATGCTGGTATGATCCGGAGGCATGCCTTGGTAGGTGCTTTTCAATCCCTCCACAAGCAAATGCGGCAGCCATTTCGTAGCTAGGGCAAACTTACTCGCGGTGCCACCCAGGGTGGGGCCCCGTCAAATTGTACTTCGTCACTGGACCACTTGCAGCCAAGCCGTGACGAGTTGATCGAATCGAAAGTGGGGCCCGGCCAAGTGTCGATCCCTCAAGATGAAGGCCGCAGGCGAGTGTCAAGGTCAGGGAACAATAAACATCGGTGGCGCCCAACTACTGTAGGCTGAGCCCAGCTACTGTAGGCCTAGAGCCTAGAGGCACGCGATTGCATGCTGCACAATTAGCAGCCAGGGCTTGAGCAGTCTGAAGGAAGGAAGGAGCAGAAGTAATATCAGCTGGAGCAGCCACAGCAGCAGGTAGTTAACGATCAGCATGCTTAGCCTGGGCGCCTACCGTGACAACGCCAGCGCGAGGATACTGTCCAATGTTGAACTCCAGCAAGCGAGGATACTACCACTGAATCTTTGCTTTGCATTATTGTTTGTTCAAATATTCTTCTAAAGCAAGGAGTATCCAGCATTGTGATCAGCCAGTTCTGTCCACCTTGCCAACCCGGCTTTTCAGCGATGTCTTGGTCATTGCTGGGGCATTGCTGATCGTTGGGTGCAGCTTAGAGACCTAGTAACTCATTTTAGACCTTGTGAATGATGCAAATGGCAGGTTGATGGGCAGCTGGCATGGTGCAGATGCATGTGTGCCTGGTTGCTGCGCAGGCAATGAAGATGCACAACAGCAACAAAGTGAGCTGTGGGTGAGCTGTATGGCGGCATGCCATCGTTACGGACGGAGGAGGAAGCTGGGATGAGGCTGCTTTGATTTGATGAGAACTGGGGCTTGTGTCAGGACTGGCCCCGACAAGACTGCTGGAGATTCAGGCGAGATCTGCCCAACTTCCAAACTGAGAGCTGGCAGAGTTTGAATTGTTTTCAGGGTTTGGTTTGCCTCATTTGTGGCCTGTTTTCTTTGAAACAATGTAACTTCTGTCAGACTGGATGCCTCTGTTCTGAGCTATGTCGGGAAAAATTGGGTGCAATCTGCTCATATCCGGTCCAAAGAGAGCTAGCAAATCAATGAAGTGGCCTACTTGCCTTTCACTGTCTTCTGTCTCTCTTATATTTCAGGGTGTATCATAGGTTCAAACAATCCGTAACAGCTGCCAGTTATAATGTCTTGTGTATCGTTGACATCTATCTTGAGAACATCAGGCAGCTCATTGGTGACTCATTGCGCGCGACTGGACATGTACTCATGCTGTTCTTCGCCCCCGGTCATTGCTGCCTTGTGATACGCAGTAAAAGAGTGCGGTTGACAGCGCTTGGTCTTAAATGGTGGTCATTTAATGGACTGTTGCCTCCGCGTCTGTTTGCAAAACAGATTACAAACGCTCGATTATGTTGACGCCCGCGTCTAGATTTCGGGTGCGCCGCTTCCGGATCTGACAAGCTTACATAGGTCAACAATAGCTATTCATCGAGTATGCAAAAGGAGTGGCTAGGAATACGAACTGATCATAGCGCTTGAATAAGTTGTTGCAGGGCAGAGTGAGAAAGTTGCGTCTGACCTGGTGCATCTTCAAGAAGCCTTGCTGGAGACGTGGTGTACATATACGTACATCAATCCAGAAGTTGCACTCTTTGAACTGTGCTCGAGAATCGCCTTCTTTTGACTTATTAAGACCGCGCAATTGAGTTGATACAGAACTTTTCGAGAGGTGCACAAACCGTCCCATACGACATTGTAAGACGCTTGAATTCCACTGAGCCCATCAATATACATAAGCAACCAGGCAAGCTGTTCACAGAAGTCGCTGGCGTACTTCCTAGCATAGTCATATATATTGATCATGTTGATGTACGGCATATGGATGTGCACCCCATTGATTCATTAGGATCAATGCTCTTGTACATGTGCCGGATGACATTGCTATTGAACTTATCTTTATTACACGTCTGTGGGCTTGAAATGGCATCTACCCGATGGCATGCAAAAAATGTGCATGGATGGCATACTGCGCACACCTGGTGACCAACTATGGGCAATAAAGACATAATTGTATACGCACGGAAGGCTGAACCTTTGATTGCACCATGCCCTCTAAGTCGATCAGATCTTTTGCCGCCGTGCTGCCAAATGTAGCTTGCATGTTCTATCGAATTCTCATGCATGCATCGTCAAGGCTGTCCTACAGGATTATATAACAAACTGATTAGCGTCATGGCGCACAAACTTGTCTTGCCGTTGGGAGGCGTTTAGCGAATAGTACTGTTTGAAGAAGTCACTTTCCAACATTTCATTGGTGGTCGCATATGTTCCAAAGGAATCCGAGTCATGACAACAAAACCAAAGTTGAAGCCATGTGATCCATTTGATTCGAAGCCATGGGATCCATTGAATTCTACCATGAGCCTCTAACGAGAATCACTAGGGCCAGACCGTATATTTGACGTCGTCGACAGATGCGTCGTGGATGCCTTCGACAGTACGTCTAGGGGTGCTGCAAAAGTTCAGTGGCAGCGTGTTGAGTCACACACCGATGCACAGAAACTTCCACAAGTCAGACACAGAATCCGGTGTGCGGACTTGCTTTTACTCCCAGCAAACCACTCTGCTTCATCCAAGTTGCCCCAACGACCTGGGCCATGGTTACATCAACTTATTGGCTGAACACATCCAATGGCTTCTGACGCAACTCGACAATTGGGCCTCACATATTCGAGTGGGCAGATGCCCCAAGATGCCGCTGCCTCAAAACTTTGTCACCGGATGGTGACAGTGAAACCTGAAGCAGAACAGCAACAATCCGCAACGTGCACTTTGCCAGATTGTTGTTGAAGTTAAAAGAGCATCTTAATAGGTCTTACCGCATCTCGCAGCTGGCGGACTCAGGTGGCAGCTTTGTGTAACAAAACGTTATCTGATCACCTGCAAGGATTCAAAACATTTGTCAGCAGGCCAACTTCAAAATTGCACAACTGCATCAGGCAACCATGCTTGGTTGAACTCTTTTTTCCATGTAAGTTCTAGTTATCTGATTAGCTGCAAACAATTGCTCAAAATTGGCAAAGCTTTTCTGACATCTAGGGGGCCTGATAAGGAGACCACCACCTCAAGGCAGCTGAAAGAGCCCGCTTTGGCAGTAGAGTATGCTGTGCATGCAGATCGCAGCACTGGTGCTCACGCGGGACAGAATCTGAAATAATGCAGTGACTGAAACTTGGTATTCTTTACAATAGAGCTTGGCAATTTCTGAGCTAATGCAAGTGACTCAGCTTTGTGTGGCTGCCCCCTTGTCAGAAAACTTCTTAATCAGAGCTGATCCAAAGCTCAAGCTCTATGGTAAATGTGAAGGTATGTGACGTACTAGATTCTGCTGGTGGAAGGCTGACAGCATCGCTGATCAATCAGAGCTTTAGCTTCACCACTTTCGTGTCTATTATGAAGATTACATTGCATTCAGCAGAGACAGATGCTAAGGCTTCTGAATTAACAATTGGCCCACCTGCCAGGCAAGCAAGTCCTTCCAACAGATCCTACGGGGCACAAAGAGCAACATTTGCCGGGCTCGCAAGCTTCCAAGTTGCAAAATGCTTACCTCCTTGAGGGAAAACCCAGTCTCCAGTGGCGTCCCTTCTCCTGAGTATCCGGCTCCATTTAATACTGCCAGACCATTCTTGAGTTGCAACAGCATCCACCGCGGAGTTCACTTCGCGGCAAGACAGCTTGGGCAATATCTAGCCAAGCGCCAGGCTTGCAACTTCAGGCTTCAAGTAAAAGCCTGCTAGTGCATCTGAATGAAGAAAAAAACCCCTGACCGCGGCCTGACTTAGATGTTGCTAGCAAAAAGAAGCCAGCCCTCATGACCCAGAAGGCATGGCGAAGGCAGCAACCTCAGCGGTTGCTCCATAATGAAAGACATTACACAATTGTCTAAGGCCACTGTATCCTGCCAAAACGGAGAGGCACCATACCCCTGCTCCATTGCCAACCCAATGCTACAAGCTTACAAGGATGGCGGAGTGCCTTGGCAGGCTGGGGCCTGGCCATGGCATGCAAATGTGCTGCAGCCTGCTCAGCTTGGTTGAGTTACTTGAGCCGCATACACGAGGCTCATGCAGAATTATTGTTAACACCGCATTTCAATACCTACACCTACGATTGACCTACGAAAATTGAAATTTGAGCCAAGATTGCGGCAAATTGGAATTTCCGCACGCACGGCAGGCGTACCAATCTGCGACATACGTAGGTATACGATTGAAGGTTTTCAGTAGGTTCTGCGGACGGTGTTTGCCGGCTTATCGTAGGACAACGCTACCAATTTGCTGCAATCGAAATCCGCACCATAGCTCTCCCGTGTCCTTCATCCGACATGATCCGCGCAAGTTTTATGAAGTTGCAAGCTGCAGGCCCGGCCGCCAGCTAGGCCTGCCGCGCATGAAGGCTCATATTGTGCATGGAGTTTGAGCTGGCATGTGCGTAATCCAAGTCCTTAAGTTATATGCAGTTAGTAACATGCATATACTTCACAAGGAAAAAGTCGATCACTTCTCACAAACTCCCAACATAGTTGTTGCATCATTTGATTCGCACGGGCTACAAGAGAAGTATCCATCATGACGAGTCACTCTGCATCTGAGTTAGACGTTAAGGCAGTTCTGAAGTAGAGTGGCTAGAATTCAATCACATACTAACAATGAAAGCAGTCTTAATTACAAGAGATACAAAGCCCCGACTGCACCTTTGAGCTGCCAATGACGCCAAGGCTCTCAATAGCGCAACTTATTGGAATCCTCTACGCCACGACGGCGGGTAGCACTCTTGTAACAGTGCGTCCATTGCCTCCTGGCCCATCTCTGCTGTCTCTAAAAGAAGTCCTGATGACACGTAATGAGGGGGCTCCTCAAAGCTTATGTCTGCATGCGGGTGGGCTTTTTGCAGTTCAACGGCCCTCGTTGCAAGCTTGTCTACGGGACTTTCAAGATGCCTCAACTCTACAACTACCTTCTCAAGCTTTGGGCAACAACCCAAGAGTGCAGTCATCACCTTGAAGTCCTCGCGAGATAACACGACGAAGTGCACATACTTGAGCAGATCGAATTGGATTCTGCGCAGCTTACTTGAGCAGTTTTCTCCGACGTATAGCTGACTACTTGCTGTGCTCACATTCCACTGAATCAATGTGGGAGGCATTTTTTGCAAGAACGTGGAGAGACAGCGAGCTTCACTATCTTGGGCCCAGTACTTCATGTCAAACACGAGCTTGAGTTTCTCCGAAGGCCTGAACTTATGCAAAAGCCCCTCTAGTTGTGCCATCCGCCACTTGTCTCCTTCAATCTTCAGCTCTGACAGCTTGAATCTATGGTTCTCAGGTTCAATAACTGATACTGGACCAAGCAAACCCAGCCGATCAAGCAGGGGGGCGTGTAGGCGAAGAAGGCGGAGCTTAGGAATCCCCATCAGAGACCTCAGATTTGGTGCGTTGACAACCACTGCGCCGCTTCTCAAATCATAGATGAGGTTCAAATCTAAGCTCAAGTCCTTCAGACTTTGAGACTGGAAACTCGGCTCTTCTAGACCAGTACACCCTTTCAGGCACAGTGTCTCAAGCACAGGAGCTTGGCGTAATAGGGAGTCAACAAATTGGTCAGAAATGCTTGTAGACTTTATTTTCACTTCCACCAAATGCCGGAACTTCAGTGTACTTCTCATTCGCTCCAAGCAACTGAATCCCGAATCTACCAACCAGAAGCGCCTGAGAGGAAGTCCTCCAATCAGTTTCCAGAGATGTTGAGAGGCTTCCTCACTTTGCGGGAGCCGATTGTCAACCAATAAGAAGGTGTCGAGATTGGTTGACTGCCTAAGGATAGCAGTTAGCAACTCAATGGAAGCACTAGCTTGAATCCTTTGGCCCTGCTCACGAGACTCATCCCGCTGTATGTAGTGCATTGCCAGACTCCGTAGATGCTCGCCAGTCTGGCTCATGGCTGCAACCCCAACCATCGGCGTGCCAGCCTTTTGGAATGCCCAAATAACATGCTTGGCGGTCCCCGCAACGTTCAGCTGCCTGAATCTCTGACAAACGCCCGAAAGAGTATTCAGTTTGCGGGCTGACACCCAGCAGCCATCTCCAGCCAGGTCTGGCAGCTTCCACACAGGAAGACACCAATTCCAACCGCATGCCCGTTCAAGGATCTGCTGAAGGATCTCGTCAGAGAGCCGGTCAAAGGGGCAGTCACTTTCGAGGTTTCCGTCTTCTGCCATTCTTACCGTCAAAAGAGGACGGCAGGATAACCAACTGTGTGCGCTGTTGACCGAAGATGGATGAGACAATGGACTCGTGAGAAGGTGCCAACACCGAACACACACACACGAGCCCGGTATAAATGGGTCGGCAACGCCAACAGTCCGAAGATATAAGAGTCCGGTCTCGGTCTAGGATCCTCCTACCGAGAACAGACATGTATGCAGATTGCTTCAGCTCAGTTGTAACTTGTGTTCCTGTCTTCCCCTTGCATGAGAACGAAAATATGAGCTTTGCTGAATGCTGCTTCTGCCACGCCTACCAATCTTGAGGCCGCCACACACGGCAGGCGTAACGGCAGGAGCAGCCGGTTCTTGCATTCGCCCTGCCAAAACAAGCGTTAAGGGCGATGCCTTTGGCGCCGCTTTTCGATAACGGTACTGTAAGAGTACTCACGCAAGGATTCGTCACCGAGGAACAGAGGCAGAGAACAATTTGTGAGCTAAATTGATGTGCACAGCAACTTTTGCCATTGCTGAGAAGAGAACATTGCTGTCTCACTGCTGGTTACCAACTGAGTTGTAATCCGCCCCTTTCCAAAAGCTTGTACGGCCTGCTTTGTAGAGGAGGTCGTTGAACGATAGGTTGTTTGATTTGGTGTCAGAATGGCCTCCAGCGTAGTGCGAGGCGTGGCTGCAGGTGCGGCAGGGGTGGCGGCGAGTGCCCCAAGCAGAACACAGCAGGTTGAGCATAGGCAGATGCCCTGCACTCTGTCCACACCCTTCAGAGGCGCGGCTTTGAAAACTAAAAGTTTGGCGGTGAACAGAAAAGCAAGTCAGAAGGCCAGGTGAGAAAGCTTTCTTTGCGTGTCTGGTTGATTCTTGTTGATTGGGCATGCCCGCGTCTCATGTTGGAAGCATCCGTCCAACTCTTTGTTGCAATGACATAATTCCGTGCATGGTACGCTGGTGGCGTTTCAGCACTCCCGAAAGAAGATGACACCTCTGCAAAGAGCTGTGTCGGACTTTGCACCGCCTAATCATGTAAGAAGTGACTGATGCAAACCTTGATAAGGTTGACACACAAATGCTATCTGTCAGATGATAGCATTGTGGCTGGCAGTGACATGCGAATAGTTGAGGCCTTTAAGACAATCCGCTGAGAGGCTCAATCCTGAGAGGCAGTCTGTGAGTGGAAATATGCAAAGTATTGTTGGGCACAGTTCATAAGTGCTCTGTCTTTTTGCGCATATGCAAAACCTTTAGAGCACCTTCAAACAGTTTCTCCACTGATGAGGAGTCTCAACTTCATTTGTATGTGTAACAGGAGTATAGTGGCCGCCGCAGAGGGGTTCCGGTCGCCAGGGCTCATGTCAGAACAGGGGTACCCAGGACTTTCTGGAGCAGCATCGCCAATTACCTCCATCTCGTAAGCCTTTCTTGCTGGTGTCACACTCGTTTCTTGGGTTATGGATCAGCGTTTCTTGGCTCGAAATGGAATATCTTGGATACCAATGGGCGTCTTCCTGAGGCGATGTATAAGGTTGTGGGACAATTGGTGACTCAGCGCAAGCAATGATAATCTTTCCCGTTGACAATCGGTAGGTTTACATTCCATCTACAGTGAGAAGAAGCAGAACACGGGTTGGTTATGCAAGTGGAAAGTTTCAGTGCTCTTGCGATTGAAAGAAGTGGCTGGATGTGTCTCTTCAGAGGATTGTTGATGCATTTTTAAGGCTCTCATGTATGAAACCCAAGCTGTATAAAGCCTAAGCGCTAGCTGCCGGGAGGTGTGTGTCTTGAGACTTGTTGCCTACAAAGCAGCATCAACAAGCATCAACAATGTGTGCTGCTTAGGCACCCATGGTGTGCATTTGAGCGACTTGTCGCGTTTCAGAGCAATCTGCTCATAGTTGGTTTTGATTGGTCGCAAACTTCCTATCAGTTGCCACATACCTCTTAATTCTCCATTCACTTCGTGTCTAAGAGCACACCTTAGAGTTACTGCGGTCGACTTTTTGAAATGCTCTTCCGCAACGGGTGATGTTGAGAAATGGTTTCCGTGATGAGTTGCGGCGGCAGACGGGAGTTTCTTAATCATTGCTTGGCTACCTCTTTTTCCATGCGTACAAGCAGAAGATGCATGTGAGCGTGCCTCTTATCCTAGGTCAGTCGATCTCAACCTGGGGTGGACCACAAGTATCAACCAACAACATTCTAGCTATTATGCAAATGTGTATGCTAGCTTAGCACTCAGCCGGTGACATCTGTTCATGCAGGAACATTGAAACCCCGTACTCTGCTCTGATGGGTGACATTCGTGCGGACGGGCAGGGCCCTCCGCCGGGGATGGTTGAGCGGTTTCAGGGCGTTATCAGCCAGCTCTTTCAGCACGTGAGTACTTCTGCGCTACCATGATTTATTGCTCTACTTGATGTGATTGGCAGAACACAAGCCTCGAAAGGGAAGCTGTTGCATGCGATGATGTGCGTGTCCAGCTTGGTCCGCCTGAAGGTAATAAGTCAGAGGGACATTAGAGAACACCGGATGTGTACACTTAAGCAAACTTTCTCTGCCACGTGTCTGAAGACATGCCGCGATCTTACATGGGTCGCACCGAGTGCTCGTCTCAAGCAGCTTGCTTTGGAAGCAGCTTGCGGTCTGTGCTGGCCAATGAGATCAAGCAGCGCATTCATTCTTCCAGATTGGATACTTCAACACATCCGAAGGAGTCGTCCAGATTGGATAGTCCAATACGTCTGAAGGAGTCGTCTCAAAGAACGTCAACACACCGAATGATAGATTCCGAGAGCTTATCCTCTATCGTGTGTTTTCAGAGGATTATCCGCTGTGGAGGAGCGGTTGATGACGACATGGCCAACATTATCGTGGCTCAGCTGCTGTACCTCGACGCGGCAGATCCCGGCAAGGTGATTGCCCGCTTCTCGTCTTTTTGTGTGGTCAGTCGAAACTGTCTGAGGGTGACCGTAGCACCGCCTGGAGCGTTTCCTTATGGCGTTTATGTGTGGATGAGAGTGTTTGTTCGAGCCAGCGGTGTTTAGCAGCGGTTTATCTGGACTAGGGAGCATGTAAGACGTCCCACAAAGAGAAAGGATGGAAGGCGACAAGTGCGGACCAACGCAGGCGTTCTTTGGGTTTGCGAAAGCATCTTCTAAATAGCTGTTATGGAATGTTGTGCTACTTCATGAGAAGCACGCTGACTATCTTGCGTCAGTCCAATGCAACAGTTGTAGCCATATTATCTTGCCGTCTGCAAACCTCCCCGCCAACTCATGATGCAGGACATCATTATGTACGTGAACTCCCCCGGTGGATCGGTTACTGCAGGTAGGATGCACAGCGAACTCTGTTGATAGTTCTACGAATCTGTTGAGAGCTCCCACTGTTCAGGCTGCTCGCCGATCAAGATGACCATTTGCAGCTCATCTGCATCCTGTGCTAGCAAGTTGCTCTGGTGTAGAAAATGGCACAGCGTGTGTTCGCACTTGGGGCACTGGGTTAGAGTTCCGCAACTAAAGTTCCTGATGACTGCTCTCAAGTGGATTAGAAGTCATTACGTAAAAAGCGACACTGCAGATCTGGAAAATCGCTTTAGCCTGCACGGGTTTTTTTGTCGTGAAGAGCGCCTAGCGAAGCCAAATTAGCCTTCCTCTGTGCTGAAATGCCACTTCCTAAAACGCACGGACTGTACCCGGTTTCAAGAAAGTGAGTGTCAAACCAACCGTTATGCATTTCGCCCGTTCAGGGATGGCCATCTTTGACACCATGCGGCACATCCGGTGCGACGTGAGCACCGTCTGCGTTGGTTTGGCCGCCAGTATGGGAGCCTTCCTTCTCAGCGGAGGAACGAAAGGTAAGGAGCGCGTGCCAGGCAGTGAAGAACACTGTTTATTTCCTCCTGCGGGCAACGATCATTAATTGTGGCTTACTTTGTCCTTTTCGCATTGTTTGCTGCTGAGCAGTCCGATGGGCGGGCTGCCATTGGGCCACTGCGCCTGTTCGTAACGTCCCTTTCTGATTTGACCTAGTAGGAACACTTTTTTTTTAAACTGACTATGTCAATAATTGCTTCCCGTTTGGGTTCACGAACGCTGTGTTTCATCTCCGATCGGGATCAGCCACGCCATGTTTGCTTTCCGGTGGGATCACCAATGCTAAGCGTGTTCCCCGTTTGAGATTACCAACGCATTGAGCTCAACCGTCCGCAGTCATCCTCACGTTGTGGGCGTTCTCTTTGCAGGCAAGCGGTACGCACTACCCAATGCGCGCATTATGATCCATCAGCCGCTGGGAGGGGCGCAGGGGCAGCAGACGGACGTCGAAATTCAGGTACGCTGCTTCTAGCGAATGTCTGAGATGCATGGACATCTGGCGTGTCTTGAGAGCTAGCTCTAAATGCAGGACGCCCCTTCTCCTCTCAGGTTTGAGGTCTAGCGCGTGTCAGCGTCCACGCTCACCGTGTCATATGCCTTCGTCTCCTTTGAAGACACATTTGATTCCGTATGGGCGCGCTGCTGTTGGTCCGCGTGTCAACTGGGCACTGTCATCAGTGGCGTCACTATTTATGCAAGTTCTTCGAGGGTCTGTGATGTCTTTCCTTTTGGCCCTTCTTTCTCTTTCTCCCATTCTGATTGAATGCACAGCTTACGTACAGCTGCAACATGAAAGCAAGACAATGCACTCTGAAGTCTGTTTTGTGCCAACTGGAGTCGCTCTGCTTTCGCGCAACACGTATCCTTTCGCAGACCTACTGAAATGACCTCTTTGTTCTGTGTCTCCCCAGGCGAACGAGATTTTGCACCACAAGGCCAACCTGAACGGGTACCTCGCATACCACACCGGCCAGCCGCTGGAAAAGATTGTCTCCGACACCGATCGCGATTTCTTCATGAGCTCAAAGGAAGCCATGGAGTATGGGCTGATTGACGGGGTCATCAGCAACCCCTTGAAAGCTTTGACTCCGACTCCAACTCCGACTCCAACTCCGACTCCAGCATAAGTGCTCGGCCATTGACTGGCCAGCATAAATGCTTGGCATACGACTCCAACATAAGTGCTCGGCAAGGCTGTGGTAGGAGATTGGATTGAATATGTTGATTGAGAACGGTGAGGGCTGGCAGGGCACGGGGGTTCGAAGAGCAGAAGGATGTGCTCGGTTGTATGTGGGCGATGCGTAGGAAGCGCCGAAAAAAACGTAAAAGGTAGATTGGTTAAGGCATACCGCACCATTGATCTTTGTCGGAAGTAGGGACTATGTTCATATTGATATGGCTTAGTTGGAGGAGGCATTGACATATTCAACCAATCTAAATATCACACGAAGTGCACATGACGACATCTGAGTCCTCTGTATTGACACCGGTGTATGGTCCTGATCGACATTTTTGATAGACTCAGCAACCCAACGATGCACAACGCGTGATTATCGCAAGTTATATCTACGACAATCATTTCGTATTGTGGTATAACAACCTTTCTCAACCAGAGAACCCCACATGAGTCCGAACGATCTGTGAGTCCTTATTAGTGCGAGTACGTCCGTCAAGGCTCGCCCCATATGCATGTTCGAACATGTGCGTTCGGTCACTGAACTTCTGCCATCATTGCAACATCCCTGCGTAACGAATTGCAACATGGCCCCTGGCCATGATCGGAACTCTAATGCTCTCCTCATGTGCAATCCGCGCCCATGATATCAGAGTATACAAGAGATTCGACCCGCACTCTGCAAAAAAGATTGCGATCGAAAAGAGGGTTTTCGATCACTCATGCTGAGCTCCTTCGTTTAAGCCGTGGGCCGTCCGCCAAGGGGCCCGATTCAAGGTCCGCCATCAAATGGACCTTGACTGTTTACAAACTCCTACAGTCGGGCCGGCGACAATGGCCACCCAATGAGGCCTTGTGAACCGGGCGCAAATTGAGATACCGGGTAAGCTCAAATTGTATTGCCGATGTATTTTTGGATCTTGAGACTCAACCGAGGCCTTCCGATGTTTGCGACGCCGACTCGTCAGCCCTCGATTTCGAGTGCGCGAGCGGCGTGCAGTTGTATAATGCCCTTTGAGGTACACTGTCACTGTCACGATTCACTGGAAACGCGGCACTCAACTGAACCGCTGCCGCGCGCGGCCGGCGGCTGCTAGTGCTAAGTGTCATAAGTGGAGGCGGAATCACCGACATCAGCACTGGCACTCAGACTAGGTCCTATTGGCACTTCATGCTGATCCCGTGCTAAGCGTTGCATAATGCACAGTGGTCGAGTCCGCGTATGAGCTGCAAGAAAGTCGAAGCCGCTGCTCGCCGCAACATGCATGCGGCGCCTGCCATTGACTGGCTACAGTGCCTGTCCTGCTTTCTCAGCTGGTATGGAACGGCACCTTGTTGTACGGTGATATTGCACAAGCATTTACACGTGCATTTCGTGCGTTGGACGTTGGCATCCATGGTCATGAACCACTGCTAGACAGGATTGGACGGTTCATATCGTCTTCCGATATCCGCGCGTTCGATTCCATTGTTTCGTTCAATCTGAACTGAGCTGTCGGACCAGTGCTTTCATATTCAAGTTTGAAAGACGGACTATTGAATCCGTCTTCTCTACTGGAGATAACAGCAGCCGTACACGAGCTCACGAGTAACCGACTTGTACACGATAACATGTTCAATTGACTTTCGTTCTTGGCAGTGGGGCTTAGGCCACCTCGATCTCGTAGTGTTGTCATAGCAACCGCAGCGACATCCCGACAATAATGACGACATCGTTCTCGCGAAGACACATTCGCAATCTCGCACTGTCACAAGCCTACAGGGCAAACGTTGAGAACTGGTCAACTTGCGCACTGAGCTGACGCGTCTGCTCTCGCGGCTACCGTCCCGTGCACGTCCCGTGTACCGACGCGGGAATGTGATTGGCCAGAGCCTCAAGCAGCATGCACGTGAGGCAATAGCTTGAATGCCCCTTGCCAAACTGCGTTTGGCTGCAACATCCGCATAATCATCATGCATGCGTCTGCAATCGTAAGCGTCTGGGAACGCGGACCGACAGAGTCGGGGACAGATTGCTGTTGTAACTATACTGCATTGCAGTGCATGATGACGTCCACCAGCTAGGGTCAACAGCTGAGGTCCACTTAGGGCATACTCGACGGAATTGTCTGGTTCGCCGTTTAGGAATATTCCTAGTGTATAAGCTGATGCATCATGCAAAGGCGGTTGATATGACCATGATGTCAGACCATCCAAGGAGAGACCTGGCCTACGGCTTCAATTTGCAGGTCTGCTCGAAGACACGTGCTGGCCAATCATTTGAGCTTACTTTGCAGCCACAGCAAGTTGCACAAGTTGAAGCGTAGCCAGCAGACAAAGAATGTGAGACCCATGTGCACCGACCGTGGGACCCGTGGGGCTGCCTGCGGGGGTGGCAACTTTCCAACTTCCAGTAGTGCGCAGCTGCTCATCTATCCTATACTACCAAAATGGGACCAGATGAAGAGTCCTACAGGTACAGGGTTGATACTTGGACCCGCGTGCACCATGCTTCTCAACAGTGCCAAGCTAGGCTTTCTCTTAGCTGTACAGTTGTACATCGGATCATGGGTGCGGAGAAGTGTCCGCAGCTTACTTGTAGGTTATAGCTATAGCTACGATTTAGCATACATACAGTGAGACAGCCCTTGGTGTCCAGTACTGTTCCGAGCCTGGCAGCGAGACTTGGCCAGGAGTGCGTCAACTTTTCTCTACTGGGCGGTTTCTCGTTCTTAACCGCTGCGTTTGGTCACGCTGCGCTGAGGGCTGCTCAAAGTATGTTTCCTTGCACTAGCTTCTCCACCTTTTTGTAAGAGGCGAGTGCACAAATACGGACCAAGATTAGTTGCGAGCCTCATTCCAAGCTTCGCTGTTTCCGGAGAGCAATCAGCTGCATTCAGATCGAGCAAGCTTTCTTACGGTAAGATAAAGGAGCTCCAAAGTGCACCTTCTTCTGAAGGCTTCTTTGGAGCTTTGGGCGAGCCCGTGGCAAAGCTTCAAGAGCAGCAGCGCAAGCGCACAACGCGCGGGCGTCGACCTCCGGTCGTGGTAGAGGAGCGGTGAGTCATGATTGGATCATCCTGCCGTGCAATTGCAGACTCCTCCATTATGAGGCGGTCCTTGTAAGCTCGCCACATAGATGCATCCAATCTGATGTCTGCATTGCTCATCGCTTATCAGGGCGTTTATCTCGTTTCCTGCCTTGGTCGAATAACTCAGAGCGAACAAAAGGTGCCGTGAAAGGCAAACAGAGTTACTCAAAACCTAGATGTTTGTGTGTGGCTGTCTCTATGTCCTTCAACCTTGATTTACTCGTCTGACCACCACTCCATGATCTTCAGTACAAGCCTGCCTCCCGACCCATCTTCACGTAGGAAAGTCCCATTCTTTTTCTACGCTTCCCCCAGCGCTGGACCAGCAACCAGTCACAATCCAAAATGCCCCTTCTTACTCTGCTGCACTCTTTCAAACACAGATACTTCGCCATGGCTTCCACGAGCAATGCTTTGCGTTGGTGGGTGGCCGCGCTTCTGCTGATCCTAGCGGTCGGCCCAGGAGCGGTGCGGGCAAACCTGTGCTGCGTGGCAGGAGAATGTACCTGCAGTGACGATTTCTGCGCGAGCAACGTCGACGTGGCGGTCTACACGTCTTCCCTGTCGGAGTGCCAGGCGTACCTTGAAACTCCTCAAGACACCAGGGTATGTTTTTCTTTCTCAGACTGAAGTAATCGCTTCTCCTGTGGCGTCAAGTTGCAGAAGCCGAGTGTTGAGGAAGATCCACGGGCTGCTGAGAGTTCGCAGGTTTCAACGGCACGGAGGAAACTCAACTTCAGACCAGTTTTATTCAAAGCAGACTTCACATAGTATTTTCCATTCCTTTCGACCAACTCGGAGTTTGTTAGCATCTAGGGTTGCTTGCAATCGGGGTGATCGAAAACAAGATGCGATTGGGAGACTTGATGTCGGGGGACCGTTTGCTGGACAGGCCAATACGATGTTCGTACCGGAACACTCACAACACACTTCCAAAAAGTCTACACGACCCGAAGGATAAGGCTCTCACTTATCCTTAAAAGCCGTTACGCTTGTCCAAGCAAAGGGCTTTCATGGACTTGTGGATTAGGAGATCGCACGAAGGCGCGGGAACTGCTGTTCTTCTAGTGCATCCCGCAGTCTCCTCTCAGGCTCTGCCTTAAGCTCTGCATCTGGAGACAACTTACTTATCCGCCTCTCTTTTTTGTTTGCGCCCAGGCCGATGCATGCTCGCAGACGCTGGACGAAGGATGGCAGGAATACGGGGACGAGATTCAAGCTGGCGCGGCGCAACTTTGCACGAAGCTGGTCTCCAAATTTGCACCTAAATACGTGGGGATCCTGAACTCGGTGATCCAGGTAGGTCGAGAATGCACACCCTGTCGGTATCTGTCGCTTCTGTTAGAATTGTGGGAGTCAGTCTGCCTCAAGGTAGTCAGCAATCTGCATTATAAATGAAACATTTGTTTCGAGAGCTGTTTTTTACAAGTCGCCGAACCATCTATTGAGCCCGGAAATGTGCCTGGTTCTCACATGGCGCTTTTCTAACCCATGCTGTCTTCAAATTGGTCCTTGATAGGGCCTGCTTTCAAGCATGAATACTTTTGTAAGTTCAAATGGAACACACTTTTCTGATGCGACGCGTGCCTAGCAAGAAACTGGCCGGGAAACGAGACTGACCAATGTCCTTGCTTGTTGCTCGTTTGCAAATGCACTCGGTGAGTGACGCAACGTCCCGACCGGAAACGGACCCCTCTCACCAGGGCCCGGTAATGGACAAAATGTGTTCCTTCTTTCCTGCAGCTTGCCACGGGAGAAAACCTGGTCAAGGAGGCGTGTCACGAGATGGTCAACCTGATTCTGAGCAACGACAACGTCGCGGCCGCGGAGGCGACCGCGTGCGCCGCGATCGGCGCGGCCGGCGGCGGGGTCAGCGCGAGCGGCTGCTTCACGGCCGACGCGCGCGTGCTGACGGACTTTGAGGGGACGACGCGCAGAATGGCGGAGCTGGCCATTGGCGATACAGTGAGTCGTGGGCTGTCATCTTTGTCAAGCCTTCGTGAAGCTGAAAATCAGCGCCCAGATCCTGCCCAGCTTCAGTACGCCCACGACAATGAAGCCGACCGAGAAAAATTCTCTTCAGTCATGGAGGTGCGCAGGGAAGTTCGCAGCTCTCGAGTACGCTGAGGGAATGTCCGCGGAGAAAGAGGAATGTTACCTGAATTCGTCGTGATTTGCCTCGAAGGCTCTGGACACGAGAAGCCTCGCCAATGAAACGGAAATCTGTAGAAACTCTGATGGTCTTGCAAGGGTCGATAGTCCCGTTCTGGATTGGCCCTGTGATTGCGCGCCCTCAGAGCATGAAAAGCGCGCTCTCTGGATGCAGGTCATTGCAGTAGACGCTTCGACGGGGGCGCTCATGCGCGAACGAATCTTCTTCTTCTCCCACAAAGCACTGGAAGAACAGGTAATCGACCACAAAAACAGGTTGTTTAGATTTTATTAGCTGCATGGTGTACTAATGGGTTTAAAACCCGCCAGAAGCTCATCGAAGTTAGTATTGTGAGCCGACATCCTTTAGAATAGAAATTGATCAAGCAAACGGACTGCAGCAAGAGTAGAGCGCAATCGAACGCCTCCACGAAAGAACTGGTCCCAAACGTTTCCCGGAGAGTAGGCGTGCTGAGTACTACAAGCGTCCCAATCGTCACCGGGAATGACAAAGGCACCTTGGCATCCTGCAATATGTCGCGTAGTCGGTCGAGCAGAACGAGACCAAAAGCCTGCAACCCAAGCTTTTCGTTTGATAGTTGGCTTTGGCTTGCGCTTCTCCGTGTTGCCACAGATTCTGCATTATTCGTACTTTATCACTGTTCCTAGAATTGCACGAACCGATCACAAAAGCCCTCCCCTTCGTGTCCAGGCCAAGTTCGTGACCCTGGAGACTTCCACCGGCCACAATCTGACGCTTACCCCCGACCACTACATTTTCGCGGCCGCCAAGGCGGCCTCCGATTCGGTTCTTGACGCCCAACCCTTCGCAACGCGCGCGCAGATCGTGCGCGCCTCCGATGTCCAGGTGGGCCTGAATGCTTTCCCACCCCTTCAGAGACGTGCACTCTCTGGTATTTTAGGCCGGAAATTCGGCAGGTTCACTTAATCTTTGAATCCTACTGCATGCTTACAATGGGGCTACAATAGGCTTGAAAAAAGTGGACGAAGGCAGGCATGATTTTTGTCTTCAGATCTTATCGCTCGGAACCCTCAGAAGTTCGGCGCTACCGTCCTTTAATGTGCGCTTCATGGATAGATGATGCAAATAGTGGACATCCGCTAATCTGCCGCACTCTTCACGGTGAAAGCAAAACGGGTATACTGCCTGTCAACGGCGATCTGCCAATCTTTCAAAGATTTTCGGAACAGTAGCCGTGAGCAGCCGCGCTGTCTCTTTACTCGGGCTGCTTCTGAACTTCGATCAACGTGTGTGTGCAGGTGGCCGACACGGTCTGGGTTTTGCCTGGCGCAATGGGCGGAGAGTCCGTTTCCGCCCGCGGACTCGTTCCGGTCACTGTCATCCGGACCTCTCGCAGCCTCCAGACCGGCCTCTACAACCCCAAAACCCTGAGCGGCGGCATCCTAGCCAATGGCGTCGCGGCTTTGCAGTTCACGCGCGCGCTCCCTCCGAGCGTGCTCGCGCACAAGCTGGCGACCTTCCCTGCGCTCGTCGCTTCCGGCGTTCTGCCCAATTCCGTGGCGGAGCGCCTGAATGCTGCGTGGCTGAACAACGTGCAATGAAAGGGCGGAGGAGCTCCGCACATCGACGGCGTGTAATGGGCGGTGCAGCTGGCGAATCAAACACTGATGATGGATTTATAGTTGGGCGATTTATAGCTGCCAAATCGCCCATTCTTCAAGGGTCCCATTTTATCTGAACCCCTAAGGCTTTTGGATATCCTTTGACCCAATGGAGGCAAACAAGTGACGGACCGTCGAAAGCACCGCTTTTATAACAAATAGACACGTGCCGACTGAGTAGGTCTTGCGATGAATATTCACATGATTGCCTATGCCGTGTCCAGCGCGCGAATGCAATCGGCACATGCGATGCCAGCACGGTGCCAGGGCCGCGCTAACATAAGCTGATGTTGCATGAGATTCATCTCACATGCACAGCCTGCTGCCATGTTGACTCTGCTATTACGTATTTTCGATTATGATAGCTCATGCAGCATATTGCCAGCATAACATACCACATGCGAACCTGCAGCTTTTTTGTCAACCATCTGATTTTGAATTGTTGCGCCATATATCTTTTGCATGGTTCATATGCAAAGCAAAACGTACCCCGCATGCGTGTACGGCTTATTCGTTTATCGTTTAGGTATTACTAATCGACTCACAAAGGAGCTGCACCACGGCATGCGCAGTGTGGAAGCCTGCGCATAATGTTGACTGGAATCAAATTTGATACAGTCGGTCAGCCTGCACACGCCGGAACGGCTCATGGTGAATCCGACGTTCCCTGGCGTTGATTGCAATCTGGGCATGCACACAGTCATCATGTTTGCCATATTCACAAAGTTTCTACGCAGTTGTCTGCATACAATTGCTTGCGTGCAGCTAGCTTACAAGTCCGCAATCCTGAGCCTCCTATGGCGTCCGCATACCACCCCCATCGTGTATGTACGACAACAGTTACCACAGGCCGAAAGGGCACATGCTTCCGATCCGAGATTATTGCAGCTCTTCCCGTCCGACGTGCCCCGACACACCACCAACCCTTGCGACGCCCTGAACACGCGTTCTGCTGCTTTCTTTCGTTCCCGCAAAGCCTTGCGCTCGGCAACTTTCGCCTCTTGCTCTGCCCTACGCAAGGCGGTCTCATTTCGCCGTTGAGCTCGCTCTGCAGCCCTCTTTTCCTTCTCCTTCAGCAGAAACTGTTGCTGGCGGTCGATGGCGTCTTCCAGCGGCACGTTCGGATCCTACAAAGTCGAACAAGAAGCGTTGGTTTGATGTGTCTAAGGCGTTCAGGCAACCTCTTGCAACGAAACTCGAACGATTCTCAAGAAACGGCAAGCTACTTTACTATCTTCTAAAGAGCTCAAAGGGTGGATCTGAGGTGCACGTTCGACAAGTTGCAAGGCACGCTACTCTTCATTCTCAACTCGAGTAGTATTGCACAAAGGCTTTTGAGGGCTGGTTGAAGCTGCAAGCAGGAAAGGGTTGACGCAATCCGAAGCTTCGGGACAAGCCGTTCGATGTTCCACAGACCTAGACCATTTTGAAGGGCACAACTCGAGTGCTTGACTTGCAAACGTGACGGACGTGGGGTAAGGTCACACTTGAATACGAGCCTTTGAGAAGACGTTTTGCTGCTTCTCCCTGCTTCTCATCGCCCTTCAGTTCCGTCCAGGTCCGTTATTGTCCAAAGAACCTCTGGATTCTCAAAATGATCTGAACTCTAAAGTGATCGTAAGAGCGTCTTGCAGTGTGCCTAGACCAGCCAACTTTCGTTTTGGAGCAACAGGGTTCTTCGCCAACTCACCTTGATATAGCTTTGAACCCCCTCAGGGAACGGCCAATCACCACCACGTTTCTGCAAGCCGGCCTCCGTTAGAGCAGCTTCAATTTCCTCTTTGCGCTCTTTTTCATATCGCTCAAGCCTGCGCTCCGCCCAGTATTGAAAGGAACAAAGGCGGTCCAACCTTATGTTGGCACTGACTACAATCTTTGCGCTTGATGTGTCATGGCAAAGGTAACCGCCAATCGTTTGGGCAGCACGCCCCGTGACAGAAGTGTCCTGGAGCCTTTTCACTACCCCAAGGTCGGCCCAAGGAACGCGCCAGAAAGGAAGCTCCTCGCAAAATTCCTCATCTTCTGCGGACTCGCTTCTTCTGTCAAAGCTGTCTTTGTCGGAGCTGTCTTTGTAGATTCCAGCGGTGCTGTTGTTGTAGATCTGAATGATCTCATTGATGCGTGTTTCCAGCCTTGGAATCCACTCGATGACATCAGACATTGTGTTGAAATTGTCAACACAGCCGAGCTCCTCGGGCATCCCCTCCCCATCTTCGCACTCGTCCCAGACGAAATCTCGGATCTCCGTGGCTAGTCGCGTCAGTTTCCGAGAGAGCGTGTATGGATTCAAGTTCCTGCAAACGTCGAGCTCGCAGAAATCAAGGGGCTCTGGCATGAGCTCCTTATACACCTTTTTAATGACCCCAGAAGTTTCCACCACAAGACCTTGGCCAGACCCAGCCATTGGCTTGCCACTGAGAAATGGCGCCCGCTTTGACCGCTTGCCGAAGACTTCGAACGTCAGATGTCCATTCCCACACACCTGCCCGGTAATATCAGACCAGTCTGGAAGACACCTGTCAAACACGCGCTGCCACCAATGACGGAACTTCTCCTGGATGTTGAAAAAGACAACCTCCTGCAGCACAAATACGGGCGTCCCACAGTACGTGCAGCGACATTTGGCCGCACTGCTCATCAGCTGCTGTTCTTGGGGAGACGCCTCTACATATCTGATGGCCCCTGACTCTTTTGCAATTGCTGAGTAGGGAAAGTCCCACACCATGCCCCGGCAGGCGCAGACCGCAAGCTTTTTATCCCTATCAAGCCACGCGTGCCGACACAATGGTGTGACGAACAGGCAGTCGTGTTGGAACGGCTCCTTCAACAACAGATCCTTTGCAACCACGCGCCCTGTCTGAAACCCGCACACTTTCCCTTGCACATGCCCCATCAACTCCAGAAAGCCGCCCTCCTCCCCATCCTTATTTATGTAGCCTCTGTCAAATCGCATGCCCGGGCAATACAACAAGAGTTTGAGGAGGGCCAACCAGCCCCCCGGGGGCTTATCGGTCACATCATACCCCATTCTCTCGCACAATCCAGGAGCGATCTCCAGGCAGAGCTGCTGCCAAGTAATCTCTTGCATGACACCACGCCAGGCTTTGCAGACGCTGGGAAGCGCCGCTAAGTGGACAGGGCTGGAGCCAAGCTTGTGGAAGATCACATTGAGCAATTCTGAGCTCAGGTCGCCTATCCCCGTGCCGCAACTTGAAGGACCGCTGCTCGCGCTATGAGCAAGGCGCTTTGCGCCATCTTAACAAGACCTCTTCAGCAAGCCAACTGGATTGCTCCCTTGATTCCTTAGCGCCTCTACTGCACCCAGCTCGCAGAAAGTCGGAAGGATGCCCTCTTTCTAGTGGACAGTTGAAGGTTTGGAGGTGACAAGATGATAGTCAGCGTAATGGGGCACTTCACAGGCTACCTGGACAATACTTGTGAGCATTGCAAAATGCCGTTGGCATGAACTTGGAAGTTGGAAGTGGCATCTTGGCCCTGGGGTTTTACGAAACCCTAGAAAGTCAATCCGGGCGGCATTTGGTGGGCGGTGTACTCTTCCGGGCTCGCCGCCTCTATGGACCGCTTTGCTCAATTGCTCCCTCGGGAAGTCCTCAGGACCACCGAGGAGAATCTAGGTGAGGCTTCTCGCTGGTCACCGCGGGCTAAGCTTTCGCTGCTAGGTAGCTAGGCAGGAGTTCGGCTAGTCACATCAAGAATTACAACAGTCAACTTTAAAGTGTTGTACCAAAACTTCGTCACCTGAGAATTGCAAAGGCGTCTGCATCTGGGGTGCGCCTCAAAGCCGAAGCCCGTGTTTGGGCAGAAAATACATGCTGAATGTGGGTGATGATATTTAATCCTGGCACAGGAGCTCGAAGAATGTCTCATGATATGATGCCCATGCATGATGTCCTATCTTAGCATATAGGAGCCATGCTGTTCAGCAGAATCCGATCTGCTGCGGCAGGGGTTGGGAAACACCACGGTTATTTGGGCCGTAGACGGTTCAACTTCGCTAGATTCAAGACGTTTGCGGATGGGGGCCATGTTTGCTCTGTTATACCGGAGCAGATTTTGGTTGGCGGGTGCCTCACAGGATGGCACAAGCCGTTGCACATGGGGAGCTGGCAAAGTGCCTGATGCAGAGCCTGTGAGAGACGGGCTCGTATTAATGTGAACACCTCCGTTCGCAGTGCGGATGCATATGATACTGGTGGCTCTGAGCTTTCAAAAATTTACGTGCATGCAGTGTCCGTGGTGACGGAAATTAAAAGATGCAGCATTGGATGATGCCCCGTTAAGCATCCGGTTGAGCATGGCAAGCCTTTCTTCGGTCATAGATGCACAAACCTGATAGAGGTGTTAGAAATCTGGATCTTTTGAAGCGGTCACCCTTTTCAACCAAGCCTTGTTTCTGTCAAGTCGACAAAGCAATCACTAGGATCTAGTCTCTAAGGCCGATGACGAAAAGCATGATCGAACTATCCCACTCACTTGAAGACTGCATGAGAACAGCAATCACGCTACTATGATCCAACTGGGACAATCCGACTCATGAACTGTAGTCGTGTCAAAGGATGCTCTTTACCCCGGACCCACACAGCCGAAGGCGACCACTCAATGCTCTCCCAGAGGATACCGTCCTCCAATACCTGTAGAACACGGCACAAAGTCATGAGCAGCTAAAGCGTCTTCTACTTCTGTGCGATATGTTAAGAAGCCTGTCGTCAGCATGGGTAAGTGATCGCTGCTGGAGACCCTTCCCTTCTATGTTGACACTCTTTGGCAGTATTCCCAGGCTGACAGCCTCTAGTGAAACTGCCACTCCCAGGTCGCCGTCTCATTTAGATTAGCATAACCAGTCCTCGAGTATTCTGAAACCTTTGTCTCAAACCCGAAGAGACGCTGTTCAAGTCGGAAATTTCAGCAGCCCAGACAATCCACAGGGGATCTGGAGGCATGTGAGCAACGACGCCCATCACAACGCCTTAGTCCGAGCAAAGGGGGTTTCGCGGCAGTCGAGCGAAGTCATTGTTGACCGCCCACGTCAGCGAAAATCGGTTACAAAGACCAAAAGCCAAAACAGCGTGCCCGGCGAACACCTAGCGATTAGCGGGGTGATAATCTGGGTATCTGAACAATTGCTCAGCATTGTGTGCCCGAAAACTCGGAAAAAGGACCAAAGCTCACAATTCAGCTTAGCCGCCCTGACAGGAGCCTGCGATCAGAGGGGTATTGCTCACCTCGAGCTCTTCCGCCGGCAGGGGGATCCCCTTCTTTCGCATGACCCCCAGCGGAAGCGCCCGTTTACACCTCGCAAACCGGTACTTCTCGCCATCATACGTGGGCTGCTCGTGCTGCGGTGTGCCTGGCCGCTCCAAGGAGGCTCTTGGGGCGTGCAGGGTGTGAATAAGCCCGTGGCTGGAGGAGGGCCGGCTGCTGGATGCTGACGTGGGGAGCGCCAGGGGGGCTGACGTTGCAACGTTCCCGTTGGCGGTGGCCGCTTGATCGACGTACGAGATCTCGAACCTGGAGAGGAGAAACAGAGTAAAAATGGGGGTTCAGAAAAACCAGAAGAATCCAGTAAGGGGAAGAGCCTTGAAAAGCATGCGGAGAAGGATTGGGCTGTGCGACTGTGTCGAAGTGAAGCACGATGAATATCTTCACGGTCTGCAAGATGGATCAAGCGAGTCTGGAAATCAACTAGCTTTTTATTGACGGCCCCGCTGTTGGTACATCAAAAATCAGTTTTAAGGCTTTACCTATGCCCAAGCATGGATAGAATCACGTCCCTCAAAAACCCAGGCGTTCTATCACGAGTACGAGATTTTTCGCCCAGTTACTAACAAAGAAGCAACCACTCCGTCTAATCGACATCAGTGGGAGCATTTCAGCAGTTGACCAACGGTTCACGAGAAGCAACATTCTTTCAGGCAAAGCAAGTGGCCTGTGGGTGTCTAAGATGATGCTGACGGAAGTCGTGTTCCCAAAACGGCTCTGATATTAGCAGACAAATGCCAAAGCACCGTCTACGTAACATTTCATTCATGTCTAAGCAGGTCAACTACAACGTCGATACAGCAACGGGAAACCTACGCTTTCAACGCACTGTTCGAGCGCTCTCGTCCCGGGAGCTCAAAAACTTCAACCGTTTACCACGTTGCAGAGCATTTCGAAGTCAATTCAAAAGGGGGGCGGACCAATGATACACAGTCCAGGAGCAAGGGAGAGTGCATTCACACCTGCTGGTCTGGGTCTCCACGTAGAGCACGTCGCCCTTCTTGAGGCGCGACGATGTGAACTGGGACGGCTTGAGGCCGCGGTCGGCGACGGCGCTGAGGCTGTATTTGAGCCACGGCTCGTTGCACAGGTTGTACTGCACCGTCACTTCTTGCAGGTAGCGCTGCCGGTTGGACGCCGCCTGCGAAGACAAGAGCATTCCCATTTCCATCAGATAGTAGACCATGAGCTCAGCGAACAATTGCTAGGACGGATGGGTATAGTTTAGGGGGTTCGGGTGGGTACGGGTACGGGGCGTGTAGTCTTTGCCAAGAGAGCGGCCACTTAGACTGCCGCCTGCAAGAAATGGAAGAATCGAAAAATCGATCTTACCTATTTGAAGAGGCTCCTTCTTCCTTGCACTGACTTTATTTCCAACTTGTTGCTTGTGCAAAGAGCAATGCATTCAAAGATTTTACCCTAGGAGCGACGCTGTCTGCGCAGGGAGCTGCAATCGATACCATTACGGAGGAAGCTATGGTTGCAACCATAGCCTCAATCCTGACGCACTTCGGAACGTACTGAAGACGTTGTTTTTTGCGCGGGCACCTTCTGCAGATAGTGCTGCCGTTTGGACACGGCCCTCATTTATGACTGAGCATCTGCCTGCACCTCTAAAGATCTCACATTCAGACAATTGACCGCCCGTGTCCGTCTTGACGGGTCTTTCCTCTACCCTTCGAACCTTCGAGCTCTCATCTAACGAGTTTGAAACTGTCGGGTCCCCCACCTGCGCCGAAGAACGTGTCGTGACTGTCCGCTCCATTGCTGCCGGGACAAGCGTCGGCGCCGCCGCAAGGTTCCGAGACAGCGACGGCTCTGGGTCCAGCGTTCCGCCCCCGGCCTTAACCACCCAGCACTTCTCGACGCGAAAGCTGCACCCGCCCTTCGCTGCGGCCCACGCTCGTGAGCGCATGTTATTGCGGGCACTGGAGGGATAGCCTGGGGGAAGCGAATAAAGATTTATGCAAGAGGCCTTTGAATCGTAACTTCGAACTTCAGGTGGGACTCAGACTTCGCAGCCACGATCTGAACCGCTAGGGAACTTTTAGATCGAGTCGACTTCGAGACAGAACTAAGACATTACAGCACTTTGATACAGGAGATCGAATGAGATGAACGGACATAAGTACAACACCAGCATGCCACGCGTACCAGCTCAGAAGCAAGCACAAGAATGACTCAGTGGTTAGAGAAGGGAAACGAACAAAGAACGAAGGAACGAACCATGAAGCAGACCAACGTCCAATTTGGAGACACACCTTCCTGAGCGGGCAGCAAGCGCACCACCACGCGGAGTTCCGCGACCGACGGCGGCGGGGGTGCGTTAGACGGGGTGTAGTAGCCAGTGTGCATCAGGACTGCAGAGGAGCCGGAAGCGTCAGCGGAAGATACCAAGTATTGTCAATCTTGTCGTAAAGATGACATGAAAAAAAGGTCTTTTATCAACACACAATATGGCACGCTGGTAACATCTAGATGCACAGAAAGGGCCGCATAAGAAACGGCTACCTTCAAGCAAACTGGTAGAACAAAGCTGAGATCTGACACAAACTCAATGGCGGCACAAACTCGGAGTAGGGCCGAGAAACAACGGCAGTCATCGAGGGTGAGAAATAACGGCAATCATGGCCTGAGCTTGGGCCGTTCGTGATGCCAGCAAAGCGTGCCGGCGGCAAACTTCAAAAGTTCCATTCACGTAGTCAAGTCTGCCCTTCGCCTCTCCAACCAAACGGAACTTGAGAACCAATCAGATAAATAGATACGACATTCCGTCTCCGTCCACGTCATACACAGTCTTGCGGAGCACCTGTCTAAGGCTAGAGAACGGAACGCTGCCCACCTGCCACCAGATCGGAGTCATCGGTGTACACGTCAGTTCCCCAAAGCTGACGTACACGGACCTGCAACACGGAGGTTTAGTTTAACTTAGCCTGAGGTTATTGTGAGGGTAATCCGAGGTGAATCTGGGGTTAATCTGGAGTTAGTCTGAGGTTAATCGAGGGTTTATCAGGGTTTGATCTGGAGGCCCTAAGAATGGCTTACAACAAGTCCTCACAGGCCCCTTGAACTTGCCTCTTCACCAGCATTCTACATGATGCTGCCCGATTGAAGCACCACCCCGTATGATTGGGCCTGTTCGGAGTATTCATTGCAAGAGCCAACTAAGACGGCCTGAAAGTAGGAAAGCGGTTCGGATTTAGTTCCTCCGACGCCCTTGCCAAATTCTTGTCCTGTCCTGTCCTGACCCAGTACGGCAGAATGAGATTTTACGGATTGCCCATACAATGTTCGAGCATGTCTGATGATAAAGCAGAGACTTGAACCGACACTTGCCTCCAACGCTCAACAATACACCGCTAAGATGCCACACACCTCCAGATGTAATCGTTGAGCCCTCCCAACCAGACCATTGATAGTTCCTTAGTTGAGGCAAGGCGTTTTCATTTGCCTACTAGCTCCCTGATGACAGCTGGAATCACTGCCCAAAAATGCATCTTCAAATTAGCTGTCCACAGAGCAAAAGTCCTCTCTCTTCCCCTTGACAGAATTGCGAACAACAATATCCTCACACGTTTGCTTGTTTAGGGGGACTACTCCTGCCAAAAGCAAAAGGGAATTCACACCAACGATGTCCTCACCTGCTTGTTTGCGAGAGTAATTGCCTCCGGCGGAATCCGCACCTCCACCAGGTTCTTTCCCTCAACGTCACCCTCGGGTGAGCTGTCATATGTGGCTCCAAGCTCCGGCACGCCTGTTCCTTCCTTGTAAAGCAGACTGTGGTCCAATCCTGTATACAGACATGGTGAAGCATCTAACATCTACCGTTGCAAAAGTGCAAATACCGCTGGCCGGTTTTCTTTTTGTAAGAGCACGCAATGGTCCAGCATTGCGCAGATTGTATCTGGACGATGGTTGGATAGGGCGTTGAATATGTTGACAGATATGTTTCTTGTGATCTAGGATGTGATCTGGCCCAATACAATCCGTTCCCACGGTAGGGTGTGACCACAACCGATTTCTACCAATTTGCAAAGCAAGTGGGATCCAGTACCGCGCAAAACAGTATGGGGTAGATTTGGATAACTCAACCCTCTAGAAGATCGGACTCTGCAGGCCTTCCTTTCATTTGTTCCCTTTCTTCAAGACAAGCTGTGGTTCAACCTTAAGTTTCAATTGAATATATCCTGACTGTTGCGGAGGCTAGGTGCCTGATCGTTGGTTGCTTGCTTCATGTCGTCACTGAAATAGCAGCAGCAATCAGCAAAGGCAATTATTGCGCAAGTCGCCACTGTCTCGCCCGCTCTTTCCACCAACAGGCAAGAGTGGCTTATCAAACGTTCTCCCTGTCTGTTCAGAGCAGCACACATTGTGTCTAGCTCAAAACGGGAGCCCTGATGAATGTAACAAGACTCTTTTCCCCTTTGTTTCTAATTTCACTTGTATTGAGGTTCTGAAACTCAGGTTCGCAACATACTGAATGAAGCGCATGCCCTTTCTGTGATGCATGGAATGGACTAGCAAAACAGGTACGGGTGTTCATGAGCACTGGGGAGGGGAGAGCGTTGTCAAAGGCGGAAACTCAACAATTGCCCAAAAGCATGACGAAGCCCCAACAGACTCCAAGCGAGCGCAAAAGAAGAAGGAAACTTCCACCCTTCTCAGTTCAACCGTTGAAGCAAGTAGAACCATGGGTACTTCCAAAAGTAATCCAGTGTGCTCTAGATCCCACACTGTCTTATCCTTGCCAATTGCCAGTGCCGTTTCACTTTCCAGTCGGAAAAAGAAAGGATAGTTTAGAAAGAGAAGATTGCGACTAGACGAATCGACATCAGGGGCTGCCGACAAGTGTGTCATACCTGGAGATCTGCAAGGAGACGCAAGAGTGTGTCAGGAATTACAATACTGGATGGAGCATCTGAACAGAATTTGCAGAGCAACAAAGTGCTGAGTTGCTCACACATACTCTCAAAGTATGTACCATCACCCCACATTTTCATACGTTGTACCACTTGCAATCAATGCAATTGGCAGACTTGTGGGAATACGTTTGATGCAGAGATGATAATTACAGCAAGATTCTGTCGAAACAACTCGCGCTTCTGCGCACTCAACCCAACACCATCCACGGCGCCATTCGTATATGCTTGAAGATGATGTCAAAAAGCAAGAGCTTTGTATGTGCTGCTCTCCAACTTCAGCTAAAACAGGCGAAATGCAAGCCTTTCTGAGACGAAACAATTGAGCTTACGCACTATATGATTTCAATGTGTCACTTACCCTGCCTCTCCGTCTCGGTGCCTCAGCCTCGAGCGCTGTCCCTGGGGAGGCGCCGACGCCTGACGGGGCCTTAGAATTCTCCTTCCCGCCAACCCTAGCGATTCTTTCTCTCCTCCCTCCTCTGCGGCACCCTCCTTCCTCCCAGCATCCTCTTTCCCTCCCTCTGCTCCTTCCTTGGCTCCCCCTTTGCTCTCATCTCCATTTTTCGGCACTTCAGCCGCTTCAGGCTTTGAGGCTTTTGCAGGTTCTTCCACGGGTTTCAACAACTTCACAGGCTCAATTGGCGGTGGCGCTCCTTTAACCTCCGCCGCATCCGCCTTTTTGCTCTCCACCAAAGGTTTTAATTGCTCCCCAACTGCAGGGCTCTTCTTTCCCTCATTGGACACTCCAACCGGCGCATCTTTTCCAATCCCTAGTGGCGCTTTTGGCTTCTCCGCTGTAGGATGCAACAGCCCCGCATTACCAGCTGCCTCTGGCTGCCTTTGCGGCACACCGCCAGCTCTGACGTCAGCCATAGGTGCAGACAGGTTAGCTGGCGTTATCCCTCTGCTGATAGGATCTTGCTTAGGAGGTGGTGCACTTGCGGGAGGGAGGTCCAGCTTTTGCAGTTTCATTGCAGGTTTGTTCGCGTCACCGCCTCCAGAGGGACTGCTCTCAAGGGGCCGCTTGGGGGCAATTTTGCTCTCCATCGTGGCAGCGGGCCGGGCCTGAGGGTCCTGCTGGGAAGCCATGGCGAATCCGCCGCCTTTCACCACCAATACACTTCTGCAAAGCTGAGCCTGAGATCAGCTGGTGAAAATGCAGGGGTTTGTTTGAGCTCTGCAATAACCACGAGGTTAAATTTGATGGTTCCGAGAGATACGGGTACCCTGGAGCGCGAAAAACGAGGGTTAACGGACGGTCCTGGCTTAAGTAATATTGCAAGACGTCGATCGTGCAGGGATCCCCAGCTCTGTTCAGGAGAGGCAGGTGTGAAGACGCGCTGCTCCGCCCTTTGAGTGGACACGCGTGGGGGAAGACGTGCGTTTTCACACTTGCAAGATTCGAGATCTCGCAAGCTTTGCATGCAACCTCACAGGCGGCATTCTTCGAAGGCAGCTCGCGCCACAACCTTGGGGCGCCAAGAGCTCCGAGGCAGTCCTCCATTCTTCGTTCATACTAGGTACCCCTCTCCTCTTGGCGCAGAGAGCAAGGCGTGCTCATTCAGCCCCTGAAGACATTGCTTGCAGCAAGGCAGAGCCTTTTGCTTGGAACTCTTCCGGGTGACAAGTTTGACCATAGTGGAAGCGAGGGGAGTGAGGGCACAAGGGTTTTTGGTCAGAAATCACCCTGGGAGGTTGCAAAGCGCCAGAGCAGCCATGGGCATGCATCGGTGTGTCCAGGACTCAGGCGTCTCGCTCCTGCGCATCCTTAACGCTCTCATCGTCATCTCAGGTGAGCAGGACTGAAGATGACTTTGGCAAGTCAGACTGCATACCATTTTGCTCCTGGATTGTAGGCCCACTGTGGAAGGTGTACATTGAGGAAGCATGGGTCTTACCCTTCACTTTTGTACCTATCACTGTAACCAGGCCAAAACGAGCAGAGACTCTTCAGTAGGGCAATTTGCAGCGCATTGCGGATTTTTGATATGAACATCCAAGATCTGTAGTGTGTTGCTGATTTCTTTATGCAAAGAGCTGAAAGGTGAGAAAGTTGCTGGATCCCGCAGAGTCCTCGCCTTATAGAGTGCCCAGCATTTCGCCATTGGTCACGTGTTTGATATGGTGAATGACGACAGGTTACGAAGGTGTGGTTCAAAAGATCTGGTTTGCATGTGGTTGTCGTTTTGCCCATCTTGAAAAATGCTCTCGGACGTGGAGATGCCCCTTCCTAAATGTTGGACTTTGATTGCGAGTGCGATGTTGACATGCATCAAAGTTTTCCACAAACGGAAAGCTCACATTTCTTGTTGCCAAATGCATCATTCCAAGCAGCAGGTGTCACCATTACCCAGAGTGTTTCAACCGGAGAAGTTATCTTGCGATTGCATCAAGAGTGGAATTCTTATCCACAATGGAACAAGGACTGTGTTTTTGTAATTGGTCGCATGCTGACCTATCTTTCCCTGTCCCCTTACTGATTTCAAAAGGTAATCTCTTGGGCATTTTAATCATGAAGGCACCCGTCCCGAGAAAGATAGACGGGGCCATTGCACAAGGCATGTCAAGTTGCGGTCTGTGATACCGTGGGAGGCAAAACTTTTTGTTTACTTTTTCGGCCTCACTCTGCTTTAGCGGCCACGGTCAAAGATTGTCTGCGGAGAGCATCCAAGCAAATGCATTTCAAAGGGCGCTTTTAAAGTGGGCCAATGTTCTGAATGGTCCGAAGGTCAGAGGCCTCAATCTCTGTGTCAAAAGCAATGATTTGACTTAACCGAACGGATGCTGGAAGTGGAGATTGATGTTGAGCTGCAAAATTCATGCTGTTCTATTCTACACAAAATCAGTTCCCCGTTCTCCTCTCTTTTGCCCTTTTCCTGTATGTTCAGTGGTAGACTTGCACTTGGACAGTCTGGGCACACTTTATCCGCCAAAACACTATAAGTTTAACATTGTGGTGGTGACTCGTCAACTTGCAAACAATCATCCCTGGACTTTCTACCACCACCTATCTGCACCTTATTTCTCATCCTTTAAGTGTTTTGCAGGCGTCACTCTACCGACCGCAATGGCAGCATCAGACGACTGCCATTCCTTTTTCTTGGTATTTTGGTTCGCTTTGAGAAGCGCCAACAATTATTGGTCTTAAATTGTGAACCTTTTCTCTGCAGGCATTCTACTGATCGTGCTGGTCTTCGCGCTCGCTAAGACGCCCACATGGATCACCGGATGGGGCTTCATTGTGCTTGGAATAGTGACCATCGTGATCGGCCTCACTGGGCTGTTCGTTAAGCCGAGGAAGAGCTATGGCATGTTTGCAGTACATGTGAGTAACCTCTTGCCTTTCAAGCGCCGGTACCTTGTGCGACGTTGCAAAGGGAAAGCAATGATGAAGCATGTTGGGCAAGGTGTTGGCAAATTCAGAACGAGGTTTTTGGGGTTGCCTGTTCAGGGAGAGCTATGGGATACTGGCATTATTTGTCATTATCATGTGTCAAACGCCATTCATAAACTCCGTTCTCAAACACGTCCTCAAATGTGGTCCCAACCTTGGGGTCAGATGGCTCTAGAGCTGTTGTCAAACAGGTTTCTAACCTGTTTCCAAGCCTGGGTAACTTTGGCCAAGACCTCTTCTTTGAAGCCGTGCCTACAACTGACCTCAAATGTTCTGCTCGCCTCCGTTCTTAAACCTGTTCCTCGACCTCTTCTGATGCTCGCTCTCAAAGCCCTCGCATATCTTTTCCTCTCGTCCCTTTTCGTGCTGCTCCAATTTCCTCCTTAACCCATTTCTTCAACCCGTCCTATAACCTCCTGCTTTACCTGCAGGCGATCCTGCTTCCCATTGGCTGCGTCGGCCTGTTTGCGACGGCCATGGTGACGTTTGCTGACACCAGCAAGATGGCGGCCCGCCTGAACGGCACGGGGCACTACCACATCAGCCGGAACCAAGCCAGGAGTCTTGCGTGGTTCATGATCGCCGTCTGCGCCCTTGAGGTATGTACTGACGTACATGTACAGTTTCTGATCTCTGCTCGTCCGTGTGTTTGTGGGTCTACTTTTCTGGCGGGTTTTGGCCATGAGTCCGCAACACTGGTCTGGTTCGAGGTACTGGAGTTTTCGTCAACCCTGCCCGTGGGTGACACTTTGGGAAAGTGGGTGTGACACAGAATCCGACTGGTTTGGGGGCCCATGGTGGGCGTAGATGCCCGAGTAGCTGCTTTGTGTAGATAAACCGGAGCAACCTCCCGCACTTCACCCCACGGTCGAACTTCTTGCGCCACATTTTTTGAGATAGGGCGTGTCACGCGAGAGTCTGAACCTTCCAGCGGGACAAGCCTGACGGGATTGTCAGTAGAAACAAAATCTGAAGCCACAGAGCTGTTGTAATTCCTGAAATTCCTCTAACCTGATTCTGAAGATTTTTGTGTGAGGCTCAAAGACCGCTACCGATTTCTCGTCCTTTTTGTTTCCGTTGTTTCCGCAACAAGTCGCGGTGTCCCAGCGAGAGTATGTCTGCAAAGCGGCGTCCAAAACGCTCGCATGTCCAGGTCGTGTTCCGCAATGACTCTGTAATTCTCGAAAGCTTGGGCGAAGGCCATAGAATCGGGCTAGCTCGCTCTGCCAGCCTTTGTTGCATATCCGGCTTGGTCTGTCGTAGGAATCTTGAGCTGAGGCGTCGTTTCTTCACAAAATTGCAAATTGTTTGGCAGACAACCTGCTCTTGATTGTATCGTCGCTGAGCTTTGATTCCGGTGATTGAACCCTGTCAGGCTGCATACACAAACCCTCGGACGTTCATTAGCGTAGTTTGTCAAACTGCTGAAATTCACCTTGACATCTGTTTCGAATTTTGCCGGAGTGCGCACACCGCATCGTCATATAAGCGCAAGTCAGGGCTTGCACTAACATCCGCAGTATTGCCCGATCACGACAGCTTCCTCCGCACATGACGGCGTTCCGTTTGGGTTCAGGGTAGAAACCTTGGTGCTTTCCTGTTATTCTTTCGTCATCCGTTTCCTTCTCTCTTTGCTCCGTTTCTATCCGGACATGCCACTTCCTTTCCCAGCATCCTGTCGTGCTGTACTCGCATGCTTTGGGTACACCTGTCGAACTCCTTCCACATGTCTATCGAAACATCAAATGGCCTCTACTCTCGGTCTCCCTCTTCTCAGGCGGTTGCTCCTTCTCCCACGCACGTTATACAGCTGTCACTGTCATCACCCGTCAATCTCCATGACCTCCTCGCCTCTGGGAATCTGGTCGTCTGCTCTGCGGGCGTTAGCGTTCGTGCTTTGGTATGGGGCTGTCAACGTTCTCACAGAGACCGTCTACTTATGAATCAGATCTCTGCTCCATCTCCTTTACACGGAGGTTTGAATGCAGGCAGTGGCGTTCGTGCTTGTCTGCAAAGTCACCACAAGTGAACCTTTTGTGTACAGCTCTTAGCATCACCAACACGTGCATCCCTAAGAATAATTTTAAGGTACCCTTAAGGGGATTTGACCCTCGTGTCTCATCTTCGATTTGCATTCTTTGCTCTGCAGGCCGTGGCGTTCGTGCTCGCGTGCATGGTGTACAGCTGTCAGCGCGCGCCGCTCCCGGTGGACAAGATCGACCCGGCCACCGGGCGCCGCTTCAAGCACTTGCCGCCCAAGCGGGGCTGGGTGCCATGGAAGGGCCGCGATAATGAAGAGCGCCAACAATCCAAGGCGCAGATTTTGGGCGACCAGATGCGGGCCAAGTACAGTGACGCGCCGGACCCGGCCAAGGACGTGGAGCTCGGGAGGTCGCCGTATGCGCTTTGAGGGATCCCCCGGGGGACGCGGTTGGGAGGCCGTTTTTAGGGGTTTGGGGGGGCGGTCGGGAGGTCTCGGTCAAGCCCTGAGAGGGTTTGGGGGATGCGTGCGGCGAGTCGTAGTTTGACACTCGGAGAGGGGTCGGGGGATTCGGTTGGGAGGGTTGTCGGTTGCCCCTTGAGGGGGGTTCCGGAACAAGGTCGGCAGAAGAAATAAGAATGGGGTTGTGGGGGCCGGAGCTCGAGACTGTGAACCAAAGACGGATAGAGGGGGCGGAGAGGGTTCGTGTCCTGCTTCAAAATGTACGATATAGGGTCGATATAGGGTCAGTATAGGGTCCCCATCTGTGCGCCAAGTAGCGCACTCGAGAGTGATGGAGCATTTCTTTAGCTACTTTCGGAACCATACAAGACGCCTTTGGTCGCTTGGCTCGACTTCTGTCATGTTGGCGATCTGATGCATCAAAAAACTTCTGTCACTGTTGAGTCTAGGTTCCCACGTACCACGTTGGAAGCTCGTATTCCACTCCAACATGCGATTGTACAAAGGGGCCGATGGTCATGCAGCTCGGTATGTATGTTAATGCAATCAAGTGCAGCGCCAAATCTGCACTAGCCAAAGGGCTAGGTCAACTTATTTGGGTGCCATTTGGCCACGCGCTATTGCAAACTAAGCTAGCTGCACATGCTCAAAAGAAGCAATTTGGTGTAGTCGCGTACTACCCTATACCACACATGATGAAATTGGATCTAGCGCACTGTTTTGTCGCGGGCCGGCGCGCATATTGATTGAAAGCATTTTCAGAACTCAGGATTGATTCTTTCGATCGTTTGCATCGAACCGGGCATGAATATTGTTAGTACCATGCACATGCAGCATCTTTGATGCGTCATGCGACTCATGCCCCTCCCGCTCGACATGCTAGTATCTGAGGTGCTGTGGCACTCACTGCCCGACTTTGAGTTGGCTTGGCCAGCGAACTATTGTTTATATCGTTGTTGTTGTTGTAATCTAAGTTGGTGAGAGGAAGTGCATATACTATACAGTGAGCGCGGCCTGTCCGGCGCCCGCGGGCGGCCCGGCCGCCCCCAACGGTGACCGTCCAAGCCGCGGCCGCGCTTCGGATGCTATAGTTGCACAATTTGGCAAAAAGCCGGAAGGCCGTACGGCCGAGCTCGTTCTGACACCAGCATTTAGTTCCGCCTCCTATTCCAATCATTGAGTCGACTGGAAACTTTGGCACCGCAGTGTGGTAGGTGCAGTGCATCTGGTCTGAAGCATGACGCGCACGTGCATGCTCTCCCGGAGGATCACCGGGCTATCCAGCGCCTCATCGGACAATCACATGGAAGCAGCAAATCCAATCAACGATGCAGCGGGGTACATGTTTGCCCGGGAGTCTCCACCGGCCAGGCATTCGGTTCCGAGGACCTGGACACCACGCCACGGCGTGCATACCGTATCAGTTGCGCAATGTTCATGCAGAAGGTTCGATCGGTGCGCCTCTCCTTCTTTTGCCGTCCAGACTGCAAGTTTGCTCACGTCTGTGCATGTGGTGTCCTCTCGCTAGCAAGCTTGTGCATATGGATGCAGAGCTCAGAGCTGGAACCCTGTTATCATAAGAGTGCATTTGCATTCCTTCTTCCTTGGACATTGCTCTCACAGGTGCATTGAATGCCCGATCGAGAGACTTTTTGCACTCTCGTTTGAGCTTGCATATGATACTTTTGGAGCAGCCCTTGATCGCAATTGACTGCCGCTCCTCCTCCGACCTTCACAGAGATTGATCACGCAGAAAGTTTGTCACAGTCCAGTATTGGTAGTAGCCGAAAAACGTGAAGAAACTCGATCATCGTTTGGCAAGAAGCTCTCGAAGAGCAAAGCTGTGATTGTACAGATCACATAACAAAGATCAGATAGAGGCACCAGTGCAAGTAGGGAAGCTGGTCAAAGCCAAAAGGGGACGTTTGAGCTGCCCATAGGCAACACTCTGAAAAGAAGGACTGCTGAGTGAGGCTATAAAACATGGCTCGGTCGCTAAGATTGCAAGGTGAGTGGAACATTTATTTTCAAGAACGACAATGCGTTTGCACTACCTGATGCCTTTCAGCTGCCTGACCGCCACAGTGCCATCATGTCTTGTGCTGAGAGTTTAAGAATCTCACATTGTCATAACACCAATCTTTTCACCAAGTGCTAGAACATTGATCAATCGTTAGCTGCCAACGGCAAGGTTTTGAGTGGCTGATCTTGAGTGGCTATTCCTGGGTGTCACCCTTAAACAGAAGCTAAACATTTTGGGAGTCCACTGGCTTTCTTTATGGGGATCCCCTGCAGTCATTGTTTGTGGAAGGGGCAGCTGCAAGTTGAGTGGTCAAGAGTCAAGAGTCTTCCTGCCTTCTCCCAAAAATAGTGTAGCGCCTTGCATAATGTGGGGAATGGGGAACTTGAGGAGGAGAGCTTTGAAAACTAAGTTAGCGCTGGGTTCTTTGAAATGATTCAAGCTAAGGCTGAAAGATGAGGGCCTCTTTGATGGGCTTTCGGCGAGTAACGTGAAAGTTTGAACCAGGATCTGGCACTGATTCTACTTGAAATACACCAGCCAAAAGTCATGCCTACGGAGTGTTTTGGTTGGCAGCTCTGAGGACTCAGATTGACACTATAGACACCTGTTCACTGCAGAGTCTTCGAATTTCATTTCTGCACAAGCGCAAGACAGTGGAGTTTCTCATAGAAAAAAGTTCCCAAGTGCAAGAAGGATGACCAAGTGCAAGAAGACTGTCTTTAGCTGAACTGCCTGCCATGCTTGTTCTACCCTACTTTTCAATATCCTCTTCGATAGAAGAGCTTTGGCGGGGAAAGATTCCAGTTTATACGGTCTTCAATCAACCCACTTTCTTCCTGCGTATCTTCCAGGTACCTGGACCCTTGTGGTTCTTTTGCTGGCCCTGATTGCGCTTTCCAACCTTCCATCATCGCATGCTCAGAGTAAGGCTCTCACTCCAAGCTTCCCCAGAGGCAATCGCCAATTTGTTCATGATATGAAAAGCTGTGCCTTTGTTGGGGTTTCGATTCTTGTCTATTGCGCAATCCCTCAAAGCTTTCAAAAAGTTATGGTTCTGGGTAGCTTTTGTGCGAAGGTCAACCTGCCAAGGGTCTCGCGGAGCCAGTAGAAGAGAAGTACTCTGCTGAAGCAACGCATGAAACCGCGGGATTGTTTTACCCCTGTCCTCTCTGCAGACCTCTCAGTCCCTTCCGCCTCTCTAGTCTACAAGCTTTCACTCTTCGCCTATGCATCTGGTGCATCCTTGTTATTCCTGGTCAAGCGGAGCTGTTTCTTGTCCGACTTGATTCAGAGCATGGGCATCGCCGTGATTAGGGACGTTGATCATTTTAAATGCATTCATTATTAGAGCCCCGTTTGACCATACTCATAGATCAAAAACCTTTATATCACTCCTATCCTCTTCTTCCTCTGTGTCTTCCATGCATTTCCTGAACACAGCCCTAGGTTTCCTACCTTTACTATAACGTTGGTATCGACAGTCTTCTCTTTCCACCTGACCATCGTAGCACATGTACGTTATCATGTCAGAATGTCCTGCTACTCTGATATCAAGATACCCATCATCACATTAAGCTACATTTGCATCAAAATAGCGTTTACTGCATCTTGATATGTCGTTCCCATCTTGCAGCCTTTAACAGAACCGCCACAAACACAATGACGGCGGTCGCATCCCCCACCAAAGCCATTGGTCCCGCTCCATAGAAAGCGACCGCCCTACCCACTCTACGCTGACGTGTCTCCTCTGTTTTGCAGCTTCTAACAGTACTGCTACAAACACAACATCGGCGGTGGCTTCCCCCGCCAAAGCCCCCGGCCCCTCCCCAAAGAAAGCGCCCGCCCCCGCACCCAAGAAGGCTCCCCCGCCGCCGCCGCCACGTGAGCCTTCCTTCATACGCTGACGCCATCCTTAACAAGAGATATTGTCAGCTAAATTGCGTCAGCTACTCTGCCTTGAAAAGCGTGATTGACTGGGCATTGCTTTGTCGGGCAGAGCACGATATCGAGATCGTCTGGACCGTTGCCTGCTGACACCAGGGAGGGAGGGACTTGCAGGAAGACACAGAAGAGAGGACATTTTTGGTGATTGGTTGACTCAGGAGATAGCGGATATCTGGCTGATGGTTTTTGGGTTCGGTAGAGGGCTCAAACAGGAGCCAACGATCAGAGGGCCTTTTGGATTTCGGCCGGACCTTCAATTGTTTGTCCCTGATCGGATCTAACCTGTGGGTACAATCTCATCATTTGTCAGTTCCAGCTGCCGGTCAGACAAGCCCAAGTGCAGCTGGCAAAAGGCAAACATTTCGTGCCAAGCGCTGCCATTTGTTCAGGATTTCATGATTTGCATATACTTACTGGGCAGCCTGTTCTACTTTTCGAAAAGTCCGTCTCAGCATCGAGCTGTCGTACGGCCTGTCAGACAGCCTTTTGATTGTCCTGAAAAGATTTTGCTTCAGAGAAACTTGTCTAGAACCTTGGTCACACCCCCAACGTATCTCCCTTTCCCAAATCACTTCCAAGTTGGTAAAGCTGGTGAATAACCTCAAGGACCGGGACTTTTCTCCAATGTTCATTTCTAAGCCTTAACCATCTTTGTCTATTCTTAACCATCTAGCCCTAACCATCTTGACCATCTCGCCTTAACCGTCTCCGCAGACTACCCCCCTGACCAGCGCCGCACGAACGCCGTCTACGGGCTGACCTTCGGGGGGATCGGCTTCTGCGCCTCCGTTCTGGCCGCCGTGCTGGTCTACGACTTCGTCAAGAAGGTGGGCTACTTCAAGCCCAGGGAGACGGCGACCACGAAGCAGCTGCTGCACCACGGTAGGTCGCCCTCTCCTTCCAGCAAATTTTCCTGGAACTTTGTGACTGTCCTTGAGGGGCTCCATGGTTGTCAGTAGGACATTTTGCAAAAAGATGGTCACTTGTCCTGGTCGAAGGCCCTCTTCCTCTTTCTGCTCGCTTTGCATTTTTCTTGCGACGAATTGCGGATCCACTCTACAAGAAAGTCATCCCGCACCTCAGGGAGTACGGGATGGTTCCGGCCCTGATTGACAAACGGGTACCTCGAATTCCGCCATTTTTGAGCTTCCACTTTCGTCTCGATTGCTTCGAGGTGTGGGACGCCTGCACCCACACAAAGGGCGACCATCATGGGCGCCTCCCGCAACAGAAAGTCGCCCTGTCGCTTATGATCGTCCGACCTTACTATCTTCTTTGTTTGGTTGCCATCTTCTGGTGGTCACTACATTGTGGATCCGCGTCTCACCCCGAATAGGACGAATCATGACTGGAAGGGAAAGTCCGATAAGTACATTTAGACACCAGAAGGTCATCCTCGTTCTTGGGATTTTTCTTGGGAGAATTGCTCACGCGATCCCGTTCAGTGTAATCTGTGAAAACTCAAAAGCACTGACAAAGAAAGAGATATGCTTGAACTGGGTTTGGGTTGGCATTGAACCAACACCCAACCGACGTCAGGCGTTTGCGGTCGTTGCCTGTACGAAGTACTCATCACACCTGGAGACGAATTGCCCGCAAGATAATCGCTTCAAAGTCGCTTCGAAAAGTCAGAACGTCTGATATTCACGGCGACTTGAGGGCGATGTGGTTCACCCGAATGTCGCCGCGCAAGCACGTGCTGCAGACGCCCGCTGTTGAAGATTCTCTCTTTTAATTTGTACGAGTCGACATCTCACAGCAATGTTCTTCTTCTGCAGGAGAGTTTACCACCGAAGACGCGGTGAAGGCCATTGACTCCCCGCCTCGCCGTTATTCGTAGACGTCAAGTCAAGCGGGTTGAGGGTCAAGAACGCTTGCGGAACATTATCAACGGGCCTCTAATGCATGAGCATCCAACTTGACCGAGTAATCGGACCTTGTTTTCCCCCGCTAGAAAGTTCGGATTGTCACGTTTTGTCGGAGGATAATGCTTGTATTGTTCAGGCAGAGTTTCAATAGATAGAGGGACACAGCCTTACTTTCCTTTGTCAGGATAGTAAGCCAGAGACGGATGGACACGTTCCGTATGTCCTGTTCCTTTGTACATCGGGGAGGCGTTATCTGTTTCCTATGCTTTATGTGGACATGCGGACCAAGTGAACGCGTATACTTCTGTTGGGCATGCCATACGTTTTCAGATCAACGATCTTAGTGAAGGAGCTTTCTTAGTTCGAGATTTTGATCCCGTTAAAACGACTCGAGAACGCTGCTATCTTCAGGTTGTGAGTTGGCACCGTTGTGTCTTTATTGACCGGTGGGGGTTCTCCAGAGTCTGCTGCGGATGGGAATTGCAAGAAGTGTTGAGCCCCAAGAGCGCGCACTTTACGCATCACGCTTGATGAATCCATTCCCGACTTGCTCCTAGCAGGCCGGGCTGATTAAAAAAACCTATACGCCCTCACCGCGGCCAAGCTCATGGGATCCGCCCCGGCCATGCAATTGGAGTACGAATATTCCGCCTTGACAATCTGTGTTGGCTAACCATTCGAGAGCTTAAAAGCATGCGAGGAGCCAGGCCGCTGCTGGATGGACGGTTGCTCAGTGGATGCATCCTTTCACATGCATCATGCCAAGATGCTATCAGTATTCCAAGTCTTACGTCCATGTTGCAACCAGGCGTGGCATACAGTATATGATGAATCGACAAAGAAGTTCATGTGCTCATGACATGGCTTGCGTCTGGCTTAAGTCACTAAAACCTCGTGCATCATTACATGCACTTCGCGGCATACTATAGCAGCCCGGACGCCCGCCGGCATGACATGATCACATGACGGCCGCGGCCGGGCGTGTCCAGATTCTAGACGCGTGTCGATCAGATTTGGTGAGCCCATGTGTCAGCGGATCCGGCCAACTTTATTGGGTGCACGCGCGTCTGGTACTAACGGGCTAAGATCATGATCGACGATCGACCAGCGCACACTCGAAATAGCATCATTGAACTTTGCGCGGCCCACGAGTTACAAGCTACGAATTTGATTACTTCATCGATGATATGGATTGAAGCTACTTTGTGCGGGCAGTGATGATGTGCACTCGCTTGAGCGCAAGCACGAGTAGATCGACTTTTTGCAAGAAATATACACTCTAGTTCAGTGCAAGTTTATCATTCCTGTACATCAAATACCTATCGCCGGTTTCAGTTTGCAGAACCGAGCATTTGCAGGCACCAAACCGTGTACTGGACGCGGCCCGCGCTGGCGGCGGGCCATGTCTCTGGATGCTATGCTTTGCGTTTATATAGAATGTTGCATCAATGTTCACAAAGCAAAGGGTTCGAGCCGTTGTTCCGGAAAGCAACGGCGTCAGAGTACGTGGCACAGTAGCCGAGTCAACTCTTCTAAGCAGCGAAGAGACAAAGGGGCTCTAAGCTTGAAAATTGCAAACCAACCTCACATGTGTAGGCACATCCGGAGTACCCACAGGCTGACTACACTTTCTGCCGTCTCTTTGCATCTCGCATGGCGCTGTTTTCACTTCCCGCCAACTTCGAGGGTGCGCATCATCTTATGTCGATCAACGACCCATACTACTTTTTACCTCTTGCTACGCCTTCCACTTGGCGCGGTCGTTTTCTTCCCAGCGCCGCCGCCGCGTCTTGCCTCACCTTCTGCGCCCTTCCTTGCCTTCGCCGTTTTTAAGGCTTTCTGCTGACAGCGGATCACCTCCTCCAACGAGATGTCTTCGGACTTCACACAAAAACGAAGAAGTCCATCCGATTTTAGTCGCTTACACTTGGGACACATTCAGGTGGACAGATTCTGAATGAGTTTTTAGCGACTGCCTTCTCGTCAAGAAAAAGCTCTGAAGCACCTGACTAGGGAGCGTGCCCTTTTGTCAAAATCCCGGTAAAGTGGCAAGCCAGACAGACCATAGCAAAGCTTCTCAACGACCTTTCTAACCCGACCTCTGCCTTTATAGATTGAAAGGGAACTTTGCAGCATCTGCCAGAGTCCAACGTCTCTTAATAAAACCCTAGAGACGCCCCAGCGGGCAGCCAGATCACGGTTCAACAGAAAAACATCTCAATCTCCAATCATGTGAGAACGAACCATTGGAAAGGCGTGATCCATACGGATTGCGTTCTGCCCTCCTTTGCAGACCAGCCCTGATCGTCTATTGGATGATGTCCCTTTTTATGCTGGAGTGGCGGAAACTCCATCACTCGTCCAAAGCAAGTCTGACAGCTACGGTCACAGTTTCAGAAGTGCGGTCACCCAATGACGACAGCTTAGAACATCGGACAACTGGTCGACTCACCAATCTGATGTATTTGCAGACGGAAAAGCATATGAAATGCGTTTCTGCCTTGAGTCTGAGCCAGCACATAACAGCAATGTGATCGGATGGTGTCCCTTCTCCGCTGGGTGCCACAGATCCATCTTCTTCCGAAGCAATGCTGACAGTCATAGTCCCACAAGTGCAATCACACAAAATACGGCAGCTCACAACGACTCACCGTATAGATGTATTTGCGAACGGACTCATAATCCGGCCAAGGGTTCGAGTAAGATCCCTCGGGTAATCCAGCAACTCGCAGCGCTGCTCCAACCTCATCCCCCCTCTTTTCCCGGATCGCTTGCAGTTCACTCCTAATCTGCTCTTGGGGCGAGTTCAGCAGTTTCAGCCTCTTCACTGTGTCCAAAACCACGCTAGCACTCCGCTTGCAACTCCCGGCCAGGAATCTGGCGAAGATATCCGTACAGTGGGGCTCAACGTTCAGGAGTTTCCTGACGCACTGAATTTCACTAGCCGAAACCTCCCAGTATGGACCAGACTCCCTGACAGATTCTGTATCAGCCCCTAAAACCGGTTCTGAGTCCTCATCAAGGTCCCTCTCAAAAGCTTCAACAGTGCTGACAACCTGCTTCTCCATGTCATACCATTCTTGCTCCAAGTCAGCCAACACCTGACGCCCTCTCAAGGAATCCGATGCCGCGGGCTGTGCACTATTCGCTCCTCGCCATCCTCATCTGTGTCCTCACAGATCTCATCTTTCAATCCACTCTCCTGAAACTCTCGCTCTAAGCACTCCAGCTTCCTGAACATAGAGAAAGCGTCCAAAGTGTTCCACAGCTTGCGTTCAAACTCAGCATTTGGGTCCGACCCAAAGAGTCCACACAGCTCTTTCTTCACTTTACTAGTTTCTACAGGACGACCTTCCTCGACTTCACGCACTGACTCTGCACCGGAAAATGGCGTCTCGCCCAGATTACCCAGGATCTCAAGCATAACGTGCCCGTTCCCACACACATGACCGCTGAAGTCGAACCCCTCTAGCCCCTCCTCGTCCGAGTCCATGTCCTCCGAGGAAGAACACTCTCTATCAGCCAGGACCCTGGACTCAAGCTCATATAAAGCCGCTTGACAGTACTGACAGCGGTCGCTCGCTAACTCTCGCATCCTCTGCTGCAACTCGGGAGGTGCTTGCGAGTACTCCCTTGCCCCCGCCCGTTTCGCAAGGGCTGACTTGGCAACATCCTGAAGCAGGCCCTGGCAGGTGTGCACCCGTGTTGCATGCCGGGCTCCTATCTCATCTCCGTGAAAGCACGGTCGGCTGACAAACAGGACAACTCTTTTGAACCGATCTTTCAAGCGCAACTCTGCGGCAATCTCCGCCCCTGTCAGGAAGCCGGTGGACTGTGTCTGTACGTGCCCTAGGGAGCTCCACCCGTCAAAGTACCAGGACATGTGGAAATGGGCCGGGCAGAAAAAGAGGAGCTTGTACATTGCCGCCCAGCCACCAGGAGGCTGACTAGCTGCATCATACCCCAGCGCTCTGCACAACCCCGGAGCAATCTCCAGGCAGAGTTGCTGCCAAGTCTGCTCCTGCATTATTCTGCGCCAGGCTTTGCAAACACAGGGGACTGCGGCCAAGTTCAGAGGGCTGGGTGCGAGCTTGGTGAGTACAAGATTGAGCAACTCTGGGCCTATGTCGGAGATGCCTGTGGCGGCGGCTGAGTCTTGCCGCGCCACGCTGCGAGTCACGCGCTTTGAAGCCATTGCGCTGGACCCTCCAGTGACGCAAACTGCAGCCTTCAGCGCTTCGCTTCTGCCTGGATTGGTGTGCATCAACCACGAGACCAGAAAAGCGTGGTGGCTACAGGAAAAGAAGGGCCTGCCAGGACGCAGGCAACGCGCTGCAATCTTTCGTAACCTTGAGATTCTGAGCACAGACTTCAGCTGCTCAGCACAATCTTCAAAGTTCAGAATCAAGGTCATATGGCAGATGCGAAGGGCTGCAGCTAGGAAGGGCTCCTGCAGCTAGGGCGCATGTCGGGTTAAACTTAACCTTCCCTGTTATGCAAAGGGGACATTGATTGATGCCTTGGAGCCCTTCCTCGGGGAATAATGTTATACGGGTAAAAGATGCCCGGTGAAAATGCCCGCCTCCATGCCACGTATCGGGTTTGATTTCATCATACAGGGTCAAGTTGCTGATGAGGGAGTGCTCTCAACGAGCTGCATGCCTGTTCAGGCAGCTGAGCGCAGCTGAGCGAGCTTAGCTGCTAAGCCTATTGATATCAGGCTACATATCACAGTCAGGCAATGTGGTCAGCTGACGGTAAACCAAGAGCGCCTAGCGCCTCCTGTTGTCTGCGGGCTCCAGCGGTGGTGTCTTTGCAATTGTGTACTCTCAACCAGTGACTTGAAAGTTCCCTCACAATGAAATTGATCAAGCGCCTGGCTCGCAGCGTGTTTGGGGGCGCTTCTGCTGGCACACACAGCATTCAAGACCTGGGCCCGGAATTGCTCAATGTCATCTTCCTCAAACTTGGCCCCAGCCCCATGCACTTGGCAGCACTCCCCAGCGTGTGCAAAGCCTGGCGGAACATAATGCAGGAAGAAACTTTGCAGCAGCTTTGCTTGGAGGAGGCTCCAGCATTGTGCGAGTGCATGGGGTATGGAGCTTCTAGCCAGCCCCCCGGAGGCTGGCTAGAGGTTTTCAAGTTCTTGCTTTATTGCCCAGACTTGCGTCGTCCGTCAGATTGCTGGGAGGCTTCTGAGGGTAATGTGAGCTGCTCGGACTCACTGGGCCACGTGCAGCAGGAAGCTGGCGGCTTTCAGACTGGACCTGCAGTGGCAAAGGAGTTGCGGCTGAAGGCGCAGTTCCGACAGGACCCCCTGTTTGTCACACGAGTTTGTGAGCACCCCTCAGAGGACGAAGATGAGGATTTGCCTTTGGGCGCATGCCGGGGCCTGGTTCAGGACTTTCCGAACTCAGCGATTGCAAAGCAGTCAAAGGCGAGCAGGTACCTGGAAGCATCGCCCCAGGAACAGCAGAGCATGCAGGAGAGTGCCAAGGAGAAATGCGCTTTCTGCGGTGCCCCCTTGTTCGAGCTCTCAGGGAATGCTTTCTTTGAGGACAACCTGGCTCCCTGCAGTGAGGGAGTGTCTGAATTCCTGGAAATTTTCAGGGACTTCTCATCGGAGACCTTTGAGCGGATCACTGGTAATGTCTGTGGGGAAGGACATTTGACATTTGTAATCAACTACTATGGGGACTGCATTGAGATTCTTCAGCACAAGCCGATGGCAGGATCCGGGGAGGAGCTGTTGGTAGAGACGTTCAAGGTGTTTAATGCATTGGTAGCGACCTTTGAAGACGAGCTGGATGGCGACGATGAAATAGACTTCCGAAAGCATCTTGGCGCTTTCACGGTGTCGCAAAAGCTGCAGCGCTTGGCAGATGAGACAGAGTACGAAACCTCTAATGAGGAGGATACATTAGAAGAGCTCCGCCCCTTAGCAAGGTTGCAAACGATGCCGGAACTCATCAATGGTATACCAGAAATAGCGAGACTGACTTGCAAGGTCATGAAGGATTTTGAGGACGGCTTTGAGAGAGTCACCTAAGTCAGACTCTGACTCAGAAGCTGAAGAGGAGGAGGATTTTGACACCCCTTTCTGGGAGGTTCCAGTCGAAGAAATAGACATAGTGATGGACCTTTTGACAGCAGTGCCCAACGACCGGGTGGGGATTCTTGCTACTTATCTCAGTCGAAACACGGTGAGTGCTCAAATGGTTTTGCGAACGGTCAGAAACCTGAAACGACTGAACTCCATCGGAGAACAGGTCATGCACAGACTCGAGGAGATGGAAGCGCATCGGAAGGCTGTGATTGAGGGAGCGCTTGAGGAGGCTGGCGTGTGCAAGCGCGGTGGGGCGTGGCCAAAACCGGAGGCAGTGTACAGCTTTGTCAAGGTAAGCTCATGCTGGAAGATCGTCAGAAGTGTTTGAGTCAACGTAAAGTGTGCTCGGGTGGACTTGATATGCTGCTTTCACGACACCAATCTGGACTTGTGATTCAACAACGTAACAATCGATTAGTTTCTTCTAGTCACATTTTCGGAGGTAAGAATTCTGGCCCCAATTTCAAGTCTGGAGGGTTCGTTCTGATGACATAGCTTTTTTGGAGTCATGAGTGCACTGCACTGACCAAGATCTGCTCGTGTCTGGCCATTATTTCTCGTTTCGAGAGCGTCATTACATGCAAAATCAAGCTGAAAATAGGTGCGAAGTCAGATGCAAGCTGCTTTGTAAATACTTCGTTATCAGCTCGAGCTGTTCTTCTGATGTTGAAGCTTTTCGACCATATGTCTTTAGTTAGATCCTGGAAAGGACTCAATCTCAAATCTTCCTCTCGAGTCGCATCTAACATCCAATAAAGCAGATCCCGACGAGTTCCGTTTGGTCGTCTGCAGGATCCTAACAGGTCGCTGGAGGAGACCGTCAAAAGCGTGCGGCAGAAATGGCTAGAGGTGGAGGAAAAGAGGGCCGCAGAGCAAGCGGCGCAAAATAGGGAGAAGGCCAAGCGCAAGGCAGAGCACGAGGCACGAGAAGCTGAACGGAAGGCTCGACGGCAACTAGAGGTGGCGGAAAAGCGGGCAAGCAGAGCATCGCAACTAGTGTGTCCCGGCAGCGCAGACGGGACGAAATGCAATAACACGGGCTCAGATGCTTGTGTGCGTCTGGCTTGCGGTGCTTGCTGTCGCACATACGCGACGGGAGGTTGCCGCCGACACAAACGACGATAAGGAGTATCCACGAATGCAATCACATGGACTAGCTAACGGCCACTGCAGTTATAACAAAGTGTAGGACATCAGAGTAGTTTGAAAGAGCCTAAAGAGGTGATCTGCCCGTTTGCAACATGAATATTGGCCCGGTGACGGTCTTATCAATCTCCGTTTGAAAATTTTGAAAGTTGCAGGCTTGCGATGCGAACTTCTTTACCCATTCTTTACTCATCGAATCCGTGTGTACGGGGTTGTAAGCCCAAGCCATTGCAATCAGAGTATCAAACCCTGCCAGGCGGCGGGAAGATCGGCTCTTGCATTCGATTTCAGAGCGCGTGCGGTATGATCGAAATTGAGACGGTTATTGGATCTGCACTGAAGTTAAGCCTCCCAATCAAATGTCCGTTCGCGAGTTTACGAAGAGAGCTTGACTGAGTGTTTGGTTGGACCTTGAAACCGGGCTTGGTAATCGAAGCTGTTAAATACTCAGACAACTCGACATGCCCTTATGAAGCATGATATGACAACGCGTTTCGAAGACAGCTCATGCAGTTCAGAAGCCAATTAAGTTCGGATCATGCAAATTAGGTGTCCGGCCAACATGTCATGCTATGCCAGAGAGCATGGCCTTGCACTAAGCAATACCAATCGGCCGGGCGCCACGTCCGACATGCACATGAGTGATTCAGTGCGATCGGACCATGCCATGCTGCATGAGCCAACACGTACATGATCGGACTCGAGCCTGCATGGAAGTACGCGTATGCATCTAAGCCATCACATAGCATCCAGTCAGATGTGTGCAGCAGGCTAGCATGCCTTTTAGATCCGAGTCCCTTATACTTCGCACTCGTCCCTGCACTGATGCACTTCATACGGTCGATACCACTGGCAGGCAGCGCAGCGCCTTGAGATAATTCTCCACAGTATTCTGATAATCAGTGCGATTTAAGTCGACATTATTGTAGTAGCACAAAGATTGTGCCCGTCATGCAGCTCGCGGTTACGGGCCCGCCGGTGCTTCGATGAGCCCATGTTTAGAAAGCGTCATTTGAATGGACGAGCTGGTCTCCAATTGATGTTGACCACGTGGCAGCCTGGGCAACGGGCGATCCTTGCCCTCTGTCAAATTTGACACTTGCATGACGGAGCGTTAATTATGAAGTACTGGGGTAGCAGGATCGGAAGTAGCCACACGCAAAGCAGATACAAATGTAATCGAATTCACCTACTGTAATCTGAGGTTACTCCGGCACCTGCAACAGACTTGCGGCGCTGCGCTGCGCTCGCTTCGCTTTTTGTGTCACCTCTTCTGCCTAGCCGAGCCAATGAAGCTCCGCACTTGTTCCTTCTTCCTATGCCCTACCTTTGACCCTCTCTCTTTGCCGTGCTCTTTGCTTCGCCTCTCGTTCTTGGGCCGGGTCTCCTTGCCGCCCCTCCCAGCATATGTTCCTGCTGGCTCTGGATGACCTCATCGACCGTCATGCTCTCGTCCTTCAAAAAGGAGGTGCAAACAGTCAGGTAATAACCCACGTCGATATTCCTCAAACGACTCGGCTCAATTGCCAACTGAAAATTCTTCCTTCGATCCAAGCTCTCTGCTTTTTGATCGAATCACTGCAATGATTGCTCAAACCACATCCTCCTTTGAACCGAGCCTACGTTTTAACTCGTCTGTCCGAAGGTAAAATTGAACAATCTCAGTACTCAAGAAGACCAAGGCGGCCTGATTCCTCACCAAAACAACAAACGATTGCGTGGGAAATTCTCGAGGATCAATAACAGAAAGGCAAAATATTCAGAACAAAAAGGCCTAAAAACGATTGAATGATTGATTCTCTATTGCCTTTTAAAACCGTCCTGCATAAGCCCTTGAGTTTCAAAAAGACTGCAACCACCAAGGCGTCCAGACTGGCCCATACAAGAAGCTTAATACAACTTACCCCGTCCTAAGAATAGCATACTGTCACAAGAGTAGGCGTCATAATATATCAAAGAGTCTGCAGTTAAGGACACAAGGTGGAATTATACCCGAGTGTTATGTGAAACTCACCAGAATGTATTTGTCAACAACGTCTGAGTCCGGCCACTTTCCATGCTGCGAGCTTAGGCATGCAGGTATGCCAGCCTTTTCCAGAGCAGCCTCGATGCCCTTCCTCCTTCGTTTCAGCGTATCCAGTTCACTCTGAACTTGGTCTCTGCGAAGCTGTAGTCTCTTCAAGTATTGGACTGCATCGAAAGCTCTTTGAGCACTTTGATTCCTGTTCCTCAGGACCCTTGTGATGATTCTTCTTGCCTGGGGCATGCCTCTCACAAAGGCGCAAACAGGATACAAGTTCATGCACCCAGCCTCCCAAAAGTGATAAGTATACTTCTTGTCGTCCTGATGTCCAACTTTCAACTCCGAGTTCGTCTCTGATCCTTCCTCCAGCTCTGAGTCCAAGTCCACGTCGCTACCTGACACCGATTCCTTTTGATTGCACTCTGGCTGTTCCTTGCAATTGTCCTCAAAGTCTCTAGCAACTTCGCTGATCTGTAACTTCAAATGATGCAGCTCCCACTGCAATTTGGACAATGCTTGCGGCTGTCTTGGACACGCGGCTCCAGTCTCCTCTAGTTGCGCCTCACAGGAGCTATTTTTAATAAGACGCGCTAGACACTCGAGCTTCTCGGACACATCGAAGGCATCTAGATCCTTCCAGAATGCAACTTCAGGCAGACCATTGGTATCACAAGGCCCAAACGCATCGCAGACGTCCTTCACCAGATCTGAGGTTCTGATGCTGAGACCCTTGCCAGATCCCTTCACCTCTTCAGCACAGAAGAACGGGTGGTTCTTCCAGTATCCCTGCAGACCAAGTATGAGGTGACCGTTCCCGCAGACATGACCACTCGCGTCATAGTACTTGGCATCGATTAGTAGACAATTGAAGTAATCCTCCTCTTTCTTGAAGAAAAGACCTTGCCGGAGCCGAAACAAGGGTGCTCGGCAGTACACACAGCAATTTTTAGCCCTCATCCGCATCTTTCGCTGCTTTTCAGTGGACGCATCAAAATACTCAGTTGCCCCTGCTCGTTCTGCTGTAATAGAATGGGCGACATTCTTGATAACGCCCCGGGACACATGGGTCAACTCAAGGTTAGAGTGACTTCCATGCTCGCAAGCCTCACTTTACAAACAAAGTATCCCCCCGGAAACCTTCCCTTAGACCCAAATCACGCATGATCTTTGGCCCCATCCTAAAACCATGCGTCTCTTCCTGCACATGCCCCAACGTGCCTTCCCACCAGCGACAAGCTCTATCCCCAACGATGGACGTGCCGCGCAATCCCGGGCAATAGACAATCAGTGCAAAGAATGCCGCCCAGCCTCCGGGGGGCTCACAAGCTGCGCCATATCCCAATGCTTCGCACAGCCCTGGTGCTGCTTCCAAGCAGAAGTGCTGCCAGATTTCCTCCTCCATCACGTTGCGCCAGGCTCTGCAGACACAAGGGAGTGGCGCTAAATAGACGGGGCTGGTGGGGAGCTTTCTGAGGATGAGACTGAGCAATTCTGGGCCCAGGTCGCACATGTCAGTGGTGCTGGCTGAGGGTCGGCGCATGAGATTGCGCTTCACCTGATTTGACGCCATCCCTACAATGTCAGAGTGCCAGAAAGCTCCACTCATCCGAAAGCGGCGATCAAGGCTCGATCAAGCGACGCCGCACTTGGAGTTGTGGCGCCATTAAACAGCTTCAAGGGAAAGGCTCCGGGATTTGAGAGCAGCTGCGGGCTCCGAGATCAGATGGCCGCCCTACCACTGCTCATGCAGGCCCAGAACTTTCACCAATGATCTCTTGAACTTGTAGTTGCAATGGCTGTCCAGAGTACGGTATGCAGAGCAACGTGTCCCTTGCATGACAGAGCAAAACGGGCCGCAAGCAAGCATGACAATTATCCGGATATTCTCGGTAGGACTCCCCAAGAAAGCAATCGAGTAAGGGGGTAACAACAACTGGCTCGCTATTGATGTTCTAGGGTTCAGCCAACCCTAACTTTAAGGGGCACTTCTGGACCCCTTCTGGAGGGGCACAAAGTTGGTCAGAATTGCTTTCTGTTCAAAGGAGGAGAAAGTAGAGAGACGATCGCGGGTGGGCTTCCACTTCTCGCAGTAGGGGCATTGAAGCTGCAAATTCAAGGGCAATCGCATCAGCTTGCTTACACGTTTGACAAGATGGCGTTGAAGCGCCACGCTCATAGCGTGATCGCTGGTCCTTCAGCTTGCAGAACTGAGATAGGCGACCTCAGCTCAGAACTGCTCGGTATCATCTTTCACAAGTTTGGCCCCAGCCCTGTCCACTTGGCAGCGCTTCCCCGTGTGTGCAAAGCTTGGCGCACCGTCATGCAAGAGGTCACTTATCAGCAGCTCTGTCTAGAAATCGCCCCTGGTCTGTGTGAGAAGATGGGGTGTGACGTGACCAGTCAACCCCCAGGGGGTTGGTTGGCTCTCTTCAAACTGCTGCTGTATTGCCCAGGCATGCAGGGCCTTCCAACATCGTATATCAACTGGGACGGGGATTATGGAAGCTGCCTGGACTTGTTGGGGCATGTGCAAGAAGAAGCGTGTGGCTTCCAAACGGGACCTTATGTTACAAGGGACTTGCTGCTGAAGAAGCCGTTCCAACGGGACTGCCTCTTTGTTACGGAACTGTGTCAGCACGCTTGGCTTGATGAAGATATGAGACTCGCCGTGTGCGCCTGTCGGGGCCTTGTGCAGAACTTCCCTGTTTCAGCCATCGCAAGAGAGTCAGGGGCAAGCAAGTACGCAGAGGCATCCTTTGAAGAACAGCAGCTGATGCGGGGGACGGCCAATGATCCTTGTACATTTTGTGGGGCGCCCGTGTTTGAGCTGCGGGAGGATGTCTTCTTTGACATCCAAGAGAGCTTTCGTTCGTGGTGGCAGAAACTGTTTGATAGATGTATTCCAGACTGGTTCGATGTGACAGGACAGGTGTGTGGGAATGGGCATCTGACATTCGAAGTCTTTGGCAACTGGGATGAGGCTTCGTTCCTTGATGGCACGCCAATGGCTGGGTCTGGGAAGGGTCTTCAGGTAGAAACCTGTGAACTCCTGCAACGAGTGTGCGAGGAGCTTGATCCAAAGGAACACGACTTCTGCGAGCTTACTTTTTGGAGGGACTTGAACCCGTACACACTCTCTCAGAAACTGGGACGCCTAGCTAATGAGATTGGAATGTTTGTTATTGATGAGGAGGATGAAGAAGGGCGCGAGTTAGTCTGCTTTTTAAGGCACTTGCATACAATATCTGATTTCGTGGAAGTGATACCTAAGTTAGAGAGACGCATGGACGATCTTAAGCAAATGTACGAGGACAGTTTCCAGGAGGATTACGAGGACAGCTCTGAGGATTCTGAGAGTTCCAACGAAGGCGACGGTGCCAACTCTGCAGATTCAGAGAGCGGTTCTGCAGCAGATGAGGAGATCAAGGAAGAGCCTCCTTTCTGGAGCGTTCCATTTGACGACCTTGAGGTTGTGAAGAGCTTCCAGAACGAGTCGTTGGCATTAAACGCTGCGCAGATGGTGTATACTTACCTCAGCAATGACAAGCCAAACCCGAGTGCTCGGATGGTTGTCAGGACGAGTAAGAACATGGACCATCAGTTAGTTCTTCGAACCGAAGCAGTGCGCAAGCTTGAGGAGATGAAGCAGGAGCGAAAGGCGGAGATCGAGGCGGCTCTGACGGCTGCCGGCGTAGAGAAACGTGGTGGTGAATGGCCTCTCCCTGACGCAGTTCAGAGCTACATCAAGGTAAGTTGCCAGAAGACTCGATTGGTTGCATTGAAAAGACTTTGGTTGCTTTAGGCACAGGTCCAAGAGCTGTCATGTCAGTGCTTCAGACTTGGGCCCCGTAACGTGAGTCGCACCCAAGATACTATTCCGTTTAAGTGTTTGATACTTTCTACAACGGTTGGGAATATACTATCTTTTTCTCGACATGTGAGAAGTTCGCACCTGATTTGAATCCAATCTCGGCCCGTGCAACATCTTGGGTGCTTGGTTTGGGTGCCTGGGAGAACAATTGGATGTCGAAGACTCTTGGCAGAATTTAAGGCTGGCGAGAAGAAGCAGGTAGTCCTCTTGTGTCGGACCTTTACCTTTTCTGACCGTGTCCTCCTTTTTTGCAAATCCTACACCGGCTCTGAATTTTTTAGATCTCCGTTGGCCGTCACACATCGAAAGGTTTTTTCGTAGCCTAGATCGCTTTAGCTCCTCTCTTCCAACTTTGCCGATATGAGTCTCGTTTTGTGATGAGAAGATTCAAATCTGCTGAAATTGATTGCCCCGCACATCTCTTTGTCCTTCAAGATCCACCACCATTCCGCCGTTTAGATGGCGAAATGGTACCTTGCAGTATGCTGAGATCCATCCGAGCCTTTGTTTCAAGTAATTAAAGGGACGAGTCAGACACACCACTGACGACTGTTGTTGACCTCTTCAAGGATCCGAACGTGTTGCTGAACGAAGCCGTCGATCGCCAGCGGCAGTGCTTTCTAGAAGCAGAAGAGAAGAAGGCTGCAGAGCAAGAGAAGAAGGCTGCAGAGCGAGCGCAACGGGAAAGAGACACCGCCATGCGAAGGGCAGAGCAAGAAACGAAGGCTGCAGAGCGGAAGGCTTGGCGGGAACGAAAGAAAGCGGCGGAACGCGACTTCAGGGCGTCCTAGGGGATCACGGTCTGCCGAGGCACGTCCGATGGGAAGAGCTGCAATAATCTTGGCTCGGAAGCCTGTGTCCTTTCAGCTTGTGGTAGTTGTTGTCGTACATACACGATGGGCGTGGTATGCAAACGGCATAAGAAGGACTGAGGAGTCAGGACTGTAGAGTGACAATGTACATGCGATAGTCTAGGATTGCGTCAGCCGGGATTTGTTCGGGATGAACAATTTTTGTCCGAAGTGCCTGTGAGTTTGATCGTTACGGTCAGTAGATGGAAGGAGTTGATGCGCACTGAAACAGGAAAGAAGTATCAAAGTATGTCAGTAGATATGCCGGTTCCTAAGTACCGGTGCAGACGGACGTCGCGTCGTGGTCGAAGCTGTCTGCCTTGTCGGATCTTGAGAGAGTCACGTTGCAACCACACTGTCACGGACTGCATGTAAGCTGATGGCGATAGCGATGATACATTATTTTAATCGATATGATCATATGTCGGTCATGTGCAGCTAGCTGAAACGGCCGGTACCAAAGGCTTGGCAGCAATTCGTATTTCTTTGTGCTGAGCAGAGCGCTAAAGAGCTGCAGCGCGCGGGCTCACTTGAAGTATACTATCAGCAGCTATGTAACGTTATTGCTTGATGTATATACGTACAACTACTTCAAGTCATGTTATGGTGGTCAAGATAGTCTGATATCAACTCGACGCGACATCATTGGCACGTCATATACAGCATATGCTGCATCAAAATATTTGTGATTCTGGTTCCGACCCTAGCTTTAAGCCACAATGGCTAGGCTGCGTCGGACTATGATGAAACGTCAGTGCAGGCGGACTTCAAGTTTGAGGCATGCAGTCCATCAACATGAAGCATCGATTATATCAAAAGCAGCCAGCTCATGTCGATGCAATGATGCACCTGGCATGTGGCTTAAGAAGGGTAATAGCGAAGGCCTTGGCCGCCCACGGTCACTGCCCAGGCCTTTTAAGAGGAGCACCATCTTGAGATTAAGCAATTGCATATGCCTGGTGCAGCTACAATTGCATACATGGTGCAGCTAACTACTTTGTATGGTATCAGCAGCTCGTTTGTTATCACGTTCCAGATGTACCAGTGGTACGCGGGATTGCATTCAGAGTTGGTTAGATTTCACCGTTGTCCATTTGTCCCCAGCGTGGTCTACACGGTCAGACTCACTTGCTGCCACGTTCGTGATAGTCTAGTCTCGAGAGGCGCTTGGCAACCAGGGCGCGTCGCAGACATGGCGGATTCTGAAAGGATTACTGGTTCAACTTTAGCTGCTCAACTTACGGTGCTTATTCTAAGTCAGTGCACTTGTCACAGAAGGATATTTTGACGTAGCTAAAGTTGCCCTCGCGAGGTTGACTTCACAAGTTCCCCCACGTTGGCAACAGCGTTTGCACGTGGTTCGCCGACTTGACCAGCGAGTGGAACGGGATCCAGCTGAACGTCGGCGAAAGCACGATGACCCCCAAGGCCATAGTGACGAACGCGACCAAGGTCCGCAGGAAGCCCACGTCCGAAACCTGCAAAGCCGCACGATGCCTTTCGAATACAGATGTTGAGCTCACCGCTTATGCGTGCCGTCACAGTCGCCACGGCGGACAAGAATCACAGGTTGGAAAGATACAGCCAATACCTGATTGTGTTCGCTGGCAGACTTGCGACTAGAAGGATCTGACCGAACGACGGACGGCCTTGTAGGTAGATGATGCTTCACGCGAACCGGAGCCGAACCGGACCCCCAGCCAGGTCCGGAAAAGTGGCGGAGGAACCGGAGCCGGTTCGCAGCGAACCGGAGCTGATCCGGTTCGCGGGTCCGGTTCGCACAAACCGAACCCGCGAACCGGAACGGGTTTGGCGCAAACCTGGGACTAACCGGAGCCGTTTCAGGCCCCGGTCCGTGCAAACCGGGGAGGAGTTCCGCTCCGGTTCGCAGGAACCGGACTGGAAACGGAGCGCATATCGGAGCAACGTAACGTAGAGAACATCAGGAATATAGCAAAAGAATCTACGGCTTGAGTACTCAGGTTGCGGTTCCTGAAGAATAGCCTAGCGTTAAAGCAGTACCCGCTTATACATGATTGACTTGGTTTGCATGGCCCGCGTTCTCTTTGCTGCCTTCATTAGCAAGACGTCCGCATGCGTCAGGCGAACAAGGAAACCAAGAAAGAAAGACAGGAAGAAACGAAGATTATCCGGAGACGTTTGAAATAAAAAGAGCTCACCCTTCTTCGCTTCGTTCACATTATCGATCTCGAAAAGGACACACCTGAAGACCACACTCTGAAAGACGTCAGGAAAGGCAACTTCTCCTCAGTGAATTTCAATCGGTGAAGTCGACTTCGATTAGTAAGTCATACAGCAGAACATTCTCAAGCTTTGCCTCCACAAACCTCGGAAGCCGGCTGCAGAGCACGCCGACCTGACGTTGACGGCGGATTATGGCCAGTTCACGGGAGCACTCTTTCGACATAGACAAGCCTGGTGCACGCGGCAACCGTCCAAACGAAAGACTTTGGACGAACCTGAGTGATTTGAAGTGCGCGTTTTCGACCAACGATTTCGAATGGCAAAGAATCTAGTTTCAAGGTGGTGTCGTACATTGCCACAGTCCGGATCGTGCTCACCAGATTGGTATTGAACAATAGAATCAGTCTGGGGACACGCCTACAGTGTGTACGGCTAACTATGGTGCCTTGAAATGAAGGTACATCTGGCTGACTGCCTGCGACTGCCTGCATCAGAAGAGAATCAGAATTCGGTTAGAAACGCGACCGTTCACGGTTAGTGATCAGGAGAGGGGGTGTTGCACCACTGATTCTCGGCAACGAGCAATGCCGGTCACAACTCAGAGGGCAGATCGTCGAAGCAAACGGAGAACGGGCTCACTATCTTTTGCACGAAGGACGGAAAGAACTTTCAAGGAGAAAAAGAGGTGCATGCAAAACTCCAATGGCTGCCCGAATTGTTACAGGGACTGTGAGAGTCCAGCTAGCTTACCTTTCTTTGTCTTCTATTTCAGGTCTTATCGTTGTTGCTGCAGACAAGAGAAGAGTGGAAGGTGAATGAGCTAGCGAGAAAGGTATACTGGCAGCGGATAAGCGCTGGTGCTCTCAACTCATTCAACAAAAACCTGGATAAGTAAGCGCAAGAATCCGGCCTGCGGGTCCTTTGGGTTTGTCACCAGTCACGTTGAACATGAGTACAGCGCACGAGCGACCTACTGGCTCATCTTAGAAGGGGACCAGAGTGTCGTCCGATTACTTTGGACACAAATCTTCCGAACTCAGGCGGCAGGAACAGGGACGTAATGATCACAGGCCAAAGACCGTTCGGATGTCCAACTTTAAAGATGCGACTGCCGGTCTAGCTCGTTAATCCCTTGATAGTCTTACCTTCGTGCCGGCAGCAGATAGCAAAAGTCTGCGCCGATGCGCAGCTTCGGTCGCTCGAGGCCCATCTCTTCTAGTGTCAATCCGCCGCAGCCGCTTCAGCGGCCTGCTACTTGTATGACGTGAGCATGGACACCGGCTCGTTCCAACTCTTGGCACCTGTCCTTGCTGCAGAAATCAAGGCTTCCGCTTTTTAGCATCTCCTGAACCAAGGGGATCGATGACTATATCCAATGACAAGCAAGAAGGCGACATGAGGTTATCAGGCAAGCCCCCATGTCAGGCTCGGAACGCTGATTCTAACCCGACAGGGTGAACGACAAAGGGAATGCCCGACTCGGAAAGCAAATTTGCCAAGAAGGTTCGTGAGCCCGACTGCTGAATGCGGAGAAGGGCAGGGTTGTGTAAAATTGCATCAGATTGTAATGTATGATCTAAACCGTCCTTGAATGCCTTGGTGCAGACATCATATCCTGCCAAATACGCTCAAGGCAGACCATGCTGGTAGCTTTTAGTGATCGAGAAAAAAGCCAAAGAGGGAATACGTACATTGATAGTGCGCCGCAGCTTCCCGGTTTACTCGCTGGCGTCGTGTCTGGTCGACTCCGGCAGTATGTGATACAGGGAGCCTGGAAGTCTTGAAGGGGCCTGCAAAGCATGTATTCGAGAATACAATGGAAAGAGTGCAAGCGCTCTTCACTGTGAGGCCCTGGCACCATAGTTCAAGCGCTTTCCTATGCCCCCAAACATATATCGTAGACTAAATAAGAAGATCGGTTCAATAGAGCAGAAAAAACAAAATGACCAATATTCGTGCTCCAATCCGATGCCGTCATCCGCGAGTGCAAAGACCACGTAAACATATCCGGACGTCCGTGATTGCGAGTTTGAGAGAGGTCGCCTCGGGGCAGTGTTTAGTTGTTGTAAGGACTGCCGCCGTCCGCAGATGCAAACACAACGTACACCTGTACGGACGTCCGCAGTCTATACTGAAAAAAGAGAGGGACGGCATATCCTGACGACAGGCCAATCCACTGTTCCGAAACCAACTAGAAATGGCGTCACAGTACTTGGCACAGCAGCCGACTCGACTCTTTCGTGCAGCAAACCGGACAAAGTGGCTCGAAGTTTGAGAGCTACAAACTAACCTCAGATGTGTAGGCACATCCGGAAAATCCACGGGCTGACAATACTTTACACCGTCTCTTTGCGCCCTGCCATGCCGCTGGTTTCTCTTCCCGCCAAGCTAGAGGGTGTGGTAGGGTGGGTAGTAGTATCCTATATTCATCAACGAATCTTCCTTCTTTCACCTACTTTACGCCTTCTGCTGGGCGCGGCCGTTTTTCTTCCAGCGCCGCCGCCGCGTCTTGCCTTACCTTCTGCGCCCATCCTTGCCTCCGCCGATTTTATAGCTTTCCGCTGACGATGGATAACCTCCTCCGCCGCGATGTCTTCGTGCTGCACAAAACAGCGAAGAGGTCCGTCAGAATTCCAAACCATAATACTAAAAGCATCCAGGTGGACAAAATATAGACAAAATTTTCAAGCGACTGCCTTATCGTCAAGGAAAATCCTGAAACACCTGACTCGGGAGTGTGCCCATTATGTAGGTAGAGTGGCAAACCAGAAGGAACCTTTTCTGCATCTGCCGGAGTTCATTCTGTCTCAAGGTTTGGAAAATGTGGTGAATTCCGAGCTGGTGGGGCCAGATACAGTCAAACAACAAGAACTTCTCAATGTGCAACAATGTGAGGGCGAACCGTACGAAACCGTGATCGAAATCCATCAGATTGCAAACTGCCCACCTGTCTGGGCCAGCACATGAGGTTCGATCGGATGCGGACCCTCATCCACTCGAGTGCCGCAGATCCGTCCCTCTGTCAAAGCAAAGCTGACAGTCATTGTCTCCCAAGTGCAGTCACACAAGAAGAACAGCTCACAGGATTGGTCGAGTGGTCGACTTACCATTTATTGATGTGTTTGCAGACGGAATCAGTGTCTGGCCACTGGTACTTGTCAGATCCTGCGGGTATACCAGCGTTCCTCAGAAGTGCCTCCGAGGGCTCATCCCCCCTCTTCTCTGGAACGGCCAAAGCGCCTTCCTGATCTGTGCCTTTCGCAAACCCAGCAGTTTGAGCCTCTCTACTCTGGCCAGAACCGTCCCGACACTTCGCTTGCAACTCCCGGTCAGGAATCTAGCGAGGATCCTTTTACACTGGGGCACTGCCAACAGGAGATCTCTGACGCACTGGATGGCGTCAGCAGAAACCTGCCAGAATGGACCAGGTCCTCTGTCAGCCTCTGAATCCGTTTCCGAGTCCGCCTTTGAGTCCCTCTCAAAAGCTTCAATGATTCTGATAATCTGCTTCTCTAAGCCCGTCCGTTCTCTCTCCAAGTCAAGGATCACTTGCCGCCCTGTCGAGGAATTTGTTCTCACCCTGTCCTTGTCCGTGTCCTCACAGATCTCATATGTCAGGACTCCTCTCTCCTGAACCTCACGCGCTAAGCACTCCAGCTTCCTGAACATCGAGAACGCGTCCAAACTCTTCCATAGCTTGCGTTCAAATTCAGCAGTTGGGTCCAACCCAAAGAGTCCACACACCTCTTTCTTTGTTTTACTAGTTTCTACCGGGAGACCTCCCCTGACGTCCCGCACTGATTCTGCACCGGAAAACGGCGTCTCACCAAGATTACCCAGAATCTCAAGCATAACGTGCCCGTTCCCACACACATGACCGCTGAAGTCGAACCCCTCTAGCTCCTCGTCTGAATCCATGTCCTCCGAGGAAGAACAGTCTCTATCAGCTAGGACCCTGGACTCAAGCTCGTATGAAGGTGCTTGACAGTACTGACAGCGGTCGCTTGCTGAGTCCCGCATCCTCTGCTGCAACTCGGGAGGTGATTCCGAGTACTTCCTCGCCCCCGCCCGTTTCGCAAGGGCCGACTTGGCAACTTCCGGGATCAGGCCCCGGCACACGTGCATCCGTGTTGAGTGCCGGTCTCCGATCTCATCTCCGTGAAAGCACGGTCGGCTAACAAACAGGACATCCCTTCGGAACTGGTCTTTCAAGCGCAGGTCTGAGGCGATCTCCGGCCCTGTCTGGAAACCGCTAGACTGTGTCTGTACGTGCCCTAGGGAGCTCCACCCGTCAAAGTACCACGACATGCGGAAACGCGCCGCGCAGAAGAAGAGGAGCTTGTACATTGCCGCCCAGCCACCAGGAGGCCCATCAGCTGCATCATACCCCAGCGCTCTGCACAACCCCGGAGCAACCTCCAGGCACAGCTGCTGCCAAGTCTGCTCCTGCATTATTCTGCGCCAGGCTTGGCAAACACAGGGGACTGCGGCCAAGTTCAGAGGGCTGGGTGCGAGCTTGGTGAAGATAAGATTGAGCAACTCCGGGCCTAGGTCGAAGATGCGGCCATTGGTGGCGGCTGAGACTCGGCGCGCCACGCTGCGAGTCACGCGCTGTGAAGCCATTGCGATGGACTACCCAGTGACTGCAGCCTTCGGCGGTTGGCTTCTTGCTGGACTGGTGTGCCTCAACCACAAGACCAGAAAAAGTATGTGGCTGCAGGAAAAGAAGGGAACTGCCAGGACGCAGGCAAGGCGCTACAATCCTTTGTTGTAATGCTGACAGTGACAATCTGAGCACAGACGCCAGCTGCTCAGCACATTCTTCACGTTCAGAATCATATGGCAGATGTGAAGGGCTGCAGCTCTAGGAAGGGAGCGTGTCGGGCTAACCTTCCGTGTTATGTAAGCCGGACATTGACTGATGCCTTGGAGCCTTTCCTCGGGGGGTGATTTTATATCGGGGTAAAGATGCCCGGTGAAAACCCCCGCCTCCATGCCAGGTATCGGGTTTGGATCTGCATTAAACAGGGTCAAGTTGCTGGTGAGGGAGTGCTCTCCTTGCGAGCTGCCTGATCTGTGATCAGGCAGCTGAGCGAGCTTAGCTGCTATTAAAGCCTACCACTGTCAGGCTACATATCACAGTCAGGCAATGTGGGCAGCTGTTTGTAAAGCAAGAGCGCCTGGCGCCTGTTCTTGTGCGGGGGCTCTAGCGGTGCTGTCTTGAGCAGTTGTGTACTCTCAACAAGCGATCATCTGAGTGTTCCTCACAATGGACTCAATGAAGCGCCTGGCCCGCAGCGCATCTGAAAGCTCTTGTGCTGGCACAAGCAGCATTCTTGACCTTGGCTCGGAACTGCTCAGTAAGATCTTCCTCGAACTTGGCCCCAGCCCCATGCACTTAGCAGGCACTACCCAGCGTGTGCAAAGCCTGGCGGAAGATAATGCAGGAAGAAACTCTGCAGCAGCTTTGCTTGGAGGCGGCTCCAGCATTGTGCTAACGCATGGGTAATGGAGCTTCTAGCCAGCCGCCAGGAGGCTGGCTAGGAGTTTTCAAGTTCTTGCTGTATTGCCCAGACTTGCGGTGTGCTTCAGATTGCTCGGAGGTTTCTGAGTGCAGCGAAAGCTGCTCAGACTCGCTGGGCCATGTGCAGCCAGAAGCTGGCGGCTTTTAGACTGGACCTGCTGCGGCAAAGGACTTGCGGCTGAAGGCGCAGTTCCGACTGGACCCCTTGTTTGTCACCAGAATATGTGCGCACCCCTCAGAGGACGAAGATGAGGATTTGCCTTTGGGGGCATGCCGGGGCCTGGTTCAGGGCTTTCCCAATTCAGCGATCGCAAAGCAGTTAACGGCTAGCAGGTACTTCGAAGCATCGGCCCAGGAACAGCAGAGCATGCGAACGACCGCCAAGGTGCGGTGCCCCCTCGTTCGAGCTCTCAGTGAATGCTTTCTTTGAGGACAACCTGGCTCCCTGCAGTGAGGGAGTGTCTCAATTTGTGGGACTTTTCAGGGACTTCTCATCGGAGGCCTTTGAGCGGATCACTGGTAATGTCTGTGGGGAAGGACATTTGACATGTGTAATCAACTACTATGGGGACTGCATTGAGATTCTTCAGCACAAGCCGATGGCGGAATCAGGGGAGGAGCTGTTGGTAGAAAAGTTCAAAGTGTTTGATGCGGTAGTAGAGGCGAACGGCACGACTCTTTCCTCAGCACCGGCAATGATCCTCGTCAACACTCGGATGATCCTGACGGTTACCTTCTCCACAAGTGCTTCTTCCGACACAGAATACTTGTCATTTCTTCTTTGCAATTTCTTTCTTTGTTCCTCCAGGTCCTTGACCGCAGCATAGTTGCAGAGTCCGACTTTTTCACTGTCGTCGACAGATCGACAATCAATTCAAGGAAGTCCAGATTCCATGGTAACCGCCATGGGAACGGGTGGAGCCGTAGTGCATGTCCTTGGAAACAATCTGGAGTCAAGACCTCAAGTTACCACTTCACATGTCCTGAAGGTCTTCGTTTATTGTCATCGCCTCGATGCCATGTCTCTTCTTTCCGCAGGGCCGATTTGGGCACATTATTACGTGTACATTCTGCGCCTGCCGGCCGGCGGCCGGGCTGCACCGCGAAAGCGCGGCCGGCAAGCGCTGCATCCCGGCCGGGCGACATGCCCGCGCGCGCCCCTCGGGCTGATTGGAGTACCGTACGGTCCGTACATCGAGCGGTGAGTTCAGAAACGGCACTCAAGTTTGTCGGATATGTGGTACGGTGGCTGGTGGCTGGAGTAGCCCAAGTGGTAAGTCTATGCGGCGGTTTTTGGGTCGTGAATTCTGCAGGGAAATTGGTCCGCACTGGGACTTTCAGAACGGCCTAGAACGTTCCGCCGGAAATGTCCTAGGAAGCGGACAGAATCGTGTGCGGCCGGATTGACGCATTTTGAAACTGAGAGGTCCTCTCATTCTGTGGATTCGTCACACAAGCTTTCACGACAACCATTTCGGTAAGAGAAAAAGGGCGGCCAGTGAAGCTGTATCCTGTTCAACATCCTGACTTCGTTCCGTTGCAGTCGCTCAAAAAGAATTCGCCATCTCGGTACCTGGAGGACTTGTTGGGGACGCGGTTGCTGTTATCTTTCCTCCCTGTTGTTGTTGTTCATGTTTCAGAAGTAGGCTGTTTTATTGGTAGTCCTTGGCCCGAACCTCGATCAGTTTGACCCGGTCAATCAGAACGGGAAAGAGCGATCGCAAGCTCGAAGATTTCCAGTAGGTCTCCATCCACTGGGATCTGAAAACCAGAATTTTGAGGGCGGGGCACATAGTAATAGGTCGAGCTGTGCTAATATACCCTCGAACTGCTTCTCACGAAGTTCTGACAAACTCTGACCGGGTTCGTGATGACCAGCGGGGAAGATAGCGATGATCCAAGCCGCGCTACTTCTTCTTGCATCGAGTCGGATGTCCTCTCCGGTGTCCGTTCATCAGATGATTGTCATCTCGGTCCAGCCGTGGCTGGTAACCCTCGGAGTCACTTGTTGCAGGTAGGCATTCAAAGGTGTGGCAAGATCTTCTGACCAGTTTGCTGCCGGTCTATCGGCGCCTGCTCATCTTTAGGTAGCCAACAATCTGTCTATTAACCTTTCTTCTTGTGGTCTGGGCAACGTTCTTGGACATTCTGTACTCACCTCGGTTGGTCATTCGGGAAGAAAAGGTGCATCCTTGTGACTTACGAACTCCTGTTAGCGTGAGACCCAACGTCTTTCTGAGAGATTTTGTGAAGCCCAACTCAACTCAAGAAAGACGTCTTTGATCTTAAATCCTGTTGAGGCTTGCAAAGCGCAGCCTAAATCGCTACCAGGGCTGGAGGGGAGGGAAAAGGGACGAGCGCCGGCCTGTCACGAATGGCTCCGGACGAACAAATGCACGTGCGTGCCCCTAGCTTCTACATTGCCCCACAACAGCTTGGGCTGAGGTCACCTGTGTCCCCGGCGCAGTACGCGAGTGTCCCAGGCTGGTCACGCTTTGAGTAGATTTCGTTGCCAGACCTTTTTGTGAGCGCATTCCTTTTCTTGCAGAGGGGCTGCGTCCGCATCCACTTCCGAGGGTTGCTTTCAGGCCGTGGTCCCGATCAAAGCGCTCCTCCGAGCAATCGGGCGCACTCCTCGCCACCTTCCAGGTTAAGGTGAAGCGCGAAACACCCTCCACTTTAGTTGGCTCGAAAAGGGTATTTGTTCTAGCGACTTTGTTCTTCGATCAAGCCACAGGTTCAGTTGCATCCTCCATCCCCCTTCACGAGCATTCTGTAGACAGGAGTTTCTGACAGGATGTTTCGGACAAGAGTACGTACTTCTCTCTGTGCCTTTGAATTTTCTCGCAGTTTTTGCCGGATTTGACCATGAGTGGCGCAACGCCTGTGGTTTCATCATGTGACATGTGTCCTCTTTGCCTTCCGTACATCCTCTCGTGCAAGATCTTTGCACAGCTCTTTGATTTACCTCCTCCAGAGTCTTGGACAGACCGCGGCCCCGAAAGGTGCGCTAGCGGCGCAGGAAGCAGTCAGCACCTGTCTTCGAGTGCTTTTGTGACGACATCTTCTCCTCTCCCGCAGGCGACCAGCCGCAGACCCCGTTGACCCCATTGATCGCAATCGCGGCCGCGGGCAGTTCGTGGATGACACTTTTGCGCCCGCCAGAGACTCTCCATCTCCCGAGTTCGCTTCAACCCCCGCTGCTCCTTTCTGCGATGAGAACTCGACCCCAGGTAAGATATTTCGTCTTGGAACGAGCTCAACGCTTTTGTTCTGAGCTTAGCGCGGCAAGCCTACTTGGACGCATTCATGGTAGGGGCGGGCACAGGAAGGCATAGCCGGGGCGGAGAATCAATGTAACATGTTGTGTTGCTGAAGATGCTACTCTGGATTCCTTCAAGAGAGCTGGCAAAAGCTGGTACTTCAGTGGGTTTGCTTTGCTAGCTCCGCCCTGCGTTCGCCCCTTGGCCAAGTAGATGCTCGACTGTCTTCTTCACTTCAGCGCGTGCCACTAGGACAGGTTGGCGTACTTATCCGTTATTTCTCACCCTCTTCCGTGTAAGCTTTTTGTGTCTCGATGCCTTTTGCCCAGCGCTTTTCGTCCTCATATGTTCCGCCTTTTTCCAGGTGTTGCTTGAGCGGGACAAATCCTGTCCTCGCTTTCGAGTTGATGACGGCCACGGCTGTTGGAGCGGTCGCCGCCTTACCGCCTTCGGCGACTTGAGCGATTGGGTGATACTGGGAACACCAGCGCACGTAGTACCCGGTGTCTGATCGAGGAGCCTGCTCCTTTTGCGAGGTGCGTTGCAAAGTCTCCGCTTCAGTGCTCGGTCTTGAGGAGAGGTTAGCTTTGATTCTCCTGTAGCGAAACTTGAAGTGCCCAACTGTTTTGATGAGAACGAACTGGCGACCATTTGGGAAGTCGTGGAAACAGCGATCATTCTGGATTGAGGAGAATTTTTTGCTCAACACTCGAACTTGAGTTCTGACGCACTGGCCGATTGGCCGGCTGATTCACCTATTCTATGTCGCTCGGAGGCGCTCTGGATGGCTCTTATCTCGCTTCAAGTTACTTCAGCCGCCTCTGGTGTGGGCCAAGAGCTGGCGGAACTGGTGGAAGTGAGAAAGCGGTCAATTGTTGGCAAATCTGCCCAGACTCTCGTCCGCACTACCTCATGTCGTTCGAACGTTATTTCTCGCCAATAAGCGGTGGCGCCGACATGCACCCCGCTGCGACGGCGGCAGTGTTGAAGGTACGGGCAAGTGACATGGGAAGTGACGTGGCCTCTGCACAACCTGCCACGTAACATAGGATAGCAATGGTTACACCCTCAACCCGAATCCTTTGAGCCGGGCTGACGACTTTGCTTTTCTTGCAGGAGCGCGTAGCAACTCCCGTTTCACCCCGTCGATGGCAGCAAGGTCGAGCTCCCCGTCTTCTATGGTGCGTGTTGATGGAGTTCAAAAGTGACCGCCACCGGCCATCAGGGACAAGTCTCCTTGATGTGAGCACCTCCTCGCTAATCTTAGCGTCTCTTGTGTGTGTGTCAGCTCCTGTCTCCTGATTCGGACGTGTCAGACTTGACACCAATCCATTGAAAGAAGCTGTATACCTAAATAACCTAAAGGATATTTAGACAGCTGCGTGAATCCAGAACGTCAATCGTATCTCGGGGTTGAACATCAGTAGGTTGCTTTGAAAGACTTCTGGGCGGTGTCAAGTTTTCTGTGCGGTGGGAAGTATCTTTTGTGCACCGTTTTCAACCCGGAGCTGGTGAAGCTGATCCTTCCAGTTTTTTTTGCATCTAGAAGTCCTGCCAATTCCAAGGGCGTGTCTGTTTCCACTTGGGACAAACTTTTGAAACTGCTTTTCTCGCGTGCTTGCAGGTCTCAGAGTCTCGAGGAACGTCACCCTGCGCCCAAGTTGCTTAGGATATGCATGCGAAAGCAAGGCCATAGGAGCCGCCAGCCAGTTTAGAAACATTACTCACCATGCCGCACACAGCTGTGTTCCTACTTATATGTGTTTGCAGTGGCTCCGTACCAGATATTGTCACATATAAGCTGCCCGTGCCTCTTCTAGCTTGAGGCTGTTCCAGAAGTAGAAACGACGTAGAATCGGCATGGAATATATGGAATATATTATTTTTGTTGAGTTTCATGTAGGCATAAATTCTCAAGAAAGTTATTAGTAAGCCAAGATAATAGTAAGCTCCGACTAACACTAAAAACCCTAACCTTAAATAAAACACCCGCTCCGGACCCGTACCCACCCTAACCACCATGCTAACCCTACCCGTCTCAGTGCGGTTACCTTGCTATTATCTCGGCTTACTATTATTTTTGTTGAGTTTCATGTAGGCCCGGTAGGTACTTTAATACTACCCACATAGGTCATGGTAGGTAGGTACGGTAGTACCTACACAGCACTGCCCAGTGCCAGGTCGATCGGAACTGCGAAGCTAGACAGAACTTCGGAATCCTGCCCAGTGCCCAGTGCCTTGTAGCCCGGGCCCGTTAAACTGGGGCCTGGGCGCCTCCCGGACACCTCCCGGAGTCCTAGGGTGACCCTACAGTAGAAGGAAAGTCACGATGTGCTCAGTGCTTCACACATCATCCAGCTATAGCCTGTGGCCATATGGCCACTCAGTGCAGCAATATTTATGTAACCTACCTACTTCTAGCTAGCTTGCCACTTGCCACATGCAACATTTCGGTAACTTCTTGCCACTTGGGGCCTTTTCAGACCGCACCTAGGATGTGGGGTTTCCCTGCTAAAATGTGACGTCGCAACTTTGTTGGAGCATCCCGGCTGTCAAAAAGCTATTTAGACCGAACTGGGATGTGCTGACGTCATGGACATCCTGGATGTCCAATTTTTGAAAAAGTCGAAACCCGGCTCCCAAGCCGGGTCTCGAAGGCTAGCACATGAAGAATTGGACTCTAGCGGGGGGGCTAGCCGGCCTCCTGGTCCGGCTAATGGTCCGGCTAATGGAGGGGGGATAAAGCGGTTGCATGCTGCAGCTTCAAACATGAATAGAATCAACAGTTCGTCAAACACGTACGGCTCACACCCTATCATTCAGACATGTTCGATTTTCACCGTTGTACATTTGTTCCGACGCGGTTGAGTCCACGGTCGGACTCACTTCCTATCACGTCCGTGGAAGTTGAGTCAAGGCGCTCGGCAGCCAAGGCGCTTCGGAGCCTGACAACAGAGCCTGCAACAATGACTGGTCTCAATCTAGACGCTAAACCTACGGCGCTTACTCTGAGGTCGTGAGCAAGTCTACTTAATACAAGAAGGGTATTTTGACGTAGCTAAGGTCGCTCTCGCAAACTTAATTTCACATGTTCCCCCACGTTGGCAACAGCGTTTGCACGTGGTTCGCCGACTTGACCAGGGAGTGGAACGGGATCCAGCTGAACGTCGGCGATAGCACGATGACCCCCAAGGCCATCGTGACGAACGCGACGAAGGTCCGCAGGAAGCCCACGTCCGAAACCTGCAAAGCCGCACGACGCAGATCAACCACAATGTTCGCTCACCGCTTATGCGTGTCGTCAAAGCCGCCAAGGCGGACACGAGTCACAGGTCGGAGACACAAATAGAAGAGGTGTTCGTGTGCGCCGGCGGACGCGCAAGTAGAAAGGTCTGACGGACTAACGGAAGGCTTTGTACGTTGACGACGCGCCTTTTGAAGACAGATGCCAAACATTTCGTTCCTCATCCTCTGCATCTCTCTTGCCAGGGGAATGCAACTCAAACATACTGACGGGCTCACCTCATCCTTCTGGTACCACTCCCCCCGGTTGTCGTTCCAGTTGTACGCGTACAACCTGTGCAAACAAAAGCGTCCCCTTTTCAACTTCTGGTCGCTTCCGCATAATTGCTTTGGATGTTTCTCAAATTCGTCCAATGAATCAGAGAAACAGGTTTGCAGTGCCATGCGACACCTGGCGTCAGGGTCTGCCTAAGACGAAAGCTGGCTGCGTCAGAATCATCGATTTCGACGTTTTTTTGGACTTCGAGCAAGGGGCCATAACTGGGTCAATCCCAACCGATCGAAGTCGCAAAAAAAGCTGTCCAACAGTGGGCGAGTTCCAGTACTTGTCCGGCGCAATGTGCCAGTGCCCGCGTAGTCCCTGTTCAATATCTGAAAGCGTCGAGGTAAGCGGGATGTCGTGGCACGATTTGGACGGATTTAAACATATTCGAAGGGGAAGCTAGCATTGAAATGTCGGAGCCAGAAGGGATGCCGCCGGCTTTGTCGCATAACTTTTCCGTCGAATTTTATGCCGACGGTAGCTTCGTGGGCGCGAAGAATGAGCCTTTGTATCCAAGAAGACGCGGGCTGCCCTTTGGAAGTCCACAAATTCAATTTCCGAAGGCACGCGGACTTTGAAAGTGTTTCCATGTACGAGGCGGTCCAAAAGCGCAGGAAAGGGACCTAAGGAGCGGCACTCACGCGACAGACAGCGCCGTGTCTCCGAAGATGAAGCCGACCAAGACGAGCGCCTGTTGCAGAACGGACATGGCGTAAGCAAGACTGATTCGTCGTCTACACAAACGCCGTTCACTTTGATTTCCGCGACGCACTTTGTTGACAAGAATCTCCTACTGAAGCTGGTCAATGAAAGCGTATTTGAATGCTCGAGAACGCAAAGCGTGTCGTGAAATGACGCGTCCATCGAGCACGTGTTCCGTCTGCTCCAATGCAATTGCTTGTACGAAGCTGTCTCACAGTATCACATCTCAAACAGCAAACAGAATTTCGCCTTGCGGACGTGCTCTCTGCATCTTAAATACACCAAATCAACAAAGACTAGCAAGACTCCGGAGGAATCTGACCGCGTCGATTACAGCCTGCTTTTTCGGAAGTGACAGTCACTACTGAGAGCCTGCGGGGCGGCACCTTGCATGTCGACGTCTAAGTTGCGCCCTTGCTGCATCGGCATCATCTGATTTTTTCAATATCAGTACGTGACAAGCTCAATCTTGAACAACACTTTTCTTTTCGTTTCTGACCATAATTTGCCTCCAGCTCATTCGACGAAAATGAGCGCCTGACGCCCAACTTCACAAAGATATGTTCCATTCCGTTTCCAAATGCACGTGTCTAGCCCCCAAACCAATGGAACTCCGATCCAACGGAACTCACAAAGGTGGCGGCCGTTGCCAGCAGATGCCCCTGGCGCCCAAAGAGCCCCTGCGCGATCCGGCCGCCGTCCGTCTTGGAGAGGGGCAGCAGGCTCAGAGCGGTGGCGTTCAGGCCTAGCAAACCTGCACGATCAAACGAGTCCCCATCAGAGCATGCAGACAAAAGGTAGAGATTTACAGACGCTATTCCGGGGTTGAAACGGACTCAAAAGAGGTTCCCATAACAGCATGCAAAGTGGAGGAAAGGAGTACGCCCCTGCGGCCGAGACGCCCAAAAGGAGTAGCACGTAGATGGAGGCAGTAAGGAATTTGCGGCCACACGTGCGAAACCCCGTTGTCATAACCAATGCTCCATACTTGCTGAGTTGGACGAACTCAACCGTGGTTCTGAGGCTCTCGTTAAAGAAAAGAAACGCTTTCAGTCAGCATCCTCTATTGAACGAGCCAGTGATGGAATTGAAGCTCGGAAAAATACCAAGAACGACCAAATTCGTGTGCCTTCCATCAGCTGTGCGGCTATCCTGGCTCCGAAAAAGAGCCTGAAGATTCTCGGCCGTGAGGTTGGCGGTGGTTGAGGAAAGACTGTTTGGAGGTCGCCGGTTTAACAGCTTTAAGGTGGTGGCTAAAATGCGAAGCGATGTGCCTGCCAGCATTTGCATGCAGTAGAGGGCTAGCACAAGCTTGGGGCCTAAAACATAGGAGGGTGACGTCACTGCGAACCGGCATGAACATCTGCCAAAGCCTAGTCTCTGGCACCTCATCGAAAATGGCACCACATTGAAAGTGGCACCAACTTGAAACGGATCGATACATGGGTCACGTCCACACTCAGGGTGCCGTCAGACCTTGAAGGCCGACCCCAACAAGTGACGTCACGTACCTGCGAAAGCGAGCGGGTGGATCGCCATGTAGATGACGTCACCGGGGCCGACGACAGACGCCTTTTGCAGCTGGAAGACCTGCACAAAAAGGGCGAGCGGGGGTACAACCAGTTCTTTTTAAGGAGCGTACAAGCGGCGTACCGAGACAAGAGAGGCGGGATAGTACGACATACGACAAACCACGCAGGGCCAAGTCAATCTGAGAGATAAGGGAAAAGCAAGAAAGACGCAGTTCCGGGACTGGTTAGTCTTGTGCCCCTTAAAACCTCGCACGCAAAATGTTGTTCAATGGATGGTTCGATAGTTCCCACAAAGGCCGGGAACAAGTTTTTGTTATAAGTTGCATCACATGATTCTAATATGCATATGATGCATAGTCAAACGCGTCGCATCTATGGAGTCTAAGGCTTGATACGCGGTTTAAATATTCTTAGTATGTGACAAGCATAGCATGTACGGTGTACAATACAAGTAAGAGTGAAAAGAAAAGAAAAGAAAAGCTCTTATTTAATAAAAAAACTCGATATGTCGTCGACTTCCGCGAAGTTGGCACCTTATGAATTGCAGAGTGGCCGTGCAACATGTTGGGTGCGAGTTTAAGGTGCGCGAGAATCGCGTACCAGGTACGAGAGGACGAACGAGTGGTGGAGCGTCTCGGGCGGAACTAGGATGAGGGGCCCCGACTGCGGGAAGCGCCAGGCGAGCCAGGAGTGGGAGCTGGTGATCATGGCGACGGAGGTGACGGCAGTCGCTAGAGAACCTGCGCCCAAAAACTTGACCAGGGAATGAGGATCGTGCTGCACACTTCTGGCCTAGTAGAGGGACTGTCTGTCGTGTAAGCACAGCAAGGTAGAGAGTTGGGAGATTGAAAGAGACGTCTGGTCCGATAAGTTGCGAGACAAGCATTCACAAGCGGCAAGTGACGTAGCAAGGGAGCATTTGAAGTCAACCAATACTCTCTCCGTGAAACCCGTCCTTGACCGGATAGCGACTCTTCAAGGCTTGTCGTAGCCACAGGCAACTCGGTAAGGAGTTTCTCGAAACAGCTTCTCTACAGCCAGCCGGACTGCCGGACAGACGTTAGAGCACGGGCAAGTAAAGCCGCCTTGCTGAGGGAATCTTTCGGTTCAAGGCCAAGCAGAGTCAAAGTAGAAAGGAGCTGATCTAGTATCGTTGTCGATCAAATTTTGAACTAGATGGTACGGTCTGCAGTCCTACGTTTTGAGGAGTAGGCACAAGCGCTCCGACAAAATGATTGAGCAGAAGCCTCAAAACGGTGCACTTCGATATCAGCTCTCACCCACGAAGCGGGGAGTTCCCTGAGGGCTGCCCTATGCGAGGCACCTCCCGCAGCAAGTTTAAGCATCTCCTTTTCTCCTTTGGTCATGAGAGCAATAGAACTAGGCGCAGAAGGTATACTGCACGCCTTTGCTTGACCTCTCACAGGGGAGGGGGATGTCAATCAGCGCCGCCTGCCAGGCAGCATCCCCCGCAGTCAGGCCGTCATTTCAAAGAACAGAAGTTACAAACATCTTCTGCCTCAACTAGAACAGGCACTTGTCTTTCCCTTCCCTTTGAATGAAGTGAAAATGCCTTCGCTTGACCTCTCACCAGCGAGGGGGATGTCAATGAGTGCTGCCCTGCTAGGCAGCACTCCCCGCAGTCCGGCCGTCATGCCGATGGCCCCTAACCCCGGCATTGGGAGGGGGATCGGGAAACGGTCCCGTACGCCGTACAGGGAGGCGACGGCGGACCGCGCGACTGAGCCGGTGAAGAGGATGGAGAGGAGGCCCAAGGGGAGAGCGGCGAGGGCGATCGCCGCTTCCTGCAGAAAGTAACAAAGGGTTTCGCTTGAGCATTTAATCACTGGGATACAAACATGTATTTCCTATGCGGTGCAGTAATGTTACTTTATAAAAGGTGCATACTTGAGTGAAGAAAGTAGAGAAGGAGGGTCAAGGGGAGGGCAGGGAGGGCGATCGCTGCTCAATGCAGAAGCGAAATAAGTCTCAAGAACTTGACGATTCACTGGTTCACAGGATCCAGGAGTTTGGTGCCGTGCAAGCTTCCGAGAACTGCGCAGAGCGAGAAGAGAGAGCCGAGCAGAAGAAGGGCAGCGAGGGCGATCGAGGGATTACTGTTCGAGGAGGGTTACATAGTGTCATACTTCTAGTTCGTTGGAAGTGATAAACGGACGCGCTTTCAAAGACGGCCTTCATAGCTCACAGCTTAGCAACTGACGACTAGAAATCTATTCACCAACTCGCCCACCTCCCCCCTTTTTCAGCAAGCTGAGTCCGCAATATTGGTGCCCTTGCCGTTGAAGCTGACAAATGTCAGCTCCTTGCCACTCGAGAACACATCGAACTCTGTAATTTTCAACCCCACTCTCCGAATACCTATCCTATACCCTCACCTCTTCATTGAGCAGGAGCGAAATGCCGACGTGCAGATCCACATGACAAGACTGCTGACCGCCTTACGAAGAGGGCCGATGACACGTCTGAAGCACGAAACAGGCAAAACCCCCAAGAGCAGCCTACCTCTCCCTTAAGCAGGAGGGGATCCGCGATGGCAATGCCCTTGCAGATCCACATGACGAGCGCGCTGACGACTGCGCTCGCAAAGGCGGCCTGGCGGAACTCAGGAAGAACGGCGAACGCGACGGGCTCATCGGCGGGGAGGATGAGGCACCAGGGGACCTCTTGGGGGGTGTTGAGCAGGAAAACGACCTGAAGAGATATCTCGAACTCATGGAAGTGCTAAAACGTGGTGACATAGAAACCTAAGAGCGTAACATATAAGATATATGGTTATGAGTTACCAGGGGACCTCTTTGGGGGTCTTCAGCAGGAACACAACCTGGAGAAATGTTCAAAGAATTGGAAGTGCTAAAACGCGGTGAAAAACTAGACCTAAGATCGTGAGATCTTAGGAAGGTGTGATGAGGCACCAGGGCACCTCTTGGGGGGGTGTTGGGCAGGAGTACGTCCTGGAGAAATACTCGGATAATTGGAAGTGCTGAAAAGCGGTGAAAAAAAAAACCTGAGACCGTGAGATCTGAGGAAAGTGTGATGGGGCACCAGGGGACCTCTTTGGGAGTGTTGAGCAGGAACACGACCTGGAGAGGAACCGAGCAGAACTGACGTACTGTATCGTCAAAAAATGTCACCAATGAGTCCCAGAGTGAAATGGATATAAGAAGTAGAATTAACCAAAGAAAACCCCGACTTGCCAGTCACCCAGCGGTGAAGGTCGGGGGAGAGAAAAAGGAAATGAACGTATTGCGGCGGTTGGGGCGACTTCGCCTACGGTACTGAGAATCAGAGAACGCCACCTGTGGGTTGAAAAGTGGAGGCTTATGACGTGACAGAACATGTGCAAGAAAAGCGATTGACTTAAGGTTCGAGAAACATGAAAAGCCATTTGTGTGCAGATGAGGCACCAGGTAATCTGCTTTAGAAGTTGGAGGCGGAAGATCGACGAAGAGTTGAAAACAGGAAGCCTGAGAAGATGAAAACCGGTGGGATACGTCTCTTAGGCAGCAGGGGAAACTGGCGACCTTTGCAATCTCCTGATGTTTGCAAGCTTGCCGTCTTCGAACCACCGAAGTTCGATTATATGTGCGGGGCATGTTTCACACAAACAGAAAGGGTATCCGTTACGAACGTCTGCTTTAGCCACCACGAAAGTTGCGGCTGGTGATAGCCCTCGAAACGCTCGAACGCCCTTGAAATTTGTCTTCACGGATTCTAATGCGACAGAAATCAGCACTGAAAACGACGACTGGGCTTTGCGTAGTACCGGCCAGTCTCGCCGTGGAAACGACCTGATACTCGGGAATATAAACAGTCCGATCACCCATTAGTCACGACAGGGCAGCTCGGTGTTTGCTAATGACGAAGTCGGGTTGGCGATTGTTCGGCGGCCTCTGACTTGAATAGACAGGAAACCACGGTACGAGAGGAATAAAAAGTACATAGACGAGAGTCTATACAATCAGAACCCAGTATATACTTGTGGGGATCGATGATCCGGAAAAACGGGGGCCCTGGGCTCGAGCAGCTCACCAGCTTGAGCTCGGGAAAATGTTGGTCGAGCCTTGCCTGCAACCGCGCCCGCGTTTCGGCGGGGTCTCCGTCAAGATAACCGGTCACCACCCAACCTGCGCGGTTGGAAACTTCGCTAAATAAGAGTGTTGCGCAAAGCTTGGTGGACATTGGCACTGGTTTCGAGAGGGTTAAGCGGATTGAAGTGAGGAATTGATGACAGGGTTTAAGGACACAAAAACGGGTGATTTTTAATAAAGCAGCCGGAAAACATTCGAGCTGTTTAACGTGGTCGCGAAAGCGGGGCTAGGATCCGATCAACAGAGCGCAGCAAAGCAGGGGGGGCGTAGCAAACCCAGCTTTGTATGCGGGCTAGAAATACGGCAAGTGGCAGTTGGCAGAGACTGGCTCAACGCAGAACGTACGACTATAGTGCAAACCTGCCACAGGTAAGCGTTTCTAGTTCGAGGCGCACCCACTGTTAAGCGCAGCTGACTCCAAACCCGTCAAGACAAACGCCCTAAACAAATCTTCGACAGGGCAATCACAGACCCAATGGAGAAGCTTGAAAAAACACAACTTGACAGTTGCCATGCTCATGAAGCAAAAAGCAGTCGGTTATATTAGGATTGAGCACGGTCCGGTGACGTCTGATAAGGTGCCTTCTATCTCCATACTTAGGTATTCCGGCATAGGCTCATTTGGTTACAACCTGAAGAAATTGACCTGAGCCATGCTCGAGCTCATGCTAACAAAGTTACAAATCCATCCGAGGTGAAAGTTTACACTACTGGGAGTGCCACAAGCCCACCAAAAGTATGAAAATGGAAGCGTCGGAGCTAGGCAGGGCATATTCTCACCGCTCCGCCACCTCTCAAACCATTGCGCGTAAAACGGCCCTGACCGGAACACCTCTCGCTGGAGCTGCTGCGCGTCAACCGTCCCTGAAACACTCGCCAGACCTGCCTCCTCTAAGTCCGAACCGGACACTCTTCGCCGTCCGGGCACGATTGCCAGTCCAAAACTTGCTCTGCCAGGGGCGTAGGGACAGTTTCCAGGGTTTGACCGTTAACCCCAGTTAAGCATGCCCGCAGCCAGGCGATGGCTTTGAACGCCGTTGTTTGCTCAACAAGCGTTGACAAAGTTGGGTCAGCCTGTATGAGGGGGGAAGTATGGTCAAATACCACCTGGTTGCGAGTCAGCTACTACAGATTGGCCCTTCTAAACTGACTTGATGATCGATCATGAATCAGGTTAAGCCTTAGCAATATAAGATGTATGCAAAAAGCAAGATCAGAATCTCTCTGCCGTGCATTTGGTGAATGCAAAAAATGCTTTGGTAAAGTCCGTTCCACCTAGATGCTCAATCTAATCTAATCACCAATGTGACCAACTCAGAGTGTGCTTCTGATTGTGACAGGGAGTGGAAAACGTATGGGGCACAAGGAGATTAAAAGAAAGAGCAAGGATGAGAAGCAGGAGGAAGAATAGCTGGCAAACCAGAAGAAGCAGGGATGCAGAAGATGTAGACCTTGGTTGACGAAAGTAAGTTTACCGAGAAGAGTGTGGAGATGCATGAGGAGGAAAGGACTCGCTGTCGAAAAAGTGGTCTTGAAGAAGCAGATCTCAGCAGAGTCGATGAAACGGAAGCGATGTTAGCCAGACAAAGAAGCCTTGAGAAACAAGGGAAAGAGGGGAGCGATGCCTCACAGGATCCACTCCCATCCCCGTCATCGTGATCAAGTCTTGCACCTGCTCGTTGAACTCTGGGAAATTGCTGTCTTCTTCTTCTATGAATTCATGAAGGTCATTCACTGCGACTTGCACTGGTGGAAGCTCCACGTAGTCCATGTCCATTCTATAGTTGACGCCCTGTCTTTTTGCTCCACCTTCCTTCTTTTCAGCCCTTCCCTGCCCCATCGAATTCGACCACTGCGCCAAGCCTATCCTGGAAAGAGCACCTTTTATCTGATTGACAAGACTCTTCGACTCTGCTTCCGCTCTCGCCTTCTCTGCGACTTTCTTTTTCCTCTTTTCTTCCACCAGATCAAACAAAGACTTGTCCCCCAACTCCCCGGTACCTTTCAGAGCTTCAAGAACTTTTGGAGCTACATCTATTTTCAAACTTGTGTCCTCATTCTGCGGTCTTTTCTCAAGATCATTGTGCTGTGATTCACTTCTTCTTTCGATGTCAAGAGGAGCATCAGAATGATGATGGTGACTGCTATCTGCTGTGCTTCCATCTGCTTCTTCTAACCTTTTTGCCACCACATCTCTCACAACGTCCTCCAGCGACACACTAAAAAGGTCTTCGTCAGCATCATCATTTTTTGTGGCCACCTCCTTTTCTGAACTTTGGCACCTGACCGAGTCTCGACGCGACCACCCGCTCGGTCCCCCTTTTGATGCGTCTCTTCCCTTCCACCGACAGACTACAGCATTCTCAGGTGATGATGGCTTACCAAAAGCTGCGGTCCTTTTCAAAGCTGCACTTTGCAAGCCACATCCTCCTTTAAGTAAAGCGCTTAAAGCGCTCCAGTTCCTTCCAAAGGATCTCCTCAAATGCAGGTGGGGATAGGGTGCACTACTTGCAGCCTCACCATAATGAAGCAAGTTCCTTTCCCTCAATGAACAGGCGGATCCCTTTGCAAGTCTGGATGAAAGCACCGACGTCATCATTTCGATACCAGAATGACTTTCTATTCAAGTCCTCCAACTTCAGCTGCCCCTCGAGCTCTGTGGCATCTTAAACACGCCGACATCACGATAGGCAGTGAGGAAAGCTTTGAGTGAATCTCCATTCGCAATGCACCAGGTTTGCTAGCGATCAAGATATCAAAGCAGCTATGCAACGCTGCACATTCTTCTCTGTCTCTATCTACTATAATCTAGCTAGCCGCGCTGTCTCCACCGCATGGGCCGCTAGCCGTCCCAGGGAGCCCTTCAGGCCCTGAAGTCTCCGATCTAGATGCCCGAGTTACAAAATCCAGTCAGATATGCCACGCTTCGATCCGAACGCATCAAGCATTACCGACATGTCGTGGAATCAACTCGATTTACAGGCCTGTCCAAGCACACCTTCGATAATGCTTCGTGACCTGCGTCGAAAAGATTTGACGCATCGTGACAAATGACATTGTCATCGGGCTGCTTTCAAAGCCTTGAAGTTTGTTCCTGACAAAGCTCCATCCCCATCGACGGCTCGCAAATGCGGATGTGCAACATCGACGACCTGTCGGAAGCCACGGTATGCCACGTGGAATTAAAGGTGCAACGTGAAAGTTGACCAGCGCCGCTGCGGTACTTCACTTTTCGGCCTGGCTGAGGCTCAGGGAAACAAGCCTTTTCCCCCGGGCCCTCGACCGGGGTGTTTCCTCAAGGGGACTCTGCGGTCGGGTGACTGAAGCCCTGGGCGCACACTACAGACTGCGACAGACCATGATTCTGACTTAGCCGTTTGAGAGGCCCTGGTAGCCATCATGCATGGTGGTACGTTTACTTCTAATTTGAGCTTCTTCTTCAGAGAATGTATGCAACAACCAATCAAAGTTGTTGACAGAAGCTGGATGCTGAAAATGATCACTTGATTTCACTCAAAAAGGGCCGTCCGATGTGTCTGCTCAGCTGCGTAATTTTGAGCAGGACACTATTTTGACCGACGGTCGTGATTTACAGCTAGGAAAACCTAAGTGAATGGCCTTCCTTTTTGCATTTCTCATGATAACTTTCAAGGAAGATAAGCCCGAACCACTTTGGAACAACTTTGGACGGCCATACTTTTGCTTGCTCTTCGAAATAGAAGTAAACCGACTTCAGACCTCGCAAGGCGGCGGCCGCCATGAAAGTCACTGGGTGAGTTTGACTCATCAAGGTAGTGCAGACTGGGGACTTCACCGTGTACCGAAGAGGACTCCGAATCTGCTCGCCGAAAAGTGAAGTATGCGGCTCAGCAGCGGACATCGGCTCCAGAGTCCAGCCTCCACTGCACAAGGGACCAGGGTTGTTTGCAAGGTCTGAAGCAGGTCAGAATGTGGGCAGCCTGAGCACTGAGCAAACTCTGCGAAGGAGTCCCACGAGGTGCTGACTCCGAGTCTTGGGTTTGCCTCTGCAAAGGCTCTTAGCAAGATTCGTGGGCCCATGAACGCTTGTCGCTTGCAGACTCGCCTTCAATCTCAAGGTTGAGGGAAACCTGGTCAAGAATTGATGATGGTGCAGGAGTGAGCAAGGCAGAGATGGCTGCGTGAGGCGCCGGAAACGGATAGTGCTGCGCGACCTTTTCTTACATACAATGGCTTCGTGTGTTGTTACCTGGTCTGGTAGTGCAGCAAGGGCAGCCCCTGTGGCAAGCATTACCTGCAAGCAGGTTTTTGATTCAGCATTCCAAGCTCACCCTTTCTACAGGGTGCGCTCTTTGTTGAAGCCTCCTTTGGTCCTTCCTCAGCCATCCCTCTTTCCTTCTCCTTACACCTTAGAAACCAGCAGTGACTCCGCCACGCTGCGGTGTCAAGCTGTCTGTGGTGCACAAGCCAACGACCCTTTGACACCCAGCTGCAGAAGGTTATGTCTGTCTGCAGTGGATGGGGCGCGACTCTATGCTCGGCAGCTTAGGCAGAGCCTTCAGAAATCCCGGCGTGCAGCCAGGTTAAGGTGTGAGTCAGCTTCAGAACATGAATGTGAAGCAGCTTTTTCGGACAGTGAGGGCCAGGACTTGCGCCCGTCGAGTGTATTTACAGAGGAGAGGGCAGCACTTGGAGGGTCTGGTGCAAACTGGCCAGAGAGATGGGACGTTGTGGGCCTCGGACAGGCAATGGTAAGGTTTTCTCTGATAGGCTGTACTGGTCCACGGCCCCACAAGTTTAGGAGGCTCGAAACGTGCAAGTCGTTGATCATGTGTGGTCCATCTTATTTACTGAAGATGTATGCGAGCACGGCTAAAGCTTGTCGCTGGCATCGGGGTTCTGCCCGTCATCTTTCACAGATGTGTCCTAGTAGTCCAGGCGTTCACTTTGATACTACAGTTTGAGGCCAAGCAGCACAGTCGGGTTTGTGTTTGTGCTGCAGCTGCTACATTCACCTACTTTTAGTTCTTGTCTGTCTTTGAATCGCTTTTGAGTCCTCCAATGCTGGTTGATGCGTATTCAACAAAGTGTGAGACAACGAAGCTCGACTCTTCGTCCTTCCGTGGTCGAAATGAAGTCTGAGTAACTAACAAAGCGCGAGACACTGAAGTCAACATGTAAGCACTTTTAAGAGCTCAAATCATTCAATCATCGTATTCAACTTCAAGCAGACCCGGAAGCACACCCAGAAGCAAGCAATCTTTGCTGGGTGATGCTTCAGTTTAGGGGCTGGTCTCTCAGATGCAATCGTGAATCTATGGCCGAGTTCCTTTGGTGAAGATGAGTTCAAAGTATGATATCAGTCCAGCAGAGCTATTGAAGCTCGCAAGCCCTCTATTCTTACCGCTCTTGTTGTCGTTCTACTGTGATCGTTTCCCTTGGTCGGGAATATCCCCAAAGTCACATCGTGATCTCTCCAAATAGGCATTGGAAAATGCCCGAGCACTCTTGACGCACACCTTTCACCTCATGAGGAATACAATCAGCAATAACTGCTTTTGAAATGTTTGCATTGGCAGGTGGCATCTTTGGTGGTTGTATCAAAGACAAGAGAATGACCCTTTTCGCTTCACTGCAAACCCTGATCAGCTTCGGCACATTGTAGTATCCATCCGAGTCAGCAACATCATATGTACTTGATAGATGTCTTTCTGGAAGGCACTTGCAATCAGTCGTCTTGCTTCCTCTCAGGTCGATTTCTCGGGCACCGTCAGCGACGACCTGCTAGACCACCTTGCTTTGGAAAAGGGCAAGCGCAAAGTCGTGGATCACAACGAGCGGGGCAAGGTGCTCGGAGCCCTGGACGGCAAGAACTACAAGGTCACTGCGGGGGGATCGCTTTCCAACACTCTAGTTGCGCTGGCGAGGTTAGGGCAGGGGGCGCTGGACGCAGAGGGGAAGGAGCTGGTTGCCCCCCTGAGTGTGGCCATGACTGGGAGCGTTGGGAGCGATCCTCTGGGGCAGTTTTACAGGTGGGCGTTGGTCTTGCGGCAAGGAGTCTTTTGGTTTGACATTTTTCCAGATTGTGCCGACTCAACTATTGGTGCGTAGAAAAGTTGAGATGCTTTTCTGACCATACCGTTTTCTTCTTGAAGTTTGACACTCAAGCATCTGAGCTTGAATGTGGTCGACAGAAAGTGCAGTCTCTGGTGTCTCTGGGTACCTTAAACAGGGTGAAAAGCAGCAATCGTCCTGACAGTTGGCATCGCTGTAGTGTATGTCAATCAATCGTCAAAAAATTCTGAGTGTTTGGCTGGGTCTGCACTTTTCGAAGCTCTCTGCAGAAGCTGGAAGTGTAGAGGGTCTGCACTTTTCAGGTCTCTGCAGATGCAGAGAACAGAGGAAGTGTAAGTCTAGCTTGCTGATTCGCCGGTGTCACAGCTCTGTTTTGTGTTACGTAGATACCGCATCTCGCTGAGCTACCCTGGCTAAGATACTGCCTGGTTGTCGAGCAGCACTCTCACTGTCCTACTTTTCAACGCGTTGCTCTTTTCAGGATCCAGCTTCCTAAGAGGCAGGAAAGGTGGACATGAGAGCCTTTTTGCATTAACCAGCTAGCGCATGTCCTGACATGCTTCTTCCTATGTTACAGGGCGAAGCTACTTCGCGCTGGCGTCCACTTCCTCTCCACCCCCATCTCTGACGGGACCACCGGCACCGTCGTCGTCCTCACAACGCCGGACGCTCAGCGGACCATGCTCTCTTACCAGGGCATGTCGTCTGAGGTCGAGTTTGACGAAACCCTAGAAAAGTCGCTCTCCTGTGCGCGGGCCTTGGTCGTCGAGGGGTATCTTTGGGAGATCCCCGAAACTATTGAGGCAATCCAGAAAGCGACCAAGGCAGCGAGGGAGCAGGGCTGCTTGGTGGCGCTGACTGCGAGTGACGTGACGTGCGTGAAGCGCTACAGGGAGACGTTTTGGTGAGTGGCGACTTGTCTGCTTTGGAATGGAGGGACCTGTCTGCCTTCAGTCGTTGGGATGAAGTGGTCCACAACTTTCCATGCCAACTATTCAACAAAACCATTTTCTCGTGGGTAATGTCAGACAAGTCAGCGCAGCCATGGGGTCCTTCTGCGTACCTCAACTTTTGGAGTTGATGAGGAACTTGGTTGGGGATGCTGCGAGCGTTGTGCAGAGCCGGATGACTTTGGAAATCTTGTAGTGTGCATGTTGCTTGCCGAAATGTCATCAGTCTACTGACGCTTGTTATGACGGTTTCCCAGTTTTGCACCTTCAATCGAGTCGTTTGATTGAAGCTCAAGTGAGACTTGCTTTCTGCAGGAACGTGATGGCTCAGGACGCTGACCTGCTGTTCTGCAATACGGACGAGGCGCGCGCTCTGGCCAACGAGGGCGCCGACGCCACTCCCCACTCGGTAGCCCAAAAGCTGAGCTGCTACTGCCCTATGATTGTGGTCACAGACGGTCCTGCGGGCAGCTATCTGGGCCTGAGGGGTGAGGTTTGCTTTGTGCCGCCCTGGCCGTGCGAACCGGTTGATACCTGCGGCGCGGGGGATGCGTATGCAGCGGGCATCTTGTATGGCTTGCTTAGGGGGGGGATGGACTTAGAGAGCATGGGAAACTTTGCCGCGCGCGTGGCTTCAGTCGTGGTTGCCCAACAGGGGGCGAGATTGGGCTCGGTGGATGCGCAGTGGCTAGTAGGGTGCCCCCCGGTCGTGGCACCGGGGCATTTCGGTGTCGAGAGTGTGTCGAAAGTCGAGAATGTCACGGGGTTGAATTTGAGGGTTCCCCCAGTCAAGGAAGCCAAGCAAAAAGGCTTTGTATGACCTTAGGGCAATATGTAACACAGGTCGTAAATTACAAGGAGGCCGGCTTTTGCCTGCTATCTAGCATGGAAGATTCTGCTTGATGTCTCTATATAATCTGTAGATTGCTTGCGAGATAGAGGGACGTGAACAGTCATGCAAGCAAAAGACAGGTAGCCTGAGGCCGCCTCATTGGCAGCCTAAGACCTCTGGTCCATCTGATATCGAAATTGGTAGGCAACAATCTCTTGAGACGGGGCTTACTCCGTAGGCAGGTAAATGGTATGTCGATTCAAGGTACACACTCATCAAGAAGAGGTAGAGCTCACCCGCAATGACACGGTCAAGTTGTCGTCGCTTGATCCAAGTCATTCAATTCATTAATTTGATCAGCTGACGTCTTGGTTCAGGTCATTCAAGCGTACTAGGCCCTCATCGTTTTGTGAGACGAACTTGGACACGGCATGCAGCATCTAGCTACCATCATGGCACAAGCCTTTAATTCTTTGTAACCTCCAATGATACATCATGCCCATGGATGGGAAATGGTACTCTACACTAGTCGTAACTTGTAGATCGAATTGAACCTTTAGTCAAACGACTGATCAAGCTCAAGTTGAGTGTCACGTGCAGTGGGTTGGCGCCAAAAATGTTGACTTTCAATTCAGGGATCCCAGATGAACCTTGCATAGTAACTTGAACAATACACAATATTGATTACATGTTATCAATCCATTAATATTTGCTGCAGCAAATTGTTCATTAAAAAATCCTTCATCGATCTCTGGGCCTCTCGCGATGCAGAGGAAGGGTCACATCCATGAGCGATCGTTACATAGCTGACAATTGCATGATCGACTTTGGGTTGTTCTTGACAGGATTTTCAATCGATCGAGTTGATTGCAATTCACAGACAAAGTTCGAACAACTATAACACAAAAATGATGTCAAGTAAAATATAACACCCAGACAATAGGTAGAGTCTAGACCGTAGTACCGTACGGTAGTATGTTCCCGGGGGCCGGATCGACTGGGATTCTCTTCTCTTGTCGTCCAATGAAATTCTTCCGACACGTTCCTTTGCACTTCCAAGTTCTTACGCTTTTTGTACTTAGCGCCGCCTCTAGATTGCGAGCAGCTGCAGGGAAGAAGAAGACGAGGTCCTACACACTGTACTGTGTACACAGCCTGGCCCTAGTCATGCCGTGACTCTGAGCCTCTCCTGACTTCGAAGTTCGAGAAGCAGACAGCAGAAAGCAGCGCAGGATCACGAAGACGGAGAGGGCTATCTGGAGCAACTTTTCTCAATAGTTGGGCTCACTCAGTTTTGAATAACGAAGAGAGAGAAGCGCAGAAGTGTCCGGGAACACAAAGAAGTTTCACAGCAGATTTGCGCAGTCAGGAAATCTTGAACTGAAAGGGACGCCAAGACCGAACGGTCGACCGCAAGGTTGAGCACAGGAGAGGAGCATTTGAAGAGCGTTTATTGTATCCCTATACCAAACATGAATCCTGAATAGTAAGTCCTCACTTCTCTCTTGTCTTGGCATGCGATAAATCCGGATGCAGAAGGATCTGCAAGTCCAGAGGAGCAGGTAGACCTGTGCTCAGATTGAGTCGTGTGTGACAGATTTCTTAAGATCTGGAGAGGAATGTCAAACTCTCTCGTTGTTTGTTGCAAGAAGCCCCTCTAACCTGCTGACCTCTTCTTATGGTACAGTGATTACCTCTTCAAGCTTCTTCTAATTGGGGACTCAGGTAGGGTTCCAAGCTTGCCCTCTAGAGATGTTATATTCATTCTTTACAGTCAGATGCGATCCAGCTGCATAATCCTTTCTATATAGAGTTGCCTTGTTAAGACTGCGTATCCTTCATGTGTGCTTGTGGTTGTATAGGAGATACTAGACATGTAGGCATGTCTTCAATGGTTGAGTGACTATTGCTGACCTGGTTCTTGTCTTCCTGCTCTTTCAGGTGTGGGAAAATCGTGCCTCTTGCTGCGGTTTGCGGTAAGCTGTCAGCCCTACTCTCCCGTGCCCAATTTTGCATGTTATTGCACAGAGAAGGTGGCACCAGTTTTTCCTTGCAGAGCGACTGACATCAGTATACTTGGAGCGAAGTGTGGTCTGCATGAGAGGGTGACAAGCTTGCGTTCAGTGTGCTAGAGCTCAGGGCCTGTCTGTTATCAGGCCCGTTAGAAACTGGAGGTTGCTTGAGATAGTAGGAATTTGCAGGCCTCCTGATTATTTGCCTCGCATGCGCTTTGTCAGAAGCTGACCGAAGCTTGCTGTGTTTATTTGCAGGATGATTCCTACTTGGAAAGCTACATCAGCACAATCGGGGTTGACTTTGTAAGTTTGGTTCCATCTTCATTTGCTCTTGATTTGTGCAGAATATAGAGGTACCGAAGGCTCCGGATCATCCTAATTCTGTCTGCATGTTAGGTGTTGGAAGGGTGCTATTCTGGGCCCTTCGGCTAAGCTGAAGATAGATGAAGCCGAAGATAGATGCAGGCTGGTCAGATGGCCGTAGCTTACACAGCTGTTTCAATCATCCCAGAGGGTCTGTCTTGGCTTTTTTGGGCAAGGGGAATTAGATTTTGGCATAACGAGCTTCGCTTCTGCTCAAGCCTTACTCAGATTATTTCTCAAATCAGCTGAGCTGCAAACTGTTTGAGAAGTCCTTGTTTCTGTGCGTTCCTATGTGGTCGCAAGGAGGGACGTTAGGGTTCAGTTCTTGCTTTGGAGGGTCTGCGTGAGAAGTGTGCACAACGCGCCCTGTGATACTTGCATTTGTTTGCATTACTTACAAGATGTTCTGTAAGAGTTGCCTGGGCCCCTGGTTGGCCATCTGCACTTGTTCTGAATTGGACGAAGCTCTGGAGGAATGATGCAAACAGATCAGGTCTAGTGCGCACGTGACGCTTATGGCGCCATCCCTTTTGTCTCTTGCAGAAGATCCGGACCGTGGAGCTAGACGGCAAGACCATCAAGCTGCAGATTGTGAGCTTCTCATTTTCATGTTTCCTTCGGCGCATATTATTGGGATTGGTGTTTTACACAAAATGCTGAGTCAACGTGTAGCGATTTTGTGACCAGTGTTGAGCATAGGCGAGCATCTTTTGGGATGCTCGTTGCTTCAAGGTGTCAACTGTCGGTCAAGGGCCCCCTTTCATTTTGAGTTCTTCAGCTCAATAGTAAGATACAAATTGAACCACCTGCGTACGCTGATCTTTATGAGACTGCTTGTAGAAGCAGTGCACAGGTTGCAGTCAAGTAGCCTTCAGATCTAAGGATTATGCGCGGCCTTGAGGGTACATCAGGTTTGACAGCAGACAGAAGCTCGATATGAGAAGGATTTGCTGTCTTCGCTTATCGCTTCATTCTTGCTTGTCGTCATTTCTGGAGCCTTTGTTGCTTTCTGCAGTGGGATACGGCTGGCCAAGAGCGCTTCCGGACTATCACGAGCAGCTACTACCGGGGCGCGCATGGAATCATTGTGAGTGGCACTGCGATGTCATCTTTGACATCAACGATGTTTTGGTTGCTTTTATCCATAATGAAGACCCCGCTGACAAAAAAAGGAAACTGGCATTAGGAGTTTGTTCACCAAAGTTGTCCCACTTGTCGCTTAAATTTGTGTCGCTCAAAAAGTGGCCATTCATCTGCGCCTACACCTTATGCCTCATGTTGTCAAGAGTTCACTTGCAATAGGAACTGCAAACTTCAATCGAGATTGGGGTTAAGGCTCAGGGTTGGAAACTTATTTTGTCCCTAGTCTTCTTAGATTTGGTGGCAGCCCTGCCACTTTTTGATGTAGTTGAGAATCAATAGGTGTCTGGTCCGGATCCGCTGGAGATTGGTATGAGAGACGGTTGTATTAGTGACGGCAAGTTTGTTTAAGAAGGCGGCAAATGAATCTACTTTCAGCTGGATTCATTGCATGCTTTGCGAGAGCACGGATTTGTGGCATACATGCTGATGAACTGGATTTTCTCATTAGAAAGAAGTGTCTGTAGAAAGGATACACAGGGAGTGCTTGAATCTTGCAACATCCGTTTGCCGTCCTGTTTCCAATCCATTCGCAGAATCCTATCCTGTGAGCAGATGTCACATCTGGATAGGCTTGCAGATTATCCAGCTGACATTTGGACGCTTGTGCTGAAAGACAATCTTTCTGCGCTGCAGGTTGTTTACGACGTCACTGACCAGGAGAGCTTCAACAATGTCAAGCAGTGGCTCAACGAGATTGACCGGTATGCAAATGAGAATGTGAACAAGCTGCTGGTAGGAAACAAGAGCGACCTCACGGCAAAGAAGGTGGTGGACACAAAGACGGCTAAGGTGAGGGAACCTCGTTGGTTTGGATCTTGTTCCAGCTGGCATGGTTTCAAAGATTCATCTGGACCTATTTTGTGCGCTTATCTGTCCTCAGTGTAGTGTTCCTTTGGCACTAATTGGTTTGATTTTACTTTGTTGTAAAGTTTTTACAAAACGTCAGTCGTTGGTTGATTCTGTGTATTATGGTCCCTTTGCATTCTCAATCTTGAGCGTTTTTACAGCGAGGACATGCGGTGCGGTCAGAAGTTGAGTGACTCAAACCGCTTGATGAATTGAGCACCACGTTTGGGGTGTTTGTGACGTTTGACAGATGAAGACACAATCCTCTTGACGTATTGCTCATCGATTTGAGAAGGTTCGGTTTTAAAAATTCGGTCCATCAGTCGCTGTGGCAATATCAAGTCCTTTCGGACATTAATTGGGGCAGGGCGTATAGGCTCGTCAGCAAAGTAACGATGAAACTGAGTCGTTTTTCGCTCTTGGCAAAGCTACACTTTGCCATTGAGATACTTCCGCGAGCTGTTATTTGAAAAAAAAAGTTTATAAAACGTGGAAAAACAGCGTCACTTATTAGCGTGGAGTCAGATCGGATAAGATGTGGCTTTGATCGGCCTTGCCGACGAGCAGGTATGCCATACAAATCGGCCGTTATTCTGGGACTGAGCGCAAGGAAGCACCTATTACGAAGGACCTTTATTGAGGAGTTTCCTGGAGATGGAAGTTACCTCGTTAGAGTACCCCTGACAAAGCGATTGTGTCTAGTATTGCTGTCAGCTTTTTATTTGGGCAAAGAGTCATACCAGTGTACATATTCGATAGTATATCTTTTGTAGGAAGGATTGCTGAACGGACCACGGTTCTTGTCGTGTCTTGCAGGCGTTTGCTGACGAGATTGGCATTCCTTTCCTGGAAACCTCCGCCAAAAATGCCACAAACGTCGAGCAGGCTTTCATGACCATGGCCGCCGAAATCAAGAACAGGTGAGATTACAGATACTGCCTTTCGCACCTGCAATCATGAGCCTCTTAAAAACTTGTTTTCTTGAAGGTCGCTTACACCCGCAGGTTGTTATTCTGGCTTGCTTTGAGCTTGGCTGGCAACTCTTACTGCGCATCTCTCGGGTCCTGGTTACAATTTGTTCATTGGGTTTCCATCTGCTTGCTGTATCGGTCATAAGGTTCGTTTGGCACCGACCTATACAAAGTACGGTGCCCCTTGAATCTTTGCAGACTTTGAAAAAGGGATTCAGTGCATTCTGCGACTGCCCATGTTTGGATTTGGAACAGGAGAGGATTCGAACATCTCTAGTGGCGAAAGTTTGTAGAGGCTACAGAGACGCGTCAACGTACTACAGAAGCTGACTGCATGTCGTGTTTGTTGCAGGATGGCGAGCCAGCCAGCCGTGAGCAACAAGGGTGGGGTGACCGTAAAGCCAGGGGAGAGCCGGCCCTTGCCTCAGAAGAGCAGCTGCTGCTCGTAGACTGGCGCGCTGTGTCACAAGACAAATTGCACATAGTAACGTCGCACAAGCAGGGCCTTTGCTTGAACCCTCAAGTCCGTTTGGCAGCTAAATCAAGTGTACAATGGACTGCTATTCGTTGAGACCCTGGACATAGTTGGAGAGGTTATTGCAGTTGTTGGACATACTTGCGTCACGTTTGACACCATATGATGCTTCAAAGGCCGGTAGTAGGAATTTTTTTGCGGACCTGTACACGTTTTTGGTCTGCCTAAGCGCAACCATTCTATGCTTATTCACGTAGGTACTTGATGTTTGATGTTTGTCACGAGGCCCTCTTTTCGACGGTCTTTCATGCATCCTAAGTTACAGATGGATGGTCGGATGACCGGAAAAGACAGTTGTCTGATCCTTAATCGAAATTTTCACGCTTCTGTCCACTTCCGTCGGACCCAGGCTCCACTCGATGTTACATGCATTCAAAACGCCATGTTCATTCGACCCTTTTTTGCTGCGCGCGGCACCGTACAGATTCTGGATCGCATGAGCCTTGGGCCACAAGTGTCTTTCTTAGGTCCTTTCCAGCAGGCCCGCGCTCATATACCGCTCGATCTGGCAATTACAATGCAGCCGATGGCCACTTCCAGATTTCGTCCGTACGTGTACTTGCCTTCGTGCTCTCACTTGTAAATCGACGCTTTCAATCATGAGATCGATCGTGTTCTGGACTGCGCTGCACGGCACGCCAGCATGTCGGACTCACATATTCTATTAGGTAGTATATTGCAGCTCAGTGCTGCCGCACATCATTGATGCTGCGGATCCATCGATTGTTGGATTTCCAACTTTCATTCACAATCAAGTTCGAATATATGATTAGCATGCAATCAAGAACTTCAACAAATCCGATTATGCACCGCGGGTCCATGCGCGCTCAAGTTTGTAGTGTCGATAGATTGAATGGGGCGGACATCAGAGGGATCATGCACCGCCAATTAAAGATCATTTGGACTGGCCGGCCGCTCAATGGGTGCCGCCGACGTTCACATCGAAGAATCTCATAAATATATATCGACCCGTCTTAAGTTTTTCAAAATCAGATCCTAGGGTGCGAGTCACTAAGAGCCCCCTAACCAGTCGTCTGAGTACCTTAAATTGCTCCACGGTCAGCAATTGTTGCAGTCGGGTGCACACCAAAACCAATCATGTGACGGTACTGAATATTGTGATATGTCGATGCGTTCAGCTACATGGCCCCTCAAACATGCACAAGAGTTACGTACCTTCACCATACTGCAATATACTTAGTATCTTTACAATTGTATTACACGTCTTCATTTGCAGCCCCAAGTAGCCCCTAATATCAGACAGTCCTCGACAGCAGTCACTGAGCACGGCAATTAACGGGACGTGATCTGCTAGATAGTATGGATTTGCAGTCCACCTTTGCGGAATCCTTCGTACTTTACAACGGTATTCATCTTTACAAAAGAAAGATGATAGCTCCACTATCATATTATTGGTGGGTGCAGATCCGCTACAAATTATATGCGCAAGCGGGCGGATATTGTACACGGCAACTCCAGTAAAGCGGTCAAGCTCCTTCAGCTGAGAGGTCCACGTTGATGTTGCCACGTGTCGCGTTTGAGTAGGGGCAGATCTGATGCGCTTCCTCCATTATTTTCTGGAGGTCGGCCGTCGAGATGTCTGGCGAATGGGCATGCAACCCAACGCCTAACCCAAGCTGCAAAAACGCGCCGCAGAATAGTTAGCAAGTGTTATCATGCTCTTACCCATCTGCGAAGCGCTTATAGATGTTACTTCTTGAAGCCGCTCAGGGTGGGCCGATATGAACGCGTACACGTACGTTGTTTTAGGGAATGTGTCCCACGAGCTTGGATCTTGCGTTATAACACGCAGACGAACATTGGAAAGAGCGCCTTCTATTTGGCTTGTTAGAAGGATCCACTCTGACGTGATGAAAGCGGCAAAGACGAAAGCAGCAGCCCTTGGAGAACTGCTTCGGTTGCTTCACACTCAAAAGCCGGAACACGATTCAGGTCGTAGGAGAGCTTTCGTGGGATCTTGAAATACCCGAAAACAAGAAAACGGCTGAAGTTGTTTCTAAGGATGCTTCGAAAGATGATCTGAAGTAACTGGAAGGGCGTATATGAGTTGAGTCCACCCGTTGGCCGTTCCTTCGTCTGCAGAACAAAATCGGATACTCCGCCGTCCATTCTTGCGAGCTGGGATCAGAAGCGATGGAGTGAAAGAGCGAATGCTTTGCTTACAGTCGGACTCCATGAGACGCGAGCTCGATCACGACCGAGAGCATGGCAAAGAGAGGAACAACGACAGATTCGAACGTTGACATCGAAGTCGGTCTTCCAACTGGACGGGCTTTAAGCTGCCACGACCAAAGCGGCTTGTTTTCCCCTGTTAGCTGCAGCAAGACATTGCTCAACGGAACCACGTTGGTGCACGGATTGAGGCGCGTGTTGCGGGAATCAGAATCTTCGACTCTTGCTAAGTTTCTTGGACGGGAACTACAGCTTCTCAACTTCCAACCCTTGAAAGTTTCTTGGACGGAAATTAGAAGCTTCTCGGTCTTTGGACTTTCGAAACAACAACCAAGTGCTTCCTGCCACTGTGAGAAGCGCCGAGACGCTCGCTCACTTTCCCGTTGTCGCTGATGAAGTGGACGGTTCCCCGGACGGCCGTCGACTCGGGCAGGCTCTTCTTCAGCTTCTTAGCGGCAGCCCCCATCGCTCCAAGGAAGCACGCGGCGTATCCTGCGCGAGAACTAATGTGTCAAGGAAAGGAGCGCTAGTTTGGAACGATGTTGAAGACGCTCAGTTTTGAAGGATGTTTCTTACAGGTTTCTCCGCCCCGCTTTACGGGCGGCTTTTTGCTGGTTTGAAGATAGTTTACACAAGGCTTCTGCGTCCTGCTTTATGAGCAGGTTTCTAATGAAACCCGTGCTTCAGCGAGAAGGGTACGTGTCAGGACAGGAGCTTTTAGATTGGAAGGATGAGGTGATTGATCGGCTCGGCTTGAAGACTATTTCTTACAGGTGTCTCCGCCCCCGCTTTGAGCGCGGCTTTCTGGTGGTTCGAAGGGAGACAACAGATGGCTTTGGCGTCCTGCTTTAACAGAGGGTTTCTGATGACATTCGTACTTCGGCAACAAGAATTATGTGTCAAGAAATCGAGCGCTTAAATTGGCAGAATCATTTGAAGGAGCGGCTGGGTTTGAAGACTGTTTCTTATTGGTCTCTACGCCCCACTCTAAGCGCGCTTTCGGACTGGTTCGAAGAGAATCCACAGACGGCTTCTTTGCCCTGCTTTGAACCGCTCTATGAGTCGAATTTTGAAACCCTGGCACGAGAAACTGCTTGACAATCTAAGAGGAAGAGGGTTTAGAACTAGGTTCCTGGGGCCAGTCAGAGTGACATAAGAAGAACTCAATACTATATGTAGAGGCTGCCTACTGTCAAGGCTAGGCGACTTTGACAATAAGTGGAAACAGTTGACCTTCTGCAGTGGAGAATGAATGTAGTCTGGCTTATAACTTGATGGTCTAATTGCCTATCGTCATGGGTACTGAAGGGAAGCATACACAATCTGAGAACCTGTGGGAATCAGGGAAAAAACTCTGCCCACAACACCAAGTAGCGGTGTAACGAGCTAGCAGGACAACTACAGCAATCACTCTGGAATAGAAGACATATTCGTGCAGGTTCGTGTTAAGGGAACAATCTGTTAACCATAGCCTGACAATATTGGGGGGCCCAACAAACATCAAGCTCAATAGGAACAATTGAAGCTACTGTTAGAGAAGAGCAGAGCAATCTTGGGAGGGGAAAATTTTAGATCGAATTCTGGAGTGGTGAACACACCCAGTGTCTTTTGAAATTGAAGACTCCCCACCAAGTTTTTTTGTACTGATCCTCTTCTTCAACTCCGATCAAATGATCCTGAAGTGTTTTCCAGATTCCAAGCAACCAAAATCTAAATTGATAAACGCTTTGGCAACTAGGACTGGAGACATAGAACAATTCTTACCTGCTGAGAACAGCTGCTCTGGGTTCGTCCCCTCGCCCCCAGGTCCTCCCAGCGCCTTTGGCATTGAAAGCTTCAAGTCGAGCGCATCTGCACAGTGTTGATCAAAGCCCATCAACATACAGCATTACTTACATTCATTGGTGGTTCACAAGGTTTACGGAAGGCTCCCTTGATCTTGATGATCCCGGAAAGTGGTTTGGGGACTAAGCCCCTGTTTCAGGTGATGGTTTGCAGTTCATTGCCCCACAAGTCCGGGAACGTTTTGCAAATCAGCCACTGATTGATCTGGAGGAGTTGGAATCTGGACGCAAGAATCGGTGTATGGAAGCTGACACGACGTGACCTGATAATTCAGGAGGCAGACAATCCATTTAGAGGAGCCTGCGGTGGGTTTCAAAGTGAAGGCAGCATGCAGAAGCTGAAACGTCCCAAGCGACCAAGTTCCTTCTCCCAAAAAGCTAATCTACTTTTGCGTTAGCTGATTTTGTCTCCTCTTTCTTTCCAGATCTCCCCGCAGATGCCCACTAGCCCAATCTCAAGGGCTGTCATATCAGCTCGCCTTTGCTAGGAAAACTTTCTGAGATGCAGCTTGCATGGTTACGGAACCACCCTCATCAAGGACAATGAATCATGCCCCTCCACAACAGAGAAGAAAAGCACAACAACCTGGCTGGCAAGCAACGTACCGGTTCCATCAGTGGACTTTGCGGTGCCGTTCCTGCCCCCTACAGCAGTGGATTCTGCAGTGTACAAAATGCGCCCGGCCATGCCCCGGTTGAATTGCAGGGAGAAGGGACTGCCATTGTTGAGTGCCCCTCGGACACTCCTCACGCTAATTGAACTACCTCGCAGCATTGTGCATGCGATGGAGAGCCTCGATGCAATTGGTTTATAGTTGCTGAAAACCTCCGACGTCGGTAGGACGTCTGCCCTGCCAAATGAGTGTGCGTTTCGAATCGAGTGCCTTCACTCCGCTGGGCGCAATTGTCGTTGAGAGGCAAATCAGGGTGGAGAATGAGTTCGGTATGCCAGCATTGCCTCAATCGCACGAGACTGCCAGACAACAAATTTTGCAACAGGAGGCGCTATGCAAGCTTTTACTAAAAGGTTAAAAGTTTTAGCTGCGGTTCCATGCAAAACGATCGACGCAGTTCTATTAGAGAACATCAATCCAGTTTGCTTGGCAGCCCAAGCAATGCAGGCAAATCCAATGCAGGGTTAACGAGACAAACCCGCTACGGAAGAGCTTAACTTGAGTCTGGTTGCTCTAACTTACTTTTGCAATCTTCTGCAAACTTGACTGAGCGCTCTGAAACCCGGCAAGGCGGCCAAGAGGCGCTAGTCGCACTGCCGGCCGCGCGTGGCACGACGTCTGGCACGGCAGCCGCGCGCTCTATGCAGCAGACTTTTGAACAAAGTCACTAATTGGACGAAAGAACAAGTAGCAGCGCTAAGGACGGGGTACAGACCTTCAAAATATTTCTTTTCTTTGACAACGGGTCGTAGTGCAGGCGCCCGCAAGAATGACAGTCGTAAGCGACTACGCCAATTCGCCAGCGTCATCTGATCCAGCGACTCCCGACGTTTCGAGCGTTCCATGGCGCTTTTCTTTATGGGGCCTGTGCATAACACTGCACAGAACGAAGCGTGTGAACAAACACAAAAAGGAGGGCTGCGGCAGTTGGCAGTGGAAGCTTTCCACTCTGTTTCTCGGCACAGCCCTGGTGGCCCACGTTTGCTGGTTGCTTTCGCGCGAAGCGCCTCACCATGGGTTTACTGAAAATACGCAAGTTTCTGAGAGCAATTGCACGGACACGCTCTTTCTCCCTGAACCCACAGAAGTGAACGCCTTTCTTAAGGAGATTCCGGGCTTGAACAACCCCCTCATGCCAACGCACCCGCCTCTCAAAGTCGCGCGCTGCCGCAGCGAGCTCAAAGGGCCAAGCTACGATTTCTATCAGGTAGAGCACCCAGGGGGGTGTAACGCCAGGCCGGGGATGCGAGAGAAGGCGTTACACGAGTATACACCCAAAGAGCTGTTCTTCGTCCGACAGCTTCCTTGGTTGCCCTACTTTCTCGTGGTTTCTGTGCTGGGCCTCTTCGCCTTTCTGATGTGGTACGGTTTTTTGCCGGGCAAGGATCCCGCCACAAGCCTGGCAAAGCGCGCGCGCAGATCAGAACGGGCAAAGGAGACAATCAAGACACTTTTGGGGCTGATCTCATTCATGCTCGGCTGCATTGGCATGGTTTTGTGTTTTGCAAATATAGACACGCTCGTCAATATGGTAACGGAGGTGCCGGTTAGGCTGCCTGACCCGGAGGTTTCATATGGTCTGAACCACTTTCTGGCAGAGTCTGGGCTCAGCCAAGTGTATCGATGCGAGGCTGGCATGTACGAAAAGTTCGACTTTTATGTGGGCTTTCCGGACAGCTGTTCGCAACTGGGCGATCCACACCTGCCTATCTCTAATCGGCTTCAACGCGAACAGATGCGGGAGTGGAGAAGAAGCGGACAATTCAGCACCGTCTTAGGGGACTTTCCTGACGACCAGTCTCCCCGGAGTAAAAATGATTCTTGGATGGGCGGGGTTTTGCTGGGGTCCATGTTAACCGTGACGTTCCTAGCGATATGCTTCTACATATGTGCATATCGCATCCTCGCATAAAGAAAGAGGAGCAACTCTCAGAGGACGGCAGAATTCTATCAAAGCAGAGGATAAGCCTTAGTCGAGTAGAACAATCAAAGTTAATAGATCTCTAGTTGAGGAACGGCGCAAAGCGCGGCCAATTCAACCAACGTAGAAACTCAAGACAATCACGCTTTCTAGGATTACGAGGCCTGACTCAATTGACCTATCGAGCGATCCGATATTGTCGTCATGTTGCATATGGCATCCGTCTTGCGTTGCAGCTAAGAAGGCTTCTGTGTGTCCGCTGAGCTTGCGTCATGATCACTTTTGTGGCCCCACTTGCCCTCTTTGTAGCTCATCGTGTCCACAACATACTGGGGTTGTCAGTGCTTGCATGTTTCGTGGACGCCGCTCAGGTTCGCCCCTGGGGGTTGGAGCCGGGAGAAGACTCGTGATATTCAGCAGACTTATATTGAGTTCTTTTGGGCAGTGGAAACGAAACCGTGACAATCATACAGATGGGCAGCAACAATCGGGAAAAAGCGGTCGACTTCATCACTGCCTTGCATGACCGTCAGATATTATGGTATAATCCGTCACGAACGTTGGTACAAATCATATGAGTACTCTAGAATTTCTCTCCATGCAGAGCGGTCAAATCAGTTTGCTTAGCACTGGCCGCCAAGCGCAAGCTGACTGGAATGCAAGAAGATGTAATGCAAGGTCAACGCGAGACAAACCCACTACGGAAGAGCTTACCCTGAGTCTGGTCGCTCTAACTAACTTTTTCAAAAGCTAGCGCTCAGCTGAAACCCGGCGGCTGAGCGAAGGGCGGCCGCGGGGCGCTCATCGCACTGCCGGCCGCGCGCATGGCACGGCAGCCGCCTAGCTCTTTAGCGCAGCCTGTTGAACAAAGTCATCCGGACAAACTAAGATGTAGCTGCGCCACAGAAAAGCGTATACTAGAACGTCGAAACAACATTTGATAGAACGTGGTGGAGGCGCCAGCAAGAATGACAGTCGTCAGCAACTACGCTGGCGCGCCAGCGTCAGCAACCCCCGACGCTTCCAGCTTTCCATGGCGCTTTTCTCTCTGGGGGCTGTGCATAACCCTTCACAAGGCCAAGCGTGTGAACAAACACAGTCGCAGCGAGAACGGCGGCAGCTGGCTGTGGAAGTTTTCGACATTTTTCCTGGGCATCGCGCTTCTGGCCCAAGTTTGCTGGTCGCTTACGCGGGAAGCGCCTCACCCTAGTTTGAGGGAAGCGCCTGATCACCCAAAACTTACTGACAGTACGCAAGTTACTGAGAAGAATGGCACGGATAGGCTCTTCCTGCCTGAACCCACAGAAGTGAACGCCTTCCTTGAGCGGATTCCGGGCTTGAACAACCCCCTCATGCCCTCGCACCCGCCACTCAAACTTGTGCGTTGCCACAAGCGAGCTCAAAGGGCCAAGCTATAATTTCTATCAAATAGAGCATCCGGGGGGGTGTAACGCTTGGCCGGGCATGCGGGCGAGGGCGTTACACGAGTACACCAATTGGGAATTGTTCTTCGTCCTTCAGCACTTCTGGTTGCCGTTCTTCCTCATAGCTTCCACACTGGGCTCCTTCGCGTTTCTTCTGTGGATGGGATGCTCACGAAACAAGCAACCTGAGACAAGCGTGGCAAATGCAAAGCCTGCGCGCACGCCAGAAGAGTGAAATAACATTGAGGGGCAGAAGATTACTTGGGCGCTTGTCTCGATTACCCTTGCCGCCATGTGCATGGCCTTCAGCATCGTAATCGATCAGGCTGCCAGTGTGGCAACCCAGGTGCCGGTCAGGCTGCCTGACCCGGAGGTTTCCGATTTGAACCAAGCTTTATTAAAGTCTGGGCTTAAGCTTCACCTGTGCGAAGCTGGCCTGGACCAAAAGTTCGACTTCTACGTGGGCTTTCCGGACAGCTGTGCTCAGCTGGGCGATCCGCACGTGACCAGCTTTGAGCAGCTACGCAACGAGATCACGGAGCGGAAGAGTCGCCGCGAGAATGGGACTCCGTTCAAGCAATCCTCCGGCGATCAATCTCCGAGGGAGTCGAGAGTAGATTGGGAGCTTTTGGTCGGTCTGTCGTCCTTAGTTCCTCTCATCCTCCTGGCAACATGCTTTTATAAGTGTGCAACTCGCAACTTGGCCTGAAGCATATGAGAGAAGAGTCTAGGAGCTGGACGGCGTATCCACAGCAAAGTGAAGAGGAAGAGTTCGTTTGTGAGGAAGCGTTCGTTTGTTATGCAGGCAAATACTTGAATTTGGGGTCAAGTGGGAGTTTGAGGTCGGCTGGTAAAGTAAGATAGGGTCGATTTCAAGTGAAGCGGCGTTGAACAGAATCGACTCGGGGTGAGAGAGATACGGGCTGGAGAGACGATATACGAGGAGTTGAATACAAGCTGAAGATAGCTGTTGAGTGATAGCTCCCTAAGAGATTGGAGTTTGGGGAGACAAAAGGGTGTCCAGCGGCCAATTGCTCGCGTCACGTCTTCGAGGGAATGTTCAGAATGAACTGTCGAATTCGGATTCGTCC